CCCATCCATTCCTCCCTCCTGATTTCTTCACCCGATAACTCAAGTCCGTGGTTCACCGATATAAGGCAGTAGTAGCGGAACGATAGGGTATTGGGGGGAAAGGGGGGAGCCGTCAACAATATGCCTTGCTTGCTGTATGCAGTATAGTGCTGGATAATAGAGTAAAAGACTTCCAGGGGTAATGCGGACTTGACATGGTCTGAGCAAATCCGCTCTATGCACTTTTTTTTTACTTGCCTTGGTGGAGGTGGAGATGTTTTCATATATTTGCATTTACCACATGTGGCTTGATCAACACAATAATGGCGGCTTGTTTATAGTGGGGTTGGACAAGATGATGCGATGCAAGCTAAATGAATTATCGAGATGGTTATTTCTTTCGATCGTGTAACGACGACGTCATGGGCAATAATTGGCGGTCGTGTAATGCCACATGGCTTTTCCAAGGCACACGTGAAATGCGGAGTCGCACAGATCGGCCCACAACTAAAAGCTCCTTCCGTTCATCATCCTCCCCAAGCAACTAGAAGCCCATTTACATACACATACGGGAGAAAAGTAACATTCCAAGATTCAAGCGCAATGATGATCCATTCCTACTATAGGCATAGTGATGTCTTTTTCCATAATTTTGCTATCATACGTATTAAGCTAGATGAGAGATGGGGACAACATCTATTATGTATGTACGTTTATTGAAAGTAATAATAAATGATCACCCGGCGCACGGATGCTGTGATGACCTATACCGAGAATTACCGGAAGACATGGCTCCCTTTATCTGGTTGCTACAACTGGATGAATACAGGATTTCTTGCGCAATAGTGCATAAAATCTACAAGAGGAAACACACATTAAAGGAGAGCAGTGTTGTTGTTTTTGCCGCAAAAGGGGACGGCTATTAGCAAGCATTCAGCAGCTTGTAGTAACATGTAGGGTTGGTCAAGGTACATAGGTTGTGTGTGCGTGTGTGTGTGTGTGTGTGTGTGTATGTTAAATGACAAGATAGACCATTCCACAGATATGAAAAGCTCCTTATTATACAAGCAGCGATAGTCATAATAGGGAGTGGTGATGAAGGATGTATACGTCAGTAGTAGCAGTAATATGGGGTGACAGGATAGGATAAAAGAAGGAGGAGTGAAAAGAACAATTGTCAGCCGTAGCAGCAAAAGGTCACTGGATTGGAGGAAATGAGAATTGTTGGTCTGTGTCCAAGACGTCACATGATGTCACTACAATAAGCTTTTTCCATACGTTTTCTTATACTAAGTAGAAGATGGAGTATGTGTTTTATTGTTGTTGTATGATTTAGGAACATGAAAGCAAGATAATAGAAGCGGACATGACATGTATTTTGATAGGGAGAGTCCCATTATCAGGAAGGGTAAAAAAAGGGGAAGGTTCATTATATGTGAGGGGGAGCAGTTCTATTGCATCATTGTGATGACATTCAACGTAAGCACCTGCATTCTACATTTACACTTTTGGCAACCTACTTGGAGATGTCTGTGCGGTGCACCAAAAAAGCTTGTGCAAGTCATCATCATCGGCAGAGACTTTTTTGTCACTCGTTGCTGCTGCTGCTGTTACTCGGCGTTCCTTGTTTTCAACCAATCCCGACAAATGGAGACGCATTATGAGATCCTGAACGTATCGGAAAACGCATCGCACGACCAAATCAAGGCTCGTTTCCAGCAGCTCATTCTATTGGTATGAGTAGTAGTAGTAGTGGTGGTGGTGTTGATGGTTTGCATCAGACACGCCTTATTGACCCATCGATCAGCACCACCCTGACAGGAATGGCAGTTCACCCAATGACAAGCAAGCCCAACGTATACTGGAAGCTTGGGAGGTGTTACGAGATCCAACACGACGAAAGCAATATGATGCCGAACTATCAGGTAAATAGTCCACCAACCCTTGACTAGTACTACTACCATACTCCCTTGCAACATCCATGTATTAAAAAATATATAGCCCGACAAGCAGCTGTATCCAATGGAGAAGTCGATTTGGATGATATGGTCTACGACGAGGATAACCAGAGTTTCAGCTTACGTTGTCGATGTTCAGGCGTGTATACCATTACCGAGGATGAATTAGAACAAGGCATTGACACGGTGTGTTGCGACAATTGCTCCTTGCAGATACATGTCTTATACGATGTCCTTGAAGAGGAAGAACCCATCCAATCCAAACCATAGAATCACACAACACATACATGGCTTGCTTCCTGTTATAAATATACCCTTGTCTTTTCTCTTGTATTTCCGTTATCATCTTTCGCTTTCATCTACAACACTCCACCCCAATGGATAAGCAACAACAACAACAACAACAAAATGAGCAAACCAGTAGCACCAACTGGCCTCCGAATGCCAGCAATGATGCCAACAAGTTCCGGTTCCAGCAAGGTATCCCTGATGCTACTCCTCAAAACCGAAGAGAGTCCTTTTCAAAGCTGACCGAACAACGTCGTCGTTCATCCACTCAAATGGAGCAATTCCAACAACAATACAAGGATCAATCGGTCATTCGACGCTTTTTGGGATTGTAGAAAAAAGTAGTAGTACATAGCCTTCTTTTGTTGATAAATGAAAAGATTTATATTCGCAACTTGTGTGTGCATATCATAGGATGTGGGAAAATTCATGCGACAATATCATTAAAATGGGAGGAGGGGGGAATTTTCTTGTAAAAGATAACTATTATAGGTGGTATCATTGGGGAGGTGAGGGTGCGTTTACTCATTGTCCGAATCACCTTCATCATCACTATTGATTTCTTGTAAACGTCCTTCTCGCATGGCTTTTGCAACAGGATTCTCCACATCAATAACGCCTGTTTTCTTCAATCGTTCAAAGAGGACAAAAAGTCGTTCTGCTTCTCGTTCCTTTTCCTCATCCGTCATGTCTGCCAAGCTTGGTCCCTCTTGAGATTCAGCGTCCACATATTGCCCAGTGATAGGATTGATGATTTTGTTACTTGCATCAGCCTCTCCTTGGGGTGGCTCCACTGCAATACCACGATTCACCAAAAAGCCAATGGCATTTCCATACCCGACTTGTTGACTAAACTCGGATGCTTTTTCGATCATAAAGTAAATATACATGGCCATCAAAAAAAACCTATGCACCTACCATCATCATTGCACAATGAAAACAGGCACTCGGAAACAGCTTCACGTGTTTGAGAAAGCATGGTAGATGTCATGAGTCGGATAAGAGTGGCTGGCATGCTATCACCTATGTTGACAGGCTTTTCCCGATCGCTATAAGATAGGTTCATCAATATCATCATCATCCTCATCACTTATGACATACACAAATTTACCTTTCTGATGGCAGCATACGTAATTTGAAGTGATCGGCAAAAGCCGTATCATTTGCAGCAAGTTTGTGAATAACCAAGAGAAGAGGTGCCAAAGCAGCATCCGCATTGTGTTCCTTGGCCATTGACCCGAGGTTGTCAGGATCACCGGTTGGGATCAAGTATTTCAACGAATACTCGACAAAATCCATGAGACGTGCCGCTGCGATTTCTCGAGTGCCTTCACCAGGGCCTGGCTTGAATGTTTCTTTGGCATAAGTCTTCCAAACGAGACGCATGGCTGAATAAGGATATTGCATCAAGGCCTGGATGGCATAATTCACAGGAGCAACAAGAGGCATTGGCTTGTGTAGTTTCCATACGAACAAGAGATCAAAGATGGGCGGTAGACAGGATGAAAAGTATTGACCAATCTCATCTTCTTTGCCTTCATCACGTCGATTCTCCACCAGTAGCAAATTAAAGAGCAGTTTGAGTGCTTCGCTGATCACAGAGATTGGATTGATCGGGGATGATGTGGTGTCAATGGTTTCACCATGCAATACATTATTGACATGGGGCACAAGCACCTAATTTAGTGGGTTGGTTAGTCATCCATCATTCCCTCTCGCCCAATGTCACTTTTTCCATACCTGAGTCAGAGCGGGTGCAATATTAAGGGCCATCAATTGCTCCACGATCTCTTCACCATTCACCGTCATAAAGAACAAGATACGACATGTCAAGAATTGAGATTCCATGCTCAGCTCGGGCAACGCCAAAAGATGGAAACAAGCGGAGACACCACCGTGTTGTATCACCCAGGTCTTTGTGGCATCTTTGAGAAGAATGCAATTGGATAGACATTTCAGTGCTTCGCGAGTGCTGGTAGTATCACGATCCTTGCATCCATCCAAAAGACCACCCAGCTTCAAAAGGATCCTCATGCCCTAGTAGATCAATCATTGTAATATGAATATTGTTGCCATGGTTATCATCATTCCTTCCTTCCTTCCTTCCTTACCCGTTCCGAAAAAAGTGGATCGGCATCATTCATGTCACGGCCTAGAAACTTTAATGTCTGGATAGCACGTGTTGTAACTAGTATAAAAGATATATAGCCATCTCAGTATGTTATACGTATACTCACACACACACGCCCATTGATGATGCTCCTCCCTACCTTGTTCGTTCCAACTCTCTGGTACCTTGTCCAGATCACTCAATAGTTCATTCATAAACTCGGATTTGTCCGATCCAACAAGAGCTAAAGTCAATCGATGCGTGGATGAGCACAAGGGGGCAATGGATAGTTGTTTGGGGGAGGTGGGTGGGGGATCAAGCAAGGAGCTAGCTGGTTTGAGTAGACGATGCTTACTTGTTGAACCACTCTCGATGGAACCAAGGAACGCGATTAGGTCGTCTGCATTAGTAGAGTCGCGGAGGTGCTTGTAGTCCTTGAGTGACATAATAGGTGTGCAAAGGCAAGAAAGGGTGCATAAAGAATCGGGTTGCTCCCTTACCACTACTACGAGTGCGGAGTAAAGTGCCTGAAAAGTTGACATCCATAATGGATGCTGCTGTACACAGCCCATGATGTCGTCATGCCTTCTTTGGAAAGTTGCTAATGACACTTGTCATTAGAGCTTTTTCTACCTTGTGGATTACTTACTTGGCTTTTGCATGATCGCAGTAATGCGCTGATCATCCATTGAATATAAAAAAATGAGCAAGGGGATGAATGGATCCTGCTATAACACAAAGACCATTGAACTTTTCCTGTATACAATGACCACTTTTACACGTTCACAGACCAAGCCAATAGTTGTGTTATAGACCTAAGGGATCACTCAATATCGAAAATGATTACGCTTTGCATAAACGCAAGAAGTTACCCATAACCACAAATGATTGCTAGCCACTGACGACGATCCTTTGCTGCTCTCTGTGTAACTACCTATGATAGTATATATGTGACCCTCAATTTGAGATGATAGCCTATGCATAATCTTATTTGAAACCTTGCATGTCATGCATATACTACGTGGTCCTGCTGTATATGGAAAAAAAAGCATTACGATAGCCACCTTTATTACATTATGCATGATTTTTCATATCCAAAGGTTTCATGTAGGCCTCTGCCTATCATAATTTTGCAAATAGAGCATTCAACTTCTCGCTGATCAACTTTGGTGGGTTGCCTGTTAGGAGGAGAACAATAGCCAATCCATCCTACTATTAGTATTCCACCCACTTTTCGTTTCTCCGCTGCTTTTGTGTTGCCTTGATTGAATTTTAAAAACGTTGCTGTTGACGATCAGACCAAGTTTTACTTTTCTTCCTTTCGACACTATAAATATTATTATTGAACTCTCTCATCAAACATGGAAACAACGATACCCGAAAGCATGAACGCACTACAATTGACCAAGACGGGTCCTGCTGAAAGCTGTATGGAATATACCAAAGTCTCTACACCCACCTTAAAGCGCAAGGATGATATTCTTGTTCGTATCAAGGCCACTGGCATCAATCCTGTCGAGGCCAAATTTAGAGCAGGCAATGTGGGCTACTTTCCTTTATCATTCCCATGCGTCTTTGGATGTGATTATGCTGGTATCGTAGCAGCCGTTGGTAGCAGTGTCACTGATTTCCAAGTGGGTGATGCTGTTTATGGCTCGTTGCAATATCCATTTGGTTCGGCAGGCACCTATGCAGAATATACAATCGTCTCGCCTACCAAGGATGCCATTGTCAAAAAGCCCGACACCATTTCATTTGAGGAAGCCGCAGCAACTGGCATTGCAGCCAACACGGCTTATCAAGGCATTATTGTGGATGGAAATCTTCCCAAAACGGGTCCTAAAAAGATCCTTGTAGTAGGTGCATCAGGAGGTAAAAGACGACGACGACGACTTTTTTTACTACACGCATCATTTACTCACTTTTGTACTCTATGTAGGCGTTGGCACCTATGGTATTCAAATTGCCAAGGCCATTGGTGCTGAAACAGTGGGTATCTGTAGTGGTAAAAATGCAGCTTTCGTAAAAAGTCTAGGAGCGGATCGCGTTGTGGATTATACATCCGAGGAAGCCATTGCTGCATTAGCACGCGAAACAGAGACATTTGACGTCATTTTGGATTGTGTGGGTGGTGATGGCTATTACTACAAGTTGGTGCGTACGTTGAAAAAACAAGGCGTGTATTCCACAGCGGTGGGTCCATCGATGCATGTGGGTGCCGAAAAGGTGGGATTGCTGAGCGGCGTCAAAATGGCATTGGCGGTAGCCAACCACAAGCTCTTTGGTGATCGCAATTATTCGGTTGTGCTGAATTTGCCCTGGGTACGCTTTCCACATGATTTACGACCGTTCCTGGAAAATGGGTCCGTCAAAAGTGTCATCATGGAGGAAAATATCTTTCCACTCAAGGATGGTGCAAAGGCTCACTTGAAACTCGAATCTCATCGCACTGTGGGCAAGATTGTCCTTGTCATGTAAAACAATGGTTGCATACATATGCTTTTGTACCCACCCCATTTTGTGCAACCTGATACAGTATATGATAATACAATATGCATTTTCTACAAAACGCACATCAACGTACAATACCCACCATTTACTCTATACATCCCATTTACATCGCTGATCGTAGGTAGCAGAGGTAAGAGGGGTATTGTTGTCATGACAACAAAAAGGATGTTGTTGCAAATGGCATGTTTCATTCTGAAATAGAGTTCAAAAGCCGGCAAGAGCTCTTGTGCGATGCTGTCAACCCGTTGTTCCGAGAATGGTATGTAAGTATCTTTATTTTGAAAAAAGACAAAGGAAGTCATTAGTAAGAGAATAAAAGTAGTACTATATTTACAAGGAAGCCGGTGATGATGATGATGATGCTGGATGGTGTGCGTGGTTGAGTGGGGGGGGGGAAAGGAAAGACGTTGAATAATGGGAGTTGAAACAAAGAAAGACAAAAAAGAAAAACGCGTTATGCATGTGATTCATGAATTGGATTTCTGGCTTGGAGGAGCCAATGCTTTACATCAGCCAGAGGTATATCATCGTCATCCTCGTCGAGTCCAAGATGTCCAGGAACAGCAACGTTTTCGTACTTTTGTGTTGTTGTTGTTGTTGTGAGCATGCTAACATGATACGCAGGCGGTGGTGTAGCAGGTGGTTGCAACTCGATATTGGTATTAAGGCTGACGGTGGATGAAGAATTGCTGCTACAAGTAGATGATCGAAAGGAGGGGCATTTGTCTGCTGCTGATAAGCGAATCAATGGTGCTATCGATGTGCGTTTTCGTGTTGTAGTAATGCAGCAGCTGTTGTATTCCGCACAGGCTGTTGCAGCTGGTATAGCGGGTGGAAAGGTTTTTCGATTATAATAGGTGGTAGTTCGCTTTCTCTTTGTCGTGGACAAGTCATTAGGATAGAAAGGCATTGTTTGTGGTGATGAAAGAAAGAGAAGAAAAAGAGAACAAAACAGGGTGGATTCCCTCTCTTTATGGTCAGACTAAACATTCGCATATTGGCAACACGAGCCGCCCTGTCTTGGCGGGAAGACAACCGCGAGATGCGTGCATAGCGGAGAGAACATAAAGAATGTGCTTGATATGTCCGCACTTAATTAACACAGGTGGTGGTGCTACCATTGTTAAAGAGCAGGTTCATTGTTCAATGCCTTCTTCTTCAGCAGTATAGCAACAGCAAAACTCATATCACCATCTCTAGAGTAACATACACACACCCACACTCTCCTTGTTTCCATCTCCTTGGTTATTATAAGCAGTAGTCATGGGACATACAAGGGCTGTGCAAGTGGATCACTTTCCGAATCTGTATAGGTGCGTGGATCAATCATCTTGCACTATCAAATTTAGTTCTATTGTTTGAAAAGGTGCCAACAACAGCCAAGATGTTCCAGAACGGGTGGATTGATATGATGGATGATGATGATAAAGATGTTGTTGTTTCATTTTGTTTATGCCAATGTGCCAATGATTGGTTGTGTGATGATCTTCATTTGTGAGACGACAAACCGATGATATGAACAAGAAGGTTCCACAGATCCACGAGTTTATTCCACCACCTCTCTTTTCATTGTGACAACCTGCTGCATGATTATTACGTCGCCAAGCTCAGCCCTCCTCCTCCATACTCTCATTTCACATCTCTCCTTGTCATTCCAGCAATCGACTTGAACCTCATGCTCACTCATACAACTCTTCATCGTCGAACCATTGCATGCCTTGTCGTCTTTTGACAGTGATTGGGGGAACGCTTTATTCAAAGGTGAATGGGTGGCAAGGTAACAAGACCTGGTTGCGATGACAACTATATTGCAACTTCATTTTCTCATATCAGATCTAGTAGTTGACAAGGTGCAAAGGACACGTTGATATGTGGAAGGTAACTTGGATCATAGTGGTGATCGTTAGCATGTATGGCTTATTCCTTTATCCTTTACATTTGTCTTTAAACAATAAGATCGAACCCCCACAAGGGACATGGTGTGCTGGTGGTGTTTCCATGACGACGACGACGACGCGTCTTGATTTATATATGAGTGGTTCAACAAAAGAAGCAAAGCCAGGGTGATCAGTGGCACCAAACCAGGGTGTGATGGATATCAAGAAGGATGATGATCGATAACGATGAAGAGTGTTACATCATGGTGCGTTATGGCGGATGATTTATCATGGCGGCATGCTTTTAGCCATCAAGATGAGCAATGTCGGCACATCGTATCGGATTGAATCGGTCACTTACGCTATATGGGTTGCGGAAGCTTCTGGCAACGGAGTCCGAACATGCAACATGCTGGATGAATGATGCTGTGGCAGAATCATGTCTATCACGTTCCCTTTTCCTGCAATGCCTGAAACTTATGCTGTGATCCAAAAAAGAAAACTTTACCAATCGGCATGTCAATTGGGATGTTGTCAAACGGGGCGGCTGATGGCTATCACCTTATCATTTTGCCGTATCAGATGGGCATCACCAGCAGCCTGATTTATACAAAGATGCGACATGAAGGTAAATAGAAGGACAAGGATGTGAAGAGGGATCATGGGATAGGGATCATCAATATTGATTTTCTGTATTATGTATGTATTCAGGCACTTGGACCACCACCATGTTCCAGATCTGATTTGCAGCATTTCGGAACACAGATTAGCCAAAGCGTATGCTCTCTTAACCCGGTAATTGCCTTTTCAACGTTCCTGTGATGGAAGATGGTTATTCCTGACACATGTATAAATAAGACGCGTATGTTTGTAGCAGCAAGCTGATCTCAACAACAACATTCATTCAGTCATGGTTGAAAGTGACGAGTCAAGTATAGCCACCAAGATCGAAGCAAGTCTCTATGATGATCCATCCAACCCACACAATTGGTCAAAGACATTCCGTTGGATCTACACGCTCTTGGTATCTGCCCTTGTCATTGCCGTCGCTTTTGGTTCTTCAGTCATCTCTGGTGATCGTTCAGGTGTCATGACCGAATTCAATATCTCACCTACCGTATCAGCTTTGCAAGTCTCATTGATGGTCTTTGGCTTTGGCATTGGTCCCCTTCTTTGGAGTCCACTAAGTGAACATCTTGGTCGTCGTCCCGTTTATATCTTTGCTCTTGGTGTCTATGTTATCTTTAACATCCCTTGTGCCGTTGCCCGCAATATTGAGACCCTCTTGGTTTGCCGTTTCTTTTCTGGTTTTTTCGCATCCGTTGTCTTGACATTGGCCGGTGGCACTATCAGTGATTTGTTTGATAATGAAGATCGTGGTGCTGCCATTGCTTACTTTGCCGCTGCACCCTATGCTGGTCCTGTATTGGGTCCCATTGTGGGTGGTTGGATTTCCGTTGGCACGCATTCATGGCGTTGGATTTATTGGGTAAGATTCATAAAATTCACCGCCCACCGTGATCTTACATAGCATTAACATCTTTATTTTCTACATAGGTCAATATGATGTTTGCTGGTGTCATGTGGGTTATCATTTGCTGCCTACCAGAAACCTATGCACCTGTACTTGCACGTCGACGTGAAAAGGCCAAATCAACCCCTGAAGATCCTGAGATTGCAAACCTTCCAAAGGAGTCAACCATGACCACTATCAAGAACATGCTTGTACGACCCTTTGTGATGCTCGTCACTGAACCCATTTTGCTGCTCATGTCATTGTATATTGCAATCATCTACGCGTTGCTCTATGGCTTCTTTGGATCCTTCCCAATTGTCTTTGGTGAAATATGGGGATTCAATAGTGGTATCGCTGGCTTGATGTTTATCGGTGTGCTTATCGGCGTCGCCTTTGCTCTATTATTGACACCGCGATTCGAAAAAATGTATGTCAACAGCAACAAGACTCCCGAGGATCGACTCCCTTGCATGATGTTTGCCGCACCCTTCATCCCAATTTCTCTATTTATCTTTGGCTGGACATCACACGCACATTGGATTGGCCCTGCTATTGCAGGTATTCCTTTTGGCTTTGGTATGGTGCTTGTTTATTACAGTGCCAACAACTACATCATCGATTGCTTCAGCCATTATTGTGCCTCAGCTCTCGCAGCCAAGACCGTTGTACGAAGCGGTGGTGGTGCAGCATTCCCTCTATTCATTGCTCCTATGTACCACAACCTTGGAAGTCAATGGGCAAGGTATGTTTGTTGTAATGCTATCTGATATGATGATGTTCACGGTATCTGATGCTTGTATTTTTTTATCTTCCATTAGTACGCTGCTTGCTTTTATCAGTTTGGCCATTGTACCTATTCCTTTCGCATTCTACAAGTGGGGTCCTCGCATTCGAGCTCGTTCAGCAGCTGCTACAGCTTCTCCAGAAGAGAAGATTGAAAACACAACATCATCTTAATCGAGCCCATTCACGCATCCTTATCATCATTCCATCACTATTACCCTTATATCTTAGATGCCCCTTATCTTGTATCCATCATCATCCTAATATTGTATCTAAAGCTGCATCATCCATTCCAACAATATAAAGATCATCACATCTTCTTTATGCATGTATTCTACTGAGTGAATCACCCAAAGTGGGCCATGGTATTATTTGAAGTTCGGAAGAGCAAGCACGTGTAATGCCATGGACATGGCTATAGTCTTTGCCTGATCTGATCTGGGATGATGTATATAAAACTGCGACTAGTGCCGACCCTTTCTTTCATAGTACGTAGGGTCCTTGGTTTCCTTGTTGCTGACAACCGAATGTCCGATCGTTTACTTATCGCGTGATATGCAAGTACGATTAGCCATTACTCGCGCATCTATCTTACATTATCTGATCATACTCCCTTAGTGTCTGGTATGATTACAAGATTGTGACATAGCATGATCCGAATATCCTTCTTGGATGATGATAAGCAATAAAGAACCCTTTGTGTCAATCTTCTCATGTGACTTATTTCATTGACTTTATTGCTGTGTCGAGATAATGGCATACATGCGCTTTTAATTTCTATAGTATATAGGAAACATGTTTGTAACGATAAAGGTAGATGGATGCCTAAAAGAAGTGTGGAATTGACGACTAAGCTGAGTGTGTCAGAAATTGGGAAGGGGAGGGGGTCATCACCATGAAAAGTCACATTCATATCAATTTGCTATCGTTTCTTTGATACCTCTTGTTGACACATATACAACCCTTTTTACAATGGCCGTTCGACTTTCTCGCTCTTTCCAGCCATTGACGATCGTTCAGAAACGAGCATTTGCTTCCACCACCATTGCTTTGGCGGGTCGTCAAGGTGGCCGTTTCCGTCGACCTGAAAAAAAGTACGATGTCGATCACATGGAGCAGTTCCAATTCGACGACCAGACCACCATGGGTCACGACTTGTTTGAGAACATCCGCACCGTGCGTCAATACTTGCGAAAGACCGAATATGAATTGCCAAAGCTGAAATGTGAGGGTTATTTTCTCTTTTGCTATTGATGCTATACAGCCCCCCTCCCCTTTTGTACATACAGCCCAACCAACCCATCTTTGATAGCTTTTGCCAAACCATTTGTGCCTCCTAGCAGTGACCAGATCCTCAAGCTCAAATCTCACACCTACCTTGGTGAAGGTCATCCTGTGGAACGTAAGGTGGTCTTGTCTGTCAAGGTGACCGATCTCAAATTGAGCGACTCTGAACGACACAAGTTCTTGCTGCTGGCAGGTCCTCGTTACCACGTCGATACCGATGAACTTATTCTTTCAAGCGAAAAGTTCCCTCATCGTAAACAAAACAAGAAATACGTTCGTGATACGCTTAATGCTTTATTAAAGGAATCCAAGGTAAAAAAGAGGAGGATCATGGGAAGGATAGGAAAGGTGTATGTATTCATGCTTGCTTTTTTTTCTTCGTGTGATAGAACGCCAATGACACCTTTGCAGATATTCCTCTTGATTTGCCACAACCAAAGAAAAAGTTGCAGTTCCCCAAGGAATGGGCACGTCCTCAACAACAACAGCAAACCCAACAAGAATAGAATACTAAACATGTACAAATTACGCCATTTCATTTCCCCCTCAATTCACCCAAGATAAAAAGTTTGTAAAAGATCATACATATATATATATACATTATCTGCCATGTGACATTTGAAATCAATGGGACTACCCTGTAGGACAAGCGTGCATGTGCATATTAATTACCCAGATCAAGTAGCCACCCTCCATTGTAATGTTATCTGTATCATCCCAATCCATCCTTTCCACATAATGCAATCCATAATGGTATTCGTTTTCCAAATAGCAAAAGTTTATTACTGCATCAGCGCATTGATCTAGTGCTGGTAGGAGAAAACGTTCTTGAGGTCTATAACGTATTCATGTTAATACGCCATCTCTTTGTTCGTGTCCTTTTTTCATATACACTTACAGCCGTCCTCAGTGGCCAAACGGTTGATGCTGTCATCAGCTTCAGCGTTGCGACGAACGAAACCGCAAAGAGCATAGGTACCGAAGCTGCCAGTGCTGCGACCTTCAGCGTTGACATCGGCAACGTTGATTTGGACAGAGGCGTGGTCCTTGGCAGTGATGAGGCGGTTGGTGGCAGAGCTAAAATGCCGGTATAAGTTGACTGATTGGCGTCACTATCAAGGTAATACTAACCACTTGCGGGGAATGTAAAGGTCAACGAGGACACCTTCAGAGTTCTCCATGTCGAATTTGAGCAAGCGGAAAAAGAGGAGGAGCTGTCAAGGTAACGACATACAGCAAATATTTTTCCACCAAGCCACCCTCCTCAAGCGGAGCTTTAGGCACACACACACACACACCTCTTCCAGATCCTGATGTCAACGCCGCATATGGACCTACCATAGCAACGCATGTCTATGATCCCTCGAATAATACAATGATATCTGTTTCTCTTGTACTATAAAGATAACCCTGAACTGCTGTATAATGCCATTGAGCAGATCACGTTGCTATGGCAAATAACGGTTGTCAATGATACATAGAAGAAAACTTCCCTTGAATCTTATCACGTGATACAGCATTATCGAACGAATTTGCTAAGCATAGTGAGGATGGTGACCACGCATTGAATGTAGCAAACTCAGGGAAGGACACGTGCATGCGAAAATGTTGGCGCCTTTCATACCATCGCGCATGAGATACACATGGTAGCCATGGCAACTTTGAAATTTGATGCATTTTGCCCGGCTGATGACCATGAGCCTGCAATTTTATATTCTTGTTGAGTCTAAATGGACATCCTCTTCAATCATTATATGATAAATGGGGTTCAAGATCAAATGCTATGCACTTTTATTGTAGTAAGTAAAAATAGAGGATGTGAGTGTTCTAGCGGCTTAAGAAATAGAGTCGTAGCTAATCGTAGGCAGACATCTCAACCATGGAGCGTATTGAGACCCCCAGCTATCCTAATGAAAAAGACCAATTTTATGCTTTTAGGACTTGTTGCATGATGCCGACCCCAAAAAGACGACGACGAAACGAGCGTGTTTAAAGACCGCTGATAGCGAAGCTGCAGCAACCAGCTGCTCCTTTTGGTTACTCTGCTCAGTGTTGCAGTAACCGTTGTCGTCTTTGCTTACTTCTCGCAACAACCACCTCTTTTACAACCAACCGTTCTCCGTTCTTGATATTGCACACCCACGCAACGACCCTAGAGGCCTTCAACACTAAATACCAGCATGCACCAGAGCCGAATTGATCTATTAAAGATTACGCAGGTAGGCATTTCACACGACGGGGAGGGAGTCGACTGTGAAACCTTGCCATCCAATGTACAAAGATGAACTCACTCTTTTGGTGGATGTTAGGTTCAAGATGTGCAAGTTGAAAAGGGACCAGAGACGCTTGTTGGTACTTTACACTTGACGGTGCACAACCTTATATTCAACCATGCCGAAGGGGAACTGTGGGTAAGTTTTGCCAAGGATAATATACATGATGCATGAGTTGTACAATGGTCATTAAACTCTCCTCCTCCTATAGATGCCCTATTCTATCATCCATACCGTCGAGCGACGACCTGTCTCGCTTCAAACGGGGCGTCATCCATTGTATATCCGCTGTAGAGATTTCCTCGTGATCACCTTGTCGATCCTCAAGGAAAGCGAGACACAAGATGTTTTTGACAGTATCCAGAAACTCGCATGCGTTAGTATGTAATCCCGCCCCCTTCCTTGGTTGTAATTCCTTCTGCTGACTCTGTATCATAGCATCCGTCGATCAGCTTTATGCGTACAGTTACCAGCCACAGCCCAATTATACTTCAAACAATGGATGGAGATTGTATGATCCGCTTCATGAATATGAACGAATGGGCGTTGGTACCAAGAATGATAATTGGCGATTCACCACCATCAACCGAGACTATACTGTGAGCATTTTTGGGTCATGGGAAGGGAAAGAAAATCAATCACTCACTCATCATGATGTTGTCTAGTATTCCCCAACCTATCCACGCACACTCGTCGTCCCAACCAAGATCAGCGACAATGTACTCAACTACGCAGCAAAATACCGTAGTAAGGCAAGGATACCAGTACTCTCTTATCTTCATTGGTATAACATGGTAAGTGATATATATTACCCAAGGTGAGAGAACAGGCTTTATTGATATCAGATGGAAGGCAACCATTACACGGAGTAGCCAGCCTATGGTGGGGTTCAAGCAAGCACGGTCCATTCAAGATGAAAAGCTTATCGAGGCGATCTTTGCATCCAATGTGCCTACAGGTCCTAATGGTCAAACGATTTATGGATCCACAGCTGCCAATTTGATCATTGATGCTCGACCTATGGCCAATGCCGTTGGAAATGTGGCGCGTGGTGCAGGAACAGAGAACATGGAGAATTACAAGAATTGCAAAAAGGTGTATGTCGCCATTGACAACATTCATGTCATGCGAGATAGCTTGGCGAAAATGTGTGATGGTAAGTAGTGGGGATGTGAATCCCGCCTACGAGAGCGTATCATATTGAAATAGGGAAACAACCCTTTTTTTTTTAGCAATGCAAGGAATCGATACAGGAGGCGAAGTCAACCGAGCAGGATTACAACGATCGAATTGGCTGAAACACATTGCCACGCTTTTGGAAGGGACTGAAACAATTGTAAAGAACGTTCATGTTTATAATTCTCATGTGCTTGTTCACTGCTCCGATGGATGGGATCGTACTGCACAGCTTGTATCGATCAGCGAACTTTGCCTTGATCCATTTTATCGCACATTTGAAGGCTTCCAGGTGTTGATTGAAAAGGAGTGGGTATCATTCGGCCATAAATTTGCGGATCGATCAGGACACCTTTCCAACGACAAGTATTTTGTCAACCTCGCTTATACCGGCAATGCAGCAACAAACACCATCAAAGACATGCAAAACAAGTTTTACAAATCCAACTATTATCAACGAGAGACGAGTCCTGTATTCCACCAATTTTTGGATTGTGTCTATCAGCTCTTGTGCCAATGGCCCACTCGATTTGAATTCAACGAGAAGATGCTACTTGAATTGCACTATCATGTGTATTCATGTCAATTTGGCACCTTTTTATTCAACTGCGAGGCCGAGCGTACGCATCATTATCCACAAAGCAAGACATTCAGCATTTGGGATTACTTCAACACACATAGAGATGAATTCACGAATGAGATGTACGATCCAAAGAAGGACCTTGATCTAGTCGATGATGGCGGTGTATTATTCCCTGATCCACGCAACATCAAGTATTGGGCAGGATTATTCAATCGTAATGATACCGAAGTGAACGAGCCCATTGTATATGGTGTTTCCCATCCTTTAGCACATCCCTTAGCAGAAGAATCTTGACATGTTGTTGTTGTTAATGTGTGTGTATGTGTTGTATCTAATAATTTGTTATACAAAAACGTGCAGCCAACCGAAAGTCGGGATGTTGATGATGATGATGATGCGCTGCCTGAAAACGGCCATTCAACCGAATCTCTTTCCTTATTCTCTTTCCTCTTTTTTCTTCCTTATTATATTACTGCCTCCTCCTACAACACTCATGTACCTCCCCAATGGGAAACTCGCACGCCATTCACCCAAATCAAACGGTAGGATAGGATAGCCATGGTCATTGGAGACAACGCATGGTCACTCATCTAATGTGGTTTATTTGGCAGAGTCGGAATTGGCTGTTCCCGAACCTACTGACGAGGGTTATGTGGAGCTACGATTGGAAATGCCTGATTTTGCTAAAGACTGGAGCGATGAACAGAGTGCAGGTATGTGTGTATCTCTAATATGGTCACTGGACTTGTTCAAGGGGAACTCGGATGCACCATGCCCGCATAAAGCAATTTGGGGGAGGGAGGGGGAAGGTGAAGTGTATGGATGGGATGATGCAGGATGCTAATTGTTGTATTACCAGACTTTGCCCTACTTTGCTTACAACGGATACCTCGTGCACTTGCCCGTAAAGTGATCAATCAAGTTATGCCAATGTTGAATCGTGACTATATATCGGTATGTGGTTTGCTTATGTGTGTGGGTATGTGCATAAAGGAGTTGTTATTGATGTCCCAGTATAGCAATTGCCATATGAACTGGGATTCCATGTGCTCAGTTTTCTCGATAGCATTAGCTTGGCACGCATGGCGAGCGTATCTCGACATTGGAAACAGATCAGCTCAGATCAAGCATTATGGAAACACTTTTTTCAACGAGAAGGATGGCATTATGATGAAAAAGCAATCAATCGTTATCTCAGCAACACATCTCCTCCTCCTCCACCATCCTCAGCATCATCATCATCTTCGTCGTCGTCATTGTCAACAAGAAGAAAACGCACTGTTAGCAGCACATCATCATACAGCCGAACATCCGAAGAACATGACCCATTGCGACCCACATTATCACCCATTCCCTTAGCACGCACAGCAGCAGGTGGTATCACCGGTGGTGGTAATGGCCTACCATCATCATCCAACCCCTTACGTACTCGTAGCAACATTCGACGCACTGAGATGTTTAATCGATTACGATCAGGATACACCACCAATGATCAGCGACCCTCCCCATCCACTTCTTCTGATACCACCCTTGTTTCACCACCAGCATCACCTACTTCACCCTCTCGTTCTCAACCTCTATTATCACGACATGTATTACGATCCTCTGAAATGATGCGTGGTAGTATATCCACAACATCGCGTCCTCGTCCCCACTCTTTGGTGTCAGCACTTACGAATGCTTCTTCAGCTATTACCAGCTCTATTGTTCATGAACGCATGTCCAAAAATCGCCCTTCACGACGAGATGATGATACAGATCACTACCATTATGATCCAAAGACCGACACACGATTTATCAATTGGCGTCGACTCTATCGCAATCGATACTTGATTGATCGACGTTGGCGTGAAGGAAAATACAAGACGCGTGCCTTTCCAAATGAGGAGGATGTCTCATTTATGCATTTGGAAGCCATTTATTGTATTCAATTTGATGAGAACATCCTTGCCAGTGGAAGTCGTGATCGCACAATCAAGCTATGGGATATGCGGACAGGAAAGCACATTCAGACCTTGCAACATCATTCAGCCAGTGTACTATGTCTGCAATATGACGATCGTTACATGTTTAGTGGAAGCAGTGATGCAAGCATTATCCAATGGGACATGACAACGAAACCTCGCCAATATATGCGAACCCTTTTGGGCCATTCGGAAAGTGTGCTCAACTTGAAATTCCATGGCAACCGCCTTGTCAGCTCCTCCAAAGATTACACGGTGCGTATTTGGGATCTCGAGACGGGCACCACCCTCCGTGTTTTGAGAGGTCATCGTGCAGCCGTCAATGCTGTGCAATTTTATGGAAATCAAATCGTATCCGCATCAGGTGATCGTACCATCAGACTTTGGGATATGGAAACAGGCGCCTGTTTACGCTCTTTTGACTCTCACAGCCGTGGTATTGCTTGCATTGAATTCGATCGGGATCGCATCGTGAGTGGTTCCAGCGACCAAACCATCAAAATTTGGGACGCCAACACGGGTGCTTGCCTATACACGCTTGCTGGTCACACCGAACTCGTACGTACCCTACGAATGGATATCGATGCAGATCGTATTATCAGTGGCAGCTACGATGGAAGTCTACGCATATGGAGTTTAAGTCAAGGCCGCCATTTGAGGAACCTTGGTCAAGCCATTGAAGGCCGGTAAGCAATGTTTACTCATTTGTTGATCTACTTTTTATTCACTTTTTCTCTATCAGGGTACTCAATCTTCAATACGACTTTGCTCGCATCGTGTGCTGCTCCAATTTGGGCAAGCTTGTAAAATACGATTTCGCCTACGGCATTGATACACAGTTCTTAAAATGACCCCAACCACCATCGTACGATACGCATACCATTTATAAATTAGTAGTTATATCATTGTTTGTGTTAAATGAATCAAGTTGCTATTGCTTTGTGATTATAAGATCGTATTGGCCATGTTGGGTGGGAAAAATGGGGGTGGTGCAACATGCGTCTTGCATGACTCCTTGCATGGCTATATAAAAACACACATGCATTTGAACCCTTCCACTGGTTCCCTTCCTTCTTTTCCCACCACCCATAATGTCGTTGATTGGAAAAGTTGCCGTCATCACCGGTGGTGGAGGTGTGATTGGTACAGCTGTCGCTCGCACACTTGTTAATAAAGGCGCCAAAGTGGTCGTGGGTGATATCCAAGGAAAAAGTGCCCAGGACGTTGCCGAAGAATTGAATGAAAACGCAAAGTGGGTCATCTAATACTAGTAGCTATGGTTGTCATGTTCTCACCAAACGCGTTGTTGCCAGGTCTACCGTTGCCTCGTCTCTGCAAGCGGATGTAACAAAGTACAAGGACAACATCGCTTTATTTCGACATGCTGAGGCGACTTTTGGTGGCGTTGATGTAAATGAGTGATATGCGGATACATGCATGCTGATTCTCTTACACGCACGTACGCGTACATACATCTAGATAGCACACCTGAATGCTGGTACCGCCATTGATAGTGACGCCATTTTCTTACCTCTTGATGGTAAAGCACGTCGTTGCCATAGATTTACTTTGAAGCTAATCATATCAATGGCTGCAAGGATAGATGACCGAGAGGAAAGGTTATTCAGGATCAACACGCTAGGGGTTATTAAAGGAACCAAAGTAGCACTTTTGCATATGGCTGCCCGTGGCGGTGGGGTTATTGTCAACACTGCATCTCTCTTGGGGCTGGATCCAGTCGAGTAAGTAAAAGAAGCCCATCATCAATGTTTGCCTTTTTTTACCTGTACGTGTATTCTTTGATCAGCACAGCGAGCGCCTATAATGCCTCCAAGCACGCTGTAGTGGGATGGACACGCAGTTTTCGATTGATGCCGCAAATATGCAATGTGCGCGTAAATACCAGTTGAGTAGAAGCTGCATGGAGAAACGTTGTGAATGGTGATTCTAATTTTAGCGTCATGTGCAGTTTGTCCTTTTGCAACAGGTACAATACTACTTGGCATTATTGATCCCACGACGCAAAATAACGAGTTACGCATACATTTTGTAGATACGGGTTTACTTGTGGATATAATGAATGCTGGGATCATCATTAACAGCTTTGGCAAGAAAATTCCTCATTGTTCGGTTGATACGGTAACACAAGCGGTTATGCAGCTAATCGAAGACCCGACTTACAATGGTACATCTTCAACAACCCACTGCTGCTGCATTGCTCTTATTAACCCATGGATTACATGTAGGAGCGACGCTTGCTGTTCTACCAAAAGGAGTCATCAAGAACATTGAACAACAACATGTGGATTTACGTATGTCGATAACCGATGTTCTACTAAAGGCCGATCACTAATGTTATGTGCTCTTGAATCTACTACAGCGCCAGAAGCCATCGAGCCCGAGAAATTTAACCGCCTCCTTGAAGAGGCTGACCGTGAAGCCGTGGATGACTACAAGAGTAAGTTGGCTGAAGCATTGAAGCGTTATCAAGATCAATATGAATAGCAGCAGCGTATGAAAAGTCATCTTTCTTATTATATAAACGAATGCTACAATCATTGTCAAGCATAATGTTACGTCTCCATACGCGTTAGTAGTAGCAAAATCCATGATTGAATATGTATCGTGTGGCTCCATAGAACCCCCCTTGGTGCTTTCATACAGCCCTATGGTTGCATTATGGGCATGACGGGCTCACCCAAGTATAGTACAAAAAGCCGAAGAGGATGATCAAAGATGAGATCATTCATGCGTATCCCTTACTACCAAGCTAATTTAAGGTTGTTCTCGGTATTCAACTAGAAATGGCAACCATTGCCTCCATGCTTTGGGTAGTGTCATTGGCATTACAGGTTATAGTATCTGCCATATCTATCAAGGAGTAGTCAACAGCATCCTTTTTGAAACAATGACAGGTCCAGACGCCTAAAAAGTCGAGTGCTATCCTTTCTCCTTTTTACCCTAGTGGAGCTTAATAATACCAATTGCGCTATGCCAAATGACAGCTATGCTTAGTTGAAGAGCAGCATGAAGGCATCACGGTATAAAATAGCTGGAAAAAGCCATTGTAAATATGCCTTGTAGGTTTAAGGATTGTGTCGTCAACTTTTCTGTACACTTGAATCATCAATAAAGTCCTCTAATATCATCCATCTATCTCCCCATTGTTCTCTAGATATGATCCCACCCCCCAAGATCGATCAAATAATGCAAGATGCAGATCGTCAATTTATGGATCTTGCGCCCAGGAGAAGGAGAGAGGCGTCCACATCTTTAGATTTCACATGTCATATCATGTATCACTGGTTTACAATAAGGACGCCACTATCGTTGATCAAGAGGGGGATTTCGTAATAGAGATGAGAGCTCCTAAAAGCATACGTAAGCAATAATGCCATTGTTGTAGTAGTTGTAGTAGAGGAGGAAGAAGCCATTTATTATAGTACTCGTTCACAAGAAGGAAAAGGAGGCAAGTTATTATACAATTTAAGAATTCTGTAGTATATGTGCATGTATCATTTGGGAGGAAGAGATCAATTAAAGGACCACCAGAGAACCTGCTCTAGAAGGAAGTGTAGGAGGATAGGTTGTTCAAGGCATCGACATCAATAGCAGACTTTTTGTTGAGCTCAGCGGGAGATGCACGAGGGGTGGATGGATAATCAAAGGAAGATGCCGATGAGCAAGGCGATGTGGAAAAGGATGCAGCTGGAGGTGTGGATGGCAAATGAGCCGTGGGTGTAGGATAAGGTGATTTGACAACATAGGCACGTCGCACAACAGCTGTCTCTTCTTCATCATCCTCATCCTCATCATCATCGTCAATAAAGCTGTTGTCGTGTGTGTCATCACTGAAACCATTGCTATAATCACAAAGCGTGTGAACCAGAGACTTGGTGAAAGAAACAACAGTAGGTGCTGCTGCTGATGAACGTCTTGGTTTGGTGCTGTCATCCTCCTCCATTTGAGCAGGCAACTTTGCAATAACACGTGGAGGAATGCTTGCATTCTTCTTTTCGGTTGTAGCTGTGAAGGATCGGATGTATTGGATGCGAAGTCTTAATTCTGGCAAAGAAATACGGCGTGCTGGATCAAGGCAAAAGATGCGTAACAAGAGATCATTCAACTCGTCCGAAATGCAAGGAAGGATACGCTTAAAGAAGGTTTGGGGTTTCTTGACATAGCTGGCAAAGGCTTGATCTTTCATGGTTGCTTGACGCCATGGGTTGCGACCTGCTGTCAAGTTGATAAGAATAACACCCAAGCTCCATACATCGTTTTGGCGTGTGCTGTATCCTTTGATGCGTTCCTTGTTCTTTACAAGTTGGCCTTGGCACTCGGGTGAAAAGTAAAAGCTTGATCCACATCCAAATTCGGCTGAGACCAATTGTGTCGTAGCCAACCCGAAATCAGCAAGCTTGGCCTGAAGGTTGGAAAACATTAAAATGTTTTCGGGTTTCAAGTCTCGGTGAGCAATGCCTTGTTGGTGGCAATATTGAACGGCGTCAAGGATTTGGGTGAAAATGTGGCGGATAGCAAAGTTGTTGCTGGCAATGCCTTGTTGCTGCGTGATGGCTGAAAAGAGATCACCACCCGTTGCATATTCAAGCACAAGGTAAACTTGATTGTTCTCACGCACGACCTTTTCAAGGGTCAATACGCCCTTATGAGAGGACACGCGTGAATGTAATGTGATCTCGGTTTCGGCCGCTTTTGGGTTGTTCAACAACTTGACGGCATAGCGTCGGCTTGTAGGCACATGGACACCTAAATAGACCACGCCATAGGCACCTACGCCAAGCACAGATACCAATTGAATCGAACGACGATCAATAAATGTGTTCAAAAGAGCTTGAGGGTCTTGTGCAGTATTAGTGGTTGTGGGTGCCATAGATGAAGAATGAAATTACAAGGATTGGAAAAATGTGTGTGTGTGTGTGTGTGTTTGAGGTGTGTGGAGTAAATTAAGATGGGGAAAAGTAAGTGCAAGTGGCATGAATGGAAGCTCTTTATAAATGATGTTTGTATCCGCCTTTGGATGAAAAAAAAGGGAACTGCTATGTCCGTGTAAAAGCATGATAAATCTTACCCCAACCACCCCTTATGCCTATTCCACACCCACCACACCACGTCTTTCCTCCTCCCCCCTTCTTACCATTGACTCCCTTACTTCCCCAAATAGATGCATAGTAATGAGCTTATCTCCCTGCACATACATTATCCAAGTGCTTCTTATTTGTTATGCTAATGCAGGTGACAGTTCACCAGAAATAACCCGCTTACGATATGCACATCATTGTACACTTTTGCTCTTGCAGAAAATATTCTTTATCATTTTGAAATGCATATGCTATACAAACGTTGACCCATATTGTTTAGACACGGGTTCTTGTGCCGATCATCGGTATCCCGTGTTCCGTTTGGCGAAACATAGCGTGATGATAAGACACACACACACACACACGCACAAACAGCCGGCTGCAATGCAAAGACGTCTCTCAAGGGGTCAAAAGAGCCAAGACAAGTAAAAGAGAAGAGTTAAGAACGGAGATCTTTCCTAATTTGTCCATGGGCCTCCCTGATCTCTCCCAAACCTTAACCACCATTTTTTTGCTATACGCACCATCATCCTCACTCACTCCCCCCCTTCTTCACTATACACACGTACATCCACACTATATCTTTTTTCCTACCTACACGACCTGAAACGATTTGAAAGAGTCTCTCTCCTCCCTTTACTCCATCATCCCACGGTCATTTCGTAACCAACCGAGGAGTCGTCAGGGAATTACTATGGTGGGCATACATAAGCTGCTGCTGGGCACGAATCATGGTTCCTTTACAAACCGTGTGGGGTGGCGCCCTTGACATACTATGAACAAGTTTTCGCGTTCTAAAGTTATAATAAGGAGGTTAGTCTATGTGCATACGCATAGAGAGAGGATGGATGAATGGAGTAAAAAGGAATCCACATTGTTCATCAGCACGTTTTGTGCTGCAGTAACGTGATCCCAAAAAGAAGATCTGCTATTTGAAGAAATGAAAGTTAAATGATATTCATTCATGTGCATAAACACGCACCCGCATGATGACCAATGAGGAGATTCTTTAAGCGCCCACCCACTATTGCATTTCATTCCACATGGTGGTACGATGGGGCTTTGTGGCGTTCTATAAGTTCAATGATAAGCTCTCAATAGTGTGTGTGTGTGTGTGTATGCTTCATATTAGAGATTTCTCCCAACACTATTATGCACCATCCCTTACAGCTAGTTTCATGTAACAATTTTTATGTATCCTTGCAAATCATTTCATATATGCTAACTATTCGATCCGAATGACGTTATTCATCGATTTCACCCTCTTCAAGGGCATTGGTGTCATTGTTCTCGCTCTTATTAGTTTCAGCCTCGCTCATTGTTTCTGCTGCGGGAGGTTGTACACGTTCATTCTCCAAAGTGGATGGCTTTTTGTTGTTGTTGTCGTCATTGTCAGTGGTGGTTGTGGTGGTCTTTGGTGAAGTATCGGATGTGGTGCTGATGGTTTGTGGTTGGGTGATATTTACTGAAGCAACAGCAGAGGCCACGGCAGCTTGAACTGCTTCCGAAGGTCGTGATGATGATGATGATAATGATGGGCCTGGTGAAGCTGATTGACCCGATACCACTTCACCCTCTTCCTCACTTTCCGTAATAGCTGCTGGCTTTGGTAGGGATGTCTGTGCTGAGGGGGTGGTGGAGGTGGTACTTTGCTCGTGCACAGTATTCGTTCCTATTGAATTTGTCGGATTAGAAAACCAGCCAAGGAAAAATCCCTCTTTTTCGAAAGGATGGTTGTTACTTGCCTTGTTCTGATTCCTCTTTCATGACGACGTCCGTGGACTCCTCCCTTGTTGGCTCCTCTGGATTTGTACTTGCATCTTTGGGCTCTGGTTTCACTGCCTCAGTCATCAACACCTCGTGAATTTCTTGCTCTTCCTCCTGGGTCACCATAGCAGTAGTCGTACTTGGCTCTTCTTCATCGACATCCATCTTATCTTCAGCACCCGATGATGATGCACGAGCATGATTGGCATTGCCATTCACCTTGCTTCCTTCCTCTTCTCCTTCATCCGTACGTCCATAGTTTTGATAATGCCGGCTGCTGAGATTCTTGGTTGTGCCTTGAGCTTCACCTTCATCAGAGTCATAAAATTCATTGTCGGGTACAATACGACGATCCCAAAACGATTCTAAGATTTAAAGAGCCATATCAGTAAAGATCATCAAGTATTCCTCTCTCTCTCTCTCTCTCCTTTTATCCCCACCCCTGTCAAGGGAAAAATATACTCACGGGGATATCGATCATCGGGGTCCTCTTCATCTTCATCATCAGACACATAATGGTCCCCAGGGACATCTGCAGAAAAAAGTACCTCCATGAAATAAGAACGTGCTTGCTCTCAACCATTAATTTCATTTCATACACACCTTGCATTTGTACACTGGGAGCAAATCGTGTCCTTGAGAGGTTCTCAAACACCTGCTGCCTTTGGAGCAAATCGTAAGATAAGCATCATCATCATCTCTACTCTATATCCTCCCTACACTACTTACTTTATCTTTTCGAGATAATCACCGCTATTCATGTTTTCCATGTTGCTCGGTCGCACATCCAACTTGTAATCAGGACCAAAGTACTCGTAATAGTCATTGTAGGGCATATCTAGTGTTGTTAAGTAAGTAAAAGTAAAAGTTTAAAATCCAGGGTCCTTCCCCTTTAGGTGCCTGCATCACTTGCCTGGACCAATATCCTCTCCTACGACCACACCGGTTTCATAAGCCCATGCTCTTGCGACATTTCGCATGGTATAACCGCCTCCTCCAAGGACGAGTGTAGGATAGTTGAACTTTTTGACAAACTCTACGCAATTGGCATGTCCTTTCATGGATAGGTTGAAACAACCAAGCTTGTCTCCACTCAACGAATCACCACCACATTGCAAAACAATAGCCGAAGGTTGATACCACTCAATCACTTTTTCAATGGTCTATCAAGGATGCGTCAACATGAGGGATGATGTCTTTTACATAAGCGGATATACTTACGGGCTCAAAAACGGACTTGTAGCTTTCATCATCGATACCATCTCGTAAAGGGAAATTGACGCTGTAGTACTTTCCTCTTCCAGCACCCACATCCTAGTTTAAAAATTTCGAAAAGTATGAATCTCACAGGCACATGGTCCATTACCCCCCCTCCTCTCCTGTCCTCCTCCCATCTCCCCTTTTCTTTCTTGCCTATTACCTTCAATTCACCCGTTCCTGGAAAGAATTCACCATACTTGTGGAAGCTGACCGTCATGACGCGATCGGTGGTGTAAAAAGCTTCTTCAACACCATCACCATGATGAACATCAATATCGATATACAAGACACGAGCGTAATAACGCAAAAGTTCCAGAATGCCCAAAACAATGTCGTTGACGTAACAGAATCCAGATGCCTCGGCTTTCTTTGCGTGATGAAGACCACCTGCCCAGTTGATGGCGATGTCACACAAACCGCGATTGAGTCTTGCAGCACCCTCTGATAGACACCATCCATATCAGTAAATGTAACCATATCCACACACACACATACGCATATACATTACTCACCCATAGATCCACCAGCACTAAGACCACAGTATTCGAAAAGACCTTCAAAGACTGGACAATCATCACCCACATTGACTAATACACAATGACTTGTTAACGTGACATGAATGATCCCACTTTCTATTACGCTTACATTTGGCTTGTTCCTTTGGGTACTGCTCCATATTCTCTGGTGTCACTCGTGATAAAAAGTCGATGTAATCATCCGTATGAAATTGTGTCATTTCCCATTTGTTGGCAGGTTTGGCGCGCTACGGAACAAGGGGTGGGGAATCGTTACAGTGAGTACCATGTTATCTCACAAAGGCACATGGAGGAGGACACACATACATAGATTTCCATTTTCTTGTATAGGCCATAATTCATAACCAATCCGTGACACATTCTGATGCGATGGGGCTTCATGGGATGGCCAGGACCATAGTGGTAGTTGCCGACATTGGCTAAAGAGGATATGACTTAGTAAAGTGCAACGCATGCGCGCTCATTTGTCAACCTCGATCTGGGGGCATGAGACGCGGATCCAGTAATAAAGGAACTGTAGAATACCATCGTAAAAGTAGCACACCCGCTTCTTTTGATCTGACATTGGGCTTTGGGGTTGGTGGAATGTGGGGTCGAAGTGGGAGGGAGGGGGACTGGAACAAAAAGAAAAGTGGACGTGTGTGTGTGAGAGAGAGAGGAGATGTGTGTGTGGATGTCCACTCGTTGAAAGCTGCCTACGCTTTGTCGTGCAGGTCCGACTCTGATTTACTCCACCTTGAATCATTATCTATACATCCATTATACACACATGGGTCATTGTATTCACAAATTGTATTAAATAGATAGTCTACAATAATGCTTTATTGGGGAGGAGGGTGCTTGTGTTATGAGCGTGCGTGTTTTGTATATAGAGGGGATGATTGTACAAAGTGTGTGTGTGAGAGAGATAGGTATTCTATTGTTGTCCGCTACCAAGACCATACTTTTCAATGACCTTGTTGACATCGGTAAGACCACGTAGTTGACCTTGAATGACAACAGATGCCTTTCCAGAGCCACCGGTTGATATGCCAACTGCTCCACGAACAATTCTTGATGCCACACGTTGTAACTCGGATACGTCGACACGATCAATGTTCTCCAACATCTCATCAATACCCGTCTTTTTACCATGGACTTGTACTTGTCGACCAAGATCCTCTAATTGCACCATTCGGCTTTCCAAATTCATCAACAAGGAGCTCTTGAGTTGGTTCTTGGCACGGCTCAATTCTTGATCATTGACTCGCAAGTACTCGTTCACATCGGATCGAGAGACCATATCCAATTCACGGCAAATGACTTCCAATAATGCATTGGCATATTCGGGACGGCATGATCCAGCAATACCAAATAAACCAGAATCAGTGTAGCAGTGATTGAATGCTTGACATGATTCAACCCAATAGTGCTGATTCAAAACATGGGTAAACAATCGTGAATACATGCCCTTGCCGGGACCACCCGCTGAGAAAGATCCACCACCACCGAGAAGGATTTGGAGGGTTGCAAGCGTATAGATATCGGGATCGTTAATCGAAAGACCTTCGAAGGCGACATAGACATGTGTCAATGGTGCATCCACACCAGCATCGAGAAAAGTGGATCCACCCGTATAAAGTGCTGGTTGGGTTGCAAGTTCATAAGGTGTTTGAGCCTGGTTGCCACTTGAAGATGATTTGAATAAGGACTTCATAAGCGATGGCTTGTTGGCGGCCTTTTCGGCATTGGCTGCTTGTTGTCGAAGTGCTTCATTGTGTGTCTCAACCGAATCCAATAACTCCTTTGACTTTGGGACATCACCAAAGTATTTGCAAGCAAGTTCCACTACTTGATCATGCTCGGCACCACAAGCTGCAATGACCATACGCTCCGGTCTATACCAATCTTTCATATAATCCTTGATGAGATCAGGTGACATGGTAGCAAGGTTGTCAGGAGGACAAAGTAATGGATTGCCGAGCGTGTTGCCTTGATAAGCGACTGTGTGCAGTATCTCAGGAAGGATCATTTCAGGCTTTGACCAAATCTCTTCGATTTCATACATGGCTGTCATACGTTGTTCATCCACTTCGGAAGGTTCAATGTTGGGTCGTAGAATAACATCAGAGAAAAGGGACATGACACGGTCCAAGTCTTGAGAGAAAATAGCCGATTGATACATCATGCATTCCCTTGATGAAGAACACATAATATTGCCGCCCAATGATTCCAATTCTTCCACTACTTGATCAGCACTACGATTGGCGGTACTCTATCATATAACATATATATGAATACATATAGAACATTTCCCCCACCCCATTGTAGTAGCCTCTTCAAAATGTACCTTGAACGCCAATCGATCCAAAATATGGCTGACACCTCTTGTCTTTTCGGTTTCATATCGACTACCAGCATCCATATAAACACCCACTGCACCAAAATGACCAGGGGTATTCTCAGAGGCAACTCGGATCCCATTTGGTAATGTGGTCACTTTGCATAAACCAGGCGAGCTCTTGGAATACTCTTGAACATGCGTAGGGAACTATGCAAGATAGGGTTACTACTATTACAACCACCTTGAAATAACAAAAGCTTGCTGCTTTAAATAGTATGTGCACACTTACCTCTGAAGGGTTGCTTAGTGTGGCTTCCGATCGCTTTAGAATCGACGTGTTCAAAAGAGGTTTACGAGGAATAAGAGACTTGAGACCTCTTTTAGTGGCTGAATGCAATAGACGAGACGACATTGAGGAAAAGTGTAAGCGATCGTAACTGAAAAGAGCTGAGCTTTTTATACCATCCGTACTTCCGCACCAGCTGGGCTTGAGCTATTATCCAGACAGAGAGAGAGCGTCACACACACACACACGCACACAGCAGAGCATACGCGTTCACTCTCTCCCACTCTATCTCTCTTTCAAACTCTCTCTCACTTTCCAAATGTCACCTCCTCACAAACCTCAAGAACAGAACGGCGATCAGCCACAAAAGGGCGTGCCTCAATTGGGTGCTCTTGAAGAAGACGACGAATTTGAGGAATTCGCTGCTGAAGGTACGTCATCCGTATAGCGTCATCGTGAGCAGTGTGTCTCTGATCTCTCATGTTCATTTGCTTGTAGACTGGGCTGAAGCTGAAGAGGATAAGGACGACTCACACTTTTGGGAGGACAACTGGGACGATGATGATATCGAAGACGACTTCTCAAAGCAGCTACGGTATGGATCATGCATCGCTTTTCTTTACGGTGTTCATCTTGGCTCATTCTCTTTTTGTCATCCATCTAGTGCCGAATTACAAAAGACTGGCTCTGCATAAACACATATACGCAAACACACACTCTCCTCTCCTCATCCATATCAAAACTCGCTCATACAACCCACTCACGCAGCACCATAAAGACGCACAGCAGAATGTTGATATCACATACCAAATGGTGTGCTTTGTTCCATGAAAATCAATCAATACAACAACGAGCAAATCCTCGTTACACGACATGATGTTATTATTGGTGGATGGCATATGTATATGGGTTGCTGGTGCAAAATTGGGAGTATAGGGTCAATTCGATTGCTTGAGCAAAGAGGGCTAATATTGTAATGCTCATTGTGTGGTCTCTTCTCGCTTCGTATTCAAAAGATAAAAGATATTACCAATCACTAGAAACGTATGCACCTGAGGGTAGATGCGTAATTACAGTTCCAAGAAGTTATAGAGGTGGGGTGATGATGCTGGTTCCCATGGTAATCAAGGAGGATCATATTCAACATGTTTATTATGCAAAGAATAAAATGACTCTTTCTATGATGTATACAAAAGGAATTGGAGTTGCAAAAAGCCCAATGATAGCTGTTGCTTGGTAACCAGCGATTCACTTGATTTCATGTCGCCCGTAAATGGGATTCATTTTCCGCAGTGTGAACGCGCGTTCTTCTCTCCTCTTTATACACGTCTCCAATGGAAGAAATTGGCATCCAAGTCAAGCAAAATGTAAGTTGCCCTTATCCATGGCTTCCATAGTAGCTATAGGTGGACCCTACTTTGTATACTCATGAACACCTACACACGATGACGTTAGACCAAAGATCCGATCGTTGCAGCAACCAAAAGCAGCTTGCTTGAAGAGACATCCGAGAAAGATCTGTACGTCAAACTAAAGAAGCTTCAGCGTAATCTTGAGTTTTTGGCGTTGCAAGAAGAATACATCAAAGACGAGTTGAAGAACTTGAAGCGAGAACTGCTACGAGCACAAGAAGAGGTGAAGCGTATCAAGTCAGTACCTCTTGTTATTGGACAATTCTTGGAGCCTCTTGATCAACACACGGGCATCGTCGGATCAACGACTGGCAACAACTTTGTCGTACGCATATTGAGCACCATTGATCGAGAGTTGTTAAAGCCAAGTTCATCTGTGGCACTTCATCGACATTCGAATGCCCTCGTAGACGTATTGCCCCCTGAAGCCGATAGCAGTATTGCCATGTTGGGCGCCGATGAACGGCCTGATGTGACATATCAAGATGTGGGTGGTTTGGATATCCAAAAGCAAGAGATTCGGGAAGCAGTCGAGTTACCATTGACACATTTCGACTTGTATCGACAAATTGGTATCGATCCTCCACGTGGTGTGCTTTTATATGGCCCTCCCGGTACTGGAAAGACCATGCTCGTCAAAGCAGTCGCACATCATACGACAGCCAATGTCATTCGTGTCGTCGGTTCAGAATTCGTGCAAAAGTATTTGGGTGAAGGTCCACGCATGGTGCGAGATGTCTTCAGATTGGCGCGTGAAAACTCACCGGCTATCATCTTCATCGACGAAATCGACGCTATTGCAACCAAACGTTTCGATGCTCAAACAGGTGCCGATCGTGAAGTTCAACGTATTCTTCTTGAATTACTGAATCAAATGGATGGTTTCGATCAAACTTCAAATGTCAAGGTATACAAAAGAGGATGGTGGTGATCAACAACAACCCCAAATACTTATTCATACGTGATTCTAGGTCATCATGGCAACCAATCGTGCTGATACATTGGATCCTGCATTATTGCGTCCTGGTCGTCTGGATCGCAAGATTGAATTCCCCACACCCGATCGTCGCCAAAAACGTTTGATCTTCTCAACTATCACATCAAAGATGAATTTATCCGAAGAAGTGGATTTGGAAGATTGTAAGTAGAGGAATGTAATGAAAAGGGGAAGGGAAAGAGACTAATGATGCGATGCTGGTTATAGTCGTCTCTCGACCCGATAAACTTTCAGGTGCAGAAATTGCTGCTATCTGTCAAGAAGCTGGTATGCATGCTGTCCGCAAGAACCGCTATGTGATCTTGAGCAAGGATATTGAAAAGGGTTACAAGGCCAACGTGAAGAAGGAGGACACCAACTTTGAATTCTACAAGTAGTTTTCTTGTGAAGAAAAGCTTAATACAACACACACGCATTATATACAACAATCACCCATCCATGATATCAATGTGAGCTTTTGTTAAACTAGAGGGTAATGGGAAGTTGGATACTATTTTTATTCTTTGGCTGGTTCGGCTTGATAAGGTTATAGTGATGTATGTGAACGATTGTCCTGCTCCAGCCCAGCCTGCCCACCATTCAACTTTCTTGATCCGAGGGGATTTGACTGAGATACGGTCAAACAAAGAAGTATCATAGCAACATGAGAAAAATCAATTGATGGTTACTTTGTAAACTGACAGCTAATAACCCTTCCTCCCAATCACCTTTATTACCCATCCTCCTGCATGTGAACGATTCCCCTGATCCAGCCCATCACATCCATCATTCAAGTTTCTTGATCCGAGCTGATTTGACGGAACAACGCTAATACAAAGAAACACCATCCAAGCATCAGAAAAATCATTTTGATTTCCAGCTCTTCCACACCACCTTCTTCCCTCTTCCACCCATTCTCTACTGTTACCGCATTCAAGTATACAATTACCACCTGCGAACGATTGTCCTGCTTCAACCCACCATGTCAATCCTACAGCTGCCCTGATCCGATTGTCTTTGACCGAATGGCAGCTTCATTGCGTATACACAGCCTTGTCACTCTATTACAGCACACGAGTCTCTTGAAAGCACACAATGTCTTGCACACGCCTCTGCAACAACCAATCGTAGCGTTCATTCCAGTAGTTGCTATTACCGAGGCTTTACTCCATTGTCTCAAACAGCGTCCACAATCTTGTCACTCTACTACAACACACACTCTTGCACATTCGTCTTCCACAACCATACGTAACAGCAGCTGCTATTAGCAAGGCCTTCATTCCATCGCCTAAGTTACTTGCAGCGACCTTCCTTACGGCCGTTTTTACGTGAACAGCAGATAGCCCATTGTATAGCAGCAGCATTATTTACGTGCAGCAACCTGAATTTAGTGCATACGGATCCCTATGGATGATGCCATATCAACTATCAAGTATCCGGTAGTAGAAGCAATCTTTGCCTGATTGAGTTGCAATGGAAATGACCAAGAAAGAGAAAGACCACTAGCCGGATGGAAAAGGAAGCGTATCAGCAGCGACCGCATTGGCTCTTTTCAACCAACGTATTGAATTTACAATGCTTACTTATGGATGAATGGATGCAATCAAGCTCAGTCAGAGGTGACCTTGAAATGTCATTTTGGTTACTTGGCACGTCGTCAGGAAAGGTGGACCATGTCACGTGGGTACGGCTGAGGATGGATTGGATGGATTGGATGGCAAGGATAAGAGGGCTTGTATCTTTGACGAAAGGTGGTTTGCCTCCATGGATGATATTGGAATGCTGGAGTCAAGGCGCGCACAGCAACTATTTTGCAATCATGTATGAAGACGCTTATGACGGCAGCAACAAAGAACACAATGACACAATGATACCCGCTGGTGGTCCACTGGTTGGCTTCTGGGATGGAAGGGAGGATAGAAATTTGGAGGTCGGAAAGCGAGATTTGATTACCTACATTATTGCATCGAGATGATTTTGTTCCTTTGTGATATTACATTCGTTAATAAAGCTTCCTTGTACATATGCTGAGAGACGATAGGCAGTGGCAATAACGGATTGGATACATGTTTAAATAAACGCTTGTGCTTATAAAGATAAAACATCCATAGTAATGGTACCCAACAATAGTGCTTGTTAAAGAAGCTGGTCATTGTAAGCTTGAATCATTACGTCTAAGAAAGAGCGAGCTATGATACTGTACAATGAGGCACGAGTACATGCATACCTATGAGAACTATCAGCATGCGCTACCTTGTATCTATAGCCTTATATGAGAACGAACCCTGGAGGCAAGCAATACCATTATCCCTCATAGTCTTGGATGCGCTGATCATCTTGGCTTGTTAACCATACTATGGTTCATCCGAAAAAAAATGTCCATGCGGTATATCAAAGGCGGCCCTTACGTATAGGTAAGGTAGGCAGGGTCAATCATGCACACTCCACCAATGAGAATCTTTCAAACACTGCCTCTCAGCTTCATTACACAAACACGCTCCTGCGCATCTTTTCTCTCTATCAGGGTCATGCTACTTCCATTGAACAAAGACCACTTCTCATATAGCATCACGCTTAAAGCATATGTAAAACATAAAGGTGCCTGTATCTCTAAAGTTTACAATCAAACGTGGGGTCTTTAATAGAACAAAGTTCCTCGGCGGGGTCGAAAGCATATACTGCCCAAGTCTCATGTTCATCATGGGCAACCCCAGATTTGACCAATGTCGCCACCAGCCAAAAAATATTTTTGCTCGTCGACGGAAAAAAAAAGTTCAAGAGGTCGACCCGATTCCAATTTGGCTGGCGGCGACATTTGCGAAATCTGGGATTGGCAACCTGGATCGTGAAACTGGCACACACGATTCCTTTCACCCCGACGAGCAGCTTTGTCCTCTTAATGACCCCACGTTTCATTGTAAAGTTTAGAGATACAGGCACCTTTATGTTTTCACTATGGCTGTAAGCGTTGATGCTATATGTAGAGTGGTCTTTGTTCAATGTCAAGTCGCTGGACCCTGGCAGAGCAAAAGATGCAGAGCGACCTCTTTGTGTAACTCAGCTACTTTGCATTACTAGAAGGATGGAAGGATGATACTGTATACCATTGACAATAGCCCATATATTGCGAGCTATCAGCTATTTCCTCACAATCGGCACTGTTGTCCACTCTATGGCATGTGAGCGGTTCTCATGCTCCATCTCAACATTTCCATGATTCAACTTCCTTGATCCGAGCTGATTTGGATGAGCTAGGTCAAAGAGAGATTACATCAATTCACACATCAGCATACATTCGAATGTCTCAGCTGATTAATCCTTGTTCGACCGTAACTCAACCAAATCAGCTCGGATCAAGGTACTTGAATCATGGAAATGAATGTCTGGAGCAGGAGCATCATTCCCATCATGTGGATTTCGCAACAATGCTGATTAGATAAAAGTGGCTATTAACTGCCAATGTATGACATAAAAGTGAGAGTTGCGTACCTATCATGCATTGTCCCTGAAGTCCTGACTTTTTAGCTGAGTCACCCAAAGAGGTCCCTCTGCATCTTTTGCTCTGCACGGTCCACCTACTTGACAATGAACAAAGACCACTCTTCATATAGCATCACGCTTACAAACGTAAAGGGGCCTGTATCTCCGAACTTTACAATCAAACGTGGGGTTTTTATTAGAGCAATGTGCTCGGCTTGGCCAACTGCACCTTGGGTGCCAGTTTCACGATCAAGCTTGCCAATCCCAGATTTCGCAATGTCGCCACCAGCCAAACTGGATCCAGGGGTCGACCTCTTGAAACTTTCTTCGACGACCAAAAAAAATATTTTTTGGGCTGTTTGCGACATTGAATGCGAAACTTTCACACAAGGTGCTGTTGACCAAGCCGAGCCCATTGCTCTATTAAAAACCCCACGTTTCATTGTAAAGTTTGGAGATACAGGCACGTTTATGTTTTACCTATGCTGTAAGCGTGATGGAGCTGCTTTTTCCTAGTGGATGGTGTCGGCTGCATTAACGGAAAGATGAAGAGCTGAGTGAAACGGTGTAGTGAAGGATGACAGCCAGCATGTGATGAAGCAGCCCAAAATGAAAAGACCGGCATCCGAGACCTCACCCCAACATCCCACAAACCATGCATAATATCAGTAAAACAATCTTTCCATGTAGTGCAATTTTATCCTAAGCATATAAATACCCCCACATCAAATAAAGAACCAAGAGTGATCTTCCCAAGTTTTGTGCGTGCCTTTGTGTGTGCCTTGCCGGCTAGTGTGTGTGTTTCTATTCGAAGGAGTATATACCCATATTCCCATTCTATTTCCCATCATTGTGCAATCCTATCATACATCATCTCTGTTTCCTCCCCTGTTCCATATCATATCTTTCCCCTCATTGTATCTCTTTACGTGTGTATTTGTTGAGACCTTTCGAGTCATCCCTAGTAGCAGTTGTGCACCAAAGGGTGCTTGATAGTAGATAGATGACTTTGTACATGGACACCTCGACTCATATGGCAGGGTATACACATTCAGGCCTTGCTGCTGGGCACGTTCCGTTTCCTTTATTTCAACGGCACGTGGTGGTTACACAGACCACGTCCTTGACAGGTTGCTACACAAATGGATGATGATGATGATTGCCTTTTGTGAAGGTACGTAAGTAAACAGCATCCAATAATGAAGGCGTGTGAAGGTATGCATCGCATTTGCATGTAGAAGAAAGTCGAGCTGCATAAACCAATTTGTATATGTATATTGAATGAGTCACTCATCCTGAAACTCAATGGAGGGATCTCTTCACTTTTTCTCTTCTCAAGCTCATCCCACTTCCCACTCCTCCTTATCGCATCACAAAAGCCATATACTTCTTGCATGACCGATACAGTAACTGGACCACCTTTATTATTCCATCTTCGAAGCAATAGTATGTAATCCACAAGCTAGCAACCTCCAACAAGCATGTAATAAATAACCAATGCTTTTTTTCTTCTAGCTATCTTGCTATGTACTGTACATTGCCACCACCATCGTCGTAGTCGTCCTCCGTCATCATTCCTACTCGTACTCGTCACCAGTCGTCAATCTCATCCGTCACACCAACATCCAAAAATAAGCAAGTTGAAAAAAATGGGATCTTGCAGGCTTCCTCTTGAATCTCGTTATCGTCATCATTGGCATTGTTGTAGATGGGGTGATCATCGTAATCGTCATTGTTGTGAATGTGGTAATCATCGTAATCGTTGTCTCTACAGATAAGAAAGCAGGCAAGTTAGACCATCTGGTACCGGAATGATGACGATTTGGTATACCGTAAAGCAAATCAGAAGGAATTCACAAACCAAATTACCACCATACGAGCAACGTCGGGCGATCCCTTGTTCTTGAGAAAGCACTGCACGAATCACGCAAGGCTAGTTCGATCCATGGCAAGGAAGGACATCACTTACGTAGGATCCAGGCCTCATCCATCCTCTCCAAAGAAAGAATGATCCCCAATCCAATCCTTCCAATCATTTCCCACCTCATGAAAAGAAATCCTCAGAGAAAGAACGAGCCTGTCACGAGAAGAACGTGTTGGTTCACACATTCACAGGCTGTTGCAAATCCCCTTTTACCTCAACACGGTGACCATGCTCTTCCAAAAATCCATCGTCATCGACCCATCCTCAACTCAACGCAGGCCTATAGAGCCCTGGACGCGTTCCAAGAAGCTTTTCCAGCACACTTGGCTAGTGCAGAGCGACGCAGCGGCCACTTGATACAGGCTGGGACTTGAACCCAAAGAGATGATGATGATGCCCCAAGTTGCATTGCCTGACCAAAGAAACCTATTCAATTCATTCTTAGCACGCACACACAATAAACACCCTTTTCACTGTTTGTTTCATTGTACTTGCCTCTTCCATATACACAAAGACCCGTTGTTGTTGGTTACTGGAAACCGAAAACCATGGTGTAGTATAGTTGAGCCGAAACAAAACGCCAAACCAGCCAACGTCTTGAGACCAAGCTTGCCCTCTATACAAGTTAACACGTCAATGGAACAAGTTTTGCTGCAACATTGGACTCTGAATGTACCTGTGGACACCAAGCATAGAGCGGGAATAGCAACGAACAAAAGGAAGCAGCGATATCGCTATGGCAACCACCAACCACCAACCACGCTCATTCCTTAGCACTTGAACACACTCACTCCCTGACAAAATGCACGTTCACAACTATATTAATACCTCACAGCCAACAAGAGTTTATTGTAATAATGAATGCTGCTATTATTGAATAGGTTCTTGGTCAGGTAGTGCAACTATTGGCATCATCTCTCATTGGGTTCGAATCCCAGATTGTACCTTTTGGCCACTTGTTGGTATAGCTATTAGAGTACTGTTAGTGATGCTCACGAATGCGTAAAAATATATAAATGATAAGGTGGCAAATTAGCTTCCATGGAAACCCATGTACTGACAAGGATGGCCACGCGAAGGCTTTGCCGTCACCCTCTCCCCTACGGTGCACCAAGCCGGATAACGGGGGCTGCCATTGTAAACAACAGCATCTTCTATAGGTGCTGCTCGAGCCAACATGTTCGGTCTGATAAAAGGACAAAATAGCATCCCACGCCCACAGAGGCCGACCCATAAGAGCGAAAAGCAATACATGATCCCATATCTACCACAAGGCCACTGAGTAACAGTCTAACTTCCAACGGCTAAGGCAGTAATCATCAAATGCAATTGATAGGGCCATGATAGGGCTGACCACACTGTCGCAAATGAATCATAGCTGCCAACGATGCTTTACACAAAAGAGTAAGACACCATCCCGTTCTACCCACAGCAAATAAACATCCGCCATATCAGTAGTAGCTGCCATCAAGCGACCTTCTTCGGTAGGCGTCATGAGAGACACATCATGCACTGCATCAAATAAATCCGGTCTTGATGAAATAGCATACGCGAGGATATTGACTTGCCAAGAGAACGTCCAAGGTATCCATACAAGTACTTGAGGAATGAGATCCGCCATGGCACCGATAAAAACATTGCTCTGAAGATCCACCGATAAAGAGACGACTTGCAGGTAGCTGATTTCCAAAACCATGGAAACGGTATCCTTGACAACCACAACTATAAGATAGAGATCGCTTGCTTGCTTCTGAGACACCCACCCAAATTCAAATGCTGATCTTCGACTTCCAATTCAATAGGACTCGCCATTGACAGCTGTAAGGTGAGACTTTGATGGCACCAAAGAGCATGCGAAATGATAGCTTGATGGAATGATGGGCCTATAAAACTGCATACAGTATCACTAATTTATCTTTGAGGTATGGTAACAATACTTAGCCAGTGTCATATGAGAATCCACGATGTTTGATGCTACCCAGTAATCAGAACACATTTCCTTGCTGTAGAGATGCTGACACAGTGACCAATCCTGATAGCCGTTTCTCCAAGCGATACTTGATGATGAATGCCATGAGAGATGGATACACCTTGACAGCACCAAAAGGACACGTAACATTGTTGTTTGTTGCTGATGTGATACATCCATAAAATACGTGTGGTGAAGAGGGCTCCTGAAATCAATTGGTCAATAACGAGAACACCAGAGGATCAAATAGATGTTGTTGACACTAAAGATGTGGGCTCTGTTGCTCATTGCTGCTTCTTGCTTGTGGCTGATATGATCCACCGATAACAGGCATGCGTAGCAGGATATCCATTGAAAGGGTTGTCAACAACTAGGACCACAATAAGACGAGATAAAACTTGGCGACACCAAAAGGTATAGAACTTGTTGCCTTGCCGCTGCAGATGCTATAAAAGGAAGTGTCCAATAGGTGGTACAGTAACGACAACCATCGAACGATGTAATAAGGCAAGCTGACACTGAAGGATGCTGTCGACGTTGCTCTTTGACCCTGACATGATTCACCTATGAAGGACGCACGGTAGACAGTTTCCCGAATCCATAGAACGATATTTAGCAATGACAGCTGCATCCATGAATATTCCAAAGGACCAAAATACAAGTAGTTTGCTGAATAGCACACATACTATAATAAAAGAGGGAGGTTGGTTGGGATGGAGCCAAAAAACGGGTCATCCACCATTTACCAATGATAGCCATACGCACGAAAACATGTCGACATTCAATGACAGCTTCATCCATGAAAATCCCAAAGAACCAGAAGACAAGTAGATTGCTGAATAGTCCCCACACTATAATAAAAGAGGAGGTTGGTTAGGATTGGAGCCAAAAAACGGTTCATCCCATATTTACCAATGATAGCCATACGCACGCAATCCTACTGATATCCAAATCTAGCCGATCCTTGCAATCATCCGCTTGTTGATAAGGCCCGCTACGGTGGCACTCGGCTTGAAAGCGATGGAACGATACTTTATGGGCGTATGCAGTGAGAAGGTTGAGTAATATTGATACCACCAAAGAGAGCATACTTACATGATGCCGAAGAGCCCTTACAAAGAGAGACAACGAGACAATCCTTGCTGCCCAAGACCACATACAAATCGAGAAAGCATTGTGCATCGAAAAGCCCAAACCAGATCCTAGCTGCGGAGTGACGTACATATGGCTAAAGAGCGATGTGAATGGCAATCGTTTTTCATTGGAAATCGAATGCAGCTTGACGATGAATGCCTTGAGGAGATGCATAAATGACCTTGGTAACACCAAAGATGTCAACGCGGACTCTCATTGCTTGTTGATGACATTATCCATCCATAAGACGCGTATAGTTGTAGAGCTCCATCAAAGGAATTGCCGATAATCAGAACCACGAGATGATTGAAAGCTTGCTGACGCCAAAGGTATAAACCTGCTCCTTGTTGCTGACATGATCGTCCGATAAGGGACCTTTGTTTCAGGAGGTTCACCAAATTGCAGGTAATGGGAAGCACCAGATGGATGATGGGATGAGGGTTGATATGGCACCAAAGATATGCATGCTGTTGTTTGTTGCTGATACAATCCACTCACAAGAGACTTGCATTGGCGGACACTCTTCAGAGAAATCGCCCGTTGCTTGGTAACCAACCACCCGAGACGCAATAAAGGTTGACACCACCAAAGACATAAACACTTCCCCATGGCTGACATGATTCACCTATAAAAGATGCACCATAAATAATTGTCCCAACTCATCATCCAACAATACTTAGCAACTCATAGCTGTGATCTTGTAAACGTCAAAGCACCAAAAGACAAGCAGCTCTCTGCAATGGTCCCTCTAAATAATGGTAGGCGTTTCAGCAAAGGTCTCCAAAAAGCATGAGAGTCATACATACCTGAATCACGCAATCATCACCCGCAGACTTGGAACCAAATAGGCCATCAGGATGTAAAGTAATAATAAAAGCGCACAGCCAAAGAAACGTCATAGTCCTGGTACTCTCCTGTGGATCGACGCGATGAAGTGCATCAATAGAGATACCATCTTCTCTCTAAAGGCAAGGAGATCAATAGCCGTAAAACGATGGAGCCGTGCGAACAGAGGATGCATTTTTAAATCCCTAAGGCCGCAACATGAGTCGCACTGTCCCCGGGCACAACATGTAGAGCTCCACAGGAAAGTGTAGTACAATGACGTCCTTGACGTGCAGGCTTGATAATAGCATCGCCGAAAGAGGATCTGCCACTGTATGGAGTTTGGTAAGTTCATTTGAATCCAACCAATCCCACAATGATGCACTGTACCTTGAGGTATTCCCAATACCATTCCATCGATGCTCGCAAATAAACTTGTATCCATCCGATCCAGTATGTGCTGCTTCTGTTTTCATTGTAAGGCTCGTTAATTAACAAGTCTTGATTTGTAGATCCAATACCATGCATACCATTGAGCCAGCCATACAGCATTCTTGCTTTGAGATCCGTATCCTGTTGCTGCCAGAGGTACCATCATCCAACATGTTCAACCTACCATAAACGCAATGTGAGATAAGAAGCAAACCCAATCCACACGCTTTTGTTGCCAGCATACCCAAAAGAGGCAATGTGAAGACGTCTTGAGAACCCTCATTGTGGGCAACTCGGTAAGGAAGGCACACGACGCCGTGAATCATGGTGATCACAAGGAATTGCAACCAAATACACCATCCGAAGGCAATACAATAATCAACCTGCAACGCCAAGGTATGCCACCATATGTACCATACTCTCATTGGATCCTGAAATTGGCATCATAAGAGATATCCACCTTCTCTCTGTAGGCAAGGAAATCAATAGCCGTACTTGGATGGAGGCCGTGTGCACAGCGGATGCCTTTTCAAATTGGCCTTGCCATCGCATCTTGAGTCACACTGTTTCCGGGCCAAAATTCCCCAGGAGAGCACAGTACTATACAATGACATCCTTGACGTGCAGCCGTGATAATAATAGTATTGCCGAAAGAGGCTCTGCCACTGTATGGCGCTTGATAAGTTCACTTGAATCCAACCAATCCCACAATGATCCTCTTACCTTGTGGTATTCCCAATAGCATTCCATTGATGCTTGTAAATAACCTTGTATCCATCCGATCCAGTATGTGCTGCTGCTGTTTCACTGTAAGTGTCGTTAATTAACAGGTTTCGCTTTGTAGGTCCAATACGACGCATACCATTGAGCCAACGTACAGCGTTCTTGCTTTGAGGTCCGTAACTTGTTGCTGCCACAGGTACCATAAACGAACGTGTCCAAGCTACAGTAAATGAAGTGTAAGGTAACAATAGCATTCGCTTTTCATGTCGACATACCCATAGTAACAATAGGTTGCGACCCTCCTTGATGACAACCATGGAAAGCATACACACGACACACGGTGCCCCCTTTGGATCTTGTATAAACGAGAGAACAGCAAACTACACGTGAACTTTAGTATCTCAATGTCCAACTTGAATGATAAAGGAATGCAGCGATGGAACGTACATGTTGTATTGCAATGGAAGCTTGAGTAATGGGCAGATCGCGCGCATGCTTGTTGTTGAATGTCTGCAGCTGGAAAGTGTCGCCATTGACCACATGTTCACCCCAATGAACGCTGTACATTGGAAGGAATGCCAACAATTAACGCGTTGTAGTTTGTAAATGGAGACAAGCTTACCTTTTTTTGTGAAGTGGAAGTGAAGAAGAGTGGTCTCTTTGTTCCTCCTGTTCGCTCCAATTCGTGCACTCCTTGCCACCCCGCTTGCTACAGCCATTACTGTTTATACGTACTCTCACATTATCCAATGCTCTTAGCTCCATAAGGATGATCACTGTTCAAGACTTCAATTGAGAACAGCCCTCGTAATTAAGCTATTAGGTCTGTGCGCATTCCATCGATCGATTAGTTATGCAGCTTCACCCCTGGACCAACTTGTGTAACCTACTGTGTAACCCCCTACCAAATATATGATATCTCGCTTTCCACCTTTCACGTTTGCAGTTCCCCTTTCAATGCAGAAAACAACAAACTGATCCACCCCTTGCACATCTGAGCTAATAGTACAATACCCAAAGTATTGTGCTGAATCCAATTTTCATTCAATAAAAAGTCGGAGAACACGTAGACACGGTATTGTGGATGTTTATCAAGTAGATACAAGATACATAAGGAAACAATATAGCCAAATTGAATAGGGTACATATGGGCGAAACATATAGAGTCATTAGGGATAATTGTGTCATTCTATACTTGATTGCTGTCGTCATGATCACCCTTCATCCATGATTGCAAAATAGGTGTTGTATGCTTTGGCTCGAGTATTATTCCAGTATCATCCATAGCTGTGAAACATCTCCTTTCGTCAAAGATACAAGCCCTCTCCTCAATTGCATCCGAACCATCCTCCTCCTCAGCCGTATGCATAGGGTATGATTCATCGTTCCTATTGATGACGCGCCAAGCAACCAAAGCAACATTCCAAGACTTCTCATCACTGCACTTGATCGCATCCTTCCATCCATAACCATTGTAAACCCAATGTTGCGGCTGACATGCTTCCTTTTCCATCCAGCTGTTGGTCAATCCCTTTCTTGGTCATTTTCCATCACATCTCAACCAGCTAAAGGTTACTTGTATTGTGGCGTAGTTGATGGCTGATAGCGCGTCATCCAAAATAGACATCACGTTCCAAATGGGCCAAGGGAACCAAACTAGACAACGTATACACTTCCATCCAACCCCATATAGCAAACCAATATTCAGATCCATATCCATATTCACAAGAAGTCATATGTATTGAACCAAGTTGCTACATGTAAATAAAGCTGCTTCTATACAATGGCCTCTTTGTGTAACTGAGCTAAAAAGTCCGGACTTCAGGGACAATGCATGACAGGACGCAAACCTCATTTGCAATCCATACATTGGCAGCTAACATGCACTTTTCTCCATTCCGGACTTTTGCCAATCTATTTGATGGGAACGATGCTCCTGCTGCAGAGGTTCATTTCCATGGTTCAAGTAGCTTGGTTGGAATTGATTTGATTGAGCTATGGCCAAACCAAAAAACATCAGTTGAGGTAGATCGAGCACGCTCTATAGTGCTGAGTGATGTAATCTCTCTTTGGCCGTATCTCAACCAAATCAGCTCCAATCAAGCTACTTGAATCATGGAAATGAACCTCTGCAGTAGACGCATCGTTCCATTGTTATGGAATTGACAAAGGCTGCGCATGGGGAGAAATGCATGTTAGCTGCCGATTCGTGACATGTTACTAAAGCCATAAAGTATCATACATTGACCTTTCCAATTCAACCCAATCAGCTGTGCTACACAAACGCGCCCGTCTGCAACTTTCGCTCTGTCAGGGTCTAGCTACTTGACATTAAACAAAGACCACCTTTCATATAGTATAATGCATACAGCATATGTAAAACATAAAGATGCCTGTATCTCTAAACTTTACAATGAAACTTGGGGTCTTTAAGAGAACAAAGTTGCTCGTCCGGGTGAAAGGAATCGTGTGTCCCAGTTTCATGATCGTGGTTGCCAATCCCAGATTTCGCAAATGTCGCCACCAGCCAAATTGGAATCGGGTCGACCTCTTGAACTTTTTTTTTCGTCGACGAGCAAAAATATTTTTTGGCTGGTGGCGACATTGGTCAAATCTGGGGTTGCCCATGGTGAACATGAGACTTGGGCAGTATATGCTTTCGACCCCGCCGAGGAACTTTGTTCTATTAAAGATCCCACGTTTGATTGTAAAGTTTAGAGATACAGGCACCTTTATGTTTTACATATGCTTTAAGCGTGATGCTATATGACAAGTGGTCTTTGATCAATGTCAAGTATGTAGGTAAACGTGGTAGAGCCAAAGAGGCAGAGGGGCGTGTTTGCGTAACTGAGTTAAAAAGTCAGGACTCCAGGGACAATGCTATTGGTAGTGAGTGCATGATCAATTGTTTCCATGTCTACCTATAGTGAGGTCCGCCTATCATAGCCCGTATGGAATGGTTCGTTCTTATATAAAGGAAAGTATAGGATAGTGTTAGCTGAAACTTGTCGAAAGTATGCTTGGTACAGTATGTTCATGTACCCGTGCCAAATTCTATCACAACTCTTTCTTGAACATAATGAAAAAAGCTTACAATGAACCAAGCTTATATAACAAGTGCTACAATGTTGGTCTTTGCAATACAAGTGTTCGGTAACTGCCGCAGCCTTTCGAACCTAGGAAGCTTAAACGAATGTATACTATCACAAAAGAACAAAGGTATCTCGATAATACGATGGTGTAAATGATCCAATCTCACTTCCCGACCTCAAGTTACTATTCCCCCCCTTTCAATCCAGAAACCAACCAAGTGATCCACACCTCGCACATACGAGCTGATACATAGTACCATACCCTCCTAAACACTATGTTGAATCCAATTCTCATTCAATGAACAATTCGAAGAATACATAGCACATGGTAGTGTGGTTGTTTATCGTGCAAATATGATAAAGGAACAGGATTGAATAAGAAACGGGTGAATCACATAGAGGGAACAGGGTTCATTGTGTCATTGTATTCTTGGTTGCTGCCGCCCCAACGTCGTTTGTCCATGATTGAAAAATTGCTGCTGCATGCCTTGACTTGAGTATTCCAATAGCATTGTCAAAGCTAAAAGCCCCTTCGCCCAATTCCATGCCATCCATCCTCCTCCCCATCAACCGTATCCACATGATCATTCCTGCTCACGACGCGCCAAGTAACCAAAGCAACATTCCAGGGATTCCCACCACTGCCCTTGATTGCATCCATCCATCATGACCACTGCAAATCCAATATGGTGGTTGAAAAGAGTCATCATGTGTTCGCTGCTGATATGCTCCCTTTTACATCCGGTTGTTGGTCTATCCTTTCTCGGCTATTTTCATTGTAGCTCAACGAGGTGAAGGTTGCTTGTATTGCTGTGTGCTTGATAGCTGATATGAAAACAACCCTTGGTATCCGTTTGTATTGAAACAAGTTGCTACGCGGAAATAAAGCTGCTGTTCACGTGAAAAGGCTGCTGCAAATAGTTTGAGACAATGGAGTAAAGCCCTTGCTAATAGCAACTGCTGGAATGAATGCTGTTACGCTTGTTCGTGGTAGAGGAGTGTACAAGAGAAGGTGTAGTGTCAAGAGACTCGTGTGTTGTAATGGGGTGCACACGCCATGAACTTGCCATTCAGTCAAAGACAATTGGATCAAGACAGTTGTAGGGTTGGCATGATGGGTTGAAGCAGGAAATGTTTGTAGGTGGTAGTTGTATACTTGAATGCGGTAACAGTTGAGAATGGGAGGAAGAGGGAAGGAGTGGAAATTAAATAGGTCGGACACCTCTTCTTGTATAAATGCATGAACACTGTACATCAATCCTTGATATCGAGATTGCTCCTCTCGAACCTGAAACTTTCACACAAGATGCTCTTGGACATGCTGGTCGAACATTCTCGTAAAGCATCCATGCATCATTGTAAAGATCACGAGAAGCCTGTACCTGCATGTTTTATCTCTAATTTAAACGTGATGGAGCTGTTTGATGCTAATTGATTGTGTCGAGACTCGACATCACTATTATAGGAAAGGTGGTGAAGTGAGTGGGCCAACGTGTCCTCATAAGAAAGGAAATCAGAAAAAGATGATGCGACCCAAAGCTGAGGCAATCATGTGATTGTTGTAGATGATACAGGTCAGTGACAGCAATTTATTCCTCGGCAATGTATAGACATGGATTATAGCCTTCTACATTTCAAAGTGTCTCTTGATGCATCAAGTTTCTTTCATCTTTATTGTCCACAAAGGATCATGATTTTTAAAAGGCTCTCGGGCGTCAACGTAATACGATCTCATCGATGTTCATGTCAATCCCTATGCCAAAATATAGACGACCGGTGCATGGCAACCTTCTTCTTTGACAGATTGGTACTCAAATAACCTCCTTGTTGGACCCTATTCGATGCATCACCACTCCTTGACATACGCTCGATTGTTTCCTCGCGGGGCATTTATAATATAAGACTTCCATACAAGTATCATCGTTGAATAGCACAATGAGTGAGTCTTCATTGTTTCATTCCAGCATCATTGTACTACTGCCTGTGTGCCAAATAAAGACCTTGAATGAAAACAAAGCGATGGTTGTTTTGCATTATTGATGGTGGTGGTGTTATGAATGCCAATGATCCCTGTAGAGGGGCATCACTTGTGTATCTAATTGATACCATTGCAGCATCGATCAACTCAAAAGATGACGGTGGTGGTGGTGATGGAATAGCTTTGATTCAAGTCACGAGCCGCGTGGTAGGACCAAATGTAAGCTAGCTGTGTATGTGTTCTCTCTCCCCACTACACTTTTATCGGCACCCCTTACACTTGTAGAAACGAGCTCATCTGTCCTTTCGTTTTGGATTCTCCCCCATTTAACAATTGCCTGGAAGCAACTCGCCTTTTATTGAGCGAATAGACAAAAACAACAACAACAAAAGCTTAAACTGTAAGGAAGCAACAAGTTTTGCGCTACTCTACGCTCTCGCGACTAAAACAGGCGAATAGGTTTAAACACCCGTTACTCTCTTCTCGACATTTCCCTGTGCAACTTTTCTTGGTTTCATCAGCAATGTCAACTTCAACAGACCTCTTTACTCTAAGCAAAGCGTTCTTAAAAGCCGGTTATGCAGCCACCAGTACAGTCGAAAATGCTATGCAGGTCATGGATATTGTCGATGTCAGGAACGAAGATGCTATTGCAAGAGTACTCGCCGTGATGGTCCGGACGCATTCAGACCTTGAACCCAGTGCTGATGGACAACGAACTTGGCAAGTAGACAACTTTGTAGAAGCGATCAGGCAACAGGTAAGCAAAGTGAGGGGGGAGGTGGGCAATATGACGTGGATAATGATGATTGACACGTGTATGTAATGTATCGAAAAGGATCCATCGATCAACTGGACAACGGTGCTTTGCAAATTGGATCATCCTGAATTTACATTGTATAATCTTACGGGATTGAAGATGATTGTGGATACGTGGAATGCTAGTCAAAAGGTAAAAATAGAGAAGGGAAAAGGGATGAGATGGGATGCTGACTTGTTATGTATACGCGTATATAGCATAATCCAACACCAGAAGAGTTTCCGCTTCAAGTATTCTTTTTGCAATGGCAAAACGTTCGTGGCCAACTCAGTGTTTTATATCAAATGTTATGCAGCCCTCCCGATTTATTTGATCTCGCCAATCATCCTGGTATTACGAGCGTCATTCGACCTGTTCATATCATGGCCTTGAATACAGCGATGCGACCTGCAGCCATGCAACTTGCCGCATTCCAACTCAACTGCTTGGAAATGATCAGCGCTATCATCAGCTTAGCGGATACTTCGGTTGGAGATGATGTACGCTTTCTTATGGAACGCCTCACAGTACAATATCCAGAATTGTTGTTACTTGGATTGGCACAATTGCAGGTAATGTATCAATGAGAGAGAACACATAATCAATAGCATGATGACTAACGCATAACAATAATCCCTTTAGCCTATCAAGAATGATCTTCAGCGTACCTTGTTGCTGAAGCTATTGAACATCTTCCTCATTGGTCATGCTAATTCGGCACTTGTGATCACCTTGCTGATGCGTGTACAACCCAACTTGATGGTGGAAGGACTTCTTGACATGTACGCAAAGGACCCCACAACACTTCCACGGATATTGGATGTTGCACAAGAGACAAAGGTATGATGGATTTGAAAGAATAGGGGGGGTATTAGATACTCATCAAGCGGAGTAGATTTTGGTACATATTCTTCGCGTCGATGCACCCATGTTCGTTCTCGACTTGGCTTCTCTTGCTGCAAGAAGACAACATCTTAATATGGAGAAATGGCTTTCCGAGAGAGTGGCAACAGCAGATGGCCTTGCTTTTTCGATCATGTGCATTGATTTCCTTGAGAAAAAGTGCTCGGAGGAAGTGGCAAAGTATTCAAGACCCAATGCGAATGTACCAACATTGCCTCTTTCTATCGATGTATTGCGTATCTTTTTCCGAGTATTGGGTGAAAGGTAAATGATTGTCGACTACAGGACCCGAGAACTTGGGTAACTCATCATTGTGTAACACACATTCTTAGACAACTTCCCGCTCAAGAGTCTGAAAAGCTTTGGAAAATTATGCAGCTCTATTCTCAGTTACATGCTGGTGCCACTGAACATACAACAAGCCCATCGATGGCTAGAGTGAGCACGCCTGGAATGGCACCCGATACCAATGGCCTAGATCAAAATCAATCAGCCGCCGAGATCGAGCTTATGGTGAAGCGTTACTTTGTTCGTCTTTATTCGGGTGAATTGAGTGCTGAAAAGTTTGTTGCTGTATTGCACAATTGCCACGATTCGCAAGATCAAAATCAATCCGAGTTCTTTTCATGCACTGTACATACACTGGTACGTGTGGATACTATTTTCATCATAGGAGAAGATGCTGATTGTTACATGTATAGCTTGATGAGGTGCGATTTTTCAACCAGTATCCTGATGACGAGCTTCGAGTGACCGGCAAACTTTTTGGTTTATTGATTCATCATCACTTGATCACGTACACGCTTTTACGACTTGCATTGAAACATATCTTGGATGCTGTCAACAGCCCTGTTGGATCGAAAATGTTTCAATTTGGTGTGTTTGCACTTGCTCAATTCTTGGATCGATTGTCTGAATGGCCACAATACACCATGTTACTTTCCAAGATTCCAGGTCTCAAAGAATACCCATCTATCGTTGAAAGCATCGATGCAGCAATCAATCGTCTTTCCAATACCGTGAATGACAATGACGAAAGGCTCTTACACACCGCATCATCGACACCTCGAGGCGCCAATGCATCATCACCAGCACCAAGTGATGACGATAGGGCGAATGCGACATCTGCTCAATTGACAAAGTTACTCGAGGCATCCAATTCATATGATATCCCACCAGAAGATGTTCAAGAAAAGATTGCATTTGCCATCAACAACCTTACTCTCAGCAATATGGACGACAAGCTACAGCAAATTGAACCATTATTGGATGAGACAAGGTGGAAATGGTTTAGCCATTATTTGATTGTACGACGAGTGAGCGTTGAAAAGAACAACCATGACTTGTATTCAACCCTCTTGACACGAATCGACAACTCTGGATTAACGGACGCAATGATCGAGGAAACATACAGAAACATCCAGATCCTTTTACATTCAAAGTCGACTGATGCATCACAGCGAGATCGTGATACGCTCAAAACACTTGGATCATGGTTGGGAAAGATGACGTTGGTGAAGAACAAACCCATTCGTCACAAGGACTTATCATTCAAGGTAAACGCACATCATATCTTTTTTATATATGGCTGTTGACTTATGGCAAATGATAGGACTTATTGCTCGAATGCTATGATCAAAAACGACTCATTGTGGCAATCCCTCTTACGTGTCGAGTGCTACAAGAAGCATGCAATAGCAAGATATTTAAGCCTCCCAACCCTTGGCTGATGGGTATTCTCAAGCTACTCGCTGAACTCTACTGGCAAGAAAACTTGAGTTTGAAGCTCAAGTTTGAGATTGAGATCTTGTACAAGGCATTGGATCTTGATTTGAATGGTAAGCAATGGATCGACCCTTTTTATAGTTCTTATTGACTCATACATGTGATGCATTATGAATATAGAAATTGAACCCACGTCTTTATTGGAAAGAAGACAAAGGACTATGGCATCAACATCAGCAGCAGCAGCAGCAGTAACAGCATCAACCCCACAATCACAACTACCAGCACAGGCAACCGCAGCATTGGATAACATGTCTCAGTCTCTACAACAACAACAGCAACAAGATCAACATTTGAAACGACCCAACCTACCCGACCGCTTCACTGATATTGAAGAAGAAGACACCATGCGATGGCCTTCAGGTACTTGCCCAATCTCCATTCCAATTCCAAATGTGCACTTGGCTAACCTTGGGTGACATTTAGGCAATGAGCATGCGTTTGATGTCGACGTGTCGGCACTATTATCCAAGCTCCAATTCAGTCAAGCGATATTGCAGGCATTTGACCAAAGTCCAGTGATGAAAATGTGCGTTTTTCGTGCCATGACCGAAGCCATTCACAAGGTTAGTATACATGCAAGCCATTGCTTTATGCAAATGATCCAACTCACACGTGATCATGCATATAGGTGGTTCCATCAGCCGTGATGACAGCGGCGAACATTGCTAGTGCCTCTACAAGGAATTTGGTGTTGAAGGATTTTGCCACCGACGCTGATGAAATGAAACTCAAGAGAGCAGCTCACACAATGTCATCCACATTAAGTGCTCGATTGGCTGTAGCAACATGCAAAGAGCCTTTGTGTAACACCATCATTGAAACGATCCGTATGCAAGTTGCACAAGCTAATTTGCCAGAGGTAAGGAATAGACATCATATCCTCCTCCTCTTGTTACTGATTTGAGTTGTTTTTAGACAATCGGCGAAGAGATTGGAAGCTCGATCATCCTCGACAACATTGACCTGATTGAAGCTTTTGTTGAAAAACAAGCGCAGCTACGTTCTATTAACGACATTGAACGCATCATGGCACCCTCCTATGCCAGTCGAAGAATGCACAAAGAGGTATATCCAAAATATGCAGTGGGGGCGTCCTTTTATTGACAACACACACACAAACAATAGAATCCACACAGCCCCTATTTCGATATGCTCAGCCTTCAAGGATCTCCACACAATATCCAATTGCCCGACTTTTTGAAGCCCACTGGCAACGTGTCCTATGAGCAGGTAAAGGATGATCTTTTGAACTTGATGCAGGTTTTTCCTCAACGTCTTGAATATAGATGCAATTCTATGAGACCTTTGATCATCTACCTACTCCACCCATCGAGGCACAGATGCCACCCAATAGTATGCCACCACCATCAAGTAAGTCTCCCATTTGTATTCATATTGTGGAATCGGCATTGACGAAAAGGCATAGGTTATCCATATGGTGTTTATCCTAATGTCTCGGCTGCACCTGGTCTCCCAGCCCCTGCTGCTCCAGAACAAATCAATGACAGCAGTGCTGTAGTATCCAAGATTCAGGTAATTCTAATCACCTAGCAATGATAAGGACTTAGTTTACTGAAGGATGTACTTTAGTCTATGCTAAATGACCTTGATCACTATATTCGACAACCATCCAACAACGACATTGGCAGCTTCAAAGCACTACCCCCACAACATGAGATCTACCAATACATGCGGCAGTTCCTTGTATTCATAAAATCGAACCCAATGGCGCCCAATGCGTTGCAAACGTTTGCCGAGAAGGTCATGTTGATGCTCTATCAGAGTAGCACCGCCTTTGCTTTGGAAACATACACAGCCTTCTTGCAAGCCATCTTTGAGCTTTATCCCGAGTTAGCCAAAGAAGCCGTATCCTGGTTCCTTTACGCCGATGATGAGGTATGTGTATCTTTTTTTATACAGTGAGTGATGGAATCGGATGCTAATCAAATCATCGTTTTAGCGTAAATACAATGCGGATGTTACCTACATGCTGATCTCGTACGAGCTTATTCCCCTCGAAGAACACGACGTACAATTGTCAAAGTTGATTCGCGCCAAGGCGGATGGCATACTGGATTATGCGGTTTCCCTCATGCGACTTTGTTTGCTTTCCAAGAGCGATGTATCCGTTCTCGAGGACCATGTATTGACAGTAGCAGCCCTTCAGGATTTAGTCAAGAGCGCTGAAGCACCTGAATCGTAAGTAATCAAAAATGGTGTTGGCTTAGAGGGCTATGGCTAATATGTTCGTATAGTGTGATGGCATTCATCAATGAGATCGAAGACGAATACAAGGCAATGCTATCTCATACAGTGACTGTGGAAGGAAGTTATCTTGAGATGCGAATGCTTTTGGCTCAATGGACACGTTTATGCATTCATCCCATGTGCAAGGACAGCCTCTTGAATAAGCTAGCAACAAAGGTAAGTCTTTCTTTGCGTGATAGAATAGCATCATCTAACATGATGGATGGACTTTTTCTTTAGATTATCAAGGATGTTTGCAAATCGGATGACCAACAGCATATCTTTTTACGAATGTGCATCCAAACAGCTGTTCAACAATATTTGTCTTTTTCATCGCCAACCTCTCCCAACCAATATCGCATCAAAGATTCCACTGATTCGGTCGCACGACTTTTCGCATTTATGACCATTGCTCGAGAACCAGACAATAGCAAGGATGACAACCGAAGCAAGTTCCTGTATGATGCATTGTCCGTCATTGTCCTCATGCTTGCCAGCCATCACCAAGCACAGGAGAACAATTTTGATCAGCGACCCTTTTTACGCTTGCTCTTGTCTACATTTATCGAAGTTAGCAAGGCTACTGTTGATATCAATGCCATTGTGCCCTTTAGGTAAAAGTTTACATGTTTGCTTTTGATTTCTCATTGGCTGACCATTTTCCCCATCCCTAGTGAGGTATTGTACACGATCCGCCCATCCTTACTTCCAGGCTTTGCATTTTCGTGGTTGCAGATCATATCCCATCGCGTGATTTTATCGGAGCTACTTGCAGGACACGATGCTGAAAGATGGAAGCTATGTGAAAAGTTGATTGTTGCTCTTTTGGAGTTCCTGGGTGAGCTTATTCAGCAAGGTGGACTCGCATTGCAATCATCACAGATCTTTTACAGGGGCACTTTGCGCACCTTGGTGGTCATCTTGCATGATTTCCCAGAGTTCCTTTCACATCACTACATGTCCTTGGTATCCGTGATCCCACACGATTGTGTTCAAATACGCAACTTGGTGCTCAGTGCATTCCCACCCAGCATGCGTCTTCCCGATCCTTCCGTGCCTGATATGTCTTTGGATAATTTGGCCGAGTTCAATGAAACACCCGCCATGTCCCTCAGCTACACAGCATCTTTGCGATCTGGTGATGATGATGATGATGATGATGTCGATATCATGGCCTTGGCAGACGAGTACATGAGCGATGATACGGAGACCGAAACACAACCTTCTTTCTTCACAAAGGCTCTCGAGTACATACAGCAATCCACTGAGGGTAATGAAGATGAATCACATCAGTATCATAGCCATCGACTTGGGGCACTTGTTCTTTATATTGGATCCAAGGGTGCTGCATTGACTGCAACGATGGCTTTGGAAAATAACCCTGCCACTCGCCTTTACAGCTACCTCCTCGAACACATGACAGCTGAAGGTAAGTACCCTATTTCCATATACATGACGTAGCATACTAATACCATCTTTTCTTAGGCCGCTACATTTTACTCAGTGCCATGACGGATCATTTACGATACCCCAACAGCCACACGTACTTTTTCAGAGCTGTATTGCTGCTACTCTTTACGCAAAAGGCTGAATCCATCAAGGAAAATATTACAAGGTGGGTTGCTTTGCTTGACATGGTATATGGACAATGCATGTTAACATGTGTATTACATAGGGTGTTACTGGAAAGACTCATTGTGAATCGTCCTCACCCATGGGGATTGCTTGCTACCTTTATCGAATTGCTCAGTGTCCCTGGATTTTGGCAACACAAGTTTATTCATGCGGCGCCAGAGTTTCAACGCTTATTTGACAACGTATCCCGGTAAGCTAAAATGGAAAAGAGAGGTGTCTTACAACATCTAATCTTTGTTGGAATGACTTTTATAGCTATGTCAAGCGTCAGTCGTAAAACCCCTTTTTTGCATAGTCTTCATTAATACAGATCATTCCCCATTTTTATCAATGACGCTTTTTGACGTTTGTTCATGCAAAGGATGATGGAAACTAAAGAATGATTGTGAACACATCTTATTTCTAATCCAACCCGAGTTGCTGTTTTCGCTGATGGGATAATATTTTGCCATGCAGCTGCCTTACTTAAATTAAGCTCTTCATATGTACCCAGGCGATAGGTGGTAAACGATCCCTTTGCTCACACACACACACACACTCCCACCAACATGATACTATTATACTAGGCCATTTCACCAGGGTCATTTTATTTTGTAGCAAGGTTGTACTAGCTGCAGTAACCGTGTATCACACAAAAGGTAAAAACATGAAGCTCCGCGCTTTCAGCCGTTCCAAATGTGCTACCAGCAGAAACATGCAATGGGTCAATATATCCTATCGGCACTTGTTTTTCTTGCAGGAGACCATTTAACCACCACTGTCGACTACTACAACACTCTTTTACTGTGGCATACTAAAACGACGTCCGAGACTGGCTATGGACAATTACACGTGGATATTCCTTGTCGGCATCGTCGTCTTTTTTCTTGTCATTGTAATCCTACTATGCTTCACCAAAGCAGGTGGGGATCGATTGTTTCTTGGCAGCACCCACGACCCTGAATGCATTAGCGAAATTGAAGAAACACCAGCGCTATTGGCAAGTTTATCAGAGGATGCTAGAATTAGTTATGAACAAGCAAAAGGTATAAAAGAAGAGAGAAGAATGGGGGGGCATGCAACAAGATCTCGGTCTCAATGGGGTCATCACGTTACATAGTATTCCAACAACGATATCCTCCTGACAGTATACCCACCGACATTACGCTCTCACAATTCGTCTCCATACAAGAAAAGGGCGTTTCAGCATTCGAGTTTGAATGGGATATGGAATCCAATAGCTTCGTATCAGCACGTACTGAGATCCAGTTCTTTAATGGCGAGTCATGTGTACAAACCAACCTGCCTTTGCCGAGAAATCAGGATGTCTATTATTGGGAGGTATGTTGTTCAACAAGCTATTATGTATGTAGGTAGGTAGGTCACAGCTCACTTATCATCATTCAATAGGCAAAGATGTATGAAAAGCCTCCAAATACTACCATCTCTGTCGGCGTGGCTACAAAACCATATCCTCATTTCAGATTACCTGGTAAATGTCACCCCATTGATCAAGATCAACAACAATGGCTCATCATATATGGACTAGGATGGAATAAACACTCCGTGGCCTACTTTAGCAATACTGGACATAAGCATTTCAACAATCCATTCTATGGCAAGCCCTATGGAGCCACGTTTCAAGAAGGAGATGTAGTGGGTGTTGGATACAGACATCGATCAGGCACCGTTTTCTTCACGCGTAATGGTCGACGACTTGAAGATGCATGCACCGGATTACGCTGGAATCTCTTTCCGACTATCGGAGCGAATGGCCCGTGCCAAGTCCATGTCAACTTGGGTCAAATGGGTAAGTAATGATGATATGATTGGGAGGGATTATGATACTGAATCAAACGGTAGGTTTTGTTTTTGTTGAAGCCAATGTCAAAAAGTGGGGGTTGGCTCCTATGCATGGTACATTGGCACCTCCACCTGCGTATGGATTAGAAGCTGGGTCCTTATTATTGGAACGTGGTACAACAGCAGCAACTTCATCGACTCGGGCAACGTATCGACATCCATCTTCGTATGATTCGGATGAAGACGATGATGATGATGACGATGATGAACAACCTTTAATCCAAATTGATATTCCACGCAATGGCAATGGAACAAGATATCCACAATATCCACCACCCGAGTATTCAACTTTTCCACGTTCTCCAGCCATGATTCCTCCTGCATTAGCCGCCGCCGCTCGTTATGATAGTGGCACTGATACCGAAGACAATGTCTCTGCAAGCAGTACAAGCAGCAGTAGTAATGATAGTTTCCTTGGTAACAACAACAACAACAACAACAACAACAACAGTAATCATAGCCGTCGTCACCATCATTCATGATATACCCAACTCTACTACTTGTTCCTCCTTTTTCCCAAACCTCTCCCATTACTTATTCCATCCATATCCCGTCTTTTTTTTTATGTTCTCATTGTGATCCCTTTTTTTCTCTCTCCCCCTCCCACCATGTGGGGGTTTTGATGTGATTTGTAAATATCCCAAAAGATAGTCGTTCACTTTTTATTTAAGGCTACTACAATGCGTGTATACGCACGCGCGGATGTACGGGGCAGTGCTTTGATGAACATGCAAAAAAAAAAGTCGAATTCCCGAAAGAGTAAAAATATTTTCACAGCAGCAGGATTCCCTTTATCCCTCTTTCTCCCTTCTAAAACACACGTACACTTGACATGGCGAACGAAGTAAAGGAGACGACTGCTAATGCAGCTACTACCAACAATGAAAACAGTATGTGAATGCCAACATTGGGACATGGGGTCTTTGAGTTCTCCATTCAGCTTGCCAACCTTTGAATTCCTTTCAACCACTTATGCATGTATAGCCAAGGTAGAAGACAAGCCTGTGAATAGCACCACCGCCAATAACGAGAACAAGGAAAATGAAGCAAAGGAGGGTGATAATGAACAAGGCAACGGTAGCAGTGCTCCCTGTAAGAACGACAAAGGAACATATACACAATGGACACCATCCACTTATATCTTTATCTTTGTATATCAGCTAAAAAGAAAAAGAAGAACAAGAAAAAGAAAAAGTCTCCAAAGACGCAAACTGAACCACCCACTGTACCTGTTGCATCCATCTTTACGAGCCATGTGTATCCTGAAGGTGAGACTCACGAGTACCGTGACGAGTAAGTAGTAGTTCATGCATGCTACAATGATGATGTATCATTTTTACCCACGCACGGTGATAGCAATTTGTGGCGTACCACCAGTGAAGAGAAGCGTGCTGCTGAACGTGCCTCCGAGGATGATTACAATGATATGCGCAAGGCTGCTGAGGTCCACCGTCAGGTAAAATAGAGCTGATCACGTAGTACGTGGGGACGATGTTATTGATGACAAGGAATACATAGGTGCGTGCCTATGCTCAAAAAGCCATCAAGCCTGGTATGAGCATGATTGAGATTGCTGAATTGATTGAAAATGGTACTCGTGCTGTGGTCGATGAGAATGGTCTTGAGGCTGGTATTGGTTTCCCTACGGGTGTTTCTCTCAACCATTGTGCTGCTCATTATACTCCCAATGCCGGTGACAAGACGGTCCTTTCTTACGATGATGTCATGAAGGTTGATTTTGGTGTACATGTCAAGGGTAAGTAAAAAGAGAAGGAGGGATGGATGCATACATCTCTCTCTGACACCACATGATATAGGTCGCATCATTGATTCAGCCTTCACCATGAACTTTAATCCCAAATTCGACAAGTTGGTGGAAGCTGCCAAGGAAGCTACCTATGCAGGTATCAAGGAAGCTGGTATTGACGTTCGCCTCTGTGATATTGGTGCCGCTGTCCATGAAGTGTATGACTCTTATGAAATCGAATTGGATGGTAAGACCTATGATATCAAGCCCATTCGCAACTTGAACGGCCACACCATCGAACCTTACAAGATCCATGCTGGCAAGTCTGTACCCATCATTCGCAATTCCGGTGACGAGACCAAGCTTGAGGTAAAATGGATGGATCCCAAAAAAAAGACTTTTGGTATTGATAAAGGAGTGTTGGCCATTTATAGGAAGGCGAGCAAATTGCTATTGAGACTTTCTGTTCGGTAAGTAGTAGTAGTAGGCGCAATCTTTTATATCAGTGGATAGTTCGTCTCATCATCAACGTTGTAGACGGGTCGTGGCTATGTGGTTGAGGATGGTGAATGTTCGCATTATGCCCGAAATGCTGATGTTGGCTTTGTCCCTCTCAGGTAAAAACGAAGTGGATTATGGTAAAGAGACCTCGACTCATATGGGCTCTCGTTCATTCATTAGACTTCCTCGTGCAAAGTCGTTGCTTGCTACTATCAACAAGAGCTTTGGTACATTGCCATTCTGCCGTCGATACCTTGATCGCATTGGTGAACAAAAGTATCTCATGGGCTTGCGAAACTTGGTTTCCGCTGGTGTTGTCACTGAATATCCTCCCCTCGTTGACACCAAGGGCTGTTACACTGCACAACTTGAGCATACCATTTTGCTCAGACCAACATGCAAGGAGGTACGTTGTTATCCGTCTTTTGTGTTTCCACCAAACATGTCACTAACAATCCATGACTTTATAGATTTTGTCCAAGGGTGATGATTACTAGAAAGGTTTCTTTGTGTTGTTTTCCAATCAATCAAAAAAAAGTGTATATCTATATATATATCTTCGTGTACAAACAAAAAAGTGCTTAATGAATGAGAACATTGTGTGTGGGATGCCAGCAATATAAAACGATCAAGAGAGAGAGAGAATACTAAATAGTAAGGGAAGTAATACAATATATATAACATCCAAGCGTGTGTGAGAGAGAGGGATGTTCAAAAGAGAGAGCCTATGTACAATTACTACACCGCTTTGGTCACGTCATTATCGGATGGTGTTGTCGCGGCTGCATTTGTGGATGATGATGGTGATGGTGAGGGTACATCTAGGATATCGTCAGGTAGAGGGGCTTCAACAGCAGCCATGGCAGCCACTTGCAGAGAAGGAAAAAAGTAAGGATACACATCACGGATGCATTGAATGGTATCCCAATCCACGTGATCCTCTGGAGACACGTATCTTCCTTGGAAATGACCGGTCGATGCGGTATCCATGCCAACGCTATCGTCCAGGGAGGGTGCTTCTGCTGCTGCTGCACCATAACGTTCCATCATAATGATTTCACCATGTTGCTTTGACTCGCGACGTTGATTGTTGTTGTTGTTGTTGGAAGCCGTAGGAGGTTGCTCTTTTTCATCCACATGGTGTTGCAATACGAGTTTACTGCCAGATCGATCACTCCAATCCGAATGAAATAGACCACCCCGTTTAGGTCGCTGTGTACCAAATCCTGCCACCAAGAGGCACTTGCGAACGGCCAACGAATCATTGACAACAAAATACCATCGCACATGTTGGCTGTTGCTATGGCGTAATGCAGCAATGGCCACTGATTTGAGTTCCTCCATAGCCGTATAATCCATTTGATGTACGCTTGACAAATCAAGGATCACTGCCTTCAATACCTCGCTTTGGTTTTCGACAATTTCGAGTAATTTGCCGAATACGTATTTTGCATTCTCGAATACAAGGTTGTCATGAGGTTGGAAGCAGACCACTCCTTGACCAATAGGTTGTACATGTTGGCCCATGGTGGGATGAGAAAATGAGCAAAAGAATGGCTCTTGGGTTGTTGTTGTTGATGATGATGGTGGTATCAATTTGCCCATGATAGCATAGCTGGGTCGTGCTGATCGATATAGTTGAACGATCAATGATAACGCCACAGGCACGTAGACACTGATATCGAGACGTGTAAACAAAGAAATGATGTACGCAGCGGCAAAAATGATAAGCTCGGATGGATGTAAACGCCAATACTTGTACCAAACCGAAGGTCCCACAATCAAATCAGTGACCGCATGAATGATGACAGCTGCCAAACTTGCTGTGATGATGTACTGGAATGCCGGCGTGAACACGTATAATGCTAGCACCACAATAATAGCGACGACCACATTCAACATGGGCGTTTTGGCACCTGATTTGGAGGAGACGGCCGAACGGGAAAAGCTGCCAGTAACAGGGTATGAAGAAAAGAAGGAGCCGAAAATATTGGCCAATCCATTAGCCATGATCTCTTGGTTCACATTGACTAATAGAAAGATGTAGGTATAAGTAAAAAGATAAAAGACATTGTCCTTGACAACAAAATCCCACACTTACTCCGATAGTCGGATGCCTTGCCTAGAATAGTGGCAATAGCACAATGTTCCATGATCAACAAAGTGACGACGCTAGGAATGTTGGTTGCAATGGTAGCTAGCAAAGAACGATCGACTTTGGGAACGCCCATCATTTGAAAGCCGGAGGGTACAGCTCCAAGAATGGCAAAGGGGGTATCATCAGCGTCGCCATATCCGAAATGAATAATGAGCCACGATAAAAAGGTTGTGAATACAATGAGGATGACACTGCGTGAAATATTGAAATAAAAGATCACCCGAGCGTATTGTGGATATCGATGTGACAAGTATTGTGATAGATATCGGATGCCGTAGAGCCACACGAGTGAAAGGATACCAAATGCTGCATCCACACCGCTCTCGTTGAGATGAATCAATGTTTTACCAAAGACGAGATAGGGTGCTTCGCTGGTATTGATATTGGGGACGCCGAAGATTTTGGAGAATTGGTTAATGACAATGGTCAAGCCGCTGCCTGCCATGAATCCTGCAATGGCGGGTTCACATATAAAGTCGAATAGAATGCCGAGACGTAAAATCGATAATCCAAGAGCGACGATACCAGCAAAGAGGGCCATGGTTACTGCATATTGATGTTGTGTCCATACACCTGATTCAAACTCTGGCATCGACTTGATGCTAACCCAAATCTGCCCCACAAGCAAGGACATGATGGCAGAGGTGCCTATGTATCATCATCTCCCACGTTAATAAGTGCGTCCCTATTAGCTGAGAAAAAAAGAGAGATAGCCACACACTTACCGAGACTAACGTCTTTTGATGTGCCAAGAAATGGGTAGATAACGACTCCCACAAAGCTAGAATATAGGCCATATTGTGGTGGTAGTTCTGCAATTTTGGCTTTTTTGTGTCACATACAATTAACAAAAGAGATTGCAAAAGTAGAGGTCAGCTGAAGCCTGTCAAGGAAGGTGACATGCATACATGCATAGTTCCCACCCACCCACACACCCATAGCAACAACCCCCCCCTTGACGATACATACCATAAGCCATAGACTGAGGCACCACAACCGTTTCCCACCTGATAGCACACACACACAATAATGAGATCGCTGATAAGCCAATTGACGCTGTGAGCCTGGGGGCAGCCATGTCATGATTGGCAGACCCTCCAAAGTAAGATCGAACATGACCACCAAAGTGTTGGCCAAAAGCTCTCGCCTGGTCAATGTAACGCGGAGGCGGGTTGTCGATGTAGGCTGCTTGCATACGACGAGAGCCTTAATAGAAAGAAAAGAGAGATAAGATAACAAAAGAAAAGCGGGAAGATATAAGTAATCGTGGAGGAAAAAGCGGATAAGACTATAAAAAGACACAGCTTAGTCGGTGCTCGATCGCTTGCAGTTGCTTGGTTATGATTAAACCCCATTTAACCGCCTGTCGCCTGGGAACTACACGGTGCATTTGCTTTTATGACATAGAGGAGTCGTCGATAGCAACAACCCCCCCCCACCTTGACGATACATACCATAAGCCATAGACTGAGGCACCACAACCGTTCCCACCGTGATAGCACAAATGAGATCGCTGATAAGCCAATTGACGTTGTAATGGGGCAGCCATGTCATGATTGGCAGCATTCCTCCAAAGTAAGATCGAACATGACCACCAAAGTGTTGGCCAAAAGCTCTCGCCTGGTCAATGTAACGCGGAGGCGGGTTGTCGATGTAGGCTGCTTGCATACGACGAGAGCCTTAATAAGAAAGAAAAGAGAGATAAGATAACAAAGAAAAGCGGGAAGATATAAGTAATCGTGGAGGAAAAAGCGGGATAAGACTATAAAAAGACACAGCTTAGTCGGTGCTCGATCGCTTGCAGTTGCTTGGTTATGATTAAACCCCCATTTAACCGCCCGTCGCCTGGGAACTACACGGTGCATTTGCTTTTATGACATAGAGGAGTCGTCGGATCAAAAAAAGAAAAAGAGGAACATTTACGTAATAAACCAGCTATTGACAGGTGTATAGCAACCACAGCAACATGATCTTTTGATAGGTAACCACCACCAGCCAGTAGTGATGCAATGGCTTTCATGATTGACGCTTTTTGTTGTTGTTGTTGTTGTTGACAGGTAGACTTTTATAGCTCACCTCCAGTCATAATGCACTAGACAATGAACGCCATAGGGTCCGAAGATATGATTGGTTTCCCGCCCGAATGAATGATTGACCTATACTAGCTATGGATGGGTGCACCATGAAAAAACTTGTTCATGATCCCAGGTTTTTTAAAAGTCAATTGCCGCATGAAGGTACATGGTAGCAGCTTAGCTGCAGTATGCTTAAAGCACCGATGCCTCGGGGCTACAACATCTTATGCAGGACTGGACACATTTCAACAACACCCCCTCGTGCATGAATGTGATTAGTGGTTATGGCGTTTTAGATCCCTTTTTTCCTTTTCCCAATCACGCACGCCGATTCACGTGATAAAACCACTTTTTTTTTACATGGTGTGCCTCGCAAAATCAAGCCACGCATCATCGTCGTTCATTCAATGACATGTCTTGTTAGCTAGTAGTAGTGGCTTTCATCTATTTGAATGATGATGGATCATTATTATTGAAGAAGCAGGTGGAGGGGCTCGACCTTTGAAAGACTCAACTCCAGGCAAATTGCTGCTATGCATACGTTGTTGTGGTATGTTCAATTCCTATTACATGGTCATTGTTGTGAATCTCTCCCACACTTTGTATACAAAGCAAGGCTCTTTGTCGTCGACAGCCTCGATTGACGCCATTTACTAAATCGGGCGAGTATGTGCACCTGATCATGCATCGCACCACATGCGACATGATCATGCAGTTGTTGACAAACACATGATTGGCCAATGTGGAATTTGAGAAGATTTAAATATGCACGTGTAACCAGCATTTGAAGCAAGTATATGCACCCTACCCCCTCCTTTTCTATATGCACAGCCAGCGTGAGACACACAACGTTGTAAACACTCATGAGCAATGTATAAAGATAAAAGACACAGGAAATAGAGTTGTATACAGAGGGAAAATCAACAAACAAAGCAAACGAAAAAGTGAGCAAACTATAGACATGCGTTTTGGAGGGAGGGAAGGAGGGAAAAAGTGCGTGTGCGTGTGTGTACGTGTGTGTGTGTGTGTGCGATGTTTTTCTTTTTCAGGGATTAAAAGAATGGGGTACGGGAAAAGACTACTTTAACATCAATGGGTCCGTTAAATCTTGATCTACGTTGCAATCCTCATGATGGCCTGTGAAGGGGTTGACAAGCCCATTTTGGAAAGGTGGGGGAGCATAATGCATCGCATTGTACGTGTTGGTCAACATCCCGTCGCGATAGAAACCGACACCATTACTAAATCCACCACTGCTACCACCACCACCTCCTCCACTACCGCTGCCGGCTGCATGCATGTTATCATTATCATCGCCATTGAGTTGTTGTTGTTGTTGTTGTTGTTGTCTCTCGTTAGTGCTTGAAGCAGTAGTAGTAGTAGCAGCAGCAGCAGCAGCAGTAACAGGCTTGCCATTATCATAACGATGGGTGGAGATAATGGATGAGGAAGGTGTCGATATGGATGACGAAGCGGATGAGGATGTGGTTGTTACAGCTGATACTAATGAAGTAGGATTGTAACCAGCGTATGAGGTTGAAGGCTGTTGTTGTTGTTGATGTAACAATTGCTGCTGCTGCTGCTGCTCATGGTTATGTGAAGGGTGTGGTGATTCAGGTTGATGAGGAGGATGAGGAGCTGTAGCGGTTGAAGAAGTTGATGCTGTTGTTGTGTTATTCAGAGGATGCACAGGATTCAACAGTTGCCCAATGTTTGCACCTTTGCTATGATCCGATCCATGCTCATCCGATACTCCATTTTGTTGTTCCTGTAATTGTTGTCCATTATAGAACCCCACTTCAGCAGCAGACATCATCGATGTCATTGAACCTTGTTGTTGTTGCTGCTGCTGCTGATAGTGAATCGATGATCGATGCTGTGGATGATCGCCTTGTTGACGATCTGCTGCTGGTGCGTACGATAACATGTCGTATCCCCTTGGATCAACCCTGGAGAGTGTCGATTGTGTGGATGAAAATGAGTAATGGCGCTGATATTGTTGTTGATGATGATGATGATGAAAGGAGGGTCGTGCAGGAGACACTAATGGTGTGTCAGGTGAGGAAGGGGATGGGATGGCGGATGTGGTATAGGCTGCTGCTCCATACATCATTGGCTGAGTCCCATATGGCCCGATCGTTGTCGGTGGAGATTCCCGTTGTTGTGTTGTTGTTGTTGTTGCCCCTTCCTCATCTATGCTCATGCGTTGTTGCTGATAGTTGAACATGGCGTTGGGTGATGCAAGGTTGCCATTGGTATAGTGATCATGTCCTCTTAATGATCCCATCGACATGCTACGTAAAGGAGGAGGATGTGGAGTACGACGATCTAATACAAAAGCATAGATAGGAAAGAATGAGCCACATGAACATGCAAAAGTGTCTCAGAAATGACTACTTACCACCAAATGCGGACATTGCTGCTGCCGCTGCTGCTGCTGCTGCCACTGTTCCAGTACCACCATTACTTGCTGCTGCTGCTGCACCATTACTGCCATCTGGCATAGGGATAGCGCCTGCGGCTGTGGCTTCTCCAGGATGATCAAAAGTAGGTTCAATCATGGGTGGGATTCTAAAGTTCTGCCTGACGAGTAATTCGGGAGAGATTTCCAAACTTGCAAGTTCAGGTACAGAGGAAGGAGTGCGAAGTCGATTGTTGAGGACATCTTGTGGATGATAATAGGATATCAAATGCTGCGAAACACCATTCACAACGATCGACATTGTCTTTTTGATAAGGCCATCTTTACGGAACTTGTATGAATCCGAAAGACTTCCCACCAGTTGTCGTTCTCGATTACGGTCAATTGACATTACACCACCAGCTGCAGCCACCGTGGATGATGTTGTACCATGATCAGCACTAAAGCTACGTTGTCGTGCATCATTGCCATTGCTGTTGCTGCTATTCGATGCTGAGATGGATCCTCGTTTGCCACTGCTGCCACTAGCGCGTTTATCAAGCTCACGATAAATTAAAAAGTTGCCGAGAATTCTTGAAGGGCTCCATACAAGACCATCCGTCCATCGCTTGATACCTAATGAATGAATGAATGAATGATGATGATTAATATCGTCATCATCATGATGGATCTCATCTTTTTTGTTTGCTTGCTTGCTTGCCTGATTCGCGCTCGTCAAATACAAAAACAGATCCAGATTGTACCATTTTACGCTCCTTCTCCTGCAGCCGTCTGCATATCCTTGGAAGTAATCCTCGACGACATCCTTCAAATATAAGTAATACATCTTGCGTGGTCTCAATGTATCCATGAAACGTTTCGGTCACGAGCATGTTGACAATGATAACGACGAGCGAGATAGAGAGAGAGTGTGTGTGTGTGTGAGTGTGTATGTGTGTATGTGTGTATGTGCGTGTGTGTACGTGTACAACCCCCAAGGAATCGCAAGTGTGTGAGATGGAAGGAGAAAGGAAAAAGTACGAATCAGTAGAACAAGAGAGGTGAAATGACCAATGTCGAGACCACCAATGGACTGAAGCGTGAGAGAAGAGAGAGAGTGGAAGAAGAGAGTGGAAGAGAGAAAAAGTAGCGGGTATGCGAGTAAAAGACAAGTTTGCTGCAACAGCAGCAGGTCATCATTACCCACGCGGGTCTCGTAAATTTAGCTCTTCTTGTCATGATGATGATGATGATGATGATGATGATGATAGTTGAGGCGTTTCCAATGCAACTTTTTCTTTTTTCCCCTCACCTCATTCATCCTTTGCTACTAGTGGCTGTAATGATACGTGATCATCATGGCTCTTTCCCCTTGCTGATGGATCCCTGATTCCCCTCTTGGTGCCTCTAATGTATGTATAAACTAGCCCCTGTTCTACAAATGACGCCGTCAGCAACAACGTATCCATCGCCACCCACTTTCCTTGGTTGGTTATCACAACCGAACATTAGGGTAGGATTCGCTTCTTGTCTCTCGTTCCAATATACATTCATTCTCTCTCCCCTCCCCCCTCCCTCTTAATTTCTCCTCCTATTTGAATCGCGTATAAAGAAAACAATAACGCATTACATAGGATCCTATCATTGCTTGTTCTCTTCTTCGTCCCCACCCAATGGGGGTATTTACATAGCAATAACGATGATCGTTCTTTTGGACGCACAGAGATAAAACCCGATGCATGATCTGAGATGCGGGTCCGTCCACACATACACACACACGCACTCACACAGCATTGTTGTACAACAGCAAAATGCTGATAAACAAGAAATAGAACTATCTTCTACTACTACTCAAAGTGAAAGAACATCATGACACCACCACCATCATTGTCATTGTTATTAAACCAATCCAAGTCATCTATATAAATATGCCTCTCTCACGTTGCATAATGTGTATTCATACGATGATGCTTCTTCACCTGCATGGCTTAAAGCTTTATTTCTGTAAACATCAAACATCGCCGAGAGAGAGGATGCGTCATCCTTGTGGTTTACTTTGTACATCCTATTTTGGTTTATAAGGAGAGGATGCTATTACTGTGGCTGGTTGCTTTGCTTATATCATCTATCCCATCTTACGTTGATATACAAGAGATGCACAGGTTGTCATATTCTGCAAACCTTGTGAATAGAAAGAACGAGAGCAACTAGACTTGTGCAACATCGGGATTGGACCCGCATACATTACGTATCTAATAGGCTTACGATTCCCGGTACCACATTTTCTCAGGGGTAAAGAGCACTAAAGCCAGCAGACCACAGAGAAAGCAAGGTGAACTTAGCGCATCATCTTGCATCAAAGCATAGGAGTCGATCCTTTTACGCGTTTATTGTCAGGTGACTACCGGAAATTCTTTCCTCCTTAAAATTCATGCATAAGAGATTTATGTTGTATGTGTACATGGAATAGCTTTAATTGCTTTTCTTTTATCATTATCATGAAGCTCTACTTGAAGGCGACTTTTATATGTTCAGTTTAATACAAGAAAGAGAGAGGGAGAGAAAAATGTTGGAATGTTGCATGACGAATGTTGTAATGGGTGATGAAAAGGTAAAAAAAAAGATGCCTTTGACTTGTTGGGTAATGTCAAGTTTACATGCCCATACCCATACCGCCCATACCACCCATGCCACCCATACCAGGCATGCCACCAGCAGCACCCTTAGGTTCAGGAGCATCAGTGATCATGCACTCAGTGGTGGTGAGCAAAGAAGCAACACCGCTAGCATCCAAAAGGGCAGTACGAACAACCTTGGTGGGATCAAGAATACCACGTTCGATCATGTCGACATACTCGTTGCAGGAAGCATCATAACCGAAAGAGAACTTGTCAACGTGTTCCTCAAGGAGTTTACCGGCAACAACAGAACCTTCACCACCAGCATTGTCAACAATGGTACGGCAAGGGCGTTGAATGGCTTGACGAATGATGTTGACACCAAGTTGTTGATCAAAGTTGGCAGCCTTGACATTGTCAAGAGCCTTGGCAGCCTTAAGCAAGGCAACACCACCACCAGGAACAATACCTTCTTCGACGGCAGCACGGGTGGCACAAAGAGCATCATCAAATCTATATAACACGAATGATGGATGAGTCAAATTATGACCCCGGCTTATTCCGATTTTGTTCCTCCCATCTACTTACCTATCCTTCTTCTCGCCGACTTCAACCTCAGAAGCACCGCCGACCTTAATGACAGCAACACCACCAGAGAGCTTAGCAAGACGTTCTTGAAGCTTTTCCTTTTCGTACTCGGAGGTGCTGGCATCGTTCATAGCACCACGGATTTGTTCACAACGTTGGTTGATCATATCCTTGGAACCAGAGCCATTAAGGATGATGGTATCTTCCTTGGTGATAGTAACGGAACCAGTAGTACCAAAGAGTTCGGGAGTAGCACGCTCAAGCTTGACATCAAGGTCATCCGAAAAGACGGTGGATTGAGTCAAGATACCAATATCACCAAGGATGGACTTGCGGTTGTCACCGAAACCAGGAGCCTTGACAGCAGCCACTTGGATTTGGCCACGAAGCTTGTTAAGGATACAAGCAGCAAGAGCCTCACCATCAACATCCTCAGCAATGATCAAAAGAGGACGACGTTGAGTAGCAGCGCTTTCAAGAGCAGGAAGAATGTCTTGGAGAAGAGAGATCTTCTTTTCAGACAAAAGGATCAAGGGCTTTTCAAATTCGACCTTTTGAGTCTTGGTATCGGTAATGAAGTAAGGGGAGATGAAGCCACGATCGAAACGCATGCCTTCAGTGACTTCGAGCTCATCATCAATGGTCTTGCCAGCCTTGACAGTGATCACACCTTCCTTGCCAACACGCTCCATAGCTTGAGCAATCATACCACCAACATGCTTATCACCGTTAGCAGAGATGGTAGCAACCTATCATATATAATTGCATTAAATTAGATTTTCATATATACCTCTTTTCCCACGATTTCATCCCGCCACCCGCTCACTATTGACATACCTGAGCAATTTCACTCGAGGTGGTGATGACACGGCTGTTTTCCTTTAAAAAGTCAACAACGGCATCGACAGCAGCTTGAGCACCACGACGAAGATCCATGGGGTTACAGCCAGCTGCAACATTCTTGACACCTTCGGTAAAGATGGCACGAGCCAAAACAGTGGCAGTGGTGGTACCATCACCAGCAATCTCGTTGGTCTTGTTGGCAACGTCTTGAACAAGACTATAAAAGAAGGGGGTTGTTTTAATATCAATTGTAAACAAACATAGGGTCCGACACAACAAACTTACCGAGCACCCAAGTTTTCAAACTTGTCTTCCAAAGTGATAGACTTGGCAACAGTGACACCATCCTTGGTAATCTTGGGAGAACCATAAGGTTGTTCAATAAGGACATTGCGACCCTTAGGACCAAGAGTTACGGCAACAGACTTGGCAAGCACATCAACACCACGAAGAAGAGCAGCACGGCCATCAACACCAAACTTGAGCTCCTTGTGGGAGTAGAAACGCTTAAGGACACCAGTAGCTGAACGCGAGACAGGGCGAGCAGCAGCAGCAGCAGGAAGGCGGAACATGGGATAGCAGCAAGAAGCAAGAAGAAAGTCGAGGAAACTACGCGTTGAACCCGATCCTGCTCGCCATAAATATAACATCTCACACCGCTCGGTGGCTTAGATGCCTACCCTTTCAATGACAGCACTACACATTCATTAGTAACAATGTGGGGAAACCCACAGCCAATGTTGCACATGCATTCATAGTTAGGGTCCCTTTTTATTCATAAGAGATAGCCATCATCATCTACTATGACCATCTACAAAACGTGTCATCTATATACCTATTATTTGGTTTTTTGAAAGAGAATGGGGGTGAATCATTCTAGGCCTGGGGGCGGCTTTTGCTTTTGGAATTTGCGAGATGTTTCCAGGACAAAGATTGGGATTCCAGTTCCGCACGCACGCACGGTGATGATTTGAGCTTCTTTGAACCATTGATGCGATCCCCTCGTGTGACACAGTCGACAAACAACTATAAAATTATCCCACGCCCGCCAACCATGATAGATAACTACCACGCATTAAAGTTTTGGCACTCACCATGATCCCCGATTGTCGAGTTGTAGTAGCCGACATACCAATGATATCATTTCACGGTACACTCTTGACATACACACGCACACAGACCACACCTTCTTTTTAGCAACGGGGAAACATGATCAAAGTGGGCCTGCCTGCTTCAGTTTCAAACCATAAAACAACAACAAAAAGGGTTTCAACAACATACAGCAGGCACACATTACCATTCTTGGAGCATCATCGTGCCCACTCATTGGATGGCAGGTGTTCTGGGGTGTCAACCACTGACAAAAAAGCAAACAATGTGCATCATACCATCTTTTCAGCAAACGCTTCTTAATGCAAACACATTGCATTTGCATGCAGCCATCATGAGAGAGAGAGAGAGCATCATAAATGTCAAATGGGTTGCTTAATCCCTCTCTCTCTCCCTTGTTGCGTGAGGCATGGGAACAAGCTCATATGAAAGGTCCAGTTTTCGTGTGGTAAGTAAGAAAAAGTCAACCCCCTCTCTGAAATTACCTGCATGAACCCGCTACTTGAGGCCCAGCCACCCATTCACAAACAATCAAGCACACAACCACTGCATGAGACACACACACGCACCACCACCACCACAACAGCTGCTGTTGTTGCTGTTGCACATTTTTTTATTCCATCTCCTAGGCAACCACAAAAAAGCGGAGCACCTAGGTCACACCAATAATACCCAAAGGATCGAGAAATCTCAAACCTCAGCAGCAGCATCCCCGTTACAAGGGCGAGACACACAACCAGAGACAACAAACGAAGGGCAGGGGAATAGGCCTACTGGGGTGGGGGTGGAAAGGACCAAGAGAGGAAACTTTTTTTTTTCTGTCGATGCAAACAAAGACCCTCATAGGCTCGGTATATTTAAGCAACCACAAGCGCGTCAATCAAATGATCTTCCTCTTTTTTTTCCCTTCCCTCCTCTCTCCCCCACACCACTTTTTTACCTGTCAACAAAGTAAAAGGAAATACACAAAAAAATGTCGGTTTTGGAGCAACAATGGATGACGATAGCAGGTGGAATGATGATGGGGTAAAAGAAAAAAGCTGATCATGAATACAACATTGACAGGGTATATTGACATCATCATGTTGCAGTAGTAGTAGTGGTTGTGTCGGTGACGGTGTTGCGGTGGATGATCGTTTGCAGGAGCTCGAAACTTCGTTTTGTCGCGACTTTGTATGTTGTGGCCAACATTTACCGGACCTGCACGATTTGCTACATCATTATGAAGAGCATCATGCATGCTGTACTAGTGAGTTGGAAGAGACAACAACAACACCTAATACAGCCATCGAGGTGGCAGCTGCAGCTGCTCCTCCATCCACAACATCGAATCAGGATGGTGCACCTCCTCCTCCCATGTTGGATAATCTTGCATTGGATATGCTATGCAACAGCCATGATTTGACAACCACGATTGATCCAATCAATACCTTTTTTGCGGCAGCAGCATTTCCTCCTCCTCCTGTGTCACAACAAGATGACTTGGATCTCGTGAATGACTACAACAACAACAACAACAACATCGAGAGCAGCAGCAGCAGCAGCAGTAGTGGTAGTGTGAGCGAGGATGAACTTCGAACACCCACTTCACCCATGTCTCCACAACAGCAACCCCTTTGGCTTGACCCTAGCAACAACAACAATTTAGACTGGCTCATGCGCGTCAACCATGCGTTGCTTGCTGCAGATGCATGTGCAGAAGGTGAGCACAAAGATATGACCTATATAGGTTCTTTAATAGCTAAATGAAACTTTGATAGACCCATCTGAACGCCCCTACAGGTGCCAAGTGCGTGGTTGTGGAAAAGCATACAAGAATGCCAATGGCTTAAAGTATCATAAGGCTCATGGTCACTGTAACGATCACCTGGAAAACGATTCCGAGCACCATGCCAAAAAGCCATATCATTGTGCGTTTGGATTGTGTAGGAAACGTTATAAAAACTTGAATGGTCTAAAGTACCATATCGAACATACGCACATGGCAAAGCTTCGTAGGCATTTGTAGTATATTCATCCTCTCTCTCTCTCTCTTTTCTCTCCCCCCTTTTTTGTATATGTATACGCCCCCATGATTCCTTCTCTTGCCCTCTTGATCCCGCGGGTTTTTGTTTACCTCTTGTCATATCCTCTTTTAATCTCGTTCCCTGATTTTCATCCTCCTCATCCTCCTGCATATGTTGTATATAGCTTGATTATCCACAAAAAAGTTTTGTTTATCTCTTTTTTCTCTCTCTAAAATCGGATGTCTACACCATCTATATGAAGTAACTTGATTGATCGACATCGAATGTTGGTATATCCTAGATACAGGTCTCTGCGCCAATTCTTTTTCTTTTTAAAGACCCATCGCACATGATTGTGATCACCGATACATTTCCAATCCTTTTGTGTCATGGCGTAGCTTGCAATTTCCTTTCCATTCTCACTCGAGAGTCGTTGAGCACGTCGTGTGTCAATACCAGAGACTGAAAACATGCTGTAAATGTCGTACAAGTGATACCATCGTGTCAAATCAGAAATCATGGGATCCTCCACCACATCATGCATCCTCTTCCTCTTCATCCATTGTTGATTCCAGTCCAATCGTGAAAGTGAGAAAAACGCCATGGGGTATAAATGGACTTGGGGAGATGTCCAACCAGGGTCGAGACCAAGAACTTCAATGATGATCTTGTCAAAGGTTTGGTGCGGCATGTCGATCATGACACGGCCACCCTCGCTTTCCTTGTACATCTTGTTACACATTTGTATATGCAACTCGCGTAGGCCTCGGCAGTATTCTCCAACATAATTCATCACATCCGTACTGAATCCCATCTCACAAAGTCGTAGTTGTTGAAGCGGATAAAATTTGCTGCTGTTCCCATGGCAACGAAGGGTGGTACGTGCGTTGGTCAAGGTCAGCCGTTTAAGGTTTGGACAACATTCAAGCACTAAATCCAGAGGGCAATCACCATTTAAGAGTCCCATGCACTTGAGATGAAGGGTGGTGAGGCATGAAAAGTCATTGTGTAATGGAATGAGAATCGAATGATGGATATCCTCAAGCCCTTCCCATGCAAATGCTTGCAATTCAGTAGTGTTGGGGTGTAACGTATGTAGCATGGCATAAAAATAATCTTCATCCACAGCGGTAATGTTGTCATCATTGTCATCATCATCCAAGTTCAATCGAAGATAGCTGAGTTTGCGAGGTCGACTCTCTGCTGCACGCATAGCATCTAATAATTCATGATAGGATGGAAATCGGCACCACAAAGTCATATCAATCAATATCAATTCTTGTAGAGGTCGTCCTGATGCAAATGTCAAAATGGATTGTTCGGCTGATGCAATGTCAGCGTCCGAGGCATTGGATACGGCTGCTGTTTCACGCCATGTCAACTCGAAATGTAAACGATCGATGTTTGGGAATCGTGTAGTGAAATACACCAACCAGTAGCACGTGTCAAGCTGACTCTGAACGATCAAGTGTTGTAATCGAGGATACGGTCCATCACGATCCGAAGCAAGTTGACGTTCTTGATCTGACATGAGTAATGCCAAGTTGTGTAGTTCCAAATGCCTTAGCCGAGGAAGTAATCCAAGCACGCTTCGTAATTGTGAATAGGTGAGATAAGTTGTAGGTGGTTCATTCTCATCATCTTCGCCATCAACATCATCCACGGGTTGGAATACGCTGTACAATTCAAGTGTGTCGAGCATGGGTGTAAATGCAAGTAATGCCATCCACTTTTCACCTGCTTGTTGAAGGATAGAATCACCCAACTTGAGATGCCGTAAACTATGACCCACCGTACATACCAACGAGAGCGTTCGATACCATGTTGTTGTCTCAGGGACCTTTTGCAGCTTTCTGAATAATCGCCATGAGCGAGGTACAGCAAGTCGACGCCATGCCGTATGCTTAAAGTCGAGTCTCTCAAGGTTGGTTGCATAGCGTGGTAACATATCCAATTCACAAGCTGACAGCCCAAGATGCCGTGGAGCAATACCAATGTCATTGGCAAACCGTAGACTCTTCATAAACTGGCCAATGGGTCGTCCATGCAAACTCGACGTGGCCAAGCAATCGAAAAACTGCCGTGCTTGCCATCGAGTCGTGATTGTCACATTGCGAAAGCAGAGTCGTCCAAATGCTCGATTCCAGGTACGATTGACATAGATCGCTTCAAAGTGTTGATGAGGATCAGAAAAGTCGGCTACAATCGCAAGGATCTCGAATGGAAGTTGTCGAGGAGGAAAAAGCATGCAAGCAAGTAAGATTGTTGCCCAGCGTGCCACAAACAATCAGACAACATTTTGACTGAAACAAACACAGGCCCTACTTCATTGTCATCATCCCCCCCCCATACAAAGAAAACGGTTATTACTTGAGTCCTTTCATATACGTCATCGTGGTGCTCATGATTCACCTTTTAAGTGGATGTCTATCTTGGTATTCATAGCCACTGCAAACGGGGGTTTAGATGTGAAGGCTTCTGTCAACACCGCCCTCTTTCCTGTTTAATGTGGTTCGCACAGACCTATGACCCTCTTCAAGCTGGATCGATCGATGGCACTGACACTACTCCACACGATCACGCGGTGAAACGAGCACTCAACTCTCATTGTAAGCTCTTGTTGCCATGCAAACGGACTCCTTTGTTAATCGACCAGCAGATGTACCTCCCCGCCAATTGACAACCGATCCCGAAAAGACCATCTTTGTGGGAAGACTGAATCATGCTACAACCGAAGGTGATACAGATGACATGCGTATTTTATTGAAAAGCGACTAATCCAATGCAATAGAAAGTCTGCGAGCATGCTTTGAGCGATATGGTACCATCACGCATCTCCATCTTCCATGCAACATTGGTAAGAGCCTGTTCTCTCTCTCACGTGGGGGGAGATGTATCAAAAGCTGACATTGTATCTTGATAGTCACTGGTACATCCCAAGGATATGCTTTTGTCACCTTCAAGCATCGATATGAAGCACGTGACGCGTATGAAAAGGGACATCGTACTGTATTGGATGAGCATGTTCTTCTTGTGGATTATGAAAGAAGCCGGATGATGAAAGGATGGGTGCCAAGACGATTGGGTGGTGGATACAGTGGCAACAAAGAAAGTGGGCAATTGCGATTTGGTGGAAGAGATAAACCATTTCGATGGCCAACGTAAGGGATGATGATTGATGTGGAATAGGGTGGGTGGTTCTAATAGCGTTCTTTTAGAAAAAGAAGGGATGTGGAAGAAGATCCAATTGTCTTACAAGACCAACGAAGATCGGATACTTGGCGAGTGACAAAGGAAGATGAACGTAAAAGAAGAAGCCATCAATCACCAAGAAGGCGATCACCCTCTCGACATCGCCATCATGTATCGCCCAAACGACAAAGACGTTCTCGATCCCCATCCCATCATCGTCGTCATAGATCATCCACTCGTACTAGCGGATCACGATGGAGACATCATCCTCATTGAATAAAAGCTTCATTTGAAACAGCGACATTTATGCATACTCTTTCACCTACGTTCCAAGCAACGTCGTATTGAAATGTCAACCGATTGAAGAGGATCAAAGACTCTTGCATTCGTCTTCTGCTTCCAAGATCGACACCATTCCACCACTCGTTATCAATGACTATTGCAAAGGAAGAAAGGGTCATCATTGACAGTTTACTGAACCGGCTGTTTGCATATGTAAGTGCGTGCACGCAGCCTTCACTTTAGTTCTTTTGCTCACTCTACTCTATAAAAGCTTCCGTGCAACCAGCGAAGCACTTGCATCAAATCTGATCAAATCGACCTGTTGACTCCTTGTGTGCTTCAAAAGTAAGTGCAAACGCATGCTAATGCAACTATGCTTTTATGCTAATTTCCATCCTCCTTCCCACAGTGGTAACGGCTACTACTATGATCATGTGTTGCTATGCTATCTTTCTAAACGTGTCTCGGTATGTAGTTGAAGCATTGGTGAAACTTGCAACCAAACGGATCACGGTCATAGCCGAAGCGATCATTTCATCATTTGAAGCTGTGTCTACGATCAAGGTATATATAGGAAGGACACCATTTCGCTTGTTGTCATGCTTACCAGTAATCTAGGCTGGATCCATTAATCTCGAGACGGGTGAACCAGTACGCCAAAGCGACATTGCCGAATCGCATTATTTCTTGCTTTGTTTGCTATCAGCATGTCTTGAGCAGTGGCGATGTTCTCAAAAGGAATTCTTGGTGAATGACTATCCATCAAGGCAACAACAACGATCATCATCATCGACGACTCTACAGCAGGAGAAACTCCCTGACACTATCACCAATATCATCTTGAACAACATCATGCCCCATTTACGGCATTATCCTCGTATGGCAACAGCCATCAACCGAGCATCGCAACATCGTGTCTCACGCCTTATCTGCAACAAAGATGCTTCACCTCGTTGGCGATTCATTGATACCTACAATTGCCCATTTGTCAGTGAGCATTGTACAACAGATCCTATTCTTGTGGTCAAGACCTACATCATGTACAACAACATCATCTTTCTCGTCAGCGCTGCAAATTGGAAAGTGACGTTCAACAAGATTGTAGCGGGTCTTGAGTTGCTTACTCGTCGAACGAGTGGCTCCTCGGATGAATGGCATCACCTAGGCGACGTGAGGATACTTGAATATTGTGCATTGAATCAATCTCGACTTAGCAACATCTTATCAGGTACATACATTGTCATGGTGATTTGGGTGATGATGAAACTAAGCCATGAATTACAATTACAGCATTGAATCAAACCATGATGAGAATGAAGCCAGCTTTTCAACGCATGGTGAGCGTCACGGCCTATCATGCAATCTGGGAATGGATGGACATGTTTCCTATGGAATTCGCCAATTTATACATTCGACGACAGCCACCTCGTGGGGATCCTGACAAGCTATTCATGCATTTATATGGTGGATCAAGGAAGAATCTGGTGCTATGGCCTTTTCTCACGGCGCTTATATTACTATGTCCCAACATGTTGTCAGAATCATTACAACTCTCCAATCCCATGGCATCTCTACGCACACAAAAAGCCATTGTAAGTACCTCTCCTCTTTTACGTCATATTGGCTTCATGATCACTCAACGCTTTCTCTTAGTCAGGGTTTCTTTGCACGTTGAAGGAGAGGAATCAACAATTGGATGATGGGCATTTGGATATTGGCATTGTATGCACACTTGACATTTGCAAAGCGGCAGGGATGCTACATGGTCGATGTGAAACAAGGATCCTTCATCAAATTGCCATGAAGGGCAAAAGTGAATTACGAGCAAAGCTGTTCAACTTGGAGAATCCCATCCTGGCTGATTTCTATAGTCTAGCCGGTGATGGTCAAGGTGCCAATATCTATATTGACGTGCATTTCCTCTTGGTGGATTGCTTCATTACGCTTTTCTTGTTGAATCCCCGCTATACCATCTATGATCTATTCCCTGTGTGTGTGCATGAAGAGGCGCCCTTAATATACAAGTCCAGCTTGGTGCGTTCATTACGTTTCATTACCGATTTTTATGCCGAGTTCCCAAGTGATACACCCAACGAAGTTTGGAAACCTGGATCCCCTTTTTTCTACAACCTTGTATGCACCCCTTTGAGAAAGCTGTTTCTTGCATGTACAGCGGTAGAAGCACGTCCACCACCCACTCTCGAAAGGGCTGAAAGTACTGGGTCATCGATTCTATCGGGGGAATCAGGTTCAAAAATGCGTGGATTGTTGGCCAAAAGATCAGAACGTTTGTTCACGGTTTCAGAGTTGCTATTATTGTATTCAGCAGACCCTTTGCTCATGGTTATGGTAAGTACATAATAGGAGGAGGAGGAGAAGGTATATGGCCTATCGTTAATGACGCTATCTTTTTAATGGAAAGGGAAGTGATCGAGATCGAGCAGAACAAAACTTGGATATCGTTACTGCTGTGACACAGTGCTTACAGGAGAGCAACATGGAAATTGTGCGCGCTGCCAGCTTTTGCATTCATCGTATCCATAAAGCAAAGTACATTCCCTATTGGGGCCCAGAAGATGCTTATATGGAGTACTTTTGGAACATGACATCGCATATCGTCCTCACGGTGGCAAAGATACTTTTGGATAAGCAGCTTGAGCAAAGCCGTGAGATCAATCAAATCTTGGTTGTTTTACAAGAAATCTATCATGAAAGGAACACCTTCCTCACGTCAATGGATCAGGTATGTGTGTGTACAACTACGCCATATCATACACTCATTGTATTCATTCTCTTTTGCTCTCATATAGGAATCAGCTCTCAAGGGATGGAATTCGTCTGATTATTTACAAGCTACAATTGGGTTGGAAGTGGCGCTCATGGTGCTTCTATGTTCTCCAGACCAAGAAGTCCTGAACAAGACCTTTCAATGTTTTGGTCTTTTATGCGTTGAAGTGGAGCATCTATTTTACAATGAGAATGGGAGGACGTACGAAGGCAGTAAGAACGCAGCCTCGCTTTTATTGGAAAACTACCCCGTATACAAAGAGATGTCGAAGTTGCATAATGCTGGGATTGTGGCGGGTCGCAAGATGTACCAGAAACGCATTTGGAGACTTTTACGAATGATGCCGCATGATGCACCAGGGCACCTTGTAGCGTGGAAAGAAGTATGGAAACGGTGGAAGCGGTTGAATGCATTCATGATACGATCAGCATCACCAGCGAGTCCTGGTGGACTTCCATCTCCTGGCAGTGGCAGCAATAGCACTTCATCACATACCCGTTCACTTTCTGGATCGAGTACGAAGCTTGCACCTGTTCCCAACACCAGCATGTTGCAAGAAGGCGAATGTGGCGGCAAACCACTCTCACCTGGATGGGGTCAGCAAGTGGGTCGATACACTGAATGGCATAATTATTCTGGTTTCCTTGCATCGCTTGCTGGTGTGTGCTCAATGCAACCGGATTCGGAGCATGTGGATGAATTGGCAGGGCAAGCAAGCCAATTTCTTAGTGAAATGGTGCGTTTACTCTCATCACAGGATGCATTTATACGTGAACGAAGCAAGGATGTCCTTAGCACAGAATTATCGCCCGCCATGCGATCCGCTTTATTACGCCATTTGGAACATACTATTTCGCATTGTGCTGTAGCATCCAGAGGCAATGATTGCATGTTGGCGGTCGAGCACACCATCATCATCCTCACCACCTTTCTCGAAAATGTACAAGATGAGCCAACAAGCGTTTCAGCATTGTCATCCATGCACTTTAGTGATTTGATTGATCAATGTGCGACATACCTCTTTTGCAAAGCTGGTGGCCAAAACAGCACACATACTGGAATCAACATACCACGCATGAGATTACGCTTTGCTCGGCTTTGTGAAGTGATCATGATTACTCGTAAAAAGCATCCATTCATCACATTGCATGGCGAGTTCAAGCTACGTACCAAATTACTTGAGATTATCATTGAATGGACCAGCAGTTTTGGGGCTCTCATGGTAAGTAAATAAGGCCATTTATTATCAATCCCTAACGCTTATAATATATAGAAAGGAGAGACGCTTGTTCTAAGCCCTGGAGGTACAAGTGGCAAAATGACGGATACCAATACTGCTACGCGAGCCACATCGCCTGCTGCTGCTGCATCACCAAGAGGAGACGAAAGCCATATCTATCGAGAGCTTGAACACCAATGCATCCGAGCTATGACATTGTTATTGGAAAAGCTCCCACTTCAGCCAACAGATTTTCATTTGGTGCGTGATCTTACTTATGATGATGGGAACAGCGCCGAGCAGCTTCGATTTCGCTTGTTTTCAAGATACTTCAAATACTTTATGCATCTTCTCTTGCACTGCATCATATCATTGAATAGCTGGAAAATCAGCACAGGATCCGATATCGAGAACGCGTTCAATTGTGATACTGATGAATTCGGTGGCCCTTGCTTTGCTATTCTTTTCTCATCCATCAATGTCCAGGTACGTGTACATAAAACATACCTCTATATCTCTTTGATGCCTTTTGCTCATATCACCACCTAAAGAAATGCATAGAGCGACCTATCCATCCACCTGAATTTGCAGACCTTATTCGAGGCCATACGATTGCTGGATTAGCCAATCTTATCGGTGCCAATGTCAGTGTTGGACTCAAGCAAGCACTACCCATGATGTATTGCCGTATCCATGGTGTAAGGACAGCCTTCTTGGAGATCTTTGCAACGGCTTTGAAACGAGGAGCTAGCTTTGAGGGATTATCAGATACCATCGAAGTTGAAAGATACAATGAGCTGTTGGATGTAAGTAGTAGTAATAGAGTGGCTTTCTTTTCACGATAATAACAAGGGCGGTGATGTATGTAGATCATTACGGATGAACAAGATGATTTTGCTATTGCCATGCTCATGTCCACCTCATGTCCTGCACCAAAAATTGATATCATTGCGAATGGCCTTCTTGCTTGTCTTGGCACTCGAGGAAAGATCACCGAGTTTATCAAAGTTCTCATCACAAAAGAGGTCCAAAATACGGGTAAGTTGACTTGGCAATTCATTTAGCAGCATTGTTGTTTGACACTTTATCATGCACACATAGATGTGGAGGCACAGCTTTTTCGACATACATCGGTTGCCACGCACTTTTTATCGGGTGTTGCTAAGCGATGCGGCACTGAATATATCCAAGAGATTCTTTATCCAGTATTTCGAGCATTGAACAATGAGGAGCTTCCACCTGGCACATCATTTGAGTTGAATCCATCACGATTGAAACCCGAAGAAGATATCGAAGCTAACCGAGAAAACGTTGCCAAGCTCACTGACAAGTTGTTGAGTGCGATTTGTGAATCGGCTGATGCAGCTCCTGCGTAAGTAACCATTATTCATGCATGATGCTTGACATTAATGATGGCCTTTTATATATATAGCATGATACGAGAGATCTGCTACAATATCAGTGAATGTACAAGCGAACGATTTCCAGAGGCACGTTATACGGCTGTGGGAGCCTTTATCTTCCTTCGTTTCTTTTGCCCTGCTATTGTATCTCCTGAATCGATTGGGATCAAGGTGAACATGAATCCAAATCTGCATCGTGGACTATTGCTTGCCGGCAAAATCGCTCAAAATCTCGCCAACAATGTACTTTTCGGTGTCAAAGAGGCATTCATGATCCCACTCAATGATTTTGTCACGTGCAACAGCTATCGTGTCATTTGCTTTATGCGAGATGTATCCATGAAACCCAACTGCCGGCAGGTGGAATATGAAGTCCCTATGGAGAACGAAGATTACGCCTTGATGCATCACATGATGCTTGATAGCATTGACCCTATGGCCCAAGCGCTTTGGAATTCTTGGTACACCCAAGGCATCACCACCGCACGTTCAAGTAATGAGACCCTTGCAGCCGATTATCGAATCAGACAAAAATTTGATCGCATGACCGATTTGCTTGCTCATCTCGGCATCCCACCTGATGTTCGCAGCCAGCACCAAGACTACTATCTCCATGGAAGACCCTTAAAGTATGCTAGCATTCAGTATTCGGATTTCATGCGACGCAACAGTGGATGTGATATGAAAGATATCATACAGCGATCAGCATTTTATGCAAGTGGACGTTCTAAAGCAGGCAGGCCCGTGGTGTATTTTATTCTACGCAGGCTACGATTGCAAGAAAGAGATTATGAGCCAACACTATATTACCTTCTCAAGGTAAGATGATGATGATGATGATGATGATTTCGCATTCCTCATGTTTTATGATAGATTTTGGAACGCGTGTCGATAGAACCTTTCGAGATCTTGATCGATTATACGCTATTCAGTGAGAGCAATTGGTCTGCAGATCGTAGCTGGTTTACGCAATTGATCCTTTTGACACCTTATGAGATCTACAAGAACATCTCTGCCATCTATGGATACAACCCTAATTCAGCACTCTGCGCCTATATGAAAAAGGAGATGATCACGCCTGTCAAGCGATTCGTTCAAAACATCATCTTTGTGACAAGTATCTCGAGTTTACATGCTTACATCTATCCCTCGGAGCTCAGCCTTCCTAAGCTTGGTGGTAAGTATAAGTATACTACATGGCCTTGTTGTTGTTGTTCTTTGGACACTAAAATGGATGACCTAGAAATATTGGAAGAGCCACCTTTGGTTCATTTACGATCCGTGTATCGTATCAATTCGGCCGGCAAACGGATCCCTGTGAGTGTCAAGCTCGGCCAGCATTATGTACAGATTGCTACCAGCAAAAAGCAAAAGATCATTGAAGGTGCAAGCTCTGTGCTTGTGGACGTTTTTGCCATTGCCGATATTGAAGACATATTCCTGGGTCTGACGGCAGATGCGGAAACGGATTTTCGTTTTCGAACAAAGAACAAATCAACGCCTATCATGTGCTCGACAACATCGGCCACTGAGGCATCTCGTTTTGTATTCGTGAGTGCATCATCATCATCTTTAAGAACATGCTATTGACGTTTGTATTGAAATAGGTACTCAAGAATATGAAAAGCCGTAGTCAGCCTTCGAGTGAAGAACAAAAATCGGCCACGGATATGAACATGAATCGCCCCATTCTTCCTGATGACGTCCCTGGCATATTTCTCAACATTGCTCTTTTAAATATGGGGATGAAGGATCCAGAGCTACGTATTGCAGCCTATCACTTTTTGTGCTCGTTGGGTTACGCGTTTCGATTCGAGATCACAAATCAGCTCATTGATGCAAAAGGTATGTATCGAGTCAAGAGAAAAGTGATGCATCATCCATATTGATGAGTGTTGTTGTATGTTAGAAGTCTGCATCCCTGAAAATGATGATACCATGATCAAGATTTTGAGCACCAAGCTTGCCATGACAGAGCCCCAGCTCACCATTGATGTCTTTCGGGAATGGTTTGTGGGTTTCAAAAAATCGCCATCAGCTCGCTATCTCTGCATCAGCTACATTTTGCCTTGGTTCGACAACCTTGCGATGATATGCCATAGAGGCGATGATTATCATGTGCTGTTCAAAGTGAAGGAGATTCTTGGCATGTTTACCGAGCTCACGTATGCATCCGATAACAATGTAAGTAGTGGCCATACTATCATGGTAACGTGTGTTTACAACGATGATGCATGTAGATTCGTCGGCTCTTGCAAAACAAGGTTTGGAAAACGATTTCGGAGCTCGTTGTGGAAGGCAATTATTTGATCGATCTTGCATTGGATACAATCATCAGCTATGCTGAAGTACATGGTGGGATTGGCGTACCGCATACGGATGTGATGGCGGATGTGATTGTTGCCATGTTCAATACCACTATTTGCAACAAGTTAATCACACGACTCAACAAGTTGGTGACCAAGACAGCCTTCAATTGGACATCTTCTCTTATCAACCATCCTCATTGGCGAGATATCATGATCATTGTGCGATTTCTCCTCATGGGCACATTCGATTACAGAGGGCCTGTTCGCAACTTTGTGCCTGAAATCACCCACATTTTGGCCTTGATCGTTGGCGTTGGATCCACTTTGGAGAGGGAGACTGTGCACAGCTTGATGGTCAATATGAAACATGCACTTTGTGTATCAGAACCATTGTATCCAGAAACAATCGAAAGCATGCATCATCGCTTAGAATTGACGGCAGCCCGCAAAACACGCTTGCTCTATGGCCTCACCAAAGAACGTGACGCCTTCTCTGTCAATTTGGAAACAACCACTGATAGCACGGACTCCGTACCATTGATTGCAGTCGAACGTGTAGTCAACAACTTGATGATCGGCACAAGGACCGTGGCACCCACTGCAGGTATACTACAAAGAGCACACATGTATATAGTATATGCAACATCATTGCTGAAAAAGGAAACATCCATTAGACATTGCCAATGCATGGCGTTCACGTTGGCTTAGTTTGGCTACAAGCGTTGCATTCCAACTCAATCCTGCAATACAGCCACGCGCGTTTATTGAGATTGGTTGTTTGGCCCAAGAAGGGGTGGATGATGACCTTTTATACCAGATTTTGGTCGCTTTGGACTCTGCTTTATGTGCCAGCCAAAGGACGGTGGTATTGGGAATCGTCATGTGTTTACGAAATATGGTGTCGAGTTTACCAAAGCACTCTCGTTATCTTGTGCCACTTTTCTGGATTGCTATTGCATTGATACAGCTTGGTGATGAATCACTTTTTCCTTATGCATTGGAGCTTGCCATATCAGTTGTGAGGACATTGAACGATCGACATTTATTTCGAGGTACAAGAACTACAGCAAATCTCTTGTTGGACGCACGACGTGGATGGGCAGATGATCTTGGCAAACGTTTTGACCAGCTTTCGGGGGTCAACTTTGAAAAGTATTTTTCATTTGCTATTGTTGCCTTGTTGCTGCATCATGGCATGAACGACGTTGAACTACGAAGCGAGAGTTATGCTGCCATTGAAGAACTATTATCACTTGAGCTGAAGCTGGCAAATCATGCCAATGCAATCGAACAGGCGGCGGAGGGGAAGGAGAAGGATAAAAAGCAGCAGCAGCAGCAACAACCATCAAAGAGCAGCAATAATGATGAAGATTACCAAGTACTCGGCTATGTTGCTGGAGTCTCTATAAGGAATCCTGGGGCTGTGAATATGGATGATGTGATTCGACAAGATCAAGGGATTCAGGTACTGTTCCTGACATTGCTTGCATATCAAGTGAATGCGTTGGAGGAAGCCGATGTTGCCAGGATCAGCTTGTATTCTACATTTTCCGAAGCAGCAAGACTTATACCGAAATCATTTTCAATCATGTGAGGAGGATGATATTTTATTCAAACAACATGCTAATCTCTTTATGCTACTATGTAGGTACGACTCGCTTGTGCCTAAAATGAACAAGGCCGTATATACATCATCCGATCCGGAAATGCTGAAATCCATCGAGTCGATTATTGTGGTGGCATGCTCCAATCGTCAAATTGATGAGAGGAAAAGGAATCAACGAACGCTCAAGCATACATTGGATGAAATGGGCTTTTGGGGGATCTCCAACAAAAGGAGGAAACGAGAAGCCATTAATTATACTGCACTAGCATGCGATGTGATCAAAGCTACTATTACATGAATAAAACCTCGTGTGTGAAATGGGTGCATAATTTGGGCATTGATGGTTCTTGATTCTGAGGCTAAATTTCGGCCCACTTTCTCTTTCCCTTATTGTATTCAAAACACGTACACGATGATTGACTTGTCCTGGTTGCCGAATGTTTCCAACAAAAAGATCGTCTTGGCTTCAGCATCGCCACGAAGACGAGAGCTCTTGAGTCAAATGGCAAGTCGCCATGGTCATTGAACCGAGAATGGAAGGCTGACGATTATCACGTTTAGGGAGTCAAGTTTGAAGTCGTACCAACCCGTGCGGATGATTGTGTTGATCCTTTTGAGTATCGACTTGCTCAATCGTATGTGAGTGAAACGGCTGAAATGAAGGCTCAAGAAGTATGGGAACGTTGCCAGGTATGTATGGATGGCAAAAAGAGATGATGATGATGATGACAAGTATTCACCTTCATGCTTAGAATGATCCTTCACTACCGGATGCGGATATCGTGATCGCAGCAGATACAGTTATCAATGCCAGCCCTAGACATTGTGATATTCTTAACAAGCCAAAGCATGCCGATCAAGCCGAGATGATGCTCACCGCTCTCAGCGGCAAAGAGCACCAGGTTTTAACGGGAGTTCATATCATTTTCTCAGACAAGAGTTGGCATGGACATTATCGTGAACAACACTTTGTGGAGGGCACCATGGTCAAGTTTGCCGAAATTGATCCAGGATTGATGAAAGCATGTAAGTGTGTGTGTGTGCGTGTCTATGGAAACCAAAAAACATCATCCTAACGTTGCCTGGATACAGACATCGCATCGGGTGAACCCTTTGACAAGGCTGGCGGATATGGAATTCAAGGACCTGCTGCCATGTTTATTGAATCGATTGAAGGGGATTATTACAATGTGGTAAGTAAAAGGATCATTGTTTGACAAGGATACCAAGTTTGTTGACGATTACCATAATAGGTGGGGTTACCTATTCATCGACTCTATCAGGAATTAAGAGATATAGAACAAGTTTATCAAAGACTACATTAAAGAGTGGTGGTCCATTGTATTTGTCATGGCGAATATTTTGACTTAAGCTCTTTCGGATGTGGTTCCTTGTCTCGGGTGCAACACTCTTGGTCTTCCGTGTCGGCCGTACAACTTTAGCATTATTGTGTGCACATTCTTCCATCGTAAAAGAGGAAACGGACTTTTTTAGCCCATAGCGTGGCACAAACTCTCTCAGTGTGTGTGTCTTTCTCTCGCTCTCGCTCGCTCTCTCTACAACCCTGCGAATGTTTGCCACTTGCTCGTTTTGATTAAGGGCATATCGATACACACAAGGAGATTTATTGGATGGCTATTAACGTAGTTGCCTTTTTATGTCATGGCTGAGTGACACAGTCAACCTTGCACTTTTCCAACCCATACACAATTGGTTATTACAATCAAGCTCGAGACACGATCATCGTCATCATCCTTGATGTATCACATGTTGTTGTTGTTGTTGAGTATGTATGCGCATATCCTTTTTATGTGGTGCCACATGGATGGGCGTATACATGTGTTGCATTGCAAGAGCAAAAGGAGGGTGGTGGTATTGTTGATGGAAGCAAGCAACATGATTCGCTGGAGTAAAGGGAAGCCAAGCTATGCAACACAAAAAAGAAGACTGTCCTTCCCGTTTGAAGAGTGTTTTTTTTTGGCATCATCAATATCCATTGGCTCTCTTTCGCCTTTCTTTTTCTTCTCTTCTCCTCCTCCTTCTTGTCAATAGACCAGAGACCGCACATAGCTATTCCATTTCTTATCTTTACGCGAAAAACCCAGTCGTTTGCATGCAACAGTAGCCTTGGTCGTGTAAACTTTGAGCTCAACGTCAACTATCACTTTTCATTCTTTCTTTTCCACCTCCCACCCCCCCTTTCTCTCTGTAAGTTATCCTGCTGCCAGTGTATTGGGATCGTAAGCACACCCGCTCATTCTTGAACCCCACCATTTCGGCATTGGGAACTTTTAACGATTAGGTTGTCACTTGCAGAGCCTGCTTGGCATACACCTTTGTGCATAGTTGTTGGTCCCCCCCCCCTTTCCTTCCGACTATCCCGATATTCCGAAGCGAGAGAGCGCGAGAGAACAATTCATTATGACGACCACGAGTTTCAGCGATATGATGAATGATCCAAATGCCTTGTATGGTTTCTCGGGCGACAAAAGTGCCTCGTTCGAGGCGCATCAAAATCAAATGATGACATCCTCCGTGGCACCAGATAAAAACAATGCCAATAGTAGTTGTATGATGTTTCCTCCTTCAGACATCCATCATCATCATCATCACATGGTAAATTATTATATGCCAATCTCATACAGCAATAGAAATTAATCCAAATGTAATTATAATATTAATAGCCAGATCCATCCAAACAGAATCATGCCGTTGCTGTTGCTTCTACTACTACTACTATCATCGACCCATCAGCTGCTGCAATGATGGCCACCGCCAGCTCGTCCCAGTTTCTGCAAAATAGCGATCCAACAACAGCATCTTTTCATTTTATGGATTACAACTCGGTGACTCCTGCTCCTATCGTCAAAAGTCAAGTGGCTGTCGCTGGTGGTTGTGGTGGAGATTACTTCAACACCAATACAATGGCATTGCAACAACAACCACCACCTCCACCATCGATGGATCAATTCATGTATCAACCCAACTACAACCACAATCAGCCATCCACTTTTCCACAGCAACCCATGATGGAGTCATCTAACATGGTCAATGGCTTGCATAATCCAATGATGATGGCAACCAACATGTATCCACCACCTTCCTTTGTTTCAACAGCTGCAGCACCCATTTCCCCTCCTTACACGTATGACCAGGTAATTCTCGAAAAAGATGTGTGACAAGGGAAATGGATGGATATTGACTTTGTAGCCTTATAGAACCTGATGAACCTTCAGCCTCCTTTGATGATGAATGATCCACATCAGCTCAACAGTATGAATTACCCCAACAAGGAGGTTTATGCAGCACCACCACCACCACCACAACAACAACAACAACAAGCAACAACAACAACAGCTGCTGCTGCTTCTTCTTCTTCTACCATGCGACGACAACCGATGCCACGTCGACACACGGTCTCGACGCCCTATCAACCCGTGAATAAGGGTAAAGAGCCGGAGCCAGAAATGCCACAAAACAAGCTACGCAAAGTTTTAAGAGCCAAGCGACACCGATCTCTTGGCAAGCTCAATGTGACAACCCATAGTACCACCACCACGGCTACAACAGCTACATCCAGCCCTGTAGACAAATGGATGTCACCTGATACTTCGTCCTCATCCTCCATTTGTAGTCCTATTCTTTCGGCCACAAGCACAATCAATGAATTTGATCAGATGCTCTTGTTGGAAAAATTGCAACAAAGTAACACAAATGCAGCAACGGCGGCAGCAGCAGCAGCAGCAGCAGCAAGTCGTGGTGGTGGTGTTGAATCCAACATGGATGAAGAAGAACGATTGCAGTGTCTATGGACCGATTGTTATCTTGACATGAAGACGCTTGATGAATTAATCACGCATGTGAAGGATACGCATATCGGAAGTGGCAAGGTAGGTAGTATAAAGTTTGCATGATTCGCATAGCACTCATCCTATTATATCCGTTTAGGCATTATATTACTGTGGTTGGAAAGATTGCCCACGCAACCAAAAGCCATTTACAAAACGTCACAAGATGCATAACCATCTTCGTACCCATACGGGTGAAAGGCCCTTTGAATGCACTGAGCCTGGTACGTCTACAACTACTACTACTACTACTACTACAGCTGTGATGGTGACACGAAAAGGCTGACTGAGAATTACCTGTAATAGGATGTGGCAAAAGGTTTTCTCGACCAGATTCGCTTACTACCCATGCCAAGATTCATTCCAACGTGCGGCCTTACTTGTGTCAATACGAAAATTGTGGCAAGGCTTATTATCATTTGAGATCATTGCGTAAGCATGAGCGGACCCATGAAGAACAACAGCAGCAACAACAACAAGGCGATGCTGCTGCTGCTGTTGAGGAGCGTAACACAACGCATGCAGTTCCGAAATCGGGTGACACTCAATTGGACTGGATGTTCTGAAATGCCACAATCATCACCATAACATCCATCACATATCCTTCAAAGTATATCATATCTATTTGTTGTTCTCAATACCATTCTGTGATACCCATTGTATCAAAGAGCGTGCTTCATATATATACATACAGCTCGCTTTTTTCTTTTCAACGCATCCATAGCCCCCCCCCCGAAACACCACAACCACAAAGCCTATATCTATAAAGATCTTCATCATTGCACACACATACACATACACATACACACATGCTCGCTGTAATTTAGCCTGTTTCAGCCATTGCATATACCTTTTGCATATTTGCAACAATTAACTCTGCAGGCATTTCCCTCTATAGCAAAGTCTCCGAAAGTATGATGCATATTGGCAAGATCCAAGGGTTGCCATGTGTGTGTGACATGACAACAGGTGTACCATTCACATACACACACGCACAACAGCCTTTTATTCTTACGTATGTACGTATTGAGAAATGCCATGGTGATTCAAATGATCAAAGAATAGCGCGGAGTTGCTATGACAACAACATGTTATTCTCAAAAAAAAAAAGGCAAATGATGAGCTTTGTTGCAAGCAACAAGCACACACCCTCTCCCCCCTTGCCGATCGGGTGGCCATCAATCAATCTATATGCCTTGTCGACTGTGATGTTGTATAACCATTTTAAATCTATCTATTCATCTCTTGTCATATGTGCAACAAAAAACAGTTACTCAAGATCACACGTGCCTCTGCCAAACAAACGATCGCCCATTAGATGATCTTCATCATTCTCCTACTACTGCCGCTACTACTACTACCACCACCACACGCCAAACATCATGTCCGCGACAAGGAGGAGACGAGACCAATTGATCAGCACATGTTACACGAGGTCGTTAATTACAATAGTAATGGATGATGATGATGATGATAGGGGGTGATGCACAATGTTATTATTCGAAAATGTCTAATGTAGTAAATGGCTTTGCATTCTTTTTCTTTTCCATCTTGGCTCGTTGATACTGCAAGTCTTCTTGTAATTGAACCTGGATAAACATACATACATACAATGATGAGCAAGCAAGCAATACGAAGGGGTTGGGGTGTATATAATTACCTTTCGAGGATCCACCACGTTACGTTGTCGCAGCATGTGTCGTTTGGTTTTCTTTTTCATCTGGTTGAATCTCTCAGCGTCATTCTTGATTTCTTCCTCTCGTCGACGTTTCAAGATGTCATTCTTGCTGGCACGTGTCACACGACCAATTTGTGTAGGATCAAGGACAATCATCTCAGGCTGTAACTTGTCCAAAAGACTATGCACTTCAGCTTCTTGACGTTGTTTGACAGTCTGGTAAGGATTGGCCTCCAATGTATCAAAGTTGGGCTCGCCTGCTCCAGGAACAACAATACTGCTTACACCCTTGGCATGGCCAAAGCCCAAAACATCTTCGTAGGGTACAAATTGAATGTCGCGAATGGTAGATGAGGGTTGCAAATGATTCATATAAGGTGATTGCTGCTTGGTTCGGAATGCATCCTTCCAAATCTAATAGGACACACGATGAATATCCAAACGCTCACATATACATACATACACGTTCTTTCTCTCGCTCTTACCGTGACATGCGATGTCCATCCAACACCAAGTAAACCACGTTGTGAAATGGATAATGAGGTTGCAGGTCGAGGTGAATAGTATTCCTGCAATGGCTCATATTTACGGATATCCCAGATCTTGAGTTTGCCATCCAATCCAGCTGTTGCCATATATCGACCTGAAGGATCCACCGCCAGCGATTGTACCGGGCCCTTATGACAAAGCATCTTGACATGTGGCTGAGATGAATTGGGTGACCATAATGTTACAGTACCTACATGTGCCATCTTAGCCCCATCCATTCCCTATCCATGCATGCACAATGACAACAATAAAAACTTACCATTGCCGTGACCCAAATGTATAATAGCATTCCATGGATTCTGTGCCATCGTATGACAAGAGCCTAGCTTTGTTCGCAACTCGGTCACGAATTGGCCTGTAGATGTATCTTGGTATTTGAGATAGCCTGCATTGCCCTGAAAAGATAGATTTATCAGTCATATCGAATCGTGTATAAAATGCATGAATGGATACATACCACGGATGCAAGCAAGAAATGATAGGGAAGAAACTCGAGCTTGTTAACGTCTTGATGATGCTTCAAACGATGGATTTCAAGACCGGATTGGTCATAAATGAACACATGCTGCTTTTGAGCAGTAGCCAACAATGTCTCGTTATGCAACCACCTAATAAATCAAAGATCAATCAATCATCCCAATCCATACACTGATTTGATCAACTTACTTGACATCTCGAATAAGCTCATTGACATGTGTTTCAAAATGAAGTCGACCCGTTTGCCAGTCAAATGCTGCAAGATGACCACGCTTGCCACCCATAAGCAAATGCCTATAATCCCATACATATATCAGCGTATCGCTCTTTTCCATTTTATCGGTAACTTACCGTCCATTTCTTGTGTAATCAATGCAATAAGGGCCATGATCGGGGAGATCGAGCGTAAATATCTATAATACACTCCATTTGTAAGATAAAACTTGATCCATACACACATACACAGGTTCCTTGTTTACCTTTTTGCTTGTATTGATATCGACTTCTTTGGATAACTGATCCTGCCGGTAGTTGTATGTTTTCTCAACCCCTTCTGCTTCAAGGAAACCAGCCTCCTCTTGCAATAAAAGCTCGGCCCTGGCTGCTGATTCACTTGCTTCTCGGATCTGTTCTTCTTGTCGCTGCAATTTGGCACGGAGCTTCTTGTCTTTGACTTTCTGTAAATGGACGATCGGCATGTGTTAGATACGTTGTTGGATCGATCCAGTGTTGTTGTATTTCTTACATCAAAAGCAACCGGTTTGCCTCGATTGTATTTACGTTCAGCCTTTTTGCGAGCAATGTCGATTTCGTGCTCTTGTGGTGTCTCCTCGATCTTTTCTTTCTCTTGTTGTCCCATTATGCGTGGCGGCGGGTGTGTGTGTGTAAAGTGGCAAAAGAAGCAATTTTTTACTCTCGGGATTTGACAGCAACCCAGCTTTATATTCAACCCAGTCTGCTACATACAATTTATATCTAAAAGGGTATTTTACGCCATGCCAACTTGCATCATAATCTCTTGTACTGAATCTCTATAACTAGTATGACCATCCAACTGCAATTCCACATTTTCAATCCTGTGCACATTCTTGATAGGGCGTAAACCGGCCACCTCGGTATTGAGCGAATGGAGTCTATATACAAAGGCTACAACATGTAAGTTTTATATATTCATTGATCCCTCACCAACTCGTATATGTACTTACCAAGCACCCAATCCTTGTCCGTGAAACAATTGATGAATCGACCCGAAACGACCGATGCACATTCACGCCATCCTTGAGTATCATCACCAGCGATAGGAGCACCCATAAGCACCACGTGATCCACCAATCCTTTCTTGTCTCTTGCGTATAATTCTTTCAGACAATGCCAGATCACCAAGCAACCGCAACTATAGCCCACCTATGTAGTCATAGCAACGTTATTTTCCACATCCAACTAATAAACCAGCCACGTTGAGACTTACCAAGCTGCATGGACGATTGCCTTGCACACGCTTTTCAAGCACATCTGCCAAAACTATAGAGACACATCATTCAGTCCCCTGTTGAGTACCTAATACCAATACCTTTCACACATACCAATGCCAGCCTTGTGAGAACGATCCACAGCAATCTGCCAAGGGTTATCCACAACATCTGCAATCTTCATCAACGTTGCTGGAAGAGCCACCGCAGCTATATACATACATAGTGTGAGATAACCATACAATGGCATCAGGAGGAGGCTGATGCTTACCAAAGAATGCATGCAATGCCGTTTGCTTGGCCACTTCAACACCGGCATACTTGATAGCTTGATTCCTCACAAACTTTTCAAACGCTATACCAAGGTCCATCAGAGCATCCGTCTCGTATCGTAAGCAGTAGATATCGTTGAAATTGCGTGCAGTAGCAAATGCTTTTTCCCATGGAGTCTACAAACGAATAATTGATACCCAATGTTAACACCTCCCCGACAAAGAAAATCCCATAGCTATGCTACCTTGAATTCATCCTTGTTATCCATCAAGAATCCTGAGATACAAATGGTGCACTATAAAAGGTAGCTTGTTAGCGTGTGCCAAAGTGGATGAGTATGTATATGTGTACCTGTAAAGTGGGAATAGGCGGCAGATCGGCATCGTTCAGAATTTGTTCAAATGCAAACTCCTCCAAACCCTGCATTCGGCGATGCATTTTCCAACCTATACGCACAATCACATGAGATTCTTGAGGATAATGACGTTGAGGCCGACACACACATACCTGCAAGACCACCGCCTGTTTTTTCAAAAAGTAGAGTGAGATTGACACGCCAACTCTTATCATCATGAGGCGAATCACGTACCTGTAAGACCAAACAGACTTGTTACCAATGCAATACCACCGGCAGTGGCAAAGAATGTAGCACCTGTAAGACCTACAAAGAGGAGTCAATACAAGGACTTGATCCAATTACTACGTATTTGCTAACGTGACCAACATACCAACAAGCAATGGAGCCAACAAGGGTGCAGCTAAACCACCTGTCAATGCTATTGAAGAAATCATGATGCATAAGTATAGGCAGCACATGTCGTATGATGTGATCTATGTACTTGCCAATTAATGCTCCTCCACCCAAAACACCTGCACCTGTTGCGAGCCATTTGAGATGCTTCTTTTGCTTATTTGTGTTTTGAATTGATGTTTTGGCGGATTGATCCATCAACGTGGCTCGATCTTCAAGATGTGGATCCTTTTCTTCTCCCGAGTTCTCTTGCAGGGCAAAGTACATTTGCTGTGCCACGCTACGTTCGACGGCAGTGACATCCGTAGGAGCAAGTTTCATCAGCTGAGCCAGTTCAAACAGGAATCGACGTGAGCGTGCATCATAGACCACAGGTGTATCCTTTTTACTACATCATCATCATGCACGTTAGCATCATTCTATAGAACCTTGCCGATGTCATGTATACATACGTTGGATGATCGAGATGCATGGAGAGGGCCAAGAGGTCAACAAGAATCTCGATTCGGATATCTCGCTTGCTGTTAGACAAGAGTTGGATAGCATAGTCCAGCGACATGGGATTGGATACTGCAAAAGGTAAAATGTTAGGATACACATACACACACACATGGATACGAGTGAGCCGTCGTCACTTGCCTAGTTCTTCTTGAGAGAGACCGAGGTAATTGCGCAATTCGGACCACCACATGCGAGCCCATGATGGGTGTACAATGGGTTCTACGACAGTAAGGGCTTGACCGGCAATACGAGCAATGGCATGCTTGTTCTCCAGATCCCAACTCTCGACCGAAAGGTTAATGAGGCTTTCCTTTGACATTGTTTATGCGTTGAAAGAAAGGAAGAGAAAAAAAGAGAGAGATAATTCATGCTGTGTGTCCTGAAAAAGAAAAAGACGTGGAGTTCAATAGCGTAGTGTCCAATAGAAAGGAAGCCACATGTCAATGCACTTTTATCTCATATAAACAATAAACGCTACTACTATTACTGCTACTGCACATCACGATATTCTCCTTCGATCACTTTGCCATCGGGTGTTGTTGGGGCTTGTTGGTTTAGTGGAATATGTTCATCAGCGTGCCATCCAGGTGCAGCCAAGCGGATATCCTTAAGGATAATGCTGCCTCGATTATCCACAGCAGCATCTACATGGACGCAACAGCTGCCTCCCCGATACCCAGGCGTATTATCATCTTGTGCCCAAAATTCAATATAGATGTGGCGCTCTGTTTGTTCTTGGCCATTCGAGGAGATGGACCTTGTCGTGCTGGTCGTCGAATGGACCGGATAAAAATCAATGTCGTCAATATGACCCAGGTTTAACTCGTTAAATAAGATATGATGCCCTTGATCGGTATGAGCCCATTGCATGATTTTCTCAATGGCTGCTTGTCTCACGTCTTCAGCACCACGATGAGAACCTACTTGGCTCTTGAGTACTTGGTACAGGCTTTTTGCTTGTTCCTCGACGGCTTGTGACGTTGTTGAATTATTGATTAATTGCCACCATTGACTCGTGGCACGCCATACTCGCCATGTGGCTACCGTGGCTACGCCTCCAATCACAATCCAAAAGGCGGGTCCCAAGATGGCACCAATCGTTGTGATACCCGCCAAGCTACCAAGCACCGTTAAACGACGCTTCCATTTGCTCGTCGTTGCAAGATAAATTGGGATCTTCCAAACAGAAAATGAACGACGTGGAGTGATCATAGCACCTGGAAATAAGAATGGTTGCTGGTGGTGCTGTAATAGCAGCTGCTGTTGTGGTGGTGCTCGATAAGAGAGTGGTGTCCTTCTCGTTGTAGCAATCGATGATCCCACAGGTCGACGAGCCATGTTCATAAAGCATCGCTGTTGAAGAAAGGGTTGTCTCGGTAACGGGGATAGTGCATGACGCTGAAAGGTTTGACGTGGAAACATAGCAAGAAGAGAAAGGTGACTTTCGGGGAATTTCTCATCTCTGCATAAATAGAATCACCACTACTACCACCATCAGCCTCACCACCCCCCTGGTTTTTCTTTGTTTGTGTTATGAATGACAATCAATGCCATTTACTTGCTATATTGGTTATAGGTAAACAGCGCTCAACAATGAAAGAGGATCTCTTTTACTCAATGATTGATTCAACAACTACTACTGCAAGTTCTTCATGGTTTCATCGTACACTTTTTGAACTTCATCCTTGGACATGCCAATAGGCTTCCATCTCACGCCAAGACCTTGCTCTTCGTTGGGTTTAGGGATAACGTGGAAATGGACGTGCGGCACAGCCTGCGGGATAACAAAGAGTTAAGCACATGTATAAATAAATACATGCGTTAATGGACATACCTGGTTTGCAAGCTTTCCATTGTTCTGTACAACGTGAAAAAAGAAACATCATGGGATTGTGTGAGTAAAAGGCATCCAAGAACAACGATAGAGAGCTTACCTGCAAAACATTGTATTGCTTCAAATTGGAAGCTGCAGCGATCTTTTTGGCGACTGGAAGTGCATCGGCAAGATACTCATCAGGCACTTGATGGAAAAACTCGGCATGATCTGATAACACACAACACGCATCATTGGATTAATCCTTCGCTTTTGATGATGACGATAGAACACTACGATACTTACATTTGGGAATGACAAGCTATGATAGCAACTATAAGTACGAGCTCATACAACATGTCACTTGGGACTTACCGAGTGGCCAGGACTCAATGGATCAATATCCATAAAGGCAAAGCTGACAAGGAAGAATGAATAAAAGTGCATGAAACAGTTGCCATGTCAACGACGCTACCTCTTGTCCGTCTCTACAAGCTTGAACGAAGGAATTTGACCCCTAATGCAGCCATGTGAGCAACCCATCAAGCAGCAATGGAAGAGGTTCACTTGCCTTATGATCTTGCAAAAGATGCAGTCATCGGAAAGGTGCGAATGAGTAGACATGGTGCGTGTGGAAGAAGAAGACAAAGACCGGTGAAACAAGACGCGTTGGGAATTTAGCAAGGCAAGCATTGTGTGTGCGTGTGTCAAATCTCTCTGGGTGTGGGTCAAAATACATAGTTGAGTTTGGATTTTCAAATGGCTATCGCTGCATAAAATAAAAAGCTACGAGTCTAGTTATGCACCTCCTGTTGGGAGTAAACCATCCAGCAAGGATGTTTGTTGAGCAATATCACTTGGAATGGCATCTGTGGGAAGATTATCTATAATATCGGATGGGATAAGGCTTGTAAGGCTGGTGATGGATGACAAGTCTGGGATTTTCTACATACAAGAAAAGAAACATAAGCATCACACGCATCAAGGTACTACTACTACTACTACACTTACAGCATCGTCGCACGGTAATGTTGCTTGGTTTGAAATAGTGGGTGAGATCTTGATGCCGATAATATCAAGTGTGGGGACAATATCGTAATTAATCGTGATCCCCGATGCATCGTTTCCAGTAAGGCCGCATTTGCCCATAATATCAAAAAGAATCGCTTGTGTATTATGGTCCATCGCGTCCACTTTGATATGAAATGGAAAGATGATTTCGGTCACTGCATTATTGTTGATATGGACATCATCCAATGTACCACCTCCAATGGCGTCGCTGTGTCCAGGATAATAAGCCTAGTAATTAAACGAGTCCATGTAAGAAACGAGGTCACTTTACAACAAGTTGAGTTTTGTACTTGCCGTGGCTTTCACGTTTTCAAACGTGATGCTTTCAATGTTGGGGTTGTTGATACTGATATCCAAGTTAAACTCAAACGTGGCAGTGGTGCCATTCAATGAAAACTTGGGCTCGCCTTTTAAGCCGTTGAATTTAACTTCGGGTACCTTGAATAACGCGGCCAGCACGCCAATGATGATTGCAAGAATGATGATGAGAAGTAAAATGATGCAAAAGAGCCAGCGTGCCCATCGAGGATAACAAGTACAGCATCCACAACAAAGCTTATCGAGACATGATCGCTTTTTCCCTTTCTCGGTATATATAATAGGAGCAGCACCAGCACCTTCGTCACCTAGGTTTTGGTATTCGCCATGTTGTTTTGCTGATGATTTGGCAGCAAGCCCATACACATCGTCTGTTGCTGGAGTAGGCGAAGTGTAGTGTTGTTGTTGTTGTGTAGACATATCATACATGGGGTAATTGTTGTTATTGTCATAGTAGGGTTGATGTGGAGGTGGTACGGGAGGAGGTGATAGTCCTCCTCCAGTATTGTATTGGCCATAGTAACCATCATCATGATGGTTGTAAAAATGAGACATGGACACAACAAAAAAAGGGCTTTCAGAAAAAGAGAAAGGGAGGATAATGAGGAAGAATTTATTGCGGGTCGATCCCAAGCTAATTATTCGTTTCCAGTTGGTGCAACCTCAGATCGCTATTCCTGGCGTTGTAAGAATGAGGGAAGAGAAAAAATAGCTTTCCAAGGTATATAGAGTGAAAGTCAAAGTATCCATCCCCATGACCAACAAGGCTCATCTGGAAAGTAAATGGATCTATATCCCCCCACCACTCTCAGTGTCACATTAGTCCACTACGTAGTAGTGGTCTATGTACAAAATGGTATTCCCCACATGATCGTTGTAGATCAAGAAAAGGATCAGCAGTCTGTGTTGGATATAAACGGCGCTGTCATTCACTCCGATACTAGTTTTGTCAGATGCCCATCCTTCATTCATCATCATCCAACACTGTGACGAGAAGCTCTTTTGCATTTATCCACACACGCACATTTTTGATACAACATCAAGATAGGATCATCATAGCATTTCATATGGAGTCATTCATGCATGGTGCATCATGATGATGGACAACCTTTAATATCATTTTAGATACATATACATACATTGATGGGTGTGAACAATGAATGAATGAAGGGGAAGGATGACCCTGAGAGTGTTATCACCTGCTTATCCAAGGATGGTTGACATGTCGATTTCCCAAATAGGTGCAATGGGGTGGTTATGGTTCCTGCGACTTGGCTTTCAATCTCCACCCGGGTGAGCGGAACGGGTGGGTCAAGTTCCTTTAACTCTTGTTCGGAAGCGTTCCCCTTTGTCCTTCTTTTTCGTCTCATTCTCACTCTCTCTCTTCCCCATGTCCGGAAACAACATCAAAGTCGTTTGCCGTTTCCGACCCCAGAACAAGCTCGAGATTAGAGAAGGTGGTGTCCCCATCATTGACATCTCTGACGAAGGCTCCTCATTGAAATTCAACGTAAGTTGTTGTTGGTTACTGAAAGCAGTAGTAGTGGCATGAAATTCATTTATCGATGATGCAGGGCAAAGAATACAATGGCAACTTTTCATTTGACAAGGTGTATGGCATGAACACTGCCCAAAAGGATATCTTTGACTATTCAGTAAAGTCGATTGTCGATGGTAAGTAACGTAAAACGGGCAAGGGGTTGTGTGTGTGCGTGTGTGTGTGGGGAGGTTAACAGCAGCTCGCGGGAAGGGGTTGGTTGGTGGGTGGCGGTGACATTGAACGGATGGGCGGGCAGCTTGGCTGAGTTGGATGCGTGTTGAACAAAACCTTATCCCCCCAAATGGTTCCACACCACACAAAACTCACTCACACAAACACAACACATCAGATGTCACGGCTGGTTACAATGGCACGGTGTTTGCTTATGGCCAAACAGGTTCTGGAAAGACCTATACCATGATGGCATGTATTATAGATAGATACCTATGCATGTATTATATACTAACTTGGGTCTACTGCTACTGCTAGGGTGCCGATATCGATGATGAAAGTACCAAGGGTATCACACCACGCATTGTTGAACAAATCTTTGCAAGCATCATGGAGTCGCCTAGCAACCTTGAATTCACCGTACGTGTCTCGTACATGGAGATTTACATGGAAAAAGTGCGAGATCTTTTAAATCGTAAGTTTGGCAACGTGAAAAAAAAAGAAGCTTCCATCTTACCCTATGATGTTTTTATAGCTTCACGAGAGAACTTGCCGATCCATGAAGATAAACAAAAGGGTATCTACGTCAAGGACTTGCTGGAAGTATACGTTGGATCAAGTGAAGAAGTATACGAAGTAATGCGTCGTGGTGGAAACAATCGTGTGGTTGCCTATACGAGTAAGTTCGGGGTTCGAATTATCCACCCATATCATCTTCTGACCTCTTGCTTGTACCTTTTCAGACATGAATGCCGAAAGTTCAAGAAGTCATTCCATTTTCGTCATCACCATCACGCAAAAGAATGTCGACACAGGTGCTGCAAAGAGTGGCAAACTCTACTTGGTCGATTTGGCGGGTTCCGAAAAGGTAAGAAAAAAAAGAAAACATTTCGTTTGCATGAATGCTTGCTTACACGTAAAATAGGTTGGCAAGACCGGTGCATCAGGTCAAACACTCGAGGAAGCCAAAAAGATCAACAAGTCGCTGACAGCCTTGGGTATGGTCATTAATGCCTTGACGGATGGAAAGGTATGATATACAACATTACAAACCTCATAGCCAATCTAATGTAGTATCATCCATATATAGTCGAGCCATATCCCCTATCGTGATTCCAAGCTCACTCGTATCCTGCAAGAATCACTTGGTGGTAATTCTCGTACGACACTCATCATTAATTGCTCGCCATCATCCTACAACGAAGCTGAAACGTTGTCGACATTGCGATTTGGTGTACGTGCCAAGACGATCAAGAACAAGGCCAAGGTCAATGCCGATTTATCACCTGCAGAACTCAAAGCTGCTCTCAAAAAGATCAAGGCTGAAGCAGTTACTTTCCAAACGTATATCGCTGCTCTCGAGGGTGAAGTCAATGTTTGGCGTGCAGGCAACAGTGTTCCCGAGGAAAAGTGGGTCACCATGGATAAGGTCAGCAAAGGTGATTTCAAGGCTCTACCTCCTGCACAAGGTTTCAAGAGTCCCGTGAGCGAGGAGTTGTCGCGTCCTTCCACACCAGCCATTGTTCTTGAAAAGGATGAACGTGAAGAGTATATGAAACGTGAGAATGAGCTCATGGATCAAATTGCTGAAAAGGTATATTTTGCAAACCAATGTTACAAACAAAGGGCATGTGACTCAACAAGCTCTTTAGGAAACTGAGATTGCCAACCGTGAAAAGCTCCTCGAATCACTCAAGGAAGAGATGGGCTATTACAAGGAACAGGAGCAAACAGTGACCAAGGAGAATCAGCAAATGACGTCTGAATTGAGCGACCTGAGACTTCAGCTTCAGAAAATGTCCTATGAGAGCAAAGAGAATGCTATCACTGTCGAGTCCTTGAAGGAAGCCAATCAAGATTTGATGTCTGAATTGGAGGAACTCAAAAAGAACTTGGCCGAGGTGCGCATGGCTCACAAGGAAGCATCCGATACGGATAAGGAAAAGAAAAAGGCTGAAAAGATGGCACAAATGATGTCTGGATTTGATCCTTCGGTATGTTTGAATGACAATGGATGATGAAAACCCACATACTTATCATTGCCTTTTAGAGCCAAATCAATGAAAAGGAGCGCCAAATTCGAGATGCACTCAACAAACTTGATGGTGAAAGCATGTCCAATGAGGAAATTGCCAGCTTACGCCGTGAACTTGCCGAATCCAAGGTGTTGCTTGAACAACATACCAAGACGATTAGCGACTTGACGTATGAAAAAGACAACATGGAAAGCAAAAAGAATGACTTGGAGGGTCGTCTCAACACACTTGAGCATGAATACGAAGAGTTGCTTGATAAGACCATTGCCGAAGAGGAGGCTGAAGCCAAGTCGAGAGCTGACATTGCCGATACCATCACCGATATCAAGAGCAAGCTCGAAGCAACCCATGCTGCCAAGAAAGAAATCCAACAAAAGGAAATTGAGGATCTCAAAAAGGAGCTTGAGCGCAAGAACCAAGATCATCAGAAACTTAGCAGCGCCATGACTGATCTTAAGGCTGCCAACGAGCAACTCCAGGTAAGAATCAATGGAATTAGGATTGTTTATTTGATGCTGATGATGCCCTTTTTTTCATTTTTTATTAGGCTGCATTGGCCGATCAAGCTGCACCTGCACCTGCCACTAATGGTGACCTTAGCGAGAAAGAAAAGGATCTTGAGCGCATGCGTAAATCGATGGCTCAACAGCTTGCCGACTTTGAAGTCATGAAGAAGGCATTGATGCGTGATCTTCAAAGCCGCTGTGAACGTGTGGTTGAACTTGAAATGTCGTTGGATGAGACACGAGAGCACTACAACAATGTCCTTCGAACAAGTAACAACAAGGCTCAGCAAAAGAAGATGGCCTTTTTGGAGCGTAACCTTGAGCAACTCACCAATGTGCAAAAGCAGGTAAGGGGTCCACCTAATGATGATGCATGGCCTCGCTCTCGATTTGCTTATTTACATTTTTTTAGCTCGTTGATCAAAACGCATCGCTCAAGAAGGAAGTGGCCTTGGCTGAACGCAAGTTGATTGCTCGTAACGAACGTATCCAGAGCCTTGAAACCTTGCTCCAAGATGCTCAAGAGAAGCTTATTACACAAAACCAAAAGTTCGAGACCCAATTGCAAGCTGTACGTGAACGACTTGAGCAAGCACGTTCTCAACAAAAGACACAAAGCCCCATGTCAGCATTGAACTTTGGTCGTATCGCCAAACCTCTTCGTGGTGGTGCTGTTGTTCCCGAGAATGGTGGCGGAGACTCACCTACTCGTGATAAGCGTACATCGTGGATTGCTGGTTTCATGAACTCGTCTCGATAGACTAGTTGTTTTTTATTGCACATTTTATCTATTTCTTTTTATATTCCGTACATGACAACCCCTACAACACCTCCCCCCCATTTGATATATCCTTTCTTTTCCCTTTGTTTTAAATTTCATGTGATTATCTCTTTGTTTCTTTCTTCATCATCTTCTTCCTCCCTTTCTCCCCTTTTATATATAGTGACAGCCAATAACTGTAAGTAAAGCTTAACCTAACTATACGATTACTACTACTACTACTACTACTACTAGATATATGCATCTGGCGATCCTTGTTGTTCATCATCCTCTTGTGCATCGAGTGACATTGCAATTTGTTCGAGATCATCTAATAATTGAGGCCAACCATCCAATGATTCGACAATGGCATCCAACCATGCTTCATCATCAGGTTGTTCTTGACGTGTAGTGCAAACCACTTGGCAAAAGTGCTCATAGGGTCCTTCTGAATCTTGATCACACATGTTGAAACGTTGTTCCTCATCACCACCGGTTGAATCATCCATCACATCGACTTCTTCCAAGATAGAGTTACGACGCACGGCATTGGATCGGGAAGCTGAAGGAGCTAACGACATGAGTTGTCGTGCTTTTCGAAAGTAAGCAGGGCACATGAGTGGTAATCGAGCTTGGATGTTTGGATAATCACGCAACGCCAATAAACATTCGTACGTTGGCCTCATCATCATCATGGATGACCTTGAAGCACCGCCGCCACTGGATTGTCGACTACGTCTTCTTTTTCCAACCATGCCTTCGTCATCGTCGTCATCGTAGTAATAGCTTTGTCGTGGAGAGGGTAAGGGTGATGAATCTTCATCCTCCTCAGAATGATAATCATCGTCGTCTTCGTAACCAACGCTTTCTTTGAATTTGCTGAGAAATACGGGATTATGGGATAAAAAGGCTGAAATCGCATTGATCCATTCACGGTCAGGAATCTCTTCACGGGGGGCATACACGATTTCTTGAAAGCGTAGCCACGCATCAGCACCTTGGGTTTCGGTGATGTAATTTTTCAAAGCGGTGTAAAAGTGAGTGTTTCGGGCTGTCAGTGCGTGCATCTCGCCTGGTCGATCCAACAAGGCCACCAGAATGTCCGAGTTGACTGATTGACCACGAATATCAACACTGCTACGTCGTTGTTGTGAGGGTGGTAAAGGTATGTATTCGGATGCGAACAATGACATGGTGTGAAAGCGTGTTTGTGTGAGAGAATAAAAAGAAAGAGAGAGAGAAAAAGAAAGAATGGGGTCCAAAGAGACCAGGATTTTGTGCGACTGGGATTGAATAATCTCACACAATTGCATGATATTGTTCTTGCGTCAGTTGTAAAAGCATCCCACACCCACCCAAATCCCTTTTTTTCCCATAGGCTACACTCTCTAACAAGGTGTATTATTGACATTTTGCATGGGATGTTGTGCTCTCACATGACAACCTTGCTGCATCCTAGTCCTATCATACACACGCAGCTGACCACTCAAACTTGCTTAAATAGGTAAAAGATGCAATGAGTCTATCTTGTACATAGCTACATGAACGAGGTATCATCACAAAACAAATGAGACAGCTTTTACACGCACAAATGCATGTCTCCATGGAAACGGTGGTATGTAGTTGTACATGTGGTAATAATGGATACCCTCAATAGATAATCAAACTAGAGATGCTGTTATCATCATTCATCTTTTATATGTCATTTACAATACGGGTTCACTACCCTATATAAAGGGAGGAGTATCACTTTGGAGGAGAGGGTGAAATGGTGGTTGGTGAGAGGTGGCAGGCATTTGACAGGACGCTTGTTGTGCTGCTTCTTCAAGTCCGCTCTACAAGTAGTCTCTTCCAGGCGTGGCTTCCACCGCTTGAATTTTTGGCACTTTCATTTCCCTCTTCATATCATGGGCGTAAAACAGAAAAAGTCGACTATCAAGTTCCAGCGTACCAAGCTCAAGCAAACGATCGAGCGACGACGACAACACAACAAGCTCAAACAGCAGATCAATCGAAGAAAAGAGCGTCGAGCTGCCCGAGCAAAGGAGAATGGCACCAAAGGTAACAAACAAATCGACATCGATCCAACGATCTCGCCACTAAGGCTTGTCGTTTAGCTGATAACAAAAAGGACCAAAGTGCAAATGACAAGGCCGAGAGGTAAGAGTCAAACTTCAACGCCAAGTGCGTGTGTGTGCGTACTGATCGATATTCCTTTTGCCTGATCCTAGCTTCGATCAACATGCGAATGCAGCCGACTACTTTTGCAACTTTATGATTGGAAGTGAGGAGGTGCTGGATCTCGAAGAGGACCGCGAGATAGAATTGAACGCATTGGATCAGTTTCAAGCTGTGGAACCTGAAGGCGAGGAAGATGACATGCAACTTGACCAGGAACAAGATGAGGAGGAAGAAGAAGCATCAAGTGAAGAAGAAGAAGAAGAGGATGATGATGATGATGATGATGATGAAGGATTTGATTCCGAAGATGATATGGAGGAGGAGGAGGACGATGATGATATGGAAGAGGATGATGACAGCAACGCAACCATTGTTACCAAGGAAATGCTGGATGAATGGACCAAGGGTGCACGTGCCAAATCTCCCGATGCATTGAAACACTTGTTGATGGCCTTCCGATCGATTACACGCGCTGATGATGGAACAGATACACAAATGACTTATCGCGTCACCAATCACAAACGTAAGAAAGGTGGATGGTTATATAAAAAGGGGGACCGAGCTAATCCCATGCTTTAGTGTACACCAAGGTTGTCAAGGTGGCGGTCAAGTCAACCTATCCTATCCTCAGTCAGCACATCATCCTCACCAAAAAAGCACGTCATCCAGCAAAGACCAAACATTGGAGACGATTGGAAAAGGTGGTCCATTTATTCCTCAACAGCTGCGTACGATTTCTACGTGACCTGGATCAAGATGATTTGGTACAATATATCCTGACACACATTGCTCCTGCGACCATGTTCTTTGGATGCTTCCCAAAAACGGCTAGGGAATATTTAAGAGTAAGTATGAGAGAGAGAGAGAAGGATAAAAACGCAATCATGGATCCTCATCTTTTGAATATTATTAGGTACTTTTGGATCGTTGGTCTGATAGTGTTCTTTCATCCGAAACACGTGCTGCTTGTTATCAAGCCATCAAACTCTTTGCCACTGCGGCTGTTGACACTGAAAAGAACAATTATCTTCCTCACGCGCTCAAAGGTGTTTACTTGGTCTTTGCAAAACATTCGACTCGAGTGACAGAATCCAACCATGCTCGTTTGCAACAAATGCTTCAGGAGGGTACCGACCTTTATGCTGTTGATCCAAAGATGGGCGCACAGCATGCGGATGTGTATATTCGACAACTTTCTTCACATCTCAAGGCTGCAAGAAAGGCTCAGACACAAGAAAGCATTCGATCTGTTTATGCATGGCAATTTATCAGTTGTTTGGATTTCTGGGCTGGTGCTATTGGTTTGACGTGTAGCCCTGAAGTGGGTACTGCATCCCTACCTGTATTACAACCCTTTGTCGACATTGCATTGAATACCTTAAGGTAAGATACGGGAAACCCGTTGGATGGATGCTTTACATGATGGGCTCACATACACACGTTCATGACATAGATTGAATCCCGTTCCTCAATTCTTGCCCTTGCGAGTACACGTGATCCGTTCATTAATTGGATTGATTGATTCCACTGGATACTATATTCCTCTTGCACCCTTCATTTTCAACTTTTTCTACGTGGATCCAAGTGAAAAGATCGTCAACGTTAACCTTCCTGCATTCGATTGGGATTTGAATTTGAAGACACCACAAGAGTATATACATACAAAGGTGTATGAGGTATGTATAGGGTAGCGAGCGTTTATCCATCATCATCATCATTAACCAACGTACGAATCTATATATACAGAGTGCCAAATTCAATGTATTTTACGACAACATGATCGACTTTTATGCCTGCTTTGGTATGTCCATCGCTTTCCCTGAACTTGCCATTCCTGTATTGAGCAAGGTGAGTATCCAAGTTTTCCTTTGAAGGTGTACCAAACCGAATCCAATCTAATGCTCGCGGCTTTTGTAGCTCAAGGAAGATCAAAAGGCACTCAAAGGCACACGATTCGCCAAACCTGTGCGGACATTAATCGAAAAGGTAAGCTGCACATTCCCATGGAAACCAACTTTTGCCGTCATATACTCATTAGGGGGTTGTGCTTTATACTAGTTTGACACACACAAGAATTACATTGAACAAAAACGAGCACCCATCGAGTACAGTGCAACTAAGCTGGATGACGCAGAGGCCTTTTTGCGCAACACTGAATTTGAAAAGACACCTTTCGGAAGCTTCTTGGCAAGCAGAAGTTAATTTGGCATTTGTATTTCTTACCATCATTAATACACATCACATTTACATGTACATCCACCACTTTTTATTCTTTTTTTATCCATCATCAAAGTACTTGATCTAGATCTTTCACCCATTGTCTTATGGTTTCCAATGTATCGTTTGTCACTTGTGATTCTAGTAGCTTGAGTGCAATGTCTTCAATGGCATCCAATTTAGCTTGACGTTCTTTGCTGTAGATGGGTCGGATTTGTTTGTTGTTGTCGATTAAATGGGATAATTCAAGTGCTATGTGTGGAAAATGTATATACATAAGTAAATGCACACATTGCTTGAATCTTTTTTTTTGGGGGGGGGACTTACCACGCTGCACGATGGGAGTTGGGATACCTGCAATGCTAGCACACCATGCACCATATGAATTACAAGCGCGAGATCCAGGAACAACACGATAAAGAAACACAACTTCGTCTGCTTGTTGTTTGCTTTGGCTGGAGGAAGATTGGATGGTGCAACTTTGGCTGAGGATTTCCATTGTCAATAGCTTGATCCGATGTTCGGTTGGAGAGATGATATTGTGTGCAAGCAACTCTATAATAAATCGATTTAGTTTTCCCATGCACACGCGCACACACTGTAAGGGATGGTTTCCTCACCATGAAAATGAGTAATGGCAAGCACCTTGGGGCATTGCTCTCCTTTAGATAAAAAGTGCTCCAAGGTTGCACAAAGTAAACCAGCTCCATCGGCTGCATCCGTGCCCTAGATGAATACATACATACATACATTATTCTTGCAAGCCCCTTCAAAATTGAAAAGCTGCTTACATTTCCAAACTCATCGATAATGACAAGGCTACGTCCAGTAGCATCTCGCGCTGCTTGTGAAAGGTTTTGTAGATCCAACGCAAAGGCACTTACGAGCTACGTATACAGCAACGTAAAGCGTCAAGGTCTTGCTCAATGATCCCGATTATGAATAGCGTTACCTTGGAGACCGTTTCAATGGTTTGCACACACGTAAATATCTTGTCTGTCAACCCAATCACTGCACTGGATGCTGGAACAAAGCTGTATCTCGCAATTAGTGTACGTAGTAATAAAGAAAGCCATCATCATCATCAAAGATCAACAACGAACCTTCCAACATGCGCCATATACACAATGAGTGCAACCTATGGTTTGTTGTTAACAAGTGGGGATCATCGTCATATGCAGAAAAGAATGCCATACTTGTCGTAGGTAGACGCTTTTGCCAGAATAATTCGCGCCGGTCAATAAAGCAATGCTGGCTGTTTCATTCTCATGATGTTGTTGTGTGGTGGTGCTGTTCTCGATATGGGTGGTTGATACATCTGAGCTCGCCTTTCCCAATCCACCAACCAAGTATGCATCATTGGCAATGAAAACATCCACGCACATTTCCTGGATTGGATGTCTGGAATATAAAAATGGATCAATTGTGTGTATGCCATATATTATAGACATTCCCTTTGATTGCTCACCTTCCTTGATGTATCTCAATCTTGTTTTCCTCTGTCATTTCGGGTCGTACGTACTCATGGATACGAGCTGCATGGGCCAATGAGAGTAGGCTGAACCATGGGTGGTTTTGATGAGCATAGAAGAATTTTAATGATAGGTATTGCCGTCAAACTTACCAATCAAGCTCGGCACATGCATCCGCCATGGCTAATAGATCACTGAAATAGGTGGATAGCTCCTCGGTCAAATATTGCACTAGCTCGATTTCTCTGTCTAATCAACAACATGTCAATTCATATCCATATCCAAAAAGCCAAGTTGCTTACCAATGATCATGCCGTGGTTGTCGCCAAGCGATTCATCCAACTCTGGAATTTATGGCCATCCATTAAAGACTTGATCTTATCACACCTTTTGTCTCGTTCCTTACCATTGGTGCGATCGTTCTTGAAGTAGGCGTTGGCATCGGTTGTGAACTGTGACGTAAAAAAAATGGCTTGTGAGATCCTTGCATATGACTATAATTCAAAAAATGCTTACTTGTAATCGAAAATCGGGTGGTAGGCCAAGGTTGTATTCGAACATTTGCTCATACTCTCGGGTCACTGCAACAAAGTATCCAAGCTGAGGAAAGTAGACCACGTTGCATGTGGTTGCGAGCTCTGGAGGCATCCGTTGGCTTATTTCTTGAGCGACTTGAAGCTATACATATGGTTACATAGATATTCCTCGTGAATGCTTGTCGTAGATCACCTACCAATACTGGTTCCAGGTTATCGTATGTCTCTCTCAGCTTGTCGAGATGCTAATAGCTCATTTTAATTTCCAGACACCAAAGCCATCTCATGGTTGTACGCACCTCGTCAACGTTTTCCTTCACCACCACTCTTCCTTCATGTCTGCTTTGCTCAAAGTCGATCTACGACCACCCTTCATTAATATCTAAAGCGTGCCATGTTGTAAATTTCTTACCATGTCATTGATAGCTGAACCCACTCGACGCAATTTTTCAGTGCCCATGGCGGATTTGATCTACATCACGTGTCAGCGCTTTTGGGATATTGTAAACAGGGCACACACACACCCAACCAAAAGTCAATGGCATACCTTTTGAGTCACTTGCAGCTCTTTTGTGAGATCCATACTTGCAAGGGATGTTTGTATACGCATGCTGTAATATGCAAACTGGCAAAAAAGATTACCTATCAATACATGATCCCATCCTCAGCAGTATACATACTTGCAAGAGTTGTTGCCAATCATGGACGGTGGCTCTGTTTTCTCGGATCATGGACATCATTCGTGGGATATTCTTGATATGCTTGAGATGACCTCGAAGTTCCTTGACAAGTGCCACTGTGTCGTTGGTAGAAAAGTGCGATATTGCCGTGTGACGATATTCCAGCACATTCAGATCCAATGTAGGTCGCTGAATCCATGATTGGAGGAGATGTTGGCCGATTGGCGTCACCGTATGGTTCAACAAACCTTGAAGAGGATCGAGGATATGAGAAATGATTGGTGGTGCATGGCCTATACATTCACTTACCAAACAATGAAAGGCTCTCTTTGTTCCTCTTTTGGTGGGTGTTGGGATGAACGTCTTTTTCAAAGATGCCGAGTACTCTAAAGAAGCAGAATTCTAATCAGCCTCATAATATAAAGAACGTGAACTTTGTTAACACGTATAGGCCATTGTTGTTATGTACCTGCGTGCTATATTGGACACGTGCATGTATTGATTGCTTTGAGATAATGAATAATCAACATGGTGATAGATGTAACCCCACTTCTCTCATAGGTACCTTGAAAATGATCGTAACGAAACTGGACGTAGTGCCAAGTCTTGAGGAGCCATCTCGTTTCCAATGGGTCGATTGGTATAGTCCTCCAACTTGTCGATGTATGTCAATAATGCGCCTGCACATCCAATCTACCGGCAAAAGAAATAAATACAATTGTCACGTAACAGCAAAAAGGTGTCACAACGACTCACCGAGACAATGCTGTCAAGGTTAATCATGCATTGAAGTTGCAGATTCGTTTTCCTTTTTCGGCCATCATAGGGGTCCTCACAATAAACATGGTGGTGGGTCGCATTGTCCGAGGCGGCTTCATTGTCGTCGTTGATTTGAGCAAACCATGAAATCAAAGAATATCGACCATGCTCATAGCCAAAGTCTTTTCCTTGCAGCTTTTCAACTTGGATCTCGCCTGAAATGGGGTTTTAGTGTCACCAATAGTAATCCATGATGGCCATATCACTTACCATCAATGCTCTGTACAAGAGATAGGATATCATCTGCATTATACTCAAGGAGGATGATTCTTGGGTTGATTTCTTGGATCACTGTATAATAATAAAGAAGAGGTTAAAAGGCAAGCCTATGTGTACACAAAAAGAAACCAAAGAAACGTACATTGTGTAGCAAAGTCTGCTGGCGAGCGTTCAATGACATCGTCCATGACATGCAACTCACGGTATTCCTGAGTATAGTATGCACATCCTAGTTTTCCACCTTTCCATTGTAGTGCCATGATCGACGACCCTCCGGATACTTGCACCATTCCTATTTCATCAGACTAACCTCATGCAGCAGCGATCAATAAGAATAGACCAAAATGAACCTCCCTTCCTATCAAAATGGACTCACCATGGACACGGATGTATGCGTAAAAGGTTGCATAGTGAATGCTGATTGTGGTTGAATCGATGTTGGTTGCTCATCATCATGGGTGTTCAATGGACTATGGGTGATGCGTTGACGCTTGATCGGATATTCGGACGAAGGTGACACAAGCTGCGCTTCATTATTACTAGCCGCATAGCGAGAAGAGGAACCCGATCGACTCATGCGTTTGACACTTGGCAGTGGGGCTGTATAAGCAGGTGCTGGTGGTGGTGCTGACATGGATGACTTTTGGTGAAAAGTGAGAGGAACCAGGATCGAAAATGTTGACGTGTCAGCTGAATTCCTTTGTATCCGTTTGGTGGCAGTAGTGAAAGGTGTTTGCCAAATCGAGACGGGCATCCAAAATATAATGCGTTTGCCACCTTCGAAACGTGACACGGCAGCTTTCCCTTGTTCTTCTTCCTCTTCCTTTACAATGGCTCATAACGAGAAATCTGCAGCTGACGATGGCACTCTTCATATGCGTGTGGAGAAATCCCTATCCGACGCGTTCGCCCTGTCCAACTATGTCACCATCGCCCCTGGTCAAGTCGATCCTTCAGAACATTACTTGCTCGTGAACAATGAGTTTGTCTTTACTGCAAGGTAGTCATCTCGATGGAGGAGAGAGAGAAAGAAAGAAGAGTTGACTCATATGGTTCTATAGAAATGATAATTCGATGCACAAGGGCGTACTTGGAACCAGCGCTATGCACCGCCGATGGGCTCAGTTGTCACTCAACGAAGAGGTTTCAGTGGTTCCTTATAACCCATTTGAAGAGAGCAACAGCGTATACTTGTCAAGCCTTAGAGTTGAAGTTGGCTTTCTTCGCAAGAGCGCTCAAATGGATGTCGATGACTTCGATACTGAAAAGATGGAGGAAGGATTTTCTTCGGTAAGGAAGGATCACCATAGTAAGAAGATCATGCGTGGGAGAGAGATCCACTAATGAATGAATGAACACGTGTGTCTACTATAGAGTTTCCACAATCAAATCTTTTCGATTGGCCAAATCCTCGTATTCGATTTCCGTGGTGTGAAGCTCTTATGCAAGATTGCCGATTTGGAAGTAGTGGATTTGGAGACTTTGAAAAAGGCTGCAAGAGGTGATATTGAACCTGAAGCCATGAATGGATCCCCTGCATCACGTGGTGTTTTAATGCGTCAGACTGCCATCCAATTTGGTAAAGCAAGTGAATCCACCATTCGTCTCAAAGGAGCCAAGAAATCGTGAGTTGATTGATGATGCTGCATGTATTTCGCATTGGAGGATACTAATGGTGAATGTTGTATGTAGTTCTACTGCCAAGGCATTGATCAAGGCTGATTTCAAGTTTGAGGATCTTGGTATTGGAGGTCTTGATAAGGAATTCAGCGATATCTTTCGACGTGCCTTTGCTTCTCGTATCTTTCCACCTTCGATTGTTGAAAAGCTTGGTGTACAGCACGTCAAGGGTCTCCTCTTGTATGGTCCTCCAGGCACAGGCAAAACCTTGATTGCTCGACAAATTGGTAAAATGTTGAATGCTCAGGAACCCAAGGTGGTTAGCGGTCCCGAAGTCTTGAGCAAGTTTGTCGGCCAAAGTGAAGAGAACGTGCGTAAGCTTTTTGCCGATGCTGAAGCAGAGTACAAGTCCAAGGGAGAGGAATCGAGCTTGCATATCATCATCTTTGATGAATTGGATGCCATTTGCAAACAACGTGGTAGTCGTGGTGATAGTAGCGGCGTCGGTGATTCGGTGGTCAACCAGCTTTTGGCAAAGGTAACAGGAATTGGGATCATGTCACGTGCAAGCATTGGATATTGATGTTCCTTTGTTCTTAGATGGATGGTGTGGATCAACTCAACAATATCCTTATCATTGGTATGACAAATCGCAAAGACATGATTGATGAAGCATTGTTGCGTCCAGGTAAGTCATTGTTATTGAAGGTATAATAGTATCAAGGGCGATGACTCATGCTCATACTACAGGTCGTCTTGAGGTACACATGGAAATTGGTTTACCTGATGAAGGTGGTCGTCTTCAAATCTTGAACATCCACACAAGCAAGGTACGTACTTTGTCCACGTGATGTCTCGAGATCCATGTGCTTATTATGTGTATATTCAAGATGCGTGAAAACGATATTTTGGATACAGACGTTTCATTGGAGGAGTTGGCAAACTTGACCAAGAACTACAGTGGTGCTGAGATTTCTGGTGTGGTCAAAGCTGCATCTTCGTATGCGTTTACTCGGCATACCAAGGTACAATTTTAATATTTTGGAAGGTACATGGATTGATGGGCTCATGTTGCTGCTATGTATGTAGGTTGGCACAGTCGCTGATGTTGCTCCTGATGTCGAGAATATGAAGGTCAATATGGAAGACTTTTTATCAGCCTTGCAAGAAGTCCCTCCATCCTTTGGTGTTTCTGAAACCGAACTTAAGCAATGTGTGCAAAATGGCGTCATCCCATTTGGAGAACACATCGAGGTACTATACTATGGCAACAACCTTTATTATGTTTACATGTCCACTCATACATGCTCTACAGCAAATCTTGGCCGATGGCAAATTGTATGTTGACCAAGTACGGGAATCGGATCGCACTCCCGTTGTCAGTGTATTGGTGCACGGACCTGCTGGAAGTGGCAAGACTGCATTGGCAGCAACCATCGCATTGGAAAGTGAATTCCCCTTCATCAAACTCATTTCCCCCGAATCCATGGTTGGTATGACTGAATCTGCCAAGATTGCAGAGATAAACAAGGTATGGTTCTATGATCCTTTGGTCTACGACATTTTCATTTACATGGCTATCTATCATAGATCTTCAACGATTCATACAAGTCGCCTGCCAGTGTTATCGTCATTGATAGTATTGAGCGTTTAGTGGGTAAGTGGACACTAAGTGGTTTATGACGATGATGTGCATCATGCTCAAAGGTAAATGCGTATCTTATTAGATTGGGTGCCTATTGGTCCAAGATTCTCCAACGCAGTACTCCAAGCGCTTCAAGTTTTGATCAAAAAGAAGCCCCCAAAAGTAAGCCATCACGTTGTTTCACACAAACACACACACCATCATCAATTGACTTATCCTTTGCCTATTAGAATCGTCGTCTTTTGATCATTGGCACAACGACAGAGCACAAAGTATTGGATGACATGGATATTGCCGATGCTTTTGATACCAAGATTTATATCTCTACTCTCACATCTTTGGCAGCTGTGGAGACCGTGTTGAAGGTGCGTCATACCCCTTTGGTGATAATACGGCTGATCATTAATACATCTTTGTGTATAGGAGCTTGGATTGTTCAGCGATCGTGAGAGGCAGCGTGCCATGTCGGTGTTGCATGATGCAGGCGTGGATGGCAAGATTTCCATTGGCATCAAGAAGCTGCTAATGATTACTGAAATGGCCCGACAAGATACCGACAAGGTTGAGAAATTCTGCAACACGATCCTTTCATTGTAGTGTTGTGGTATATATACATATACATACGTAGTGTTGTTCCATTTTTGTATAAAAACGACTACAGTAAATACTGATTGTGGATAACAAAAAGTGTCAAAATCATCGGCTGCTGCATATTTCAACATTTCAAAAAGGACGGACGCCATGCCTTCCCGGGCACGTTGATAAATCAGGTCCCCAGCGAGCATATAAAAAAGAGAACCATGTATACATTCTCGCTATGCATATATGTGGGCGATCACGCTTGAAGTGACTACCGCCACTACTACATGACCTCCATCATCATGGACAAAAAAAGAAAGCATCCAACATACATTGCTGGTGGTGATCGTATCTATTGCTGTAAAACATGTCATTCCCATTTGCTTTCTCAAAGAGACGTCATTTCTAGAGCCTTTCATGGAAGGGTAAGTGTACATAGCCATCAAGGGAAGTGTATCAGCACGCGAATAACACCAACATCATGATGTACCTTAGCATGGACCAGCTTACCTAGTGGATAGCTTGATCAACGTCTCGGCAGGCGTCAAGGAAGATCGCATGTTGCTTACTGGAATGCACACTGTGGCAGATGTCTCTTGCAATGTATGTGCCACAAAACTTGGTTGGAGATACTTAGAAGCGGCCGAAGAATCACAAAAGTACAAGGAAATGAAATACATTGTCGAGAAGGCCAAGATATCTAGGGAAACAATATGGCAGATACACGAATACATGCTGTAGTGTCCCCCTATTGTAATCATTAAAGCTCGTAAATTGATGTCATTTAAGCCCCATGTGATAGAAGAGTAGGGTAGTTGATATGATAGATGATGGTGTGCATGATTGGCTTAGGAATGAAATGACAGCTGGTACCTGCCTGCGTCAAAGAAATCCACGTCGTTTGGCTTTTAGCGTTAAACGTCCCTAGCAATGTCTCCCTATGATGGGCTAGGATACTTTACGCTATGCACGTATCATGCTAACAAGGTTTGCTACTACACATTGCTTGCCTCCTTTGTGCATGAACGGATGGCATCATCTCCCTTGCATGTTGCTCAATCAAATGTTGGCATTGAGCCACGACCCCTCGTTCAATTCTTGGCACAAACTTTGTAAACGCATTATCATTATTAGAATTCACAAGGAATCAAAGCTACTGTCACCTCTTGGCATGTGCAAAGCAACACTTTACAATATGAACATTGACACTCTATCACCGGCAGTTCCCGATTGGCCACATGACTTGATGTCAGTGGATCCACCAGCTTTATACATCCGCGGTTGGATTCCGCGGCAGATCCAATCATCCACCCTCATTTTGCTTCATTCATACATGTTGTAATAAGGTACATGAATAATATCGCATCATCCAAACGCATGAAATGGGGCTATAATAAGGATGATGGTGGAGACCTTAAACGCTTGACCTCATAATGTTAGCTGAAGTAATACATCTTTCTGGAAATCACAAACACACGTCAGGGCTTGTAGTACAGTTACACCAAGGCCAGGTATTGACACCATGCATGAAAGTAACGGCCCTTGCTTGAATAAGGATATCTGTGGATCCAATAACAACTTACAATTTGAATTCAGCACTACAGCAGCAACGAAGCCATTTATGCTTTGTATGACATGTTTGATCAAGAATGAGTCATTCCATATAGAGCAATCGCCGTACCACACGTGATTTCTGTAATGTTTAATAGGGTATGTGGGGATCAACAAGCATGGATTAATAAGCAGATCAGTGAATGCGAATGATCGCTGCATAGTGAAACTTCTCAAAAGAAACAGAAAAGGAGATCGAGATAAACATAGATGCATGATCACTATGATGGCGTCTTTTTTCCACGATGGTAAAATGTAAGTAGCACGTTGTTGTTGATTGGCATATGTGCGACACGGCAAGATCCGATATAGCATGCTGCTGCGGTTCATTCAAGGGGTACATACATTGTGAATTCAGGGATGGGAAAACAATGCACCGGTGAGGCTCATCATCATCATGGTAACGTACAAAGAGATGCTCTATCTTGGTAAGGTACGGTGCGAATTTTGCCGAGTGTGGATTGTAACACATCCATTTCTTTGGTAAGTTTGTATTGGTTTTCTCTTTAAAATGGTCGTGATCGTTTTGGTTTTCTTTTCCTTTTTCCACTTTATCAAGGAAACCAACCGATGGGATCATGTCTACGCATCACGAAACCCAACAACAACAAGCTCAAGAGCCACCATCGCGAACTTCTTCTAGTAGTCATGCATCCGAATTAAGCGATGATAGAACCACGCAGCATAACAATGACCAAGAAAAAGGGAGATTGGATAACAAGGAAGATGATTCCGATCCGAATGATGATCCACCTCCCGATGGTGGCTATGGCTGGTTTATTGTGCTAGCTACATTCCTCTCACTCTTTGCAGTTTTTGGGACAAACATCAGCTGGGGTATGTAAATCATGTGCTCTATTATTATGCTCTTTGACAAAGGCACAGCTATTTAATGTGGGCCTATTACTACAGGTGTCATGCAAGATTACTTTGAGCAAAACACGTTTGGTGAATCAGCAAGAGTGGATCTCAGCTTTGTCAGCACGCTGATGCTTATTGCTACCACGTCCGGAAGTTTGTTTAGTCGCATCTTTGAGATCGTCCTTGGTATGCGCTTTGCTTTCCTTCTTGGAAGTTTGCTCTATACGTGTGGATTAGTCGCTGCTGGATCTGCAACCGAGGTATGGTGGTGGTGGTGTTCAACCTTGATCTATACTCAACAATCGCTGATGCAAAATAATTTCACACGTTCGGATCTAGATTTGGCATTTGTACCTTGCCCTAGGTCTATGCAACGGTCTAGGTGATGCTATTATTTATGGGGTATGGTAACACCATCTTCAAAAGTCATCATCATGTATACCCCTTTTACTCACTTGACACTAGATCGGGATGCGTGTTACTCCACAATGGTTTACAAAAAAGAGGAGTACAGCCATGGCCATGGCTGCAAGTGCCACTGGATTGGGTGGTTTGGTAATTCCATTTATCATGACAGCCTGCAATGAAAAATTAGGTGCTTCATGGTATGTGTACAAGTACATAGGTGGAGTGATGCAATACTGAATGCCTACCTATAGGACATTCCGAATCATTGGTCTTGGTTTCCTTGCTTTCAATCTCACAGCATGTGCTTTGATGAAGGAAAGGGTGCCTGTACAATCCAAGCTGACAGGTGTGGGTGACTTTTTTCGACCTGTCCTTCTCAAAGATGTGAACTTTTCATTATGGGTCGCGGCAGCTGTCTTTCAGACCTTTTATTTATACATCCCACCTTTCTTCATACCTTGTAAGTTGAGCGAGTTGATATAACAACTGCTCTCCTCACACATGCTTGCTATAGCTTATGCCACATACATTGGCTTAACAGCACCACAAGGATCAGCGCTCGTTTCGGTTCTTTCAGCTACTAATTTTGCTGGTCGTATAGCAGCTGGGTAAGCTTGAAAAGCATTCCTGTCATCCCATACATGTCTTACATTTAAGCACGCTAGTATACTCGCTGACCGTATTGGATGCCTCAATGCTAATCTTATCTACGCCCTTGTGACATGCGTTATTTCTTTGGCTGTATGGACATTGGCGTATGACTATGGCACATTGATGGCTTACGCTGCGCTGTTTGGTTTCTTTGGCGGATCGTTTTATGCACTATGTAAGCCTAATCACTATAACAAAAACTTGTTTTCTTATGCGAAGATGATCTTTTGTAGGTGGTCCAATTACCGTATCAGTAGTCGGCTTAAAAAAGTACCCGTATGCATTTCCATTGCTGATGCTTACCAATATACCTGCTCTCTTTGGCCCGCCCATTGTGAGTGCGATTGAAAACGTATCCACTGCACAGCCATTTCTTACCTACAAGCTCTTTACGGGTCTCACGGCATTTGCATGTGCCGTTGTCACGATCATTCTACGTCTCCGTTTATCTCGAAAGCTCATCGCCAAAGTATAACGTGTTATTTTTTCCATGCTTTACATTAGACTTGTTTTGATTTCATTGTACGCTAGTCATTAAAACTTAATGCAGCAACGTTTGTTTGTTATATCGAAAAGGCAAAGTGCGTCTGATTTTGCTTTTATGTGTGTGTGACACATGTGTGATTACCTAATGCAACTGATGACAGCACACGTTTCACGCGCGTGGCCCCTTTGCAAAGTTTTTTAAAGTCGTCGGGCACGAATTGCTGTGTTTCTTTCGGTCCATAATTTTGGATACCGTGCGTGGAGAAGAGCATACTACAAGGCATAGGAAATTTTATCACATGGGTGGTACCTTTTACATTTTACTAAAAATGGTAGAAAGTATGAGCTGTCTAATGGATGGGAGGATGCAATGATAACGAAAATTATGTACAAGGAAAATTTTAAGCTAGGTTTGATCTTTTCATCGTCGTGAAGTAGTTGTAGCAGGAGGATGTTCAGGTTCATCATCAGCAAGATCAGGCACGTGGCGTCCATAGTTGATTCCACCTTCATTGGCTGCTGTGGGCAAGGGGGGTACTGGTGCTCCTCCATCATGATAATAACCATAGCCATCATAGCCTTGATCAGTGTAATAAGGTTGTTGTTGAGAGTAGTACCCTGTGGATGGTGTTGAATGACGTGGTGACGTTTCCTCATAGTAACCTCCTGCACTACCAGCACCACCAGAGGAGGCAGCTTGTGGTGTAAGATAAGGACCATAAGGATCAAGTTCTTCACCAGCCGTTTTGCTCACGGGTCTTAGTGGAGCCACCAAAGGACGTGCATTTGAACCAGCACCTGTACTTAGTGTACCATGGGATGACATGGGTTGATGAGAAGATGAAGGTGGTGGATAAACACCAGCAAATGGGTCGATATTAGCAGCTTGTTGCTTTTGCTTGCGATTTCTACGATATAAAAAGAAACCGGCCAACGCTTGTAAAAAAGAAGAATTACACGTTGAGAATGTATTTTTAGTCACATGGAACCGAACCAAGGTTATCAAGCAACAAAACAACTTACCTATCGCAGCAACACCTACCACACCACCAACAACACCACCTGCAATGGCACCTGCATTTGTAGATGATCCACCATCGCCTGTATGATTGCCTTGGTCAATGCCTGTTGGTTGCACAATCGAGTAGGAGGTTGATGTAATGGTAATGATATCCGTTCCCGAGGAAGTAATGGTTGTAACAGGAATAGGACTCGATGATGGCTGCTCGAAGGTAGATGAAGATGATAAAGTAGAAGATGAAGATGATGAAGAAGAAGAGGTGTTACTACTTTCTGATGTTGTAGTCGTGGTGGTCGATGGTCGACCACCAGTGGTAGTTACCCTTGAAGTGGTGGTTGTAGTGGTAGGTACCTCTGTAGTAGTAGTAGGTGATGGTGGCTCACTAGTAGTTGTAACAGGAGGAGGTACATCCGATGTTGTAGTCTCTGGAGGTGGTTCCGACGTTGTAGTTTCTGGTGGTGTATCCGATGTCGTTGTATCAGGTGGTGAAGATGACTCTGAGGATGTCGTTGTTGTTGTATCTGGAGGTGGTGGATCCGAAGATGTTGTTACAGGGGGCTATTCAAAAGGATGCGTATTAATTAATTGCATGTGTTTGATTGTCATCGATATAAACAAGGCCCTTACGTCTGTTGTTGTCGTCTCAGGAGGAGGTTCATCGCTTGTAGTAGATGGCGGGATATCGGTGGTACTACTCTCTGGTGGTGGTGGTTCTTCTGTTGTTGATGGTGGTGGTGCCTCTGTTGTAGTTGGAGAAGGATCCTCGGTTGTTGATGAAGGGGATGGATCAGGTGATGATGGCTCATCTGAAGAAGGTGGTGGGTCAACTATTGGGGATGACATGAGGAAAAAGGAAGAAAGAGGATAGGTAAAGAGAGACTCGCGGTAAAAACCTGCAAGAAGGCTTTCGCCGCTTGAACTTGGTTCTGTCGAGTTGGTCCGTGTAACACGCGTCATCCAAGATTACATATCCTTCTTCTTTGCCCGCGCGCTCTTTGTTTTCCATTTCTTAGTCAAACGTGTCCAAATTCACAACTACCCTTTTTTACATGCTTTTGATGATATTGTCTTTGAAAATCTTTATTTGAACAATGAAAATGATGGCCGCAGATAACCATGAGCCATCAATGACGCGTGTCTTTGTGATCCAACATCATTGTTCTAAGAATGGGCAAAAGAGAAACATGGCTGGTGCCACAGTGTTTGGTAAATGCTCAGCACAACAGCCCCTGTCTTGTGTCCCTATAGCTGATATCCTTCTGATAATCGATTTTAGATATGGTGTGTGTTATTACTTTAACGGATGTGCATGATATGATATTAAACATTGACGTGTGTGCTGCATGGTAACGTAACATTGTCTCATTGTCATTGGATGAACGTGTCCCAAGAATCTTGAATGAAAAGCAACCCGGAGATTTTTGCATTACACAAGCCCACAAAAAATCGCTATAGCGGGTACAAAAAATCCTTACTACTCCCCCCCCCATCTCCTTCCCCCAAGAAGCGAAGGCCATCGATTCGGTGTTAGTATTCCCGAAAGACAACTTGTTATCAACTCGACAAGTGATAGAGCTCTTTCATTGTGAGGCACAATACACAAAGGAACGAGTAATTAGAGGGATACAGGAACGTGGCATTGCTAACCTGAGCTTCCATATACATCCTATCAAACGCATCTTGAGTAACATCATTGGTGTATTCAGGATGATTGAATTCGATTTGCATGCGGCTGTACACTCTTTCAGAAAGTAAACCCACCCTTGGTTGGAAACAAGTACAGCCATCGGCAACACACGCGATGACAAGAACAAGATTGATGTTGCATAAAAATTAAACGCCCCGTTGCTAAGAATCTATTAAAGTACAAACCTTGGTATCCATGGATACAAAAGAGCAACCCAGGTACCGGGTTACTTTTCTATTCTTTTCACCGTAATGTTAATGACAATCAATTCTTGTATGAAAATGGGTGAGGCTGTGGCAGGCCTAAGCTATTGGTTGATATTGTTGGTGAGGAGCAATGCTTTTGCGATTAATTTAATCATCATTATCCCGAGTTAGCTGCATATATTACTATCATAATGAAGCGTGAAGTCTTTATGAGAACAGGGTTGATCAGCGTGCCTGAGAGTACCTTGTGTGAAAGTTTCAGGTTCGAGGTGGCAATCTTGTGGCCATAGCGTGGTGCCTACTATACGAACCCTACTTGGATACGTTTGCACCTTCTCATCCAAAATTCTCATAATGAAGTGCGGAGCCTTTATGACAACAGAGTTGATCAGCATGCCTGGGACTACCTTGTGTGAAGGTTTCAGGTTCGAGAGGGGCAATCTCAATATCAAGGTTTGATGTACAGTGTTCATGGATTTGTAGGGGAGCATCTGACAGGTCAACCTACTTAGAATTTCTAACTCTTCCACTGCCATCTTATTTCTTCTTCCTCCCCATTCTCAACTGTTGCCATATTCAAGTGTACAACTACCGCCTGCGAACAATCGTCCTGCTTCAACCCATCATGTCAATCTTACAACTCTCTTGATCCGATTGTCTTTGACTGAATGGCAAGTCCATGGCGTGTTCACAGCCTTCTTGTCACTCTTCTACAACACGCGAGTCTCTTGATACAACACGCTATCTTGTACACTCCTCTACCGCAACCAAACGTAACAACATTCATTCCAGCAGTTGCTATCAGCAAAGCCTTACTCCATTGTCTCAATCAACGTTCCTTACTTGCAACAACATGCCTTGCAGCGTTTTTACGTGAACAGCATAGCCATTGTATACCTGTGGATGATGCCATATCAGCTATCAACTACTACTTCCAATACAAGCACTCGTCACCTGGCTAAGCTGCGATAGGGAATGGCCAAGAAAGTGCTAGACCAACAGCCGGATGGGAAAAGAGGCATATCAGCAGCAATATTGGACTTACAATGGTTATGATGGATGGATGGATGGAATCAAGTGCAGTGATGAGAAATCCTGGAATGTCGCTTTGGTTACTTGGCGCGTCGTCGGCATGAACGATGGATTGTGTCACGTGGATACGGCTGAGGGTGATGATGGATTGGATGAGTTTGAGTAAAGGGCTTGCATATTTGACGAAAGGTGGTTTGCCTCCATGGATGATATTGGAATGTTGGAGTTAAGGCACGCACAGCAACTAGTTTGCAATCATGGATGAAAACGCTTATGACGGCAGCAACAAAGAAGAACACAATGATACCCGTTGATTTTATGTGGTCCACTGGTTGGCTTCTGGGATGAAAGGGAGGATAGAAATTTGGAGGTCGGAAAGCGAGATTCGGTTACCTGTATCATTGTATCGAGATTCTTTTGTTCCTTTGTCATATTACATTCGTTAATAAAGCTTCCTTGATCATATGATGAGAGACGATAGGCAGTGGCAATAACGGATTGTATACATGTTTAAATAAATGCCTGTATTTTCAAAGATAAAAAATCCATAGTAATGGTATAACAATAGTGCTTGTTACAGAAACTGGTCATTGTAAACTTGAATCATCACGTTTAAGAAAGAGTGAGCTCTGATACAATGTGGCATGAATACCTACATAGAACATCATTCAGCATGTGCTATCTTGTATGTATAATCTAATATGAGGAGTACGACGATACCTTTATCCACGAGCTAAAAAACGTGCTCCTGGTTTTGTGACGCCTCCTCATCTTGCTGAAAACCAAGAAGGGACAATTGTTGGTCAACGGAGATCATATACATTGCTCTAAAGAGCGTAGGTATGCATTTCCTCCCCATCTATGTACTATAGTGGCAATTTCATTTGGGAGACATTACTGTAAGTTGGATAGCAGTTGCTCATGTGCATGCACCCTGCGTATACTTCTCCAATTTCCGACATCGATGTTGTTGTTGAAGGTGAATGTTACTGCGCTGTTGATACCTCGAGATATGAAAAGGTACATGATGCATTTGGATCAATGAATCATACGAAAGTCTCTTACACTTACAACTAGCCATCCAATAGCTAAGAATGATCTCATTGAAATCTCCTTGTTTTGATATGCCTCGTCATCCATGTCAAAGGAGAGTTGTTTGGGAGACCGAAAAAAAGGGCGGACCTAAAGTTGTTGATAATGCATGACCCTGCGTATACTCGCCTCCGATTTCCAACCTCGATATTGTTGTTGTAGGTCGATGTTGCTGCACTGTTGCCCCCGAGAAAATGAAAGGTTACACGATGCATGAATCAGACCCCACTTTGATCACAAACAAGACCTCCTACACCTACAACTTCCAATCGCTATGATTGATCTCATTACAAACTCCTGATTTTCCTATCTATATGGATAGGGGCAATTGTATTCGAGAGACATTATAAAAGCGTGCCTGGTGGTTGTCGTCAACAAACAAATTCCGCACGAATCCCATTCCCATCATGAAGATCACTTGGCCCTGTTTCACGCTTCCTTTTGTACTTTTTTCCGCTCTTCATGGTGCAAACGCTGCTCCTACTGATCCAAATGACTTACTTGCTATGGGATTACCTCAACTGCTAGGGGATGCCGCGAATCCAGAATGCACATTGGAAGATTTACGATTAATGACGGCCTACATGGGCACTGATTTTGCTGACGCTGCTGGAGCTTGCATGCTTGGGGGAACACCAGGCCGGGGATCCTGCCCTCCAGGAGGATTAGCACAACTTGTCGAACAATATCCAAATCGTTTCGCAATGATTAAGGCCATGGCTGGCAATTGTGGTAAATCCAATCCATCTGGCTCGTCGCCGTCAATGCCTGGCACACCACCCACCAGATAGTCTCCCTTCTTGGCTCGCGCTTCAAAAAAGACACAAGACATAGAAACAGCCTGTTTGCTTCACCTTTTATTCATTTAATGGTAATAAATAGCCACTTGTTATTGCTGTGACCAACAACATCCAATTCCAAAATCAGCATTGTTAAGCCGGCGCTGCTTTGATTTGCAACAAACGTAAAGCTATGCAATGCTTATTAAAGAATCGTCATCAAAGTACATCCACTGGGCAAATCCCCCGCCATTTATGTGTCAGATGTTAACATCCAAAGATAACACCTACGCAGTGTTGTTGTAAATGAATGTTACTGCGCTGTTATTATCTCGAGATACGAAAAGTTACATGATGCGTTTGGATCAATGAATCATACAAAAAGCCTCTTACACCTACAACCATACAATAGCTATGGCTGATTTCATTGCAAATTCCTTGTTTTGATATCTCTCGTCATCCATGTCAGAGGATAGTTGTTTGGGAGACAAAAAAGGGGGCCCCAAAGTTGTTGACATGTTTTAGATAGCAGCACACATCATACAACTGATAATGTATGACGACCCTGCATATACTCGCCTCCAATTTCCAACCTCGAGTTGTTACAGGTGGAAGTTGCTGCGCTTGTTATCCCCCGAGAAATGAAAGGTTACATGATGCATGTATCAGGCCCCATCTTAATCACAAAGAAGACCTCCTCCTACACCTATACTGTACAACTTCCAATAGCTATGATTGATCTTATTACAAGTTCCTGATCACCCCATCTACATATGACTAGGGGAAATTACATTCTCGAGTCATTAAAAAGCATGCGTATCATGGCTGTTGCACATTCTCTGCAAATCCGATTTTCTATGAAAGTCACTTGACCCTGTTTCACACTTCCTTTTGTACTTTTTTCAGCTCTTCTCGGTGCAAGCGCGGATCCTATTAATCCAAATGTCAACGCTAAATTGAAATTCCTAAAGGCTGCTTGGGAGCTACCTAAAATGTTAGGAGAGGCCGCGAATCCAGAATGCACATTCGAAGATTATCTATTAATGGAGACCTTTTTGGATATTGTTTCTGATGGGGAAATTGGAGCCCGCCTTTTAACTGTGAAAACACCACACCACGACGCCTGCCCACCGGGAGGACTAAAAGAGCTTATCCAAAAATATCCACAAGAGTTTGCCATGGTCAAAGACATGATGGCCAATTGTGGTAAATCCAATTCACCTGGCTCAACGTCGTCAACGTCTAGCACACCACCAAAATAGTCTCTCTTCTTGGCTCGCGCTTCAAAAAAGGCACAAGACATAGAAACAGCCTGTTTGTTGTAGCTTTTATTCATTAATGGTTATAAAGATCCACTTGTTATTGCTGTGCCCAACAACATTATCCAATCCCGATATCAGCATTGTGGTTGTTCTCTGCTTTGATTTCCCACCAAACTTTATTGTGGTACAAAGCGGGGTTGTGTGTGTTGCCATGCAACGCTTATTAAGGAATGGTCATCAAAGTACACTGAGCAAATCCCTCGCCATTTATGTCGACTTCCAAATACAACATCTATCACTCTCTTCCAATTCACCCAAACATTGAAAACGTTTTTGATGGGTTATAATAAAATCTTTGTTGATGCTTGATTGAACATTATTTTGCTATGAATAGGTATAAGTAATGGGTCCAGCTATACAAGTCATGCATGATACTTACCGAATTGTAAATCCCAAGTACCCAAAAGTTTGCGTTGAAGAACCTGTCCCACGCTCAAACCAGGACTACCGTATGTCAATGGTGATAAAAAGATAAACATGCATAGTTGTAAAGTGATAATGCCGGCTGCCACCGCATACGATTTGGTTGCAGGATGTGCCAGCATAGCGAGTGGTTGGAATTGGCGATATTTTGTGCTTGTAGTTCCTTCGAGTGCTGATACGGGTGAATCGATGCCATCAATGAACATGAATTGGAAAACGGCACCCAACAAAAGATAATTGCAAGTCGCAGCTGGTAGATAATGATGTAAAAAGAGTGATCGACCCATGGCGAAAAACGGCAAGTAGTGGAATAGCCAAAGTAGCAAGAAGAATCCTCCTGATGAAAAGAAGCGATGTCGCAATGCTACATATTTGATAGCGTTAGTACCATGGATATCACCATCTCTTCCTTAACCACTTACGTTCATCAATAGGCTCAATGCCTCGTCGGCGTGCAAGAGTATCAGCGAGAGCCACACCAGCGTAAACTGCCACTGCACCAACCGATAGCCACCAACCAAAGATATTACCAGTCATATAGATTTGTTCACGTGTGCTGCTCTTTGACCAGTAGGAGATACCACGAATCAAGAATGGCCAAGAAATGGGGGTCGATTGGTATGGATGCGGCTTTGTCAATCCCGAGTTATGCTTGAACATGCGGAGTTGAAGCTCAATGAATTTACGCAGGAATGGCATTGTCTTGATCTCCTTTTTCTTGTTCATGTTGATCTCGGTAGCTAAGGATAAACGTGTGAGTCACTCGTACTTTATCCCTTGTCCTAATATGACACATACCATTCAATCCTTTAATCTCATGGGCTGTCCAGAAATTCGTGCGATCTTGCGTATTCTTATTTCCATTCACATCCTGCTGCTTCAAAGCCCAATCCGGCAAGCTCTTGTTTCGTGTCCATACTGCCACCTTGGTATCCATGTGTAGGAGCTTCACCGATTTCATGTGCGTGGACCAAATATTGCCATTGTTGTGATCATCCAAAATAACTTGAAACAATGTCTCATTGTATCTTGTATCTTGAGGAACAGTGGTGATCTCTTCGTTGGTGGACATCAATGGAGAAGCAACGTCGTGAGCTAACAAATTGGTGCCAGTGGCAAGATGCTCAAGCTGAATAACATCGCCATGTCGAACAGCTACACGCTTTCCATCCTCGGGAACATCCTTGGTTGGCTTGACACGCCACCAGCAATTTTCATCAGCTTCCTTGACACCAGTAACCTGTTGACCTGTTTTCCCAAGAGCGATATTAATAACACGCTTGGACTACCTTTACCAATAATAAACCTACCTTGACTGCTAATACGCCCATCTTCATATCGCAAAGGGTATCTCAGCTCATGAGAATGAAGGTACACCTCTGTGCCAGGATGATGGAGATTGATAACATCGTAGTAATGGATATCTATGGAGAACAAAAAAAGCTATGTTAGTTGTATCCTATATCCAAATTCTCCTTTTACTTACCCAACGATTTCATCTTGATGGCACTGTTCTTCAATGTTTCTTGGAACAAAGAGCTCATGAATGTATCTCCGGGTCCGGATTGATTCAGAATTGCAAAGTGGACGTAAAACCAAAAGAGGTACACGGCGGTGGGCAATGCGATCAAGCATAGTGCGCGTGCGTTGAAATGTTTCATGAAGTGTTTCTATCACGTTGTCAGTATTTCGCTTTGTCCATGGTAGAGATGCCAGCTTACCATTGTCAAACCACGCTTAATATCCATAAGATCCCATAGATCCACCAAGACACATACTCCAATTGTTGCCACAACGAATAATCCAACCATTTTGACACTATTAGAAATGATGTGTGAGATCATGCTTTGGGTATATCATATAGAGGACGCTTGTCGACATACCTGATTGTCATTGCCATTGTGAAACCTGTTGCAGCCAACCAAAACCACCATGGCCGAGTAAACTCTCTAATGATTATATCCAAGGTTAGCTACCTTGATCCTTCCTCAAATAGATGTGCATACTTACTGGTATCGGTATTTTCGAAACCGGATGTAGCTATACGCGGTGCAGAGCATATAGAATACCAGCATACTGTCAAGCATGATGAGACGATTCTGTGCAACGGCCGAATTATCTATGTGGATCATCAAATGAGTATAAAGGTGTCATTCATTGCCTATCGAATTCGTTCTTACCCAAGAGATACATGCTTGCTGTTAAGGTACATGTGAGAACAGCGTATCCAGATTCACGCATAATGTTGTACAACAGAACGACGCAAAGAACATTCAACGTAGCGGGGAGCGATCGTAAGCCAATGTACGGGACGTTGTTCTCGATATAGCTGTCGCCGATATTGGCAAAGTCAAAGTGGCCATCGTATCCAATCAACCAGCCCATACCAGCCAACATGAGCTTGGCAAGAGGAGGATGTACGTCGAAAAAGTAGGTACGCTTGAGATAAAAGCCTGCAAACTTGCCAAAATGAACCTCGTCAAACCTGATATCCATCATGGTGAGTGTCTTTTCACGTGTCTCATATATCCAACCACTCACTTACACGACTTCTGCAGGGTGCCATATCTTGTAAAAGGTAGTGATAATGCTCAACACAGTGACAGACGCCAATGCCATAGCATGTTGCTTGTTCCACTTTCCAAATCGTGGTGCGCGTAGAGAATGCAGTTCCTTTTTGGTCATCAGTCAATACAGCATACTTTTGACAGGTTGGAGAACGTGTTGATCCCACCTTTTTGTTGTCATCTGCTAATGTTGGTGATGGTATAGTATTCTCATTGTATGGTTCGTGTCCGCGCCTTTTTCGTAGTTGTGGATCGGCCATTGTGCGGTGCCTGATGGAGGAGGAAGTGGAGGGGAAGGAAGAGAACAAAGACGCTGGAAGGAAAAAGATGGTGTCACCAGCACTCAAAGTAATTTCATTCCAACAATCCCCAATGGCATGTAATGTAGCACATAGCCGATACATACACACATCCCATTCTTCAATAAAGAGACGGATATAGCTAAATAACCACTACTACAAAAATGCACATACTTGGAGGAGGCGATGTTTCCTTTTGTCCAATGATAACCAAAATTGTGAACGCATAGACATTATCATATGAGTACGCTGTGATGCATCACACACACACAGATGCTTTTGATCCATCATCATCATCACCGCACGTCTTGGCAACTTACACATGATCTTGCAGCAACACTGCATGAAGACAAAGAGCGCAATGAGGAGTAGTTGTCAACTAGGTGAGAGAAGAAATCATATGATTGACTATGCTGACTACAACAACAAGGCACTCAAATTATCGATTGATTTGCATAATACCATGACAATGGTGCATATGGAAAGATTTCATCACCCCACATTAGAGTCACATCAGCAGCTTTTCTTTTGAAGTTTCTAGTAGCTGCAGCTTACAAGTGGCGATTGTTTACCAAACACACCTATCTATAACCATTCAACACTCTGTTGTTGTTTTATTTTAGCAAGAGGAGAAAGATCTATAATCCAAAAATTGCATGCATGCATACCTGAGCAGTTGCGTTGCACATTTGGCTCCAACTTTGTCTCTCCTTTTCAATGCCATACCGCGTGTTTTGTCATTAACAACAACAATAATAAACTCACAATCTTGTCGATCCCCAATGCTCCGAGAATGTAACAGGTGGTGGAACAAATAGAGCCGATCCATATGTTTCTTGATGAGTATGCGATGGAATTGGAGGGGTATGGTGTGATGCCATGGGAGATGAGGGAAGGAAGGAGGGCCTTGTTATAATGGCATTATCAATTGCAAAGAGTGATGTATATGGTTGGGGGGTCCCCTTCATTGGGTCTCCTCAAGAATACACCCACATCCCATGTCCAACGCCACATTGGCATGCACCACACATCATTGTATGTATATGTAGACTTTCTCCCTTTTTGGCGGTGATACAGATGTACTGAGCCCCAGCCAAGGCTCGTTTTTTTCTCATCACGGATTACAAATGAACACTCTTGGGCGTTGCTGTTGCTGGCATTGTTGTTGTTGCTGTGACCAGGTTTTACTTTACGGGCCGTTGTAGCCGAGCTGACTAAAGAAGTATTTGCCCGGCATAAACAAAACTTTTTGTGTTTCAATGGGATGGTATGTTATGTTGATTGATGCTTCTTCTTCCCACATTATCAGTTTTTTAAAAAACAAGTCGAGATTGTAATGTGCAATGTACATGCAAATGCATGATTTGACCAAAAAAAGAAGGCCACATGGGCTCTTGTGATGAATGGGATCAGTGGCGTCGTAATCGACACAAATGACGTCGGACTCTATGATCTCGCTACATTGAAACAAGAGCACAGAGAAGCACTGGTGCATGATGCGTATGTCTTGGATGCGTAATCCATTATCAAGCGGATAAACTTCAGGATACCGTGGGTCATTCGGATCCACTTTTGCCTCTTGGCTAAAATCGGCATCGTCCTTCTGCAACGCCGCCCCCTGGGTTAACATGCATCCCGCTACATAATAGGCATCGTCAAACATGGGCTATTCATTTTCTTTTTGCTCTTATCTCTTTCACTTGTAACGCGATTTTTTTCTTACATGAACAACGTTTGCACCCGACCCAATTCGCAATCCAGCTTATCCACCAATTCAAGTACCCGCTCTGTATGGTCCAGGTTTTCTGGTCTCATCCATCGACGTCGACGACGTACAAGTAGTCAACGTCGTGAGTCTTATCATTCATCCACTTGCTCCACCGATACACCCACAGCTACCAGCACCACACCTAGTAGTAGCAGCAGTGATAACAACAGCGATTTCGACTTGGCGTCGTCTTCGGGTTCAATTCGTAGCGCATCCAAACCAAAGCGATACTCAACACCGGTTCAATTACGACATCATCGACAACAACAGCAAAAAGACGAATCCTTCCCTCCATTTTTTGCCATTCCCCCTTACAGCCCTACCTATTGTAAAGATAACGAGTTCCCTTATTCCAACTTTTATGTCAGACTACCTAATGGCGATTACATGGTACGCTATAGATCGGGGAATCGAGATATTCTCGGAACCGAAATCATTGCTGGCTGTATGATATGATCCCTCTTGCTCTCTTTCATCATCCAATTCATTTGCATTCTCCTCCTCCTCCTCATTCATCAAGCATTTTATACTTTCTACCTCTTCACTCGTTTTCTACTCGGCTTGTATACGTATATTTTTATAGTAGATCACGCTATTCCCTTTCAATCGTTCTCAGCATACAATTATAGGCTCTATCATTTCACATGTATCTGGCATATTTTGAAATTACAATACACCACCATGCACTTTTCACACACACACACACACACACACAACATGCTTTCTTAAAATGTTGATAATTTCTCAATGGACGATCTGCGTTTTAGAGAAGAATGAGGGAGATCCAAGGGGTGGTTGGTTTTAGGGGAGAACTAAAATGGAATATAGGAGAGCGAAGAGAAAACTTGGGAAGGAGATGACTACGAGGGATGCTGATGAGGAGCGAATAATAGCTCACAAACACAATTCACACACACTCACACAATGGAAACACTCCCACACACACACACGCAAATGTATGTACGCACGCACACAGAAACATATAAACAAATGTAAAAGACAATAAGTGGGGGAGGGAGAAAGAGGTAGAGAGAAAGAGAGATAGAAAGAAAAAGAGAGAGAAAGAGTAAAAGGCTTATGATGATAATGGTGATGACAATGATGATGCAGCAGTAGTAGTAGTTGTTGTTGTAGCAGTAGTTGTTGTAGTTGTTGATGGTCGACAAGCACAAACGGCCCATAATTTCATGTGCCAATTGTAATGTGTACATTCTTGAAAGTATCGCTCCAACACCATCGAGTACTCGTCTGGGTTCTTTAGTAGCCGTGGTGCCAAGAATGGCTTGATGGACCGCATTGCACTTTTCCACGAATACATCATCTCTCCTGCAATAGGGTCACTATCTTGGCCTAAAAGAGATACGATATTGATGTCAAAGTAAGTATGGAGAGGGAGAGAAAAGGCGTGAATGAGATCATTTACCAAATTGAATGACTCGCACTTGTTGCTGAACGTCTTGGAATTGTGCCTCGGATAGTAGCCTTTCCAATTTCGATGCTACGAAAGGATCTTGACCCCGCTCTTGCATTGCTCGATGAACTAGACGAAATTTTATCGTGCATAAAGGAAATCAAAATTCATGCAACCAAGGGCACACAAAAAAAAAGTTACTTACGTGTTGTCATGACAGCATCAATCAGGTTGGAATGACCTGCTTCCTATATAGAAGATAAAGAAAAAACAAATAAGCAAGATGTTGCATGACCAAGAAAAAGGGAGAGAGAGAGAGTAAAGAGATAGGGTTTGCATAGATGCATCTATCACATACGGTGAAATCGGATTCGACCAATTGTACTAAACCACCGGGTTTGAGGACGCGGTATATCTCATTGAGTACTGCAGGCCATTCTTTTGCTCTTAAAGCAACAATGAGTTGACGCATGTGTACGAAATCAAAGGTGTTGTCTTCATAAGGTAAGCCATCCAAGATGTTGCATAGCTGAAAAGTGACATTCTCGGGTCGTATCGTTGTTGGAAACATGTCAGCCATATCGATACCGGTTACGTGGGCGTTGGGATGTTCAATGGCCATTTCCTGCACGACCACAATGTTTCAGTTATTGACACGTGTGCACTTGAATACCAGCCAACCAGCCATTTTTTCTTCTTACCATAACCCATGAGCCTGAACCACAGCCAATGTCAAGTATGTTCGCATTCTGGGGCAATCGTTGTTCGACGTACGGCAAGATGTTGCTACATGATGAAAAGCCATTGAGTTGCTGTTGGTGTTGATGGTGGTGGTGGTGGGGGGGGGAATGTGAGATGACTGAGATGGAGACAACGCACCTTGAAAAGAGGGCTTTGATAGCAAAGTGTTCCTATAAAAGGTTTGAATAACAGGTAATGGATAAAGCGAGAGAGAGAGAGAAAGACAAGGGTTGGAGATAAAGTAACACACCGAATTTAATCGGTCCTGTTCTTCTTCGTCGCGTGGCAAGTAGTAAGAACTCGATTCGATGTTGTGGTATATTCGACCGTCGATATTTATTGTTGGTGATGTAGTCGTTTGGACTGAGGAAGGGATACTCGTGGTTTCGAGGCTGGGGTCACGATGATGTGCTGCTTTAGAAGGTTTTGCACCCATAGGAATAAAGAAAAAAAGAAAGAGTAAAGAAAAAGGGTCCTTTGTGTCCTATCCTCGCAAGCTGTCTTTTTCTTTCTCGTGACACGTTGCGCGACAGGTACCCAAGTTGACACTACTCCGTCGTTGATCTTTTCACAATAGGAGGGTCCCCACATAAAGAGAGAGAGAGACTCTGTGTGTGTGTGTGTGTGTATGTGTGTGTGTGTACGTGTGTAAAAGTGTGGAAAAAAGGATTCATCCCTTTTCTCTTTTTTTTTTTTACTAACCCTTTCTTTGCTTTATTTTCACTGGGTCCGTGTGCTTTCTTACTCTTATGCATTCTACTTTGAAAACTTCCCCCTTTTCTTTTTTGGCCCGTCATAAAACGCTGATTGAATCTATGCCGTTGCGTCGGTTTGGTTCTTGCTTATACCTGCCAAATTCATGTGTGTAACGAAAAAAACGAGTCCCGGCCACGCACGACCCTTCGCTATTAATAACGTTCTTTTTTCAAAAACAACATGTTGCAAGCTTCTTGGTTCGAGTCGCCTATCTTATCCGACAATCAATCCGAGAACAAGGAGAAAAAACTGGACAGCGTATGAGGAGCTTGTTTTATAATTAGGTGGTAACGCATCATTTGTTGATGGATCTCCTCCTCTCTTTTTTTTTTCCATTCTCTCTTTGTTGGTCACTTCTCTCCTGTTACTCCTTGCAAAAGTGGTGTGTGAAAGATGTTTTAGTAGTAGTCAAGGGAAAAAAAAGGAGCGAAAATCATCTTGCCCCATCTCGAGCTAGCCACAGATCACATTCAACCAATCTATATCCGCATCATCTGCTCACAAATACAGGGCCTGACATTTGTCCAATCCCAGGACTATTCCGATTGCCCCACTCAATTCACCTCCCCCCTTGTTCCCCAAAAGTATATCTCTTTTGTCAATTGGACATTGAAGTATATATATATGTTTGCGTGAAAGTGTGTGCGTGTGTATGTAGATAATATTTCAAATGAAATGCATAATGACGTGAAAATGAATTATTTCTTGCCCCTCTTCTTTCTTTGCTTTGCTTGGGATTCTAAAAAAGTGTGCAACATGATTTGAGTACCCAGAAATATTACCACCCAATCCCAGCCAATATTCGTCTTACCTTCAATGTACTTGGCATCCTCTTCATCATTGAAGCCGATAGTCTCCTCCTCTTGTTCTTGCTTGTTGTTCTTCTTCTTTGATCGTTTTGATGATGATAATGATGATGCATCTTCTTCCTCTTTACCGCTATCAAACTTGTTGCTGACTTTTTTGAATTTGGCGACAAAGAAACCATCCATGTTGTGTACGTGAGGATAGAATCGTCGGGTCATCTTAACAGTGGGATGGAAATTCTTGCCCCGGTATCTATGATGCGTGTAAATCAGATGAGCATTACTGCGATTACCCTCCCTCTCCTTCACTCTCTCCCTTTCATTCAAGATCACACTATGCCCATCTCTGTATAACATCCAAAAGGAGGCAAATAACACTTACGATGTGAAACCTTCACGACCAAAGTCAAGACCAGTGGACACAAGCTTAACATTGGGACGCTTGCTTAATGCATAGTTGACAACAGCTTCGTTCTCCTCCACCATTACGGAACATGTTGAGTATACAATGTAGCCACCGGTCTTTGATTTAGCATCCACCGAGTCGATAGCACTGAGGATGAGTTGTTTTTGCAAATGTGGAATCTCGATAAAGTCTTTTTCAGTCTTGTTGAGCTTGACACCAGGATCTTTGGAAATGACACCTGTGCCTGAACATGGGGCATCCAAAAGGACACGATCAAATCCACCAAGCACCTTTGGGAATTCACGACCATCATAGTTGCACACAACAGCGTTTCTCACACCCAAGCGATGAATGTTGGCGATTAAACTCTTGAGACGATCCTTGTTGGCATCATTGGCAAACACCATGCCTGTATTCTTTTGCAATGCGGCGATATAGGTCGTCTTGCCACCAGGTGCAGATGCCATATCAAGTACACGCTCGTTTTCTTGAGGTGCAAGGGCCATGACGGGCAAAAAGGAGGAAGCTGCCTGCAGCATATAGTGTCCAGCCAAGTATTCAGGCGTAGCACCAATAGGGACTTGTGAATTGAACACTTGCAAACCCACTTTGCTCCATTTGCCAATAGGATCAAGGTTGACACCACGGTTGATAAGAGCTTGAGCAAGGTCACGACGACGTGTACGAAGCGTGTTGGTACGAATCGTAACAGGACGTGGCACTTCGTTGGCTTCGAAAAACTCGATGGCTTCAGAGGCTGAGAACAAGTTGTAGAGCTTCTCGGCCAAAAAGTAGTTGTAACCATAGTATGCACAAATGTCTTTAAGAAGACGATCCACATATTCTTGACGTGACCTGAAAAAAGATAAATGTTGTCAATATCGCGTGTGTGGTATCCATGGCTACCATTATCCATCCTACTTACACATTGGGATCGCGTTGTGTCTTGAAGTTGTTGAGGATGTTCACAATCTCTTGGATACGTTGATTGACAACAGTGACATCAGCGACGGCTTCTTCTTCATCTTCAGGAAGGACAAAGTGGCTCGTTTCTTCAGTATCACCAGCAATGTTGGTTTGCATAGCAGCATCCATCAACTCTGCCTCGGCTTCAGCAGCTTCACGTGCCTTTCTTGCTTCAATCTTTCGAGATTTGCGTTCATCCAATCCTTGAAACTAATAACAACATGGTGTCAATCATTGTTACATACATTGCTCGTATGTTCCTTACCTCTGCAATATGCTCATCGTCCTCGTCTTCATCACTTTCTTCCTCCTCTTCCTCTTCCTCCTCTTCCTCTTCTTCTTCTTCGGAATCAGATCCAAGGAAACCCTTGCTGGACTTGGGGAAGATATCACCATTGTCGTCGGAAGCGAGATCATCCATATCAAACTCGTCGTCAAGTGGCTCGTCGTCTTCGTCATCGGTAGCAGGCTCCACATTGTCCCATAGATCGTCCTCGCCACCTTGGTTGGCAACTTCAGCAGCCAAGAACTCTTCCTCTTCCTCTTCATTGTCACTGGATTCTGGTTGCTGCTGCTGCTGCTTCTTCAAAGCCTTCTTGTTGTTGATCTTTTGCTTCTTGGGTTGTGCGATCTGCTCCTCCTGTTGACGCTTTCGCTTGATCTCGGCGCCCTTTTTCTTATTCTTGCCATTGGCTTTGGCATGCTTTGGTGGACCGTCCAAAGGAGCTGGAGGAGGTTGTTTGTTGCGTGCACGTCGTCCCATGGCTGATTGATCGTTTCGGTTCAAGAAGGGTCAACTTGACAACTCGGCTTGCCAAAAAAATTCGCTTGGTCGGGTATCCGGGCGAGCCAATGAAAGCTGCCACGCTGCTTTAATATCAGAGTTTGTGCTAATGACAAAGGGCATTGCAGGATTTTCATATCGAATGTAATGGTCATCCTCTCTCGCATTCAATACATGGTAACGCCATCCATCATCTTGACACACTATCAGATTGGTCATGATACTCAAGAAGCCTAGCTACCTTAATAGCCCATATCCATTATAGCTATAAACCAACCCCTATGATGCTCCAAACAACAATGTATGAAACCAAATCCAATTCTTCTATTAAAAAGTACAAATGAAGCCTAGACTTATATTATAACCAAGTGACCTTGAGAACTTCACGTTTAACTGTGCTGTCACTTTCAAACACGCGCTCTGCTACCAATTTGTCGCCATCCTCATCCTTGGTTTCCTGTAACAAGTTGCAGAATGGCAGCACACCACCACCTACACCAAAGTAAACAGTCTTTGCAGCCACATAGCTATATTCAAAGCAAGTAATAAGCACGCTATCCTCCACCTTTGATCTTCCTTAGACACTTACCAAACACCATCAGGCTTCTTCAAAGTCTTTTGGATGGTTTGTACAAGGGAAAGCAAGGCGTCTTGAGAATAAATGGTTTCCGAAGTAACAATCATGTCGTATTTGCAGCTAGCAATGGTCTAAAAAGTATACAACCTATCTTAGAGAATTGCAACCATCACTAGAAATCATGACCTACCGGTAAGCCACTCCAATCACCAACAAAGGCACGTGTGCGTTGACCTATACGTTGCAGCATGTCAGGTACGTGCTCGGTAGGTAACTCGGCTTCAGCATCACACGTGACATTTTCACCAATGATGCCATCCTTTTCATCGTCCTCGTCATTCTCTTCGTCTTCATCTTCGTTTTCCTTTTCACTTTCAGGAGCCTTTTCTTTCTCAGTTGATGTCTCTTCTTCATCTTCTGGTTGTTCATCCGTAGAAGCGTGTACTTGTAAGACGGTATTCAAGAGAATATTGGGCAACGTGATATACTGAATGACTTGTTCATTGTAATCCAAGACATCCACGTGATTGGTAGAATCATGCTGCAAGAGAAAGAGTGATGGTAATGCAGATCCACATCCAAGCTAAGCATAGCAATAGCATCGTTATCAGTCAACTAGTATCCCCATTTGCTTACTAAAAGGATTACCTCCAACACACGCTTGTTGCTGATTTGCTCCTTGGGCAATTTTGCCAAATATTCAGTAAGATCGAGAGAGCATTCCCAGGTCTTGAATCCACCTATGTTGAATATTAGCACGAGGATAAATCCACCAATCATCGAAACTCTACCTTCATAGACACCACGCACTAGATCACTATTGCTGTTCAAGTCCAACATGTTGACAATCTTTTTCTCTTCAGCATCCTCGTTGCCCAAAGTATCTTGCATAGCCATCTGGTATTTGACATCACCGAGAGCACGCTTATAGAGAGGTTGATTCACGTTGGGTATATGAAGAATGTCGGCTTGGATGGCGGATGGCAAGGTACAAGTCTATATCCATATATGAGAAGAAGGCTACGCTTGATTCCTCCATATCCAAAAGACATACTGTGATATCATATTCATAGCAAGGCGTCTTGTCAACAGCTTGTTGCTCTTCAAGTGATAGATCGTTGAGAGTCGAGTTGAGCTCGTTGCCTTGATCGATCTCCTCCAGATCCAGATCGTCACTCTGCCATTCGTCTTGACCCGTTAGCGCATGCGAGGTTTCTTTAAGGTCATGCTACACAATGCTTACCGTAAAGTTGAATTTGAAAGCCATGTTTGAACGTACGAGATCGCTCTTCCACCAGACCCGAAAAAAAGGAAACTCGGTCGGACTTTTGGAATTCCTTCCTTGACAACAATATCATAGCAACAGAAAGCACCAGCTTGTGCCTTACTACCAATCCCCACTCCCATCTTGCGTCTACCGCATCATGCAGTATAGAGTGAACAGCTGATTTTACATGAAAGCCTCCCCTTTATGTACATAATTCCTGATACTCATTGTCTTCCTCTTCTAATTTCGTCAACAATGAACCTATGCATATAAGTAATTATTGGCAAAGTCTTTAATCAGACCTCTATAATGAATGGCATACCTTTTATTTGATCCCTAAATGATTTGCTTCACCTTACAATGTAAAGCAAGTTGTTAAACAACCCCTAGCTCCACTACGACTTGATGGTCAACGTACCAAGCTTATCCAATGTCACTCAACCACCATCCTATCATCCTCATCATAGCAAAATGGATGTGTTCATCAAGTTTTATTCTTTGATAGGACCAAGAGTAAGGTGACATTCTACGATATGGTCATGTGCTTGTGGCTGGCAACAATCATTCACGGGTTGCTCTTGCAGAAAGCTCTCTTTTGTATCATGTCCGCTGTTGTCTTTCGTGATCTCAAGACGATCCCCACGCCTTCTGGTTGGACACCCGAAGTGAAGTACATTGACAAGTTGCTATGGTCACCGAAAATACCTCCTGAAGTGCGCATGAGCTTTGAGCCCAAGGTGCCCAAGAATGCCGATGCAGTACAAAGCCCCCGTTTCCTTGCCGACAATGTCAATGTGCGTGGTACTCAATTCGCAGGCATCAAAGAACAACGACGCAATGTCAAGATCAAGCGTATCACGGATCCCAAACATCCATGCTGTGGTGCTTATGGGTTGTTTGCTGCTCAGACCTTACAGCCACGCCAGTTGATCCTCGATTACTTGGGTGTTGTAGAATACAAGACGTATGATCCAACGTCCGACTATGTCCTCCGCTTAGGCACTGATTTATCGGTGGATGCTGCAAAGTATGGAAACGAAGCACGGTTTTGTAATGATTTTCGTGGCGTTGGACCAGGTCCCAATGTGTGCTTTTTAAACTACATGGATGAACGAACACGGCAAGTGCGTGTGGGTATCTTTGTGCTTGGTAACAGCAAGATCAAAAAGGGAGAAGAATTGGTAAGTAGAGCTTGAAACTTTATTGATGAAGTGTGGGATGTTAAACATGGAAAACTATCCTGTAGCTCGTGACTTATGGCAAATCATTCTGGACAAAGCGAGGCATGGATATCCATCAACAAAATCATTCACAACGACGATAGGACTATACCATACTATAAATCATCCTTTATTTAATTGCATATACATTAAAATGTAACACCCAATTCATCTGCAACCTTTCGATACAATGGCAAATAATGGACCATGGGAGCAATACCATCCCTAAATGCATGATATGAGCATTCATCCTCTTCCTAAATGTCCCGTGTAATACGTACTTCATATCCTTCAATCGTTTTACCCTTTGTTGCATATCATTACGATGGCGTTGTGCTTCTCGTTCACGTTCACGTTCCACTTTGACTTGCTGGGTCGATTGCTCCGTTGCCACGCGTGGTAGTTCATTTCGTGTTTGTCGGGGCTTGTCAGAATCCAATACTTCTTTCAACAAGTCAAGCTCACGCTGAATTTCTTGCTGCATCTGGTCATCTTGCATAGATCGAGCATGTTCCAATTTGGATAGCAACACAGCTTGTTCCATGGATGCATTGATCGTACGACCCGCCACCTCCTGCTTCCGCTTGATCATTTCAGAGACTTCCTTGTCACTCAAAACATACGTGGCCGCCTTTTCAATGTCTTTTGCCTTGTGTTCAACTTCTTCAATATCAGGAAGAGTCACGTGTTCAGCTTCAAGCGTATTGATGAATCGAGTGTATTCTTGCTATAAAAGATATGGATGAATAACAATGATTGATCCAAATCCCATTCATTATTACCTGAGAAAGGCTGTGATTGGAAACAATATCCATAGTAAATGCTCGCTCAGCACTTCCATGTTTCAATAAAAGAGCCTTTTTGCATGTCGTGCTTTCTGAAATCTTGTATGTCTTGTGCCAATCCACGATATCTGATATATATACCACCTTATTAGACTCGTCCTCTTTGAATGAACCATCCAACAACTTACCAATGACTTTGCAAAGTCGATATACCGAAGATCGTGTCTTGCTATCATCTCCAATGTAAATACGGACATAAGCATCTAATCAAATCATTCATCCGTCAATTCAAATGTCCGTCATGCATGAATAGGCCATGCTCACCTGTCACTGTTCGATCGAAATAGGGCGCATATAACCATTTCTCCAATTGATAGCGTCGCAAAACAATAGACTGCATTTCTTCCAATGTCGGCGTTCGCTTCTTTGCCTGATTCAAAAAGACGACGTTAGCCTTCGGCTATCCTTCTTTCATCCCACAATCCATGATTACCTTTGTCTCAGCATAGTATTCATCATCTTCCTCGATTTCACTTGCTTCTCCTGCACTCTCATCACTGTATCGTGTACGTTTGCGTTCAGGCGTGGGTGATCGTCGGCCACGCTTGGATCGACTCTTGTGCTTTTCCTCTCGACGTCGAGTAAGTTCATTCAGTGCTCGTGATGTGCCGCTTCCTTTTGCTCGTGTGGATCCTAGACAGCAAAAGAGTTATTCTAGTGGCATAGCGTATACTCGTAGGATATTTACGTCGTGTGGTATCTTCTCGTCGGCCGTCATTCAACAACTTGCGCACTTCAAGGCGTTCAAGGTTGCGTTGTCGTTCTTCGGAACGTTCACTCAAAATGCGTTCACGCTCCACTTCAGGAAGAGCCAGCAATCTGATCCACGGAAGAGTGAGTTGTGGTGGTAGTAGTAGTAGTACAAGTGTTGATTGAAAGAGACATACCGTCGTCGATCTTCCTCATCTTTGTACAAGTCGGGACCATATTCGTCAATACCATCGTCGTCGTCATCCGATCGTGCACCACCGCCATTGTCAACAAGCTCGAGAATCAAGTCGTCGATTTCTTTGCTCATGGGTCGTGAAAAAGGATAAGGGAAGGAGTAAAAAAGTATCTCCACCGCAAACCAGCCAGTGCATGTACATGAGCGATTTGAGAAGGCGACGACAGCGACGACGACTCCCGTGACTTTGCAGTAGTAGTGGTACCTCTCCAATCCACATCTTTTATGCAACCTGTCATCGTTCAATACACTTTCCTATATCCAAACACAGCCACAATCATACTATAAATACTGTTCTATAACATCATTGAGGATCCAAGGCTATGTGTGTGTGATGGTGTCACTATTGACTGATGTGGGCGAGTGGATGTTGCTGGGGGGCGGTATTCGAAAAGCAGGCTATAAAAGGGATGGGGTGTAAGTAATCATAATTCAAGGCACAAACCAATGTGGAGAAACAGACTTTTACTGGTTCTTTCGCTCATCGGTGCTATCTTTGCTGTGGGGGTGATGGTAAGAAGCTCTCCTTCCAAGACATATACAACTGCTCACTCGTACTTTAAACAGTCGTCCGACTATGTTACTTATCATCCTGGTAACCTCCCCTTGATTATCACGGCTCCTCATGGTGGCTATTTGAAACCAAACGACATCCCAGACCGCAAGCCAAAAAACAAGACCGTGTTGATAGGTGACATGTATACAACCGATATTGCCTTTGCTATCAGTGACGCAGTGGCAGATCAGTGTCATGGCGCTAGACCCCATGTGGTTGTGTTTCATGTATCTCGGCGTAAAGTCGACGCCAATCGTCCTATTGAATCAGGCACCGATTCGCCACAAGGTCAAGCTGCTTGGAAGGTGAGTGAGATGATGGATGGATAACACACAAACAAATGGATGCTAATGATGATGATGACAACCTTAGGAATTCCATCAAGCTATTCAGGATGCAGTTGACCACGTGATGGCGAACTATGAGCATGGTTTGATTTTAGACATCCATGGTAGGTACATGCATACGTGTATATGTTCATTCTTTTACAAGATGATTCATGCTACCGTTTATGTAGGACAAGCACATCCCCACGAAAGAGTTGAGTTGGGTTACTTGCTTTACAAATCGGAACTCATGCGACTTGATGATAATGATGAAGCTATGGATGAAGCAGTAAAAAGGAATTCCTCGATCCAAGCGTTGGCAAAACGTGTGGCGTCCTCCTTTCCGCCTCATGAATTATTGCGAGGAAACGGATCATTCGGCGACCTATTAGAGAGATCACCATCATCATCAAACAGTGTCGTTCGCACCATGCCATCTCCCTCCCATCCTTATCCCTATTCGGAAGAACGCTATTATCGAGGAGGTTACATTACTCAAAGATACCACACACCCAATAACATGGACGCCATCCAGCTTGAATTGCCCAAGCACTTGAGATTCACAAAACAAGGACGGGATACCATCACGATGGCCATTGCTGATGCTGCATGCTACATGTTGGAGACATACTATACACAACAACCATCACAAAAACAACGACAACAACAGCAACGATGGATAAGCGCAAAGTTGTAATATACATAGTGATATACAAATAAAACCTGCATGCTTCACATGACCCATACACAACACTGTACCACGTGTTTCATATTAGCGCGCCACCATGGGAAAGATGAAATCAAGGGGAGGTGCATATGGGTCACACACGTTGCATTTTGGAGGAACTTCAAAGATGATATCTTGTGTACAAGGCTATGCAAGTTTATATATCGTTTTACTTATGACACACTATGTAAAAAAAAAAGGAGAGAGGAGGGTGGATGGGTGGGGTGAGGTGAGGTGAGAGGACTTTTTTAAGGATGAGGAGGTGGTATATGCAAACCGGTTGTGTCGTGAGTTGATGGATGACCCAAAAACACAGACCAGTCTGTTGTCCACGGGTACGATGGATGATGATGTTGTGGCGTTGTTGTGGTTGTGGTTGTGGATGCGTTAAGAGGAGCGTTAAAAGTGGATGCAGTTGTGGTCGTCGTCGCCGCCGTTGTTGTCGTTGTCGTCGTCGTGGAGGGTGGTAATGGATGATGAGGAAGTGGTGGATAGGTATTATGTTGCAAAGCTTGTGGGGCTATATACTGCTCAGGATGATGATGATAAAAGTTCATTGATAGCTGAGCCGTTTCGGGTTGTGGTAAAAAGCAAGGTGTGTTTGAATGTTGACCCATGATAGATGCTGCTACATCAGGACGAATATCAGGTGTGATGCCACCCAACACACTGCAATTGACCATTCTTTGCTCAAACACATGATTGGATTTTGGATATTCCTCATCGGCAACAGGTTGTGGTGGTTGCTCTGGTGATGGTAGAGGTGGTGGTGCTGTTGCTGCTGTAGCCATTTGTGAACGTCGCTTATTACGTGCATGACCATTGGATGGTGCTGAGGGTGTTGATAACTCGTTCACGGTGATAAGCATTTGAATAATTTCAATCGCTCGTGGTGCAGAACACAAATGCTCATGTGATTGGAGTAACGACAATGATTGCACAAGTGCTTCTTGCCTTTGTGATGACGCACGATCTTGTAATGTGTTGGAAAGGTGTACTAGTGAGGATTGGAACATGGCGTAGACAAAGCATGTAGGAAGACATAGCGCCATGTTGGGTTCAATGCCTGCTGTGGTGCTGCCATGTTGTCGTAAAATAGCTGAAATGTTGTCTGCTGCTTCAGTGCAAGCCTTACGAGACTCGGCGACGATTGATTGTAGATCTGGGAACTGAGCTGGTGATAATTGGATAAAGGGTCTGTGGAGCAAAAGCACAATGGTATTGTAAAACACTTGCAGATGAGCTAAAGCATGTATGGTTAGTAGCTGTTTTTGCGTCAATGCAATCGAGATTTTATATATATATGGGCTTACCTTTCTGGGAGGGTGGTATCGTGACACCATCTTGAGCTTCATCCAAAGATGCACGCCAATTCTTAAGTCGTCGATCAAAGACCACAAGAATGGTAGGATCATCAAGCCCAGCATTACAATTGGATCGTTTTGCTTTTGGTGCGTAAAGGGCTTTGAGAACACGACCCAGAATCTCAGATAATCTGATAAGTAATAAAAAGGGGCGATAAACAGGTTCACCGGTTGGCCCAGCATCCGTGACGCGATAAGGGGATGGCATATCGGTATCAAAATCACGATCGAGAATCGTCAATGGTTTGCCAGCACGAGCTCCCATCCATCGATCAAGTACATAGCAAGCATAAAAGACACGATGTCGTACTTCAATTTCGGATGGAGGTAAACGCCAACCTTGACAAGAGCGATGCAAACCCAAATCCTGAGCCATGCGAATAGCTGTTCCCAAAGTAAACCATTGAACGGATTCGACGTCATGACCAGCGCCATCATCCATGTCGAGATAAAGCGTCATCAATAAACCCGCTTGCACATGGCACAGCCGTGACCGGAGTGCGTCTCGTAATCGTTTCATCACCTTCCTAAAGTAGAGGTCGGCAAACTGGTCGGCCTCCTTCTCTTGGAAATGTTGAGCGGCGTATCGAAAAGAAAGAGCAAGCATGGCTTGAACCAACACAGCCGGTGGTGATGGACTACGCGTGCGATATTGTTGCATAAACTTGGATTCATTGATGATAGGTAAAAATGGATGAAGATGTGTAAAGAAACTATGGGCAACAACAACAACAATGAGAATAAGGTTTATACTTTACACAAGGGCTCATATAGATATGTATGTATCCCACACTTACAGTCCAATCATTTTGTCCGACATTTGCTTCGTGGGTGTTTTACTCGTAGGTCCTGCTGCTGCTGATGCAGGGTGGTGGTGGGAACGGCCCTGGTCAAATATAGCTGAGCGCATCGATAACCCAACGTCGACAAGTCGTGTGTCCACCTTATTGCCACCTTCACTCGTACGCACAATCATTAGCTCATCTTGCGCCATCATCTTGAGCACCAAATCGTCTCGTCCAGGCCAACGAATGAAGGGCTTGCTTTTGAAAATGTCGTGATCAACAAGTTGTAACCCTGCAGAGTGTCCCGTGTATTTGATCGAGTCGTAATCCTTGGTTACTGTAATATCATGCACGCTATTGGTACTATTCGCTTGGTTGTCATCGTCATCATCATCGTCATCGTCATCGTCTGAAGAAGAATCTGAAACGGCTGATGGTGAAGCGGGTGGTGGCATATGGTCGCGTGGGTCGTATTGAAAGTCGCATTGCTCAAGTTGCTTTATGGATGATTGAGTTAAAGATACAAGCAATCGCTCCATCTTTTTGCATCGTTTTTCAAGATTGTCGACATATCTACAATAAAGGGCATGTGAGTTTGCAATGCATGTTTAAAAGTAAGGGTGGCTGCATGTAGTATACATACACACTTGGTGGACCTCGTTTCTTACGAACGGTCTGGAATTCACAAGTATATCCCCACTATTAATAAAGAGAAAAAATTTATCGGATGAGCGAGTCTATTTCAATGAAAAGGAAACCCATTGCAATCGTATTTACAGCTCGACAATTTGAACAAGGAATTGAATGATCAGCGTCGCATCGAGACTTTCGTTTCCTGCAGAAATCACAGCTGCGTTTGGCACGAGTACGTTTTAGAGGTGTTGTTGATGATAGGGTCGATGGTGATGGTGTTGGGGTGGGCGGATTGTGGATATGGTTATGCAAGTGGTGGCTGGTTGTTGTCGTTGATGATGCTGGAGAATACTGCAAGCTATTCATTTAAACATGGAAGGAGTTTTTATAAAAAAAGGTGTCCAAAACAAGAAAAAGGAATCTCAAGAAAGAAAAGGCCTCATTTATAAAACACACTACACAGGTATAAAAACCACGTGCCCTGAGTTTTGCCATATTTGCGATATTTCATTGGATAAGAGCAAATTTCAGTGGGCTGTCTTTGAACTCTGGTGTCGCTCGGACCGTTTTCTCATTACTGCGCACATCTGTCATCGTCGCTGCAGGGAATCAATGACACTAGTGGACATAAACAGGTTTCAGCTACCATGTACATGTATACACATTTCCCATATATGTACTTACCCGAGCATTTTGATGTTTTCCTCCCTGTATTGATTGATCTCGTCATGCAATCGATTATTCTCGTTAAAGATTTCCTCCATCTTGGACGCTTGCTCTTTTAGTTTTGTCTGTTACACAATTAACAACATTTGTGTGTGTGAGAAAAATGCAACTTTGCTTCCCCCTCCCCCCCGTGGCACCCATAAATACCTCACTGCTCTCCACATCATCCTCAAGCCACCTGTTCTCCATCTCCTTGGACTTCAATTGTGCTTCTAATTGTCGCATCTTCTCTTCCATCTCGGCAATCTTGGTTCTATTCGCTTGATGCAACTTTTCCAAATCCTTTTGCTGTGTGCTGGTCACCGTCCTTAATCGATATGAAAAGTCTTCAAGCTCCTTGTCCTTCAAATCAAGCATCTTTTGATGACTTTGGTGCAACACTCGCAATTCTTTTTGATGCTGCGTGGCCACCGATTGCAAACGTTGTTCGAATTCAGCAGCTGCTTGTTGTGAATTACCATGCTCGGCATTTCTAGCCATAGCCAATCGTAATCGTTCTTCCACCTCTTCAATTTCTTTGTCCTTTGCACTGATCATCTTTTCAAACGAGATCTTCATGGCACGCAACTCTTCTTCTCGATCACCTGAAGATTGCTGTCGTCTCAATTCATCATCCACTCGTTTCATTTCTTCGTCTCGGCGTTTGGATCGCTCACGCTCAGTTTCAACTTGCTCTTGTAATGATGCCATATCCTCCTTATGTTTACGCTCCGCTGCTTCCAATTTGGCTTGCAATGTTTGAATGGCCTCGTTGTGTCTGTTTTCCACTTCCATGGCTCTGTTCTTGGACGACTATATCAGGTGACATGTGTCAGTGATGATGAATCTTTTTTTTCTCTCTTGTGGAACCAATAAGACTTACTTCAGCTTCAGCTGCAAAGTTCTCAGATTCCGATTGAGCCGCTTGCAGTTGCTGTTTCAGAGCATCCATCGCCTGAGCGTGATGAGATTTCAATGTTTCAGTATCAGCCGCGTGTTTGTCATTGAGTGCCTGGATCTCTTGTTTGTGCTTCTCGCCCAATTCATTCCATGCTGCTTCAATGTCCTTTTGTGCATTCGACTCGATCTCTTCACGTATTCTCGTATATTCGCTTTCATGATGTGCATCCACATCACCCAGCTTATCCTTGTAGCTCTGCTCAAGTGCAGCTTGTGCCTTGCTGGTCTCTTCACGGAATGATGCATATTCTTGCTCAAGGTGTTGTTTGGCAGTCGAATGCTCAACGATCAAACTCTCAACCTTTTGCTGATGCTCTTGTTCCAATTGTTGTTTGGCACTTGAATGCTCTGATAACAAGCTGTCAATCTTTTGCTGATGCTTTTGCTCGATCTCTTGGATGGCAGAAGAATGCTCAGCAGCCAAGGCCTCAATCTCTTTTTGATGCTCTTGCTTCAACAATGCCTGAGGATGACAATGATAAGTTATCAAGCAGTAATAATAGTAGAGATTCCCATGCCTCATACCTTTGCATCTTCGATCTTCTTACTAGCCTCTTCACGAGCTTTGACACCAGCTTGTTCAAGTGCCGAGGCATGCTCTTGGTGCAACTTGTCAACTGCAGCAACATGCTCCTGCTTGGTCATTTCCAATTGTGCTTCATATTCAGCTCGGATGGATGCCTACATGATCATGAATTGAGTACCTATCACCCATTTTAACTTTTGCTTTTTTTATCCTTTACCTGTGCCTTTTCCATTGCCTCATTAGCGTCACCATTGGATTGGATACTTGCTTGCAAATCAGCCACAGCAGTTGCATGTGTCTCCTTCAACTTGGCCAATGCATCGGAATGCTGCTTATCACGATCTTCAAGCATTTGCTGGTGATCTTGTCGAAGCTTGCTTTCCAGCTGTAGAATGGCTTCCTCATGTGCTTTTTTCAATTGAGCTTCCAAATCGGTCATTGCATCAGCGTGGGTTTGCTTAAGGCTCTCGATCGCTTGTTGATGTGCATCGTCTCGTTCACGAAGCGCTTGCTGATGAGCTTCCTCACGTTCACGCATCTCATCCGCATAACGTTGATCTTGTGCAACCTTGGCTTCCAATTCGGCAATGGCAGCTGCTTGTGCTGCTTCAAGCTCGCTCTTTTGTTGTTGATGATCCTGTTCTTGTTGGCGCATCTTTTCCTCTTGAGCTTGTAATTCAGCAGCATGCTTTTCTTTCAGGTCGGAAAGCTCTTTTTGCAATTGCTCGGTTGCTTCACTCTGAACAGCCTTTTTTAATCCCTCTTTAGTAAACAATGCTCGCATAATAAAAAGTGTTCATAGTTACCTGAGAAGTACGATGCGTGTCTTCAACAGCATTGGCATATTCCTCCTTGATCTTTTTCACCTCTTCTTGATGAGCCTTGATTTGAGACTGCAATTCCTCTTCTCGCTTCTTCAACTCGTCTTGATGGGATTGGACTAGGGCATCACGTTCCTTGTCGCGATCAAGAGTATACTGCATTTGAGCCTCCTTCATCTTTGATTCATGCTCCTTGGTCAATTGGGCCAACTCAGCAGCGTGTAAATCTTTCAACGCAGCCTGCATAGTGATACGTCAGCCATTACGCCAAATCAACCCTCTAAAAAAGTAGATACAAACCTCAACTTCCTTTTTGATATCATCCAAACTGCCCTTGTGGTTGTTTGACAAATGATCCAATTCCTCCTTGTGCTTGTCAGCGAGCTCCTTTTGCTGATCTGCATGTTTGCTGATATCCTCTTCCAATTGCTCCACACGTAATCGATGATGCTCTTGCAATTGTTCCATGGCTTGTTGATGACCAGCAGCAAGTTGTTCCATCTTTTGCTCCAATTCAGCACGAATTTTGGCTTCAGCTTCGGTGCGTTCGGCTGTGATTTGCTTGATTTGACTCTCATGCTTTTGGGCTTGTTCTTGCAATGCAGCATCAATTTGATCCTTGGCTGAATCCGTTGCTGATGCGGTAGCCGATGCAAGTTTTTCATCCAATGCTGCAGCATGTTTCTTTTCAAGATCAGCCAATTGCTTGTTATGCTCCTCAAGTAAACGAGTCTACCACCAAGAATGTGCCGTCAGCTAATATGCACACACACATACATCCACGTGCATATGCATGCATATGACACCGCGCCCCAATGTTTACCTTTTCAAGTTCCTTTTCCTGCTCAATGCGATGCTCGTATTCATCCATCAATGCTTGCTTCTCCTTGGCAGCAGCCGCTTGAAGTGCTTCATTCTCCTCTGCAACAGCACGCTTCTCAGCTTCCAACTTGTCCAGCAATGCTTCAAAATCACTCTTGGATGCAGCAAGATCTTGTTCAAACTTTTGTTGACATGCAGCCTAATAAAATGAATAGCTATATCAGTCACCATCCCATGTTGATCATTGTATCCCACATACCTCAATACTGGATCGAGCCTCTTCTACAGCTGATACACTCACAGCCTTGCGTACATCTTCCAGCTGCTTTTCATGAGATTCGGTGATGGATTGCAATCGGGAATTGTGCGACTGCTGCAATGCTGAGATTTCGGCCTAATGCGAGATTTTGTTTATATACATGCACATCACATGGGAGGATGCCCTTTCAACTTACCCTGAACGATTGGGTAATCTCATCCAATTTGCGCTTTTGCTCCACCTCCATAGCTTCATTATGATCCTGCAACTCTTTCAATGCCTTTTCATGTTCTGCACGTAGCTCAGCGAGTTGATTCTCATAGGATTCTTTCAATTCGGCGGCTTCTTTCTTTGCTGCCTAGATGTACAAAATAGGTGTGTGTTAATATACCTCTCTCTTTCACCCCTTCTTCTCTTCTTATTACCTCTAATTGTTCTTTCAACTCCAAGGTTTCAGTCTCAGTTGCCTTTTCGGTATCAGCATTTCCAGATGTTGCCTCATACTTTTCACGCAAATCCTTCAGCTCAGATTCATATTGTGCTTTGAGAGACTCTGTTTGCTCGGCATGTTGCTGATTGATTTGATTTGTCAAGCTGGTCAAACGTGTTTGATGTGACTTGTGCATTTCCTATAAAGAATGGATCAATCATCCTACCTCTCATATCTACACACACACACACACAAAATATCTTCTCTTACCTGAATATTGTCTCTCATCTCATCCATGTCATTCTTGAGCTTGGCAATCTCCTTTTCCTTTTCACGAATCTGAGTTTGCATAGCATCCTTTTCTCCTTCCAACTTGGTGCGTAGCTTTTCAGTGTTGTCTCGCAACCGTTCTTCAAGGGCTTCCTGCTCACGTGTAGCTGCTGCACGTTCCTCTTCATGCTCGCTACGGATTTGAGCCACCTGAGCATCAGCAGCTTCTTTGGCGTCCTGAAGTTGTTTTTCAAGTTGTTCAATCTCAGCCTTGAGTGCTTCGATGGATACATCAGGTGTAGGTGTAGGCGTTTCGGGTGCTGCTGCTGTTGTTGTGCTAGCTTCATCTTTTTGATCTTCTACTCCATCTACATCCTCATCCTCAGCTGCTGATGCTGGTGTTACCGATTTCTCCGCTGCGCTCTTTTGCTGCTCATCAAGTGATGCCTCCACCTCACTCAACTTGGCCTTAAGCTCATTCAAATCCGTTTCCTTGGCATCCAGCTGTTGTTGCTTTTCTTCCAATGATGCTTTAAGTTCCTCATTCTATATAAAATATAAAAATAGGTTACTAATGATTGGGGTAATGTAAAATGACATGTGATCTCATACATACCTTGGCACGAAGTACCTTGAGCTCGGCCACAGCTTCGGAAGGTTTGATCCCATTGGCGGTGGATGTCGTAGTACGAACAACGGATGGTTTGCGTGTGGCAGTGGTTGGGGAAGCAGGGGTGACCGATGTGCGCCTAGCAGCCGAAGTAGTTGAAGCAGTAGGTGAAGTGGTTTTGCGTAATGTTGACGAGGTTGATGAGGTTGATGTCTTGCTAAGAGTACTGCTTGTGCGACTGATTGGTGTTTTAGTGGGTCGAGAAGTGAGCGGGGTACGTGTTGAAGAGGCACTCGTTGTGGTTGAGCGAACAGAGGAACGAGTTGTGCTGGTGCTTGTGGTGGATCCGTCAGCATTACTCTTAGCCATGCGTGATGCCGTGCTGGCAGTTGCACGTGAAGCTGTTGAAGGTGTTCTTGTTACTCCTGTAACAGAGGGAGTTCTTGTGGCTCGTGTGGTGGAAGTGGTGGTGGTTCCTGAAGCTCCTCTTGTGGCGGGTACCTTGGAAGGACGTGGCGGGGTAGCAGCAGTAGTAGTAGTGCTGCTCACACCAGCAGCTGCCAGTGAAGACACTCTCGGCTTTCGAGTTGTTGTTGTTGAAGTACCCTCTGTCATGATAAGTAGAATACAAGCCAAAAAGGGTAAAGAAAGAAAAGAGTGGAAAGAAGAAAGGCAGCTGCACCTGACGGGTGATCCTATTTTTTTAGCTCTTTTATCCATTGCAACACAACAACAGCACATACGCACACTTTGAGTTACCCCAGCACCAATGGCATCTGCTCCCCCCACCGACAAGTAACGACGACAACGCTTATTATCACCATCCGTTGCTAGGATACTAGATCTTGAATGTCATAAGCATAGAATAAAACAAAAAGTCAGTAGCTGAAATATTACTTTGATCGCTCCCCTTTTCTCTCTCTCTCTCTCTCTTTCCATCCATGGGTAAAAAACAAAGTCAACGTTCTCAACAACAACAACAAGGTCCTCTCATCCAGCGCATACCAACAAAGAAACCACCAACACAAGATGACATTGCAGAGAGTGAAAAGATGAGGCTCATGCAGCAAGCTGGTTTGTTGGAGAAGGTGAAGAAACGCGAAGCCGAGATCGCAGCAGAGAACATTGGCACAGCAGTGTACATTTGGCAGGCCATCTTCATGTCCATTCCCTTTGGTTTATTGGTGGGCGCTTTTGATGTTACTGTCAAGGTTCAATACAGCGAGCCATGGAATTATACCGAGTTGTTCATTCGTTCCTGCAAGGCTATGCCAGGTAACAGCCAAAGAGGAGGGTTGCATAATATATGTGATACTGAAACCTATCGTATCGTATTAGCTTTATTCCCATTCATCTATATCACCAATCGACACAGGAACAGCCGATGGATGCAAGCAATCATGGCTATTGGATCAACTGTTGTGGGTGCCTTTTTACTATACACATTACGCAACACGCCATCATTGGGACAAATGGCAAGAGCGCCAGGTCTAGCAACGATTTGGATTTACTTTATCATTCAATTGGATCTTTTACCAGCCGTCATCACTCTCCTTCTAGTAGCATTGTATTGGTACTTTGGATTAAGAGACAAATAAATCATTTATTTATGCATGCGAGTGTAATAATATGCAGTAAAAATACTAATAGCCAGTGCACTGACAAAGAATGATGATGATGATGATAATGATCGGTTTGGCCTTTGAGAGCCGTTATCTTTGGATCCTTGGATGAGAGTGGGTATCAACTTTCCTTGTTCAGAAAGTTCTTGGATTTCATCAAAGACGCCAATATTGAGTTCAAATGATCGGATGGCTTCTTTCACAATCAGATCTGCAACACAAAAAAAAAGCGTAAGGTGACACGCTGTTGTCCCATGACCAAAGGTTAAACGTACCTCGTGTCTTTTGAGTAACAAGCACTGTATCGAGCCTTTCACGATATTCATTCTTGAATGCGTTTTGGTTGCCAATATTGTTAAAGGCATAAAATGCCAATCCTTGGTCTGAATCCCATTCGCCATCCGTTTCGGATAATCCCAACACGTGCTTCTTGAGTCGCTTCGCTAAAATTTGACCGCCACTGAGATCACCCAGATATCTGGAATAGCTATGTGCTACCAACAAAGCAGGCTCCATTTCACATGCTTGTTCCATGGCATTAACGTATTCCTTTACAGCAGGTGTCATTGTTGACGGGTCAATTACTTGGGCCAACTTGTCCTTGCCATAATAGTATTCCAAATCTGCATGAAACACTGAATCAGTAAATGCCACTTCAATATGAGGAAGACATTCCCTTTTACCTTTCAAAAGGGCTTTCGATCGCATGAGTTCATATGGAAAGTAAATGGCCTTGATGGCTGGCGTGTCCTTGTGCTTTTCCAAAAGCCGTTCTAAGGTGCTGCTTGTTGTTAGACTCATGCATGGCGCCATTTGACAAGCACATAAATACATACTCGTAAACAAAATACAGCGAGGTGATGTAGCGGCCATACTCGTTACGATTGATCTCTCCTTTGATAAATCGCCTACCATAATCATCCATAATCAGCGCCTTTCTTTTACATATGACCTTGAACTTACTTTGTAAAGACGCTATTTTCAGCAGCCTTGTGGGCTTCCTTTGTACCTTCACGCATGGCTGCTGCTAATTGGGGGTCTTTTAAAAAGTCATCATTGTGGCTTTCAAATACAGGGAATTGATGATGAGCATGTGCAAGTGTGGCGGTGTCAACTGCAACGGTAGACATGGTTTTTGAGAGAGTAAAAAAGAAGATGAAGCGTTATCCGATCGATTGGATACAGGCTTGTACATAATTTAAAGGGTGGTCGTTTTTGAGTTATCTGATCAAATATCAAGATCTTGATAAGAAGCCCCGCTGACGGATGACCACGTCCTACATCACTCCACCTTATACCAACCCATCTCAGCATGCTTCCGATTTCGGGGAACATTACCGTTTGTATCACTACAATGCTATACTATATTGCAGAATGGATGTTATTCTAAAACACGAATAACATCATGCCATTCCTATGTACCGAACATCACGATGGACATCAGCTGTGGTGGCAGATGCAGTTTGTTTCGAGGACAATGAGACTGATCTATCATGTAGAATTCGAATTGGGCCGTGTATGGTATCTCGCTTTGCTCTACTATAAAGGTTTGCCATAAGCAGAATCTTATAGTATCCTGCTGTTGCTGAGTGTATACAAAACGCTACCATTCATTAGTATCTCGGGATTGCACAGTCATCACACTTGGTGTCTTTGTGAGAACAAAGGGTCTTTAATGAAAAACAATGGATGCTTGTTTCTAGCTACTTTGCCATTGTCGTCTTCATCCATCGTACATAGTCGCCGTCGTCATGGCAACCATCAAGGCACCAAATAGGAAAGAACGGGATCTTGAACACTTCCTTTTAGGCGCCAACGAAATGTGGGATTTGATCAAGCAACATCATCTTGCCAAGAGAAGGGTCAATCATGTGTGTTTTGTGCCATTGTCGTAAACATCGTAGTAATCATCATCCTCAACCGTTATCCTCGTCTATAAATATAGAATAGCCACATCAATAGATCTGATATTGGAAAGATGATGTTCACTAAACCTCGTTCTTTTGTAGAAGAAAGCAATTGGCAGGCGTCACATAGCCAAATCACGGTTCAATCCATGGCAAGGGGAAGGTTATCACTTTTGTAGTTGCCGGGCCGTACTTGCTCTCACCTATCCTCTCTAAAAAAAGAATGATCCGCCAGATTTCCAATCCGCATAGAGTAGCCACCAACATGTATCACGAGAAGGGCCTGTCTTGTGCACTGATGATGTCAAATGGTCAAAAGGTACAGGCTGGGACTTGAACCCAAAGAGGTGATGATGATGCCCCAAGTTGCATTGCCTGACCGAAGAACCCTATTCAATTCATTATTAGCACACACGTACAATAAAACGCCTCTTTTCGTTGTTTGTTTCATTGTACTTACCTTTTCCATATACACAAGGACCCGTTGTTGTTGGTTACTGGAAACCGAAGACCATGGTGTAGGATAGTTGAGCCGAAACAAAACGCCAAACCAGCCAACGTCTTGAAACCAAACTTGCCCTCTATACAAGCTGACGCGTCAATGGAACCAATTCGGCTGCAACATTGGACTCTGAATGTACCTGTTGACACCAAGCGTAGAGCGGGAATAGGCAACGAGCAAAAGGAAGCAACAATATCGCCATGGCAACCACCAACCACCAACCACGCTCATTCCTCAGCACTTGGACACACTCACTCCCTGACAATGCATGTTCAGAACTACATTAATACCTCACAGCCAACAAGAGCACTTTTTTATAATACATTACCTTGATCGAGATGTCGTGACTGGAATAAGGAAAGGTGGGAGAAAACGAAGAGAAGCTTTGTCTCAAATCGTGGAGCTGCTGTCCCCCAAGTTTAAATCCCCCTACTGCTATTACACCGAGACCACTCAATGACCCCATACACACACCATCCACCCATCGTCATCATCACCCTCACGATAGACAATAGGTACACGTAAATAAAAGAAATGATCCTCACGTATAGCAAAAGGGTGTGTGCCATTTTACACTTTACATGATAATGATGATCCAACAACAGCCATTACCTTACTGCCAGGTTAGCTCGAATCAAGAAAGTTGAAGGATGGGGATGATGGGCTGGAGCAGGACAATCGTTCGTATGCATTGGATTGGGCAACAATGGAGAATGGGAGGACTAGGTTATTAGCTGGCATTGTGAACTATTCCTAATAGCGTACAAGAATCATGCATCGCCTGTGCTGAATAACTCAAGTTACACAAACACGCCCTCTGCATCTTTGGCTCTATCAGGGCCTAGCCATTTGGCATTGAACAAAGACCACTTGTCATATAGCATCAGGCACACAACATGAAGTTGCCTGTATCTCCGAACTTTACAATGAAACGTGTGGTTTTTATTAGAGCAATGTGCTCGGCTTGGCCAACAGCACCTTGTGTGAAAGTTTCACGATCAAGCTTGCCAATCCCAGATTTCGCAATGTCCTTTTAAGCCAAACTGGATCTGGGGGTCGACCTTGCCTCTTCGACGACGACGACCAAAAATATTTTTGGGCTAGTTGCGACATTGAACGTGAAACTTTCACACAAGGTGCTGTTGGCCAAGCCAAACCCATTGCTCTATTCCAAAACCCACGTTTTCGTGCTAAGTTTGGAGACTACAGGCACGCTTTTATGTTTAATAAGCGTGATGCTATATGAGTGGTCTTCGTTCATGTCAAGTCGCTGGACCCTGGCGGAAAGATGCTGGAAATTCTTTGTGTAACTCAGCTACTGCACATGACTGGAAGGATGGAAGGATGATACTGTATACTATTGACAATATCCCATACATTGCGAGCTAACAGCCATTTCTTCACAATAGCCACTGTTGCCCATTCTACCGACAGTGGAACGGTGCTCCTGCTTCAGACAATCATTTCCATGATTGGAAATCCAGCAGTTGCTATTCGCTCCATTGTCTCAAACAACGTTCACAATCTTGTCACTCTACTACAACACACCTCTTGCACCCTCCTCTGCCACCAAGCAAGGTCTTATCACATTGCCTCAAGTTACTTGCAGCAACTTGCTTTGGAAAATACGGATTCCAATGGATGGGGTGCCATATCAGCTATCAAGTACACGGCAATACAAGCAATCTTCACCTGGTTGAGCTGCAATGGAAAATGACCAAGAAGAGATAGACCGACAGAGGGTGGAAAAGGAAGCATGTCTGCAGCAATATTGGTGATGATGGATGGATGGAATCAAGTGCAGGTGATGAGAGATCCTGGAATGTTGCTTTGGTTACTTGGCGCGTCGTCCGCAAGAACGACCACATGGATACGGTTGAGGATGATGGTGGATTGGATGGAATTGCTTAGATCTTTGACGAAAGGTGTTGTTCAGCCACGGATGATGTTGGCGTACTCGATTCGATGTATGCAGCAGCTATTTTGCAATCATGAATGAAGGATGATTATGACGGCAGCAACCATGAATACAATGACACAATGACCCCTGTTGTCTCTATGTGAACCACCCCGTTTCTCACTCAATTCTCAATGCTTCCCCTCTACCATATTTACTTGATAGTCATCTTCATATGCTATTCTTCGACGTTATCATTGAATGAAAATGGGATTCAACGTAATGTTTGGGGTATCATACTATCAGGTCATATGTGCAAGATGTGAATCACTTGGCGGGTTTCTGGATTAAAAGGGGGAACCTGAAAGAGAGATTGGTGGATCATTTACATCATTGGGTCGAGATGCTTTTGTTTTGTCACAGCACTGTTACATTCACCAAAACCTCCTAGTTCACAGCCGATAGTTGAAAGATAGTGAGGGTCCCAGAATGCTTGTATTGCAAGGATTCGAGTGTGATGCTTCCCAACAAAGTGTTCTTTATAGAAGCTTGATACAATGCGGCGCCAGTACATGAACACACCATGCTTGCCTATTTCATAACGCTATCGTATTCAACCTTGTATAAGAACGAACCATTCTATCCAGGGCATATTATAGCCGGACATTACTATGGGTATAGGGGAAATGATGCATTATGCACTCTCCACCAATAGGATCAACCCTTCAAGTCGCGTCCCCTTGAGGCTTTGTGACACAAACAAGTGCTTCTGCATCTTTGACTCTATCAGGATTTAGTCACTTTACAATGAACATTGTGAAGTAGGTGGACCCTGGCAGAGCAAAAGATGCAGAGGGTCGTGTTTGTGTTACTGGGTTAAAAAGTCCGGACCTCAGGGACGATGCATGACAGGTACGCAACCCTCACTTTTATGTCATACATTGCCAGCTAATAGCCGCTTTTGTGCATTCCCAACTTTTGTGCATCTATTGTAGGTGGACGATGCTCCTGCTCTAGACATTCATTTCCATGATTAAAGTAGGTTGATCCGAGCTGATTTGGTTGAGTTACGCTCACACAAGGTTACATCGGTTGAGCTACATCGAGCGTGCTTTATGTCCAGAGTGATGTAATCTCTCTTTGACCGCAGCTCAGTCAAATCAGCTCGGATCAACCTACTTTAATCATGGAAATGAATGTCTAGAGCAGGAGCATCGTTCCCATGCAGTGGATCTCGCAACAATGATGATTGGATAAAAGTGGCCATTAGCTAGCAATACATGCCTGTTCCTAGATGGTCCATAAAGTAATTATACATTGACCCTTCATTCATGCAAACGTAGCTGTGTTACACAACACGACGCTCTGCATCTTTTGCTCTGCCAGGGTCCAGCTAGTCGACAAGAACAAAGACCACTTCCCATATAGCATCACGCTTATAAACATAAAGGTGCCTGTATCTCCAAACTTTACAATAAAACGTGGGGTTTTGAATAGAGCAATGTGCTCGGCTTGGCCAACAGCACCTTGTGTGAAAGTTTCACGTTCAATGTCGCAAACAGCCCAAAAAATATTTTTTGGTCGTCGTCGTCGAAGAGGTCGACCCCCAGATCCAGTTTGGCTGGTGGCGACATTGCGAAATCTGGGATCGCCCACGATGAACTTCATACTTTGACACAAGATTCCTTTGACCCCGACGAGCACGTTGATCTATTAAAGAGCCCACGTTTGATTGTAAAGTTTAGAGATACAGGCGTCTTTAGGTTTCTACTATGATGTAAGCTTGATGCTATATAAAAAGAGGTTTTTGTTCATTGTCAAGTAGCTATCATAGAGCCAAAGATGCAGAGGAACTCGCTTGTGTAACAAATCCAGGGGCAGGTCTTGAAGGATCCACTTACCACGTTATTGGCGGAGACTGCATGATGACCCCTCGCTCTTTAGTGCGAAGGAGGTGTAGAGAGTGCAAACACATACAACTTTGCCGTTTGAGCTGAGGATCCAATTACTCAAACTCTACAATAAGGCATCGTGTAATCCTAGTCTAGACTCAACATTCTTTCCAAAGGGTAAAGACACAGCGTCAATGGTAACGCAGCGAAGAATACGTGCATCATCATTCGATTGTGTCTGCGTTATCATCGCAAACGAGGCACAATCATCCGATCTTCCTGTATAGTATTACTGGATGTTGATAAGACAATTGTATGGAAGGATAATAAAGACCAGCACCTTCATCGCGTCCCTTACATAATACATACTACATTCATCTCAAACAATCGACGAGTGTGAAATAAAGGATCACCAATGAGCTTACATGTCCTATGTATGTAGCTCGTTTGCGAAGCTGCTTGTGAGTATGCGAGAGTTTTCTAGTAGACTATTAGGAGCTTGCGTTCTCATTTTGACCTTTACATCGTTTTATTGTATGAACTTCACTTCCTTGGATTCCACCCTAATTGTTATTCCTGTCTGTGGGTCATGTGTCATTGGCTTTGATAGCATCTTTTCCGCCTTCGAGACGTGTCCTGTGTTTAGTTTATTTGCAGCAAATCATTGTATACGTGTGTTAGGATCGATGCTCTCTTTTGTAACATGGGGATGGGGTCCAACTCGTAGTGTATCATCATGTGTACAGGTACAATTTCATGTCAATCAAGATGTCAACTAGCATGTTGTGCAACATGCAAAACTTTATTCTGTGTACGATGCATAGCTACAGATCCATGTTGGTGATGGGTGACGGGGATGAGTGGCGGGTAGTGTAAAGGGTGAAAAGTCCAACTGAGCTAGGATCGGCGCAACACGGCGGCCTCTTCTTTGTGCCACTTTCAGTAAGCCTCTCAAGATGGCCACCATTCCGGACAACAACTTGCATCCCTATTATCCACGAACAGCAGAGATTCCTGGTTACATTCCCAATGCGTTACCAATGCCACTGTTGTTGGGTGCGGTCTTGATCGCCATGGGAACCATTGTCAAAGCATCGTTCTTTGCGGCACGCTTCAAATCCAAAAGCCTTCAAGAGTCCTTACGCTTTACATGGTTCACGCTGTGCACAACGTTGCACTGTGGTTTTGAAGCCTATTGGATCTATCATCATCGATCTATCGCAAGTCGCACGGATTTCTTTGCTGAGCTCTGGAAGGAATATGCACATGGAGACTCAAGATACCTTACTCATGATGAATTACTACTTGCCCTCGAGACGATCACAGTGGTAAGTGTGGATCCAAAGATCATACAACAATTCTATTTACAATGTATCTTCTTCTTCAGTGTATATGGGGTCCACTTTGTTTCATGGCAGCTCGTGCGATATGGAAGCAATCACCACAACAGTATCTATGGCAATTAATGGCATCCATGGCTCATTTGTTCAGCACAGTACTCTACTTTGTGATGGATTGGCCACAAGGATTTCCAAACTGTGATCCTCATCCATTATACTTTTGGATCTACTTTGTCGCCTTCAATTCCCCCTGGTTGATTGTAAGTCCTTTTGTGTGTGTATGTGTAGGATTGGATATCGCCTCCAATAGCTGATTCCTTTTTTCAGGTTCCTGCATTACTATTCAAACAAAGCCTTCATGCCATCTCCTCTGCTCTACATGCATCATACCCCAAAGCTCAAAAAGAGGAATGAAAGGATACGACTTTCCAAGGATACTAGCGACACTCTAATGATGAAAAGTATCAGTATGGAGGATTAATAATAACAACTAATGAATAAAAGTGTCATCGTTCGGATACAACTTTTCGTATGCATATGCAGGTAAAATGTTGTTAGATGCGGTAGGAAGATGCTGTTGTTGCATCAACCCAGTAGGACAACAATGACATCTTGAAGAACGTAAACTTTCCATGGATATAGTACATAGAGTAATCTACCAATGTGCAATGATAGGGAATTTAGGAAAGTGATCGTCCCTGATCTGGGTGATATGATCTCCAGCTTTCAATCTGAAACAAAATATGCAAAATCAATCTGCGCCACTTTTACCCCGAGTGAGTGATGCATAATAACCTGCCAGCCGCATGCAGAAACCGGAATACCCTGAAATGACGACAAGTCTCATTATTCGTATCAATGAACCCTATCAATGAATAGGTTTGTCAAGGGAAATGAGCTCATTGTGAATGAAAGCCAACAGCAACCGATAGCTCATATGACTAGAGACGAGATGCGGGTTGTAAGTTGTGTGCTGTATTTCGTAACACGTTGCACTAGAACGAGGAATCTCAAAAAAGTCAGGTTCAGCTTTGATGTGTGTTTTTCGTGCTCTCACTTTTTTTCTTTGTCCCCCGCTTTTTTTTCCTTTCCTTACTCTCTCTCTTTTCTCTTTCCCTTATCTAACGCGGCTATGACACAAACGACCGCCATTCAACAGCCATTACTCGAAACCATGCAACCTTGCATTCGTGCCGACACCCACTCTCATCAAGAGTTGACATCAGCGCGCGATTCACTGTCATCACCGTTCTTGCCTGACCCAACTGAGAAATTAAAGCTCGACGCTCTCGTGGAACGTTTCGAGATGCAAGGCACACAGCCATCCACCTTCCAGGTACCAAACAAACAACAACAACACCATCACCATGCTGCTTTATTGACCATTCTACTTTTATAAAGACACTCGAAGAAGAGCTTATTACATGCATCCAAAATCACAGTGCAGCGTTTAAATCCAACGCCGATCATCTTGCCTGGATTCGACGACAAGTTGAAGATGGTGATTTTTGGGCTTGTGCCATCAATGACATGCCAACCACAGCTACCAAGCTTCCTCACATTTTGATCAGCAAGATCGTCCATGGCAACGGTATCCCAGCCATCATTCGAGGTGTGGTATGGCAAGCATTGTGCCAAACATCTTCCGAGATGGTGTCCATCTATGATCAGCTGCGTATGACTCCTTCGCCTTACGAGAACATAATTCGACGCATGCACTCGGATGATGTTGCTATGCAACGATTGCTTCATGCCTACAGCGTATATCAACCCGACATTGGATACAATGAAAGCTTGGCTTCATTAACAAAGCCATTGTTGATGACCGTAAGTCTCTTTTGAATCTTCATTTCTCTCACACATACATACATTCTAATGATGCCCTTTTGACAGATGTCCGAGAAGGAAGCCTTTAGTGTCCTTATCAGGTGAGTAGAATTGTTCTATTGCGGGGTGGGGGAGATTTGTATAGTTACACGAATCGGATACATTTATTATATTATTACTTGCAGGCTCATGGAAAGTTATGACATCCAACGCATGATGACGCTCAATATGGAAGGACTTGAATTACGCCTACATCAATTTGCAATGCTACTTGATCAACAATGTCCAGAGCTTGCCGATCATCTTGCAAAGCACGATCTTGATCCCACCATGTATGCCTCCCAGTGGTACCTTTCCCTTTTCAGCAACGTGCTACCGACAGACCTCGTGCTACGCATCTACGATCTTGTTTTTGCATTTGGTGCAGTCGAAACAACAACACGTGTGGCCATTGCATTGATGAAAAAGAATGAAAAGCACCTGATGGCATTGGATGATTTTGAAAGCCTCTTGAGACATTTGAAGCACCATTTGTTACCGATCACAGTGGACGACGTGGTTGCACTAAGCAACGAGATTACTCCAGCTAAACTCAACGCTATCGCCCATGCTCGCCAACAACAATTTTCTAATGAACTTGTCAACACCACATTGCCGATCCTACAAGCACGCATGTTTGGTGCTCCTGTTAGTCAACAACAAGTTCAAGCACTTTCATCCGCTCTTCAGCAACTCCACCATGAACATACACAGCTCGCTCAAGCCGTTGAATCGGCACGTGCAGTGGATCATACCACGTCATGGTTAAAGCAACGCAACGCCGAACTTGAATCACGTGCTGCTCGCTATGAGAAAAAGTTGGCTGCTGCTGCTGAAAACGATGATGCATTGACAGATGATGAGGATGAAGAATTACGTGAACTGCTGACGATGAAGATGGCCAATTTTGATTTGGGCGAAAAGTGTCATGACTTGGAGACACAGTATCACACGTTATTGCATAGTGTGCATGAATCGGAGCAAGAGCACGCGACATTGTCAGCCAAGATTGATGAGCTACAAGCAACCGTGGACCATATGCGTCAAGAAAAGGAGCACCTTGTAGAAGAACAACGTGAGATCCTGGATGAAAAGACTGTCACAGAGCAACAAATGCAACAAGCCAAGCAATCCTCATCAGCATCCCAAATGGATAAGTTGGCTTTGGTGAAGCAAGTTGCCAACCTTGAGAAACAAGTCGAAAAGCTTGAACAAGAAAAACGGGATTACACCATGCCACGCGGTTCATTTGCCGAAGAAGTGTTTGCAGCTCATGAAACGCTATTTGGAAACAAGCCCGATCCCGCTGCTTTGGATGCTGGCAACACCAGTGATGATGAATACCAACAACGCTATGCTGAAAGTGAACAACGTTGCCGTGAACTTGAAAAGATGCTGGCCGAAACCAAGTTAAAGTTGGGTGAACATGAACGACAACAAAAGCGACGTTCATCAAAGCGTTATTCGAATGGTGTTCCCATGTCACCTTCGTTGTATTATGATTCGAGTCGACCCTCTACAGATAGTATGGCCTCTTATGGATCTAAACGCTCAAGTATCTATTCCCGCATTTGGAGTACCATTGGGTCGACAGCAGCCACATCGCCGGCATCGAGTGTGGCGTGTAAGAGTCCTGTTTTGACATCAGCAAGACCCATTGATTTGGTGGAAGAGCCTGAAGAAATTATATAAAACCCACCCAGATACCCTTGTTGCTCCTTACCTTTGGTCGTTATCCTTATCTATATTATTATCAGCCCCCCCCAGCACATTCTTCTATCTACACATCTTCTTTACTCACACACACATCCCTCCCTTCCTCCCCTTTCTTTCATTATCCCTAGACGCTTATGTACTTGCTCGTTTTATATTATACATAAATTGACGATCCCGGTTTGATTCGTTTAGGATAATTGTTGGCGTTTGAAATCAAAGGTTGTTGCATGATAATTTTTATCCCTTGTGTGATGGAAAGAAGAAATGGCATGAAAAAGCAAATCAGATCATATACATGGTGCACATCTTTGGATGAAATAGAGGTGTGTGTGTGTGTGTGTGTGTGTGTTGATGGTATGCATAGCGGGTGGTGGTATGATGTGATGGTGCAGGTTGATGAAACATGGCGGGATAGATCGAATGAGGTATATAATGTCACGAGATCATTGTTGGGTAGTAGTAGCAGATGAATGAGGAGGCGAAGTGGTATCATCCATGGCAGTGGTGTTGTCATCATCATCCTTTTCTGAAATCCAGCCTACTTTCCATGGGTGACCACAGACCCAGTATTTTGGTGAACATACAAAGTCAATGATCGGGTCTTCAGGTTCCACGTGTCCTCTTGTCCGCCGCATATATGCAATGTGTTGTACTGCTTTTCTCTTTTCTTCCTTGCAAAGCACCCATCGACAATGACGACAAACACATCCGCCGCTCTTGTTATACCTTATAATCGAGGATGGTAATTATACACGTTAGCACGAGACATGAATAAAAATAGGTAGTCATAAGCCTTACCGAAGACCACATTTGTTGCATAAATATACATAGGGTCGGCCTTTATCAAAGTGCAAGTCGCTTGTTGGGAAAGGCCAATTATAGGCCTTTCTCATACAGCTGTCTGCAGGTTCTCGACAAGCCTGGCATGGTGCCTTTGCTCTACAGGGGCGACCTTGTTGTGTTATGGGTGCTGTTGCTGGTGGTGATGATGACAACAATGGTGGAAGTAGCTGTTGCTTTGCAACATGTTGCTGTTGTTTTGGTTGTTGTTGATGTGTTGTTGATGAGCGTGGTGGCACCGTGATCTGGGTCACCCGACGTTTTTGCGGTCGATAAAGACGCGGTCGACTCAGCCTACCTTGGCGTGCCAATGCGACATGTTTTCGTATCGAAGCAAGAACACCAGCCTTGCATGCTGTGCCAAAACATGTCGAGGATCCACAATCAGCACATGCTGGTGATGGTGTTGGTGGTAAAGGTGGTGGAGAAGAAGACCAGCAAGATGAATCCTCGTCACTCAAATCATCATGCACAATCAAATCGGGTGGTGTGGATGATATACGATGAAATGCACTCTTGTGCAATGAAGCATCCATGGCGTGTGGTGTATGCGAGAAGGGAAAGAGAGAAGAGAAAAAAGAAAGAAAGTGAGGAAAAGAAAGCTGCTGATTGTGGGTTATGCTAAACTCTGACACTCCTCAAACAAGATCAGTTGATGATCAAAACATTTGCAACAGAACGGGCCCGCTTGTCCTTGTGCAACCTTAACAAACGTCATTCTCTAATCTCATCCCATACCATTGGGACCCTCGAAACAGCTCATCTCGTACAGCGCGCTCATCTTTTATGCATGACATCCCATCACTTTAACGTGTGCACCATATCGCTTTGGCACCCCCATTCTTTTAGCACTGGTATAGATAAGCAGCATCTTCTTTGGTGGATCAAGGTAACAACAACCACAGCTTTTACTTTTCCAAGAAGCATCTCGGGAAAAGAAGGCACCGAGTGTAGTAGTGCAAGGATAGGAACAAGATTTTATCATGGATAGATAGGCATGCTGTCAATTCTACTACTGAAAAAATATGGGATGTTTCTACAAGTATATGAGGAATGGTGTGATCATGCCAACCAAAAGTTCGAGAATACACAATGTCATAACACGCCGTGATCCACTTTACATACATCTTTCTCTTTGGTGCCTTTGTCATCAAGTTTGCTCTGAAAGCTACATGACATCCCATATCCTTCCATCCCATGTACCAGAGTAATGTCCACATCAATATGCATAGGAATTCGCATGTATTGAAAGCAAGTTGCTACACGTAAATAAAGCTGCTTCTATACAATGACTATCTGCTGTTCACGTAAAGAAAGGCCGTTTGAGACAATGGAGCAAGACATTGCTAACAGAGGCTGCTGGAATTGATGCTGTTACATTTGGTTGTGTCACAAAAGTACAAGAGGAGTGTCGTGTCAAGAAGCTTGGGTGTTGTACACGCCATGGACTTGCCATTCAGTCAAAGGTTTTCGGATCAAGGCAATCGTAGGGCTGACATGATGGGTTGAAGCAGGGCAATCGTTTACAGGTGGTGGTTGTTGTACTTGAATGCACCAACAGTTGAGAATGGGAGGTGAAGAAAATAATGTGGGAGTGGAAGAGCTGGGTTGACCTGTGAGACACTGTCATCCAAATGCATGAACACTGTACATCAAACCTTGATATTGAGATTGCCTATCTCGAACTCGAAACTTTCACACAAGGTGCCGTTGAGCACGCTGATGAATTTCGTTCTCATAAAGCCTCCACACTTCACTATAAAAGTTATGAGCATGAGTGCAAACGCAAATTTCATGTTTAAATCGCTGGGAGCAGTGAAATGATTAGTATACAAGAGCGAAAACAAGAGAGACAGCAGCCATGAATTGGATGTACCCATTGGCAGGAAATGTGTGAATAGCTTATAAACCTTCACCGTGATCCTTCATCTCTCTTCCGCATCCATCCTAAGAGAACTGCTGCATAGACAAGTAGGCTATACAAAGGGATCCAGATGAAGATCCATCGGCTAAGCGAGCGAAATAAGGCGTTCTCGAGGGATGCTCCTCATATCAGAAAGAAAAGTGGCACATTTATCGATAAGCATAATACATAGCGTGCGTTCCTTGCCACCTTAATACACCCATTCTACGCAAGATGATCGTGTTTGATACGTGCATACAATGCTTTATCCACTTGTCATCCTTGATCGCTACAATTTGTTGCATCGCACGAGACCCTACCTGACAGGCGCAAACCCCCATGTTTCTTTTTCCAAAACAATGGACACGTGCATGATAGCCATATAGACACGTCGATTAACAAAGTCTCCAAGCTTTTGCTTAAATGACTGGACCACCCATTGATGCGATAAAAAGGCGATATTTGTGTAACTTGGATATTACCTAATTGAGACAGCTGCTTGGATTCCCAATCTATTGCAGAAACAAATCCGGAACACGAACCGAGCAAGCATGTTAAGTTTTGACAGCTGAGTCGAGAAATGAGTGGTTAATTGTTTTTGTTTTCCCCTTCTCTTCCTGGCAACTCGTTCCTGTGAGAACGTGGTGTGCTGTGAATCGGTTTCAGCGATACTACATCATCGGTTACTGTTTTTGGTTGTCATGAAGGAACACGATTTGCCATCAACGTGGTCTGGAAAATATTTGAGTGGTGCGGGTTTGGCGGTCTTGTAGATTGGAACTTTTTCTACTACAGGGCAGTGGTCAAGTCTCATACATAAGCAAATGGAAGGATTTTCTTTTTGACAAATTGTTTCATCAACCCTACAAACCTTTCAACAAAGAATCAAGAGGGCTGCTGCTGCAGCAGCACACATGCCTGCAGCAGCAAGCATTACCGAGGGTAAACACACAACACACACAACATCGGAGTTTCACATGATCGGCTTGTCCTCCCCCATATTTTGAGCAGCTCCCAGATAGCCTGGCGCCTCTTCTTTCTTTCGTTATTTACCATCTCCAATCGAGGCAGGACCTCCCGATACTTTCCCTAACCCAACCATCTTATGGGAATAACAGCATACTAGCATACATACATATGGAGCATCTGGGGTCATTCGTAAAACGATGGTCGGTCGATCTTCCTCCAAAGGCCGAGTACGACTTTGCTGATTCTCTTGGAGGTGCATGGTAAGACAAGGCCCTTATCTTTATTATACACCCCATTGGGCTTAACAAAGAACGTCTCCAGGTACATCACACCAACGCACCATGCCATTGAATTCCTAACACTGGCACCATTGTATACAATCTTTACGCTTCTTTATGCAAAGAAAGTACTAAGGTAAGTAAAGGAGGTGGGGTTGTATGGATCATTGAGGAGAGAGCAAGAGACAATGAGGGGAAAAGGGGTGGCGTACGTACGTACGTATACAGCCATACAATAACCATGCTCATTGTGTGGCTGAATCTAGGTCTCCAGGTGCCTATCAGCTTCTTACATCCACTGAGCAACGTCCCGCTCGATCCATATTAGAAACCTTGTTGTTTGTCATGTTGATTGCATCGTTCACGATTACCGTGATACACAAAGCAGTCACTGGAACATTACTGTTTCTCATGCAGGTAAGGGCATAGGAGAGCACAAAGGTGACACAAAGGGAAAAGGGATTTACATGGATGTTGATAGCCGTGTCATGCGAGTGCCATTCTCTTGATCCTCGTGATGGGCTGGCCTAATCACAAGTATCCGCTCATCCCACGTCTCCTGTTTAACATCTATTTGCATACGCTGTGGGGCACGATCTTAGCCTTGATTTGGCCAGATTTGAGAGATCATGAGATGCTTGGAGAGGTTTTTAATTTCTTTATGGGTAAGCACAAAAGGTGATTGTTTTATGGAAAAAACTGATTTCGTGTGTGTAGAGCATACTTTAATCCTCGTCGTGCCGCTTTACATGACGTTGACTCGTCGCTATCCCGTTTTACCCGTATCGCTTGATATGGCCCTTTTCAGCTTTTTCCTGTACGCGGCATACCACAGCCCTGTTTTACATATTTCATCGCTCTTGTCAGGGTACAATCTCAACTATGCATTGGTGCCGCCTGCTTGTAAGTCATGGAAAATCGGAAAGTGGAAGACGCATGTGCTGATTGTTGAGCCCTTTTTTGGGATAGTGACGTTCCTCATTGCTGCTGGTCCTTGGTATCGGTTCATTATGTATACCAGTGCCTTGTTGCTCATGTTCATTACCCGCTATGGCATTGTAGAGAACTTTTTGATCCTTGTGCAACAGATCCAGATCATGATGCTAAGGAAAAAGAAGACGGCCTAATATTCTTTCTCTGCTTTTGCCACACGCATATACACACACACACGCACACAGCACACACGCACATCACCCCTTCTAATACATCATCATCGGATTTTCCGCTCTCGTCCATATACATCTCATTACCACACACCCACCCCCTTATATTCTCTTTGTAGAAGGGAGTGATAGAATGGGCGAGCTCCTGGAAAGGGAATAAAGAGTACCATCTGAATAATACTCTACGCTTCTTTTTTCTGTTTTGCTTCTTCTTTTTCATGCATAATGGATCCTTCGCATCATCCACCACTCAACAAGAGCCGATCAAGGCTGTTTAAACCCAAAAAGATGAAAAGCTTAAACAAGCTTTTTACCAGCATGACAACAAACAACGATTTCAATCATCCTATTGTCGACAACAGTAGTGGTGCTCCTACCCATCCTATTGTCGTTTCACCCAACAGCAGTGGATCGTCGCCTGATACTCCTTCACCAAGCAGCACCATTTTTACCCCGACAAGCATAAGACAATACCCTCCTAAACCTTTAGTTTACTCGGACGACATCAACCCTCCCCCAGAAAATGTCATCAAAACACGTAAATCTTGCACCCTAAAGCATGATGAGAATACACCCACTGCCCATCATCATGCTATCAACATTGATTCTTTGCATAGAAGATCCTCGGAACCTACTTTTATGCCAGCAACTACTGGCAAGAACCGCGTCTTTTCATTCTTTCGTTCAAGCCTGCGTTGATAATATATATATGGTATCGTACCATTTATATAGCTCATGCATCATTGCCTCTTCTTCCTCATCCCTATAGCTTACCCCCTCTCTTTCCTTCCCCCTTGGGTATATACGAAGAAGCAAATGTCAATTGTCCCAAACCCCTTTCTATAAGATCTTTGTGTGTGTGTGTGCGTGTATACCAGAAACATATAATAAACAACCTGACGACAAGTTTAATGGAATACAAAGAACATGCGAGGCTATGGCTAGTACTTTTTTTTACTATACAAGAAAGAAAATAGCTATGCAGGGATGAACGCCCATGATGATTACAAAGGAACATGATGATGCATGCGTTTGGAAGCGTGTGTGTATAATGCGAATAGTGGTAATTGTCACTGGATTTCAAATTTCCTTGCAATGCGTGGTAACGATAAATGATGAATACAGTACAGAGCTTTTTTGATGTGTTGTGCGGGTGAGAATAAAATGGAAAGTCAAGAATATATAATATGCAATGGGGGTTTTGTTTTCTTTGCAGAGGCAATCTATTCAGGAACATGCGAAAAGAGATACGACACCGATTCACCATTGTGGGTTCTATGTGTGCGTAGATCAATATGGCTGTCCCCTTTGTAATACACGTATACAATCCCCTTTTTACTCACCTTCGAATGGCTTCAGCAAGTGTAGGCGAAATATCAATGATATCCAACTTTGGACAGATGGCCTAGAAGACGCATGAATTAGCTATGCTTCTCAAATCATGCATATTTTTACTTACCAATTTATCATCATGTGGGATGGTGTTGGTGACAACAAGCTTCTCGATGACGGATTCATTGATCACCTTGATAGCTTTACCAGACAAGATGCCGTGAGCGACAATGGCGTACACCTTTTCAGCACCGTTATCGAGCAAAGTCTTTGCAGCCAAACCAAGAGTACCACAAGTATCTGCCATGTCATCGACAAGAATGGCAATCTTTCCTCGCACATCACCGACCAAGACCATGCGGGAGACTTCATTAGCACGCTTACGTTCCTTGTGGATCAAAGCGAAATCCATGTTGAGACGATCAGCAATGGATGTGGCACTAGAGAGAAAGAAAGAAAAAAAGTCATCATCAGCCTCCATGCTTGCTATATCCTAAATCCTCATCCTTACCGCTTGGCACCACCAGCATCAGGGGAAACGATGATAGCATTTTCCCAGTTGGGAATTTGAGTGGAGATATACTTGATCATGGAAGGTTCACAGTAGAGATTATCCACAGGTACATTGAAGAAACCCTGAATTTGGGAAGCGTGCAAATCCATGGTGATGACATGATCGGCACCAGCAACGGTCAACATGTTGGCGGTCAACTTTGCAGTGATGGGAGCACGACTCTTATCCTTCTTATCCTGACGAGCATAAGGGAAACAAGGAATGACAGCCGTGATACGACGAGCCGAAGCGGTCTTGCAAGCATTGATCATAATCAAGAGCTCCATAAGGTTGTCATTGATTTCACCACAGCCGGATTGGATAATAAACACATCCTCGTCTCGTACAGACTCGCCAATCGTCACAGCCGTTTCTTGGTTCGAGTACTTGAGGACATCGGCCTTGGCAATGTCGATACCAATACGGCTTGCAACCAACTTGGCCAACTCAGGGTGGGAGTTGCCAGTAAAGATCTTGATCGAGTTGTCGGCCATTGTGTGTGCTTGCTTGTAATGTGACGAGGAGGAAAGAGGGGGTATGCCAATATGTTTGATTCCACCGAGGAAAAAGAGTAGTGTTGCGCTCCTTGAATGGAACTCGTAAAGAGTCGAAAGTATGAAAAAGTGTGGAGTAAAAGAGGGTTGCAAAAAAAGAAAGAGGCCTTCAAAACATCGGCAGCGTTGCACCAAAAAAGCTGAAAACACAGTCCACAACAGCGAATCACCATCCTTCATTTGATTGCCTATGCCCAACATAGCTTGTGCAACCTAACCAGTCCTTGGATCCCTATTCCCCACCATCTACCATGGCAGTTCTATTTACAATGAGCATTAAAAATATGGACTTGGTCCATCTATATGAAGATCTACATGATCCTGATACTGCCCGTTTGGTTCAAACTTTATCATTGATGATGATGACGACGATCGTCGTATTCTTCTTCTACTTTTTAGTATCATACATCTTTTGTTTTTTGATGAGAAGGAAAACGATTGTCGATCTCTCAACGACGCCAGGATTTTGTATCAAAAAGGCAAGCCTATTAGTAGAGTCATTTGACAATGATAAATGTGATAGGGCTGAACCAAGGTGTAAACTGACACAGGGATGGATTAGCATGGTCCGATGCCTTGCTTCAAATTACATTATGTAGATGATTCCGTTGCCATGGAAACTGGTTGATAGCACACGCTTTTATTCGAATAGGCTACCTAAATTAAATTCTATGATTGTCTAATCGAATGGATGGGATAGTGAATACCACACCAGGCCTTGAATGCATGGTTCCATTTGTGCTTTGTGATGGGATGCAAATACTATTATGCAGCTTTAGGCAATGCTTAGATGCTCACGTGTGCTTGCAGGTCGTCCTTCAATTTGCGGATTGGGTAGCTCCTCCTGTCGTCCGACACACACACTCACACTCACATGTTTGACCAATTCAAAAATATCCTGCCAACCACCAATATCAATATTCGTTCGTTATCCAGCTCCGTTGGGTAATTCTACTTTGCAATCGTCGTCTCCAGGCTCGACAAGCTAACGAGCACTATGCAACTAGATTGAATGACGAGGAATGGCGAGCACGCGGTTTAGAACGGTAATGTACACTGCTTCTCCCATGGTCCCTTATCCTTTTGTATTGGTATGCTCATGCAGGTTTAGATTAGAGACACTTCGATCCGAATTCCAAAACTTTAACTCGATACTCCTTAACCGGCAACAAAGCGCACCGTATGTATCCTACCCACCCACCCACCCCCACAAACGTATCAACGCGTTGGCTGACAGCTATGTTCTTTATTCAAAAAGCCCGATAACACAACAAAGCCGACAATCTATTTTGGAGTTGGAAGCAACGAGTCGATTGATACAAAGGTTGGCTTTTTGGTTTGGGCATGTCGGTGATGTGATGCTCATTTGCATGGATAGGTACGAGCATGATTGGCAAGACATCCACGACCGAAACGCCGTCAATTTTGAGAAGGCGAGGGTAAGTAATCTTCCTTGGTGATCGATGCTTGAGCTGAGGGACCCTTTTTAGATGGCGGATCAATTACTGCTGCAGCTTTTGAGCACATGTCGTCAACACGTGTCAACCGGTGATCGGATGGAGAAAACACATGAAGACCTGGCAGCGATCCATGAGGATTTGAAACAACTAAATACGATGGCTGGTAAGTGAATTTGATCCTGGAGGATGATGAAGATGTTAAGGTTAACTATGTTCTCAAAGGTGATCTCAAGAGTAAATTGATGGGTTTGGAGGATCAAATCAATGAGGCTACCAGCGAACAGTCTCGGCAAGAATTTGAAGAATGGAAGGAAGAGCAGCGTGGCAAGTTGAATGGGGAGATAGCAGGCAAAACGTAAGTCATCCTTTAAAACAGGAACACATGGCCAGGTTCTAATCCATTTGATATTTTGATCAGAGCAAAATTGGAAATGTATGAAGCATCATTACGGCAAGCATACGAGGAGCATAATCAAGTGCAGACACAAAAGCGGGCGGAATTACTTGATGCAACATTCAATGCTGAGATGGAGCAATATCGAAGGCTTCGAGAAACACAAGTCTCTTCCTTATATTCACGTAAGTGGATCACTGCGTAAGGTAGATGTGGGGCTGACAGCGTTTCTTTTTCTTTAGACCAACCCGCTGCTTCCATCACTGCATCATTGGATACCTTGAAGTTAGACGTCGATAACCAGGATTTGGATTCCTTTCTCTCTGATAATGATGAGGTAGGTTTTGAAGGAACAATGATGGTAAGAAAGATAGATAGCTAATGGCAAGGCGATATTAGACCACCACATCATCCAATAGACAACATCCACCACACAAACAACAACCCATATCAGATGATAGTTCAGATGAAGGGGGAGACAACGAGATATTGGGAGATGAAGACTACGAGGATTTATAGAAGTACAACAATAATGGTACAAAGTACGTTTGATACTACGTTAAATAAGTTACTTGGAGGGGGCAATTTGGACCTCGGGGGTTCCTTGGTCATAGACAACATAGTTGTTCTTGAGGAAGGTGTCACCAATAATGTTGACCGACAAACCACCGCTAGCGAAACCAGCAATGCAGCTACCGCCGTTCTCAACGTAGACGAGAGAGTCGGGGGAGACCTCAAAGTCGTTACCAGCCATCGAGAACTTGAGAGGCTCAAACTTGGAGGTGTCACAATCGATGGTGTAGGTACCATCAGGGTTAGCAGTGGCACCATAGGCGTCAGCAATACCCTTGATCAAGTCGTCGTTGAGGATCAAAAGAGTGGTGCCAGTGTCAAGGATGGCATCAAAGTTGCCAGTGACTTCCTTGCCACCAACAGTGGACTTGTCAACAGTAACACCCCACCAGCCTTGAGAGTTATCAATGGGAACCTTCTTCAATTCACCATCAATGTGCTCCTTGTTGATGTCACCAAAGACGTATTCTATGTAGTAGCATCATCATTATCAGCCATCCTTCTTTAGCCCTTAATGGTAATAAAGATACTCACCACCTCCACCACCTTCCTTGTGCTTGCCAAGGTAGCAACCAAAGATGGGCTTGTCAATGAGCTTTTGCTCAATAAGGTTATCCATGGGGGTCTTCTCGTTAACAGTGTTGATGCTGTTGAAACCCAAACCAAGGATACCATCAATGGGATCCTTGTTAAAGCTGGAAGAACGCTTGTCAGCGAGTTCGATGGCTTGCTTCTTGATCTTGAGGCCACCAAGATCGACAACGTCATAAGCAACGGTGCCACTAGCAGAGGAGCCATCACCATAGCTGATCTTCCATGGCTTGTCACCCTTTTCAAAGGTGGAAGAATCGGAAGACTTGAACTTGGGCTTGTCACCACATGAGGTACAATCCTCACCAGCTGCATTATTTAAAGTGTTAATAATGGGAGTGGTCAATCATGCCAAAGACTCCGCTTGCAATGTAACCTACCAAACCAAAGGTCGGAGGAGCCCGTGTCGAAATCAAGCTTGAACTTTTGAGGAGGAGTACCAACACTGACAGTGCCGTAATACTCAATGTCGTACTCATAGTCGGTCATAGGCACAACACCAGATCCGGAGAACGAGTTGACGCTGTCAACAAGGTACTTGGAGTACTTGCTTTGAGCACGGAGCACCGAGGCAGTAGCGTTGCGTTGATAGCCCTTGTTAGGCTCCAAGGACATCGTGAAACCAGCAAGGACAGTGGATGCAGGGACCACCAGGGCCAAAGCTGCAGTGATTGTCGAGAAATGCATGTTGTTGTTGTTGTTAATAAAAGTAAAGGAAAGAAAAGACTTGCGAGTTGATGAGGAAAAATGGTCGTGTCGAAAATGCTCCTATTTATATAAAAGAAGAACACCGCTTACCGCATATGAAGTGCATTATTAACCATGGCAAATAGCTCTGTTGCTCCCCCGCCGCACAAACGATATGAGTGCCTGGTCGTTAGGGATGCACAAGAGCAAATTCAGTAGCGATGTGGTGTAACGTGAACATCAATGTTTCTCAAGGAAGCGGTGATGACGATCGCCATTTGTGGTTAATATGATTCTGGATTTGGATAATTTTGTTTGAATCGAGTAAACGACGCGTGCTGTCATCGTTGCGCCTTCAATGCATCTCCATTTCTTGAACGTACAAGATTCCATACCTCTCTCTCTTACTTTAGGGACACCAATGCTACACACATGCAAATAACACGGGTCACGCCGATTTGTGTGTCGATAATACAAGCATGAGTTGCATAATTTCGTGTCCACTCGTGGAGAAAAGATAAGCCAGATTATTAATAATAGGTTGTTGATTATACAATTTCCTCATTGCAATTGCATTGTATGCATAATTGGTTGACAGGTCATTCTTTACATTGCCACCACTGCTGCCCCCCTTGTTTGTGCTCCTGAGACAATGATGACAACATGCTGCAGGGTCCATTGATAAGTTTATGCAAGGGTCAGCAGAACAAACACTCTAGTGCGTGGCAAATGCTGCTAAAAAGCCAACAACCAGGTAAATCCCATGAGAGGCTGAAAATAGCAAGCACGTTTGAAAATAACAGGTATTTGGGTTAATGGGTTGTTGCATGATCAATTACAGTCAACAACAACATTGGTCTCCGAGCTGTCCCATTTTCTTAGATATTGCGGCTCATTGTAGATGTGCAAGGACCAATTTTGGTATAAACGCAGAAGAAACTACTTTATAAAGAAAGTCTTGCCTTTTGTTGGCAGAGATACAAGCGATCAGCAGCACGATCGCATCATTGCTGCCTGTGACACGGTCCGTCTTTGGTACTTTTTTATGCAAAAGGATCGCCATGTATAGTTTGGTGCCAAAAAGTAATACATTGTCGATAAATGATGTATACACACTGCTGGGAACAAGTTACATCTTTGCATTACGCTGGTAAATGGCATTCAGGGGCAGACGATTAGCATGTGAAAGTTGATATCCCGCTATCCAGGAACATGTATCATCTTTTTGTTGGCCATTGTGCGTGTGTCTATCTAAATGTATGTATGCATCCATTGATGTAGTCAATACCAAGAGAGTGCTAATAATGAACAGCTCCCCCCCCCGGTGGAGTTGATTGTTGTCGGCAATCGTCTCCGAACATTTGAGAAAAATCAGTCTCATAGTGCATTGATTTTCTTTTTCTTCCCTCCGGACACTCGTTACACAAACAACCAAAGGTAAGTTTATGGCCAACGCCGCCACTTTTTTTCCTGGACGCCCCTCAATGTCACCCATCATGACAGTCGATCAAGTGACAATGCACGCTCATGCCTTCCAAAACCGAAACCTAAAGGTTCATAGACTCGAGCTGGCAAGCACGCTTTGAATGGTATGTGGTTTACCCCAGTCTTTCTCCCCCTTCGAATTTCTACTACTACTATTGTTAGATGCATGAATTCTTCCAAGAGTCACAACTAACATCACTTGTGGTACGCTTCCCACGTAATAGAAACTCAAAAAGCATCTCAACATCCAAACGACCAATAAGATCATCCGTGAAACACTCAATCATCAACCATGGCGCGCATGGACTATCCAAATACATTGCTGTGAACATCATCATCTTTCAACAACGTCGTCATCGTCATGCTTGGATGCCTATGTTGATCACGTCGAATACATCCTACATGAATCATTTCAGCCATCACGTATTGGTACGTAAGGTTGACTTTTTTTTTCTTACTTATTGCCTATACTTAGTTATCTTATTTTCTAGTTGTTACGCAAGCACCTTATCTTTTAAAGCAAGAAGGTTGGGGCGAATTCGAGCTTGGTATTGTGTTCCACCTGAAGGATGGTACGGTGCAATCAACACGATTTGATCTCCATTTCCAACGACGAAAGTACACACGTACGCGCACTTTGGCAAGTATTTCTATTGTTGGTTTAGCCGCGGGGAAGAGGGAAAACGAGAGAGGAGGTGAATTATGTTATCCAACGTGTGACAAAGCTCATGCAAATTGGTGATATAGATAGTAGAAGCACCTGATGAAGATGTCTGGTCCTATGGTACTTCCCCTGGCAAAAAGCTATCCACGAGCAAAAGACGAGTTTCAGTAGAGGATATCAAGGTACGTATTGCGAGGTATGTTTGATAACCACCTATCTCATTCAAAACATAGGGCATCGATTTGGACGAGCTGACTACTTGCTTGGAATCGCTCGATGGTGACGATTTGCGCCAAGTATACGACATATTTTCAAAGTTTGATACACGTGATATGAGCATAATGGAATGGAAAGGTAGTTCAACGATATGCATTATGCTGAATGTACGCCATCAGTGATGTTCACATGACCCTTTTTGTGGTAGATGAGATCTGGTTTGATATCTTTGGCTTGGAGCACAATCTCGTATGGCAACTATGGGACTTTTGTCAGATGCTAAAAATGCGGGATGATGAATCAAAATCAGGCACAACGGCTGTGTTATTGCATGACAATGAAGACCAACAAGCAAATCCATCCACAACAACAACACCAGCAGCCTTGGCTCCTCATTTACGTACATAGTTCCAAAGATAGCAACTCATTCCCAATTACCTTTTCGCTTACAACCTTGCATTATTGTAAATACCATTCCTTTTTCTAAACCAACAACAATGAAAAGTATCCATTACATATCCCTCAACAAATAACACAGTTGATTTATTCGACCCTCATCATGATTAATACTCATCGACGACCAACTGCTACATTCCATCCACAAGGAGCACGCGTACTAAACCGAACTAAGCAGAGGCCTCGGCCTTGGTCTCTACCTTTGGTTCGTCTGTAGCGGCTAAATGAGCGCGTAAAACTTCCATGGCTTCTTCAATCTTGGCATCCAAAGCGGCTTGATCCTCCAATAAATTCAAGAGCTCGCTGTTATCCATCTCGAGAAGCATACCGGTAATCTTGCCAGAGTACTCTGGTTGAGAAGCATGACTATCATCATTGTCAGGGGGGAGTAAATAACATGAGCAGATGATAAACAATGATTGATCCAACTTACATTAAGGGATACAAACGTTCACCCAACATTTGCTTTTGAAGCTCAGGAGCAGCTGCAGCCAAAGCAGCAGCAGTCAATGGAGGCGTACCATTGGTTTGTTGTTGTTGTTCTTGAGCACCATTCGAAGGTTGAGCACCAGCACCAGCACCACGACCTTGTTGAGTGAATTTACGTTGACCTCCCATTTGACCACCACCACGACCACCACCACCTGGTTGGTTTGCACCACCACGAGCAGGACGTGGTTGACGAGGAGGACGACCTTGCATGCTATTTGGACCTCCAAAGCCTTGAGGAGCACCACCATGTGGATAACCTGGCATAGGCATTTGCTGACCTTGTTGTGGTTGTGGAGCCCAGCGAGGACGAGGCATCATGCCATTAGGTGGGAACATGGGACGTTGACCTTGGGCCATGAAACCATTGGGTGGAGCATAAAACATGGGAGCAGCACCAGGTGGCATGTAACCAGGAGCACCAGGAATTGGAACAGCCTATGGATGAAACAAGAAACAACCAGGTAGGTTAGTGATCTGATCTGGATGTGATGTTTCCCCTTTTATGAATCACATTACCTGTTGCATACGCAATTGGTTGCGTTGAGCCATTTGAGCCTCCAGTTGACTACGACGCACCTCCTTGCGTTGAGCGAGTGCCACATAGATAGGTTTGGATCCAATCATACGTCCATTGGCTTCAGTGATAGCACGCGTGGCTTCATCAGGTTCTGAAAAGCATACAAAGCCAAATCCTTTGCTGTTGCCCTTTTCATCTCGCATGATCTTTGCACTGGTAATCACGCCATAGACGGAAAATTCTTGACGCAACTTGTCATCATCAATGTCATCATCCAAGTTTTTGACATACAAGTTGACACCTTGATATTTGGCAAGCTTTTCCAATTTGGCTTGTTCATACTGACGCCGAAGCTCCTCCTCACGTTCAGCCTTTTTCTGTGCACGCGCAACAAACAAAGCCTTGCCCTTGTATTCCTTCTCGTTCAATTCCTCAACCGCCTTGCGAGCGTGTTCATAGTTTTCAAAGTTGACAAAGCCAAAGCCCTTGGAGTTGCCCTCCTCATCCTTTTGAACAATGGCCGATGTGATCTTGCCATATTTGCCAAACAACTCTTCGAGTTCCTTGTCATCCACCTCAGTATCCAAATTCTTGACATAGACATTGGTGAACTTGGATCGCATCTCTTCAACCTTAGCCTGACGTTCCTTGCGAGGAATGTGATGACCCACATAACTAAAATCATCATCATGTATCAGAGACACACACACAATAAAATCATCTTCATCCATCCTCCATCCTTCAGCTTTACTTACACTTTCTTGTCATTCAACAACATGCCATTGACATGTTTGATAGCACTTTCAGCAGCCTCCTCCGTTTCATAATGCACAAAGCCATAGCCTTTGGAATTACCCGCCTCATCCAACGCAATCTTGCACGACAAAATATTGCCAAAAGCGGAAAAGGTGTCGTGTAGCGCCTTGTTGTCGATGCTGGTGTCGAGATTCTTGATGAAGACATTACCAGAGCCGGTCTTGCGCAATGATGGATCACGTTGAGACCACATGATACGACATGGCTTGCCCTTGATCAATGTATAGTTCAAGCTATCCAAAGCACGTTCACCTATCATTCAAATCAATCAGCCCACCATTATTAGCATCCTAGAAGGAGAGAGAGACAGAGAGAGAGTACAAAAAGGAGAAGGGAAGGAAGAATGAAACCTACCATCGACAATATTGTGATAGTTCACATAGGCGTAACCCAAGCTGCGACGAGTAACAGCATCACGGCAAACACGAATAGAAGCCACAGGACCAATCATGTTGAAACATTCAAAGAGCATGGCTTCGGTGACAGTGGGATCGAGTTCACCAACGTACAATGATGCTGAAGGAGAGGGTGCAGCATTGGTGCTGGTCGTAGTAGCAGCAGCAGCAGTAGCACCGCCAGCTGGGGATGCGGCTTGAGCTTGAGCAATTTGTTGCTGCTGTTCTGGTGACAATTGCTGTTGTTGACCAGAAGGAGTGTTGTTGTTGTTGTTGTTGGTCGCAGCAGCAGCAGCAGCAGCAGGTGTAGTAGCGGGAGAAGACATGATGAAATGTGTTTCTTTTTTTATAAAGGTGTTTTTCAGTTTTTTTTGGTGTTTTTTCTGTTATATGCAGGCCGATATGATGGAGGTTAAAGAAAAGAAAAAAAAGAGGGTGGGGGCTTTTTCTTTTCTTTGTGAGGGCTGTGGAAGAGAGGGAATCAAGGAGTTGGCCCTTTGGCGGTGAAATTTATTGTCGGTATTTTACTGGTGTGGGTGCGTGTTTCATGCAAGACCACTGAGTTTGTGTTATTCGCTCCGTCTTTCCGCACTGGCCGCATTGTTATCAATCACAAAAGCATATATTTATAGCACATCACTATTGGGTAAAGTCGTCCATGTTTCTTGTAGAGCACCTTCCCATTGGACCATGTTTGTAGAATAGGTGGATCGATTCGATTGTTCTTAAGATCGATAGAGTGCTATAGCATCATCAGCATCATTATTAAAATTTCCATCTACTTATCTAAGCAGCAGCTGACATCTCATTTCAAGTTGGAATTTGAATGTGCATTTGAATGTTGGCATTTTAGCATCAACCTATCATAATCAATCCTTTCATCTCGAGGAGCTCATAATGCATGTTGGCAGTAGCAGCGATATGCCGCCACCTGGTTGCATCGCAACGCGATACAGTGTCCGTAGCAACACCCCAAGCTTAACGATGATGCTTAATGTACTATATTTGTGCATTTAAAAACTGCTTTTCAGCAGGTTGCCAATCCTGTAACCCAACTCCCAATCTCTTACTTTATTCACTTTGCAACAAGGATGTCCTATTGGAATCCTCGGATGATGAGTAAGCTTATTTTGGCTTTTGTCACTATCATCATGAGTCATACTATACGTGGAAGCCGAAGGCTATTGAATGCTGTTTTATTTAAGTGTTTGATATACATAGAGCTATGCAGGTTGCGAGGTGGAAGGTGTCATGAAAATGAAATGAATTAAGGATTCATCACGTGGTAACCAACCCCTTTGAGCGAAATTAACATTGTAATAGGAAGCCTATTCTATCTCCATCTACTACATTACCTCAAGTCATCCTCCAAAAGTTATTGTAAACAAAGCAGGATCCACAACAACCAAAAAGGCTACAATGTTGAATGGGCGTTGTTGTAATTTTAGGTGTCCGTGCGCATGGCAACCATAAGCTTGGATAGTCACACGTCGGGTTGACTCATGATTTATCTGGAAAGATGGAGGAGTAGAAAGATCGCTATGTCTCTTGTTCCCGAACCACCCAAAGAGGTCGGCTCTGCCGTCCCAGCGCATACACCTCATGCTGTATCCGTCATGTTCCCCACTTGGCAAGACAATGTCTATTACGAAGAAGGCAATCCCATCGTCACATCGAAAATGGAATGCGGCTACCCACGCTTCTTTATTCATCCTTACATTCAAAAGGTAAATGTCAGCTTATGCAAGACGATCGCCTCCTCCTCCAACCAACCAACCATAACAACAACACTAGCTATGTGCCCGTATTGTGACCAAGTTTGGAAAGCCCGGTGATTCTGGCATGCTATTTCCTTCGCGTAAAGTAGCTGAAGGTTGTCGAGAGTTTATGGCACGTTTCCATCCTGAATCAGTTGGTGCTGTACGCGTTGTTGAACTCAAGATAGCCTCTGAACAAGGCCCGTTATCCGTCTACGGCACCCTTTTCCCTGAAGATGCATTCAAGGCAGCGAAACAATATTGGCAACACACCGGCTGCATCTTATCGTCTCGTATGGCTGAACATTGCTTGAATATCATGGATGCCAACAAATCAGCAGCTGCTACACCCAACATCGAGCCACCAATGACACCAGGAAAACGCTCTCGTTACAGCAAATCAAACAAAGTGCAAAGCAACAACAACAATGTGGATGCTGCTGAAGAGGATCATGCAACCTATGTGGAGGAGCGATATGGTCGTAATTTACCCATTGAATTTGTGGATCACGCCAAAGTAGCACTTCGTCGTCGTATTGCTGGTATCGTCTCGGAGCATGATAAGGATACAAAGGTCCAGGATTTTGAAAAGGCAACCTCATCCGAATTGGAGAGTCAGCGTTTGATCCAAGGTGCTCGTGGCATGAAGGGTCTAACCGAACAAGACGTCTATCTCTATCCATGTGGTATGAGCGCTATTTATTATGCACATCAAGCGGCATTGTCGATTTTGGGAAGTTCCCGAAAAAGTGTCTGTTTTGGGTAAGCTAATGGAAGAGGCTATATATAAATTGGATAGGGTGATGATTGACATGCGCATATACGTAGTTTCCCTTATACGGATACGCTCAAGATCCTTCAAAAGTTTGGTCCAGGATGTTACTTTTTCGGCTTGGGTGAGGACAAGGACATCGATGAATTGGAAGCCAAACTCAAAGGAGGTGAACGCATCTTGGCACTCTTTTGTGAAGTACCCTCCAACCCCTTGCTCAAGACACCTGATATGAAACGGCTACGTCAATTGGCTGATGACTATGATTTTATGATGGTGGTGGATGAAACCATTGGGAACTTTTGCAACGTCAGTGTACTTCCTTATGCGGATATGGTGGTGAGCAGCCTTACCAAAATCTTCTCGGGCGACTGCAATGTGATGGGTGGCAGGTGAGTGAGACACACACACATTATATGTGTAAAAGCAATAGATTGACTCATTTTGATTGGACATGTATGATAGCATGGTGCTTAATCCCAACCGCAAGTATTACACTGCCATTAAGCAATATTTGAATGCCGAATATGAGGACCTTGTCTGGTGCGAAGATGCCCTGTTCTTGGAGCGTAACTCGAGAAACTTTGAGGAGCGGTCAAAGACCATCAATGAAAATGCTGAAGCCTTATGCGACTATCTATCCACACATCCTCTAGGTAAATCACATGCCATATGGGTATAATATAACCACAACGGTTCTAATATTAAGGTTTTTAGTGCATCAGCTGTGTTACCCAAAGTTTGTGTGCCGTGAGTACTACGATGCTGTCAAGAACCCTGAGGGTGGATACGGTGGATTGTTTTCGATGGTGTTGCAGAATGAAGAACAAGCACGTACCTTTTACGATAACCTGCAATGTGCCAAGGGACCTTCACTCGGTACAAACTTTACACTTGTCAGCCCTTACACAATCCTCGCCCATTACACTGAACTCGATTGGGCTGCACAATATGGTGTCTCATCTTATTTAATTCGAGTCAGCGTTGGCCTGGAGAGCAAAGAATCGCTACTCAAGTCTTTCAAGGATGCACTTGATGCTATCAAGCAATAGCCCTTAGAGGGAGGTGGTGGAGGATGAGGAGACCCATGTGCTTTTTTGTGTTTCCGCAAAAGTTAGTTTCAATCATAATATTTATATACTTGTCTTTTATTTGCTACAGATAAAATGATGTCTTGGGGAGGATGGTTACCGTGCTTATGGATGATATCATGATCGTGCTCCGACGCACGATCGATAAAACCTGTGTTGATGAGGAGCTCGGGGCTGTCTTTTAAAAGTGAGACAGGTTGTGGAAGTGTATATAAAGAGGATGTCAAAACACCGAAGTTGGGTCACAAAACTTTTCGAAAATGGAGGCTGTCAAGGGAGTTGTTCGAAGGCTAAGCGGGAAGAAGAAACGTAGTATGCTACCTTCTCTTACCTGCACCCCTATTGAACCATCATCATCATCATCAACCACGCCATCACAACAACAACAACCACAACATATACCCAGTGCACCTACGTCCCCTGTACAAAGTCGTCGCACATCATCCAGCATCAGCTCCCTCTCACTTGGAGATAAGGTGGAGGAGGATAACAACAGCACTTGTGCAACCAATGATGTCGATACCCAACATGCCACACCTAGTTCGAGTAGAAAGACATCATGTTCATCTACGTCAGGCCCTGCCACTCCACCCATGCCACAACAACCACAACAACGCACGCTTACTACCCCAAGTGATGCTGTTGTCTCCACAACAAAGAAACAACACATGGACCAACTTACCCCACCCCCTTCACTCCCCGTTTCTCCCGATGCAAAGCCCGCTCTTGATAGTGGTGTTAATCCACTTGATAATTACATCATCAAGCAAACCCTGGGTACTGGCCAATTTGGTCGGGTCCATTTAGCACAAAGCCTTGTGGATGATCAACATTATGCGATCAAGATCATCAGTAAACACGATGTTGTACGACAACGGCACACCAAGCACATCAACAATGAACGTGCGATATTGGATAGAGTCTCCCATCCATTTCTGGTCAACATGTACGACACTTTTCAAGATGATGCGCGCTTATTCATTGTGATGGAGTATGTTCAAGGTGGTGAATTATTCCGTATTCTACGACGACAGAGAAAGTTTGACGAAGAGACCACGCGATTTTATGCTGCCGAAGTTATTTTGGCATTGGAGTACATGCACGAGCTTGATATTGCCTATCGCGATATCAAACCTGAAAACATCCTATTGGATGCTCAAGGTCATATCAAGATTGTCGATTTTGGATTTGCAAAGATGGTGCCCGATTTAACGTGGACCGTATGTGGGACGCCTGATTACTTTGCACCCGAGATTATTCGATCCAAAGGATACAACAAGGCCGTCGACTGGTGGTGTTTGGGTGTCTTGATTTATGAAATGTTGACGGGCAAAGCCCCGTTCACTCAAAAGAATCCAATTGACATGTATCAAAACATTCTCGATTGCCGCGTGCCATGGCCCGAAGATATCATCAGCCCTGTTGCCAAAGACTTACTACAGCACTTGCTTACCCCGGATTTATCAAGACGCTATGGCAATCTCAAGGATGGTGCCCTGGATATTAAACAACATCCATTCTTTGAAGGCCTCGACTTTAAAGCTATTCTTGAACGCAAAGTGACCCCGCCTTATCAACCCGAGATCGAAAGTGATAGCGATGCCACGTGCTTTGACAAGTACGACGAACCAACAACTCCATATGAACAACAACCACAACAACCACTAGCCGATCCTTATCGTTCCCAGTTCCCTGACTTTTAACTTTCTTATACATATTTTGTCATCTGTATCATAATCCTCTTCTCCCCTTCCTCATTGCACGTATTACAAATCCTTGTTTACCCCAGCCCCCTTTCTTATTCTTCACGTGCCTTAATGTCAAAAAGTTTTCATTTGCTTTCATCCATAATATATATACACTACTTTATCAAAGAGAAGAAGAGGATGTTTGTAAAAGAGCATCGACACTCATTTGTGTGGGGAAATGAACGGTGAGACGCGTATGATAGTTGAAGGCCAAATGGAGTTTGCAAAAGGTACCAACACGATTCAACAGGATATGTTTATCTGTCACCAAGCGTCGGATAGCCATGGGGGATACTTGATCAGGCTGGTCATAAGTGATATCAACAAGGGATGCCACGAGGCTGAATGTATCGAGCGTATGATCGGATAGGATCATGTCGGGTGCACGTTTTATCACCAACTGTTCCAAACGAGGTGTGCATGCCAATAAAAGCTCGTCCAATCCAAACTCTGTCAAGTCGTTGACCATAATGAGATGAAGCTGTTTGAGCTGTGGAAAGGTAGATAAATTGTTGTTGTTCTCTGCCAAACGTCGAATGCATTCGTCACTGATGTTGCATGCATGTAAATGCAAGCTTGTCAATGTCGTACAAGAGCCATAGAAAACAACACCTGTAAATGCAATGTCGGTAACGCGACGTAATGAAATGGAGCGCACAGCCGTTGTCAATGGTGGATGTACTCTTTCGGGTGCTCCTCCTCCTTCTCCACGATGATTGTTGGGTCGATATCCAAATCCAAGGGTGGTGAGAGATGCGTGGTATTGACTTAAAAGTTGGATGATGTGATAAGATGGAATGGCATTGTAGCAATTAAGACGCTCGAGTTTTGGACATGATCGTAAAAGATACTCGAATACGGATGATGAACCTCGTTCAATATTACTCAATGTGAGTTCTCGTATATTGGTGGTCGTTGCCATAGTGTTCTTGTTGTGATGGTGATAATAAGAGGTGTCATGGATGCATGAATCGGATAGATCCAGGTATTGAAGATTTGGAAAGTTGGTAAAGAGGATGGTGTCGATATCGTACAAGGTCATATTCAGGCAATACAATTGTAAAAATGTCAAGCTGGTGATCGTTCCCATGCTGCGTAAGGCTCGAAGCATCAATAGCGTTTCCTCTGGTCCTGCCGTATTGTTCAACTCTAATCATATACACATACATACATGAGTGATTATCGTAAATACACACACACACACACACACACTTTCCATACCGAGTCGTTCCAGCCGTTTGCAACCATGGGTAGCCACCAGTTGTAACGCCAAAGTGCCATAGACTTCAGACAACTCAAAGTCAAGTCGCAATGTCTTGAGATGGGAACCGGCCCACATGATGTAGTTCTTCAACGCGTACTGATACGTCTCAAAAGTGGTGGCATCAAGACCGGAGACAAGATGGCGTCGAAGGTTCAAGTGATTCCATAGCGAAGGGGCCTTGATCAGGAAGTGATGCCATTCCCGGCATACTCGGAGACAACGTGCAAGATGGCGAAGTTCCAGGAGACCAAAGATATCGAGAGATACTTCGGGAGGTAACCTTGATAGCATAAAGACGTGTGAAAGAGTGGTGAAGGTGGTGCATGGTTGACCAACAAGAAGATGATCAGCTCGCTCGTCGCATGAACCATGAAACCCAGCAGCAGCAGCCTTCAAGAAACATCCTTCCCACGCACACACACACACTCACCCACATCCATTACCCGCCAATTCAACTTTTGATACATATAGAATCTATATACGTTTATTGAAAAGAGAGAGAGAGAGAGAGAGAGAGAGAGAGAGAGACATAGGCTTCAATAAAGAGAGAGTGTTTGTTTGCACAAGTGATAAATTTCAGCATGAATGTGCGCTGTCATCAGGTACACCGCTCGCTCGAGCAGTAATCGGACATGATGTTCTTGCTTACCATCAATTAGTGTTGGTGTAACCACCCGAGTGCATCATTCGATCCTTAGCAACCAGCTTCTACAACCATGGAATCATAGAATCTTTGATCCTTTAGGTAGCTTGCATCTATAGTAGTACCTTCATATTGAGTGACCCAATTTTTGATTTGAAAAGTGGTCTTCCTAGCACCTAATGGCTTCTTGCTTCACGGTCATTAAAACTCTATTATACTCTTGAACCAAAAAGAGATCCCCGAGCAAAAGATCATTTTGATTTGTTCGGGCTTGTTCATCCTGTGCAGGTTTGTTCTTGTAGAGAGACGATCTTGGGAGGGGGCCGTGAATAAATCAAAATGTTTGGTAATGTAAGATTCATCTCTTGCTATTACAATCTATTAGGCACGATGATGATGATGATGATGTCGTATGTAAAGGAGCAATTGTGGCTGGAGCGCTATATCCAGTTATGATTATCAAAGGGGTGATGATGATTCAAGTGCTGGAGCCCACCACGTTACTGTGGTTGGATAGTAGTCAAGCCACCTATCATCATCAAGAATTCCCACGGCTGCTTGAGCCTACATTGCCATATTTACATTGCTGGAAAATGGGAGCGAAGGTTTATTGGTAATATTGACATCAATACAAACGTGCATGACATCAAGTGACAGGAGCATGGGCCACATCCTAGATCACGTGCATGCTTCTTGATAAGCCCCAACGCGTAGAGAAGGAGGTGGTGGTGTTGTTGTTGTATGTAATGGTATCTACAATTCTATAATCGTCTAACAAGGAATGACGCTTGATTGTATAGCGGGACATGATAAAGAGCACAGCAAGAAGTGTGATCCCTACGATGTACAATTGTGTGTTTCTTTCATATTGTTTAAGCGGTAGATTGCCAGTGGAAGTGTGTCAGTCACAAATTTGTACATCTACTGCTTGCTGTTTGGTCGGGCTGTGTGGTCTTCCTTTCTCCACATAGGTCAGCACTCATTCCCGCATTCAACATGGTAATTGGAATCTTGGGTCGCATGTCCCTGCATTCTCCATTGCTCACGCTTATTCCATAGTCTGCCAGAATAATTGCACAAATCGTTGTCTCCTTAGGCACTGTGGTCGGTCGTGCGTTTATTGCTGCATATAAGCAAGCTGCTGCCAGTAAGTTGTTTATTGTGCTAGCGAGGGCCCTGTGATATTCATTGTTTCTTGTTTATAATAGACGCTGCACAAGGTGGTGCTGCTGCTGCTCGAGGTGGTGCAAAGGAAGGTGCTGTGGATGCCTTGACCCGTAAGACCGGTATGTCTATGGAAGAAGCCTGTCAAATCCTCAACATCACCAAGGAAGCTGATCTGGAAAAACTTACCAAGGTAAAGTGTGAGAAAGGATGGGATCATGGTAGCATAGGATTAACAATGGGCATGTGTGTAGAACTATGAGCATTTATTCAATGTGAACGACACTGCCAAAGGTGGTTCATTCTATTTGCAATCCAAGGTTGTACGAGCAAAGGAGAGAATCGAAATGGAGCGAGCAGAAGAAGCAAAGGCCAAAGCTAAACAAGAAGCTGCATCTTCAGCCGAGAACAACAACAACAACAACAATCAATCATCACAACAATAAGCAACCAACCAGCATTCCCCAACCCCTCTCTCTCTCTCAAACCAACCTTTTCTATTCCACCCGTTCTCCTTTTTTTTGCATGTAGACAATGAAAACCCTTTTCCTCAAGCTAGACTTCTCACAACCGCTAATACATCAGCTTATTTGACCGCATCTTGTTATAATACATTGTATGGATTGGATAGATCAATATTGGCTACCAAATGTCAACCTTCAATTTAATGTCTTTTGAGATCGTTCCTTGCAAACAGGATTATCTACTACCAGAAGAAAGAATGAATGCATAATTATACCCCACGTTGCTAATAATGCTGCATGGTTTATTATGGGAAAACAGAGAGCCATGTTCAGTGGCGTAGATGTATATACAAGGTCAAGTGCAAATGCATAATGTAGTGCTATAAAATCCATCCGATTGGTCAAACCATGAACGAATCCCGCTTCACTCGCCATGTCCCATCTCGATCAAAAGTAGCCTAATGCAAAAGGTAAAGAGGATGCCTTTATTCAGGATAAGATTCAGCATTGACGGGATATTCATTTTGCGCTCAAGAAAAGCAGGCTTGGAAAGCTATGTATGTAATGGTCAGATCCGATATTTCCTCCTTCACCCAATCCATCGCTTGTTTTACGAACCTGGGAATCCACACACAGAAGTTGCAATAAAGTACGCAATCACAATCAATAACAAGATAATCATGGTAACAATCTTCATGTTCTTCCACCACATGGAACGCTATGTCGGTGAGGTGTGAGCTTTTTACCATGCCAAGGCTCTTTCCCATCCCATCCCATACAACGATTTACCTTGACTTGTGTACTACGCTTCTTAAAGCCTGATGCATGTTGATTAAGGGTATCGGTCTTGTCCACAAGCAATTCAATGCGTTCTCCTCGCTCCAGCACACGTTCTACCAACGAGCATTAGAATAGGATGAATGAAAGCCTATCGTGAATAGCTTACCGATATTGTGAACCATCACATCCTTGACTTGTTCAATTTCACCATGGACTTGCTTCAACCTATCAGCGCTTGGATTGGAAGAAAAGAATTCCTTGAATCATTGTTGTTAGAGGAGGAGTTGCTATGGTTGCTGCATGATAAACCTGTTTACCATTTGCTTGGAGAGCACACGGGAGAATTCATTCAAACCGTATGGAGGGGCTTCTAATGCACGATCCTTGCCATATCGCTCGAGAAACCGTTCTTTGATATCTTGCAAGAAAGCAAATGGGATACGACGACCAAACGAATCATCGGCCATGCACATATAGGTGAGACCATCTTCACAAATATAGTGGAACAAGTGGCTACGATGTATCTTAGTGGGATATAATATAAAAAAAAGTCGACTTTTGCCGTTTACCTTCCATAGACATAAGTAAGCTTGGAATTGGTTGGGGGAATCTTTTCGAGAATGGCCTGGGTCACTATGCATGCCGAAAAAGTGTCGTGGTGGTTATGGAGGGAGTAATACTGTGTAGGTACGTGGTCGCCTCGTTCCACGCTTTAATTTGCTTGCCTTGTCCAAAGTTTCCATTGCTGTTGGTATGTTCAGTAAGGACCGTGGCGCCATTGGCAACAACAGCGTAAATCAGTGACATTGCAGGAGAAGTATCAGAAACAAGTGAAAGAAAGTATGTATCGGCGGTGGTTTATTCCTCTCTCTCTCCTCCGTCCTATTAACCACACCACATGTATCAACCTCTCTCCCAGCATCTTACCATGTGAGCATTGCTATCCAGACCATATACACACACACACACACACACATCCTTGCATGTTTACAATCCTTTTTATTATTGTACGGTAATACTATTATATCGGCAAAAGAGATGCTGCTTGTCGTCCAACATAGGCTGATCCATAACGCAGTGTTGCCACACCACCTGGAATGTATGATCCAAAATACCTGCAATAGCGTGCGTTCATTGTGAGTATATATACACACACACACATTCAATCTCCATATACTCCTCCTCCTCCTCTTACCAAACAAGTGCAACGATTTGCAGGATGGCTGAAATGATTGTCAAGATATAACTTCTTGCCTAATAACACGGGTTTACAAACATGGATCGATCCTCCCATCTCTGCTCCATCTACTTACCCCAAGTGAAAAGTACAAGGTCATTGCCATCGTGCCAAGATAGGATATAGTGAATGGGAGTCGTTCTACAGACATCATGTGACGAATGTGTGCCATAGGACCTCGTAACATGGCAATACTGATCAGAATCAATATACTTCCCACTATCCTTCCTCAATCAGTCATCATTGAATATAATAAAGATCACCATGACGTACATGTAAATGTTGCTGCAAATTTGCCGGGGAACAAGGGCACCATGGGTATGAATAAAAAGAATGCCTATTATCATGTTAACAATGATGCAAGGTATGTATGTATGTATGTATGTATGTATGTATGTATGCAGATCACACTCACCAGGAAAAAGCATGCGATGCCCAATGCAAGACATAGAGCAAAGGCCATGACCCGCTATATATATACATATCAATCTCTCAGTCGTTGTAAACCCAAGTCGTCTATTGTTGCTGCTTGCTTCTCACCTCAACTCTTGACATTTGATACCATGGTTCTTCTTCTTCCTCACCATTCAGATTGAGTGGGATATAGCCTTGGACTGTGTTGGAGACATTGGAGAAGACGTTGGATGCTGAATCGCGGAATGCGGCGAATGGATTGCTGTTGCCACCACTTGATGGTTGGTTGTCTGAAGGTAAGGATATGCGAGGTGAAGAGCGTGAAAGGTTGAAACCACGTAACGACTCTCGAAAGTTATTTTGCAACTGCTCGCTCATATTGGGTTCAACACACACACACACAAGACTCAAGAGGATTTTACCACTCTTGGCAAGCGAAGGCTATTATTCATCCCAGCTGGATTGGCCGCGGGCTGTGTGTAACGCTGTTGTCGTCGCTGTTGCCACGAGACATCCATCCCCTCCCATCCCATCCCACAACTGTCAGCCCATATTTATATGTGATTGAGCAACCGTTTTATCCTGCAATGGTGAAGATGATGATGATGACATACATACATACATTAATAAATAAGAATGCAACATGCAACATTGTCCCTATAAATGATGTGCACCCGTAGTAGTGTATGAGTTGTAGTAGATGGATTCCGCCATTCATATCATCACGTTGTATGACACCTTCCTCCTCCTTCCCCTCCTCAATGGATCCTACGTACTTTGTCACACACGCACGCGCGCACGCATTGGCAAGATGCTGCAATGCTTAGTGATTTGTATGCTACTTTAGGAATAACCCCAATTGCAATGCATCGATAAAACGGACCAACAAGGGAAAAGCGTCAAAAGAGAGATGGCACCGATTTCCAGGTCTGACAAGATTGGTTGATTGTTGCACATGAGTGGGTGGTCATTATTTTACATCTATACCCGCGCATCTATATTATTATTACCCCACAATTCAAAACTATGGCCTGAGACATGGAGCTAATACGAAAAGTAAAATTGAGTGATCCCGAGTACAATTTTTCGTCCCATCTTTGGTGTCTTTGTTTCCCCGCCTGATCCCTCATCAATTCCCATGTCCCATTATCCATGGCCTTTTCCCCTCCTTCGATTCTTGTGTGTGAATCTCTCAAACTATATCAAAATGGTTTATCTTTCATTATAGACGCCAGATAAACAAGATAGCGTCATGGGACACAGAAACTACAAAATTGGAATGTGAAAAGAGAGGTGACACAGGGGCACATGTCCCATACTACCGGAAGAAACGGGTCGATTACCCACGACGTCAATCAATTGTTATCAGTAATAGATTCCATGGAAACCGTAGTGATGCAAGAAGAGAGTACAGGGATCTATAAACGTATAGAGACGATGATAGAGATGGGATGTATGTATCCATGGCAACGAAAAGTGGAATGATCCCCAATGTCAACAGCGTGGCGGTATAATGGTGTTGAAAAGAAAGACTCAATAAATTCCCAGATAAACAACGATAAGGTGAGAGGTGGGGGGTGGAGAGGGAATAGCGTTTGTCCCGCTACAGTGGCAAGCGGGCGGCGGCAGCAGCGGAGGTTGTTCTCACGCACACCAAGATGGTGGAGAAACCTGATCAAGAGCAGTTGCTTGTGAAACAACCCATCCTCCTTTTCCTATGAACACTTTTACACCAGTTGAGCCAAATGACCCTGCTGGCGATTGTCTATTGAAAGCCACGCTACTCGGGAGATATTATCCAGCACAAGCAGACGACATCCTCACCGATGACGAGCTGCTAGATCTCTTTCGCATTATCAAGCAGATTTTGAAGAAGGCCCCAGACACCGATCGCATTGCAAAGTTACTATTCTGCATCACATACGCTCTCGGCGACAATGTCAAGTTTGCCAAGCCCGTGCATGAAGATCGTATTCTTTTCCGAGATTATATGAATCACACAACTGGACCTGGCATGGGTGTCATACAACTGACAGCTAACAGCTCTTGTTGCCACTTTGTCAATGGCTTTCACGATGACCCGACACAGGCACCACCACCACCACCGCCTCAACCCCACACTGATGCTCGCTGGCTCGATGCATCTGCTGCTGCCTCAGCTGATTCACCTTTTACACGTCTTTTATCAGTCAACTGTTTAGACAGCAACCCTCATCCTATACCACCACCACCACAATCCTCATCATCTACCACTGATATTCCACAACACCATCAACAACAACAACCATCACATCATATGCCAAGTAGTAGTAGCAGTAGCAGTAGTAGCTTCCCACCTTCTTCTACTTGTACAAGTGATGATGCCATGGCTGATAGTTTCGCTGTACGCTCATATACCAATTTCCAATCTCTTTTACAACAACATCATCCACCACAAACACCATCGCAACAAGGCTTAACACCTCCACAACCCCCTACTCCACAACAACCCGAATTTGCAGCTGCACGATATCCACACCTTCAAACATTGCTTGGTGCTGCTAATGCTAGTGGCATCTCAAAGACGCCTGATGAAGTCTTGATGGAACCAAAGCAACGAGGATTTTATTATCAAGATGGACGTATTTCTCGAGAACCAGCTTTATTGCAACGCTACGCTGAGCAAGGTGTACTTACACAAGCATCGCTTATGCGCAAGAGGAAACGACAATTACCTGAGAATATGAATTATCCTTATGAGCTTGCCACGCTACCAGCATCTGTCAAGAAACCAAAGATCCCCCATCGACATGGCGAATTTGAGCAGAGACGTATGATGCTACTACTATTATTACTTTTTATTGTATGACAAGCTCACGTGGGTTTCTGTTTATAGGAGACGAGATCATCAGTCGGATGAGAAGCATCACATTATCGGATCTGGAACAAAAAGTAGCACGCTTACCTGATGATTTTACATTGGCCATTGAGCAAGCACCTGTCAACTTTGAAGTGGATCCTTCTCGTAAACCAGAGCAAGCCGCCGACTTGCTTGAGCCTGCTTTACGTATTCTTACGACGCATTCGAACATGAAACCGCATCTCGACAATGGCATGAATCAAAATGGCATCTACTACAACAGCGATTATTTCCGACTCTATTTGGCATTTGTACAATTTCAGAAATGCTTTGCAGCTTTATTCCCAAGTGAAGTGGTTCCCATCCCTGATGATACTACGACCAATGAAATCAACACTGGCGAACGGGATCGTGATCGGGAACGCAATACCAACATGAAGGCCTATCGTGGATGGTTAGAGCCGCTATTGACAGAAACCAATTGGGCTGCTTTTCGACGTAATATCGTGGTGGGTGAACGCATGATGCAATTGACCAAGGTGGTGGGTCAAGGCGTGTTATTGATGACCAAGGAATTGAGTGGATCAAAGCTGCACCTCACCTTTACCAACAATGAATGGGATGAATTCATCAACGGTCTCAATGCTGGCAAATGGGATTACACCATCAAATGGGAAAGTGAACCTCCCCTCGAACGAACAAGTGAGAACGAGAATCAATCAAAGCTGGTCATTGAGTTACAACGCAAGTTTGCTACACGACACTGGTTTCGATCCGATGGCATGCTCGTGGCACCCGAAGAACGACGCATCTCTTTACGAAGCAGCATTGCAAGCTCGTATCCAAGCTCATCCACCACCACAGTCACCCCTACCTCCTCCTCCTCAACTACAACCCCATCAACAGCAGCAACAGATACAGACACCACATCAGCTGGCAATGATGACAAACCCACTAGTAGCCAAAACACTGATACTTAATCTTCGCTCTATATATAAACTAATGTACTACAATTTGTCGTATTACTACAATGGAATGTGTATGTGTATGTGTGTGTCTATTTTAGCAAGTCTTCCCAAAGAAAAAAAAAGTTGTTTGACATTAACCAATTAACATTCTCAGGGGAGAGGAAGGCATACAACTATTATGCGTTTAGAGTTTCATTAGCAATGAATGAACAACATCCACAAAGTATCTCGGCGAATTTTCAAAGACTTTCGAGGTCGTTCTCGATTGCATTGATCTTGATAAACCAATTCTGGAGCGAGGGAGGTTGGGGGATGGAGAATAAGAACATTGGTAGATCTCTCTATTTATCTTTCATGTTTTAAGTAGTGCTAGATGCTTCCGATAACACGCACACACACACACACACCACATGTACATATCTTTTCATACAATATAAAGAATAAAACCGCTTTACTTTTCCATCCATCCCTCTCTCTTTCACTTATGGATCACCATGCCAAAATCAATTGGGATCTAACAACCGATACCACCAACACCACCCCCTCATCTTCATCTTCATCCAATCATATGAGCGATTCAACTATGCCTTCATCATCATCAGCGAACGATCCATTCTCTGACTGCCAACGAACGCGTGTATTAGAAAGAAACCGTGCAGCAGGTAGTAACCTCTTTTGGGACTGCATGATGATGTAGTATGTTGACGAGTACTATACAACAACAGCCGCTCGATGTCGCCAACGTAAAAAGCAATGGATAGAAGATCTAAAGACGCGACATGAGGAGCTCAAAGACCGAAATCAATGCTTGTATCAAACAAGGACCCACTTACAAAACCAAGTCTTTAAATTGAAAAATGAACTTTTGCTCCATGAAGGGTAACATCCTTTTGCTTCTTTATGAGCGTCGTCACTAACTCCTCCTATTCTTTTTTAAAGATGCGATTGTCAAGCCATTCAAAGCTTTATTCAAACGTCTCTTATGAAAGACGCTTTAGAGCAAACCAACAATACCACCATTCCTAATGAATTCCCTCAGCAAACTCAGCATCCAACATTTCAATAGATCCATGCACCCACACACCCACCTCCCATATAAAACGGAATTCCTTCTTGCTATTCCACCCAAATTTTTTTCCGTAGTTTCATATGTATACATGATCCTTGTTGTGGTACCTGTGATGACATCAACAACCCATACATGCTCAGGATTTGCTCTTTGAAACTTGGCTTGAGCGGGTGATGGCCATCAAGTGTAGTAAACACCCATTTTCTTTTTTTTGTACGTCCATAGCCGTATTATAAATCATGCATGAGACCCCATCAAAAACGTGTTAGTTCTACCCACCACCTCCACCACCACCTCCTCCTCCTCATGATCCTTTATGTATTTCATGTTAAGCTTTGTATTAGAAAAAGATGCGATGCATACATGTCCATAATGCTACATATAATCTTCCATCATCATGTCTATAAAAAAAGGTAGTAGCGCCTTGCATGAAAGATCACACAATAGGTGTCCAATGCACGTTTATGGTGACATGGTTGATTACTCGATGTTCTATTGTCACGATCGAATTGACTTGCTTGACCTGATGGCTGATGTGTGAATGGTGTATGTCGTTGTCGTTGTCGTGAGCAGGGTTGAAATGCAATACTCCGGCGTACTACTACCATTCCTGGTTGTATTGACAATGACAGCTATTCATATATATAGAGAGAGAATTGGATCGTCACAATGGATGATCGACGGATGTTATTATGAAAAGCATCGAAGAATAACAGGATGATTATTTGCTTTCAAAGCTGTCGTCCACATTCTTGACACATGTTGGTTCTACTTTTGGTAGTACTTTACGAAATATTGGATCGCATGCTCATGCTTAACCTCACCAGCACCCCCCCCTTAGGAGTGTAAAATGTTGAGTCAGCAGCATGCAGGAATCCTTGTCATGACTTTTTATCCAATTCAAGTTACAAAAGAATTTGCTTATCTCACTTTTTTTCACTCTTAACACACTTTTCCTCCTCACTCATTGTTGGATGTGTGTATGTATTTATATTTTCTCTCACTGACAAATCAAAGAGGCTGATGACTAACGTGGGAGCAATGTAGGATTGGGAGTAAGGATGACAAAAAGCTATATCGATTGGAGGATACCATTGGGGCAAGAGCCTGGAAACCGAGTGGGGCAAAATGCCAATATAGATTTCCCCCGATTCACATAACGTTGGCGGTGGCGATAGTGTGTTTTCTAAAAAAGGTCATTTCCCGCTTACACGCATCTGCAGGAACAATAACTACTCTTGACTAAGTCAATATAAGCTTGTATCCCTTCTTTTCTCTTCTCTTACCAAGCATCCTACTTCGCCATACATACTATGACAGGAAAGACAGCTGCCGTCATTGGAACTGGGTACGCATGATATACGACAACAATGGGATCAATTCATCCATGCTGAACAAGTCTTCTTGTATAATAACAATAGCTTCAGTGGCCTTTGTTCTGCTATTCGCCTTAAACAAGAGTTGAACATCAAAGTCGATTTGTTCGAGATCAATACAGATGTTGCAGGTACCTGGCAGAATAATCGATACCTCGGTGCTGCGTGTGATATCCCAAGTCATTTGTATTCGCTCTCCTTTGAACTTAATCCAAGTATGTCGAGTGTCGCGTGCGTGCCTTTCTTCCTCTTTTCTTTTTCCTAACATTCCCAATTCAGCATGGACGTCTCATTACAGCGGCCAATCCGAGATTCAAGCCTACCTTAGTCATGTCGCCAGGAAATATGATCTCTACAAGAAGACACGATTCGAGACCGAGGTGATAAAGACTGAATGGGACGACCATCGCAAGCAATGGCTTGTTGAATGGCGTAGTGTTGTCAACCACCAAGTGACAGGAGAGGGTTATTACGACTTTGTGTAAGTGTCCATCAAACGACCCCGAATAGCAAGTATTCATTTGATGCATTGATTAGCTTTGCTGGATTGGGCCCTTTGCGTATTCCCAACATACCCGAAGAATTCAAAGGCTTCCAAGGCACCATTGTGCATACCACCGAATGGGATTCATCCATTGATTACACAAACAAAAAGTTGGCTGTCATCGGCAGTGGCGCTTCGTAAGTGAAAGAGAGAGGCACTTTATTGTATACGAGTGTGTAACACAAGAGCCCTTTCAGTGCTATCCAAGTGATTCCAGAGTTACGGAAAGTTGCATCGCACGTGTATAGCTACCAGCGTACACCGGCATGGGTTGTACCACGAGGTAAGTGATGCGATCATCATTGTGGCCAGTGAGATTAAGATTGTACATAACGTATAGATCAATTCACTTACCCAAGGATCTTCAAGTTTCTATTACGATGGGTGCCCTTCCTTATCCGCTTTTACCGCAATTTCCTCTTTATTCAAGTATGTACCATTTACTCAACAACGATGAAAAGCGATTGGCAACTCACATGTACTCCTTGTGCCACAGCATGAAATCTACTATATCATCTTTGGTTACCCCAATTCCTTTTTATCTCGAAGGGTCACTTCTTTTATGAAAAAGATCTTTGCTTGGCGACTCACTCGTGCAGGCCGTCCTGATCTTGTCCCTGTTCTCACACCTGGTACTACTCCATATACACACATGCCATCCATTTATGACTAATTTACTCCCTTTGTAGATTACAGCATTGGTTGTAAGCGTATTGCCAAATCAGAAAATTTCTTGGAAGCCTGTGCCAAACCCAATGTCACCATTATTCGATCCGGCATTGACCAAGTGAAAGGAAGAACATTGGTGGATAAGGATGGTAATGAAACAGAGGTGGATATCCTGATCTTGGCTACAGGATTTGACATCCAGGGCTTCACCGGAAACTTGAGCAGTAAGTAGTAGCAGCAGCCTTTTGACACGATAATCGCTGATCCATATCATCCCATGTTGTACATAGTACGAGGAAAGGATGGTAGATCCATGGCGGAGGAATTCTCTCGTGGCTTCCCCAAGACTTACAAGGTAATAATAACTCTTCATCACTTGTTTCTAGTAGCTAACCATTAGCAATAGAGCGTATGCGCAACTGGCTATCCAAACTTCTTTTTACTCTTGGGCCCTTCGTCAGGTCTTGGTCATAATTCAGTGGTGACAATGATTGAATGGTAAGATGAATGATCCAAATCATACCTTTCTTGATGCTCATGGTATACGACGTGCATAGCCAAGTGGAATTTGCCATCAAGTGTATCAAGCACATGGAAAAGAAAAAGGCATCTGCCATTGAACCCAAGGAGTCGGCTGTTGATGAATTCGTTGGAAAGTTGAAGAAGAGCTTTGACGGCACTGTTTGGACATCAGGATGCAAATCGTGGTATATGAATCAGGAAGGACAGGTAAGAAAGCATCTTTTATCATTCATCATCAACAGCCTTATTGACGACTCATTCTCCTCTTTATTATGTAGCCTTATGCTCTTTGGTCAGGTATGAGTAATGAATCTTTGAATCAAAAGCTTGCAACGACTAACGGATGCTCTGTTATAGGTACCATCACATCCTACTGGTGGGCTTTACGCAAGGTCCGGGGAGAAGACTTTGAACTCCATAAAAAAGACACTATCACACAATTACCATCATCCTTGTAAATCATAGTAGAAATGTTTCTCATGTCCAAGAGTACCCTAAGCAACCCCTTTATTAAAGAATATCGAACCCCATACTGTATTTCTACCATAAATAACGTATTACATATGTATCAATCGCTTTACTGTGACCACGTTTTTCATCATTAAAGTATGATACAACTGCCATCTATATAAATGTGGCTGGCTTTCTTTAATTTTGTCCTTGTTCGAAGGGGGCAATGGAAATAGCATTGTGAACCTGCACACGCGATAGCTTGGAGGGTTTTAGGAAGAGGGAATATACGATGTCGAATTAACGACCACTACTACTACTGCTGCTGTTACCGGCTCCACCTGTATTTGGTGCTGGTGTACTTAGCATGATTTCAACGGCACGATTCAAATCATTCCTTGACGACGTCACGGCTCGTATAATGACTTCTCGTGGATGATCGGGAAACATTGTCATAAGAACGGAGGTGTGTTGCTCTGATGGTGGTTCCAGATCAGGATTGGATGATCGACCCGTAAATGTATCAATGTACTCCTATATCCAATGAACCAGCGTTTGTTACAGCCAATCTTTTCACGAATACTAGATGTGCCCACACTTACCCTCACACCTTCCACACTAGGTCGATTCGTTGTTGTCGTAGAAGTTGTAGAAGACGAAGAAGGTGGATTATTACTGTTTTGTCGTCGATTTCGAAGACCACTGGCTGCGGATGTCATTAGGTTGTTGATAGCAGTCGCATCGCCCGTAATCTCATTTGGCATGGTTGTAGAGGATCGTGGTATGGGGCCTGACGCCAATGATGATTCAACCAAACGAGATGTCCATGACCGAATAAAAAGTGGGAAACGCCATTGTTTGATGTTGCCAACGTCCGATCGATATAATGCGCCCACCAACAATCCACATACTGCTGGTACGAATGTTGAAAAGTATTGTGAAAGCATCATCTACCATCAATGTAATGAGCCTATTTTCCTTTGGATCGTCCATGGTGATTTTTGTTGATTGTACCTGAATAGCCGGGACAAATACAAAGATCTTGTCATTGAAGGTAACACCAAAGATTCGAAAACGATAAGTGACAGGGACGATGCGATGGTATTGATAAAGCGCTGAAAAGATGATGGCGTATCTAACAATAGTGTTAATCCATGCATGTATTGATCGAGGATAGTGACAATTACTCACGGACCACCTGGGATTTTGCGGAAGCCCAGCCTTGCACCCGACACCAATGCACCAATCTCCAAGAACGTGGCAATCAGCAGTGTCACAAACATGAATGCCTGAATCCCTCAAATCAATCAATCAACTTTCCCTTGGATACCACATCCCAATGTAACCTATCCATACCGCATACTTGGCACTGCCAAACTGTCGTTCGATCACACGCATGGAATACAATAATAGTAACCCGAAAAAGAGCTCGCCCGAGTTGGTGAATGCACAATGCGAAGTAAAGAGACGCCAAAACTGGTCATGATAAGCAAGGCTGCATCTTCATAAATGGACCAAAAAGGGAATACCTACCTGGTGATGAATAGTGATATGAGGACTGAGTTGAAGGTGAAAGATCTGCTTATAGTTGAGAATCGATGCGAGCAACGAGCAACTGCCAATGAAGAGCATCAAGAACTTGGTCACCGGCACATTGTAGAATCCTAAGGGTGGAGACAAGTATGAATGCCATGGAAGAGTCGAAAGACAAGCGAGGAATGCAACCACGTACCAGATGGCCCTACAGCTTGCATCGCGTGTGGAGAAGAAGAGAAGAGTGTGCAGGTTCCGCATATCCGAAGCCAGCGTGCAATTGACTCTAATGGAACATTGCGTGACACAAATCCCCTGTCCTGCTGTCAATCATTCATATCAAATACCTTTGTAAACATCTTTTAGCTACCTTCATAATGATCACTTTATCAACTAATGCATCAATTTATCAATGTATCATCCCTAACACACAAATACCCACGCCCACAACAATGCACAATAAAAGGATGTTGTCGCCTCCCCACCATACTCCCACACGACATCTCTTTCATCACTCATCACCATTCCTCTTTGATTGCTTACAAGGTCAAATTTCCAAGGTTTGGGTATATCCCATTCCTTGTAAACTTTGTGAATAGGCGCTGATCTTTGTGGTCTTATCATAGTAGTGCTTTATTACCATTTTATCATCATGCTAAAACGACAGCTGTATTAGTTGAGACACCAAGTATGTAACTAAGCTTTGAGACACTATAAACTTCATTTGCTATCCTTGTAATGCCGCTATACGGAGACCATGCATTACGACGGCTATCTTGTTTTTTGCCGCAGGGGATATCATTGTGGATGGAATTCAAGCAGTGATAGTCGAGGGATGTGGCTTCATACATGGCATAGTTTTCCAACACATTCAAAGTCGAGGTTATGTGTACGCGTGTACCATTGTATCAAAGTTCACTCTTCTTCTCGGTCATAATGATTTAAGCTTACAATGAACCAAGTTGCTGTAACAAGCACTATGTCAATCATCTTCACTCTGAGTTTATTGTCTTTGTATGTAATAAATCAAGCATTGTCTATCAGTATGCGAATCAGGAAGCTTAAACGAATGTATGGTCACAAAGAACAAAAACATCTCGATACGATGATGTAAATGCTCCAACCTCGCTTTCCAACCTTCAAACTTCTATTCCCTCCCCCACTTCAACCAAGTGATCCACATCTTGCACATGTAAGCTGATGGTACGATACCCTTTATGTACGTTGAATCCGGTATCCATTCAATGGAAGACAAAGAGCATGATATGAAAGTGTGGCCATTCATCAAGTATATAAAAAACATTGCCAAATTGGGGTAAGATACGGGTAAATCACATAAAGAATCATCAGGGATTGTGATTGTGTCATTCTATTCTTGGTTGCTGCCGGCTTAAGCATCCTCATCCAGAGCTGTAGCGCGATTTCACTCGAAAATTTCAATCCACTCAGGGCCATAACCATCCTTCTCAAAGACACGAGCCTTTTCGTCAATGCCCATTCCAATCCATCCTTCCTGCTGACAACGTGCCAAGTAACCAAAGGAGCATCCCAAGATATCCCATCACTGTTCCTTGATTGCATCCATCCATCAGATCCAATACGTTGGTTGAAAAGAGTCATGTGATCGCTTGCTGATATGCTGCTCATCCATCGCAGCTCAACCAGGCGAAGATTGTTGCTTGCATTGCGGTGTACATGGTAGCTACACGTAAATAAAGCTGCTGCTATATAATGATGTCTGCTGTTCACATAAAAAAGGATGCAAAGCAGGTTGCTGCAAGTAACTTGTGACAATAAAGACATTGATAGTAGTAACTGCTGTTGCGGTTGGCGTGGCAAAGGAGCGTGCAAGAGCGTGTGTTGTAGTAGAGTTGACAAGCTTGTGAACGCTGTTTGCGATAGTGAAATAAAGACATCCCTAATAGCAGCTGCTGGATTGAATGCTGTTACGATTGGTTGTGGCAGAGTAGCGTGCAAGAGGGTGTGTATATCAAGGAACACGAGTGTTGTAGTAGAGTGACAAGAAGGCTGTGTACACGCCATGGACTTGCCATTCAGTCAAAGACAATCAGATCAAAGCAGCTGTGGGATTGACATGATGGGTTGAAGCAGGACAATCGTTCGCAGGTGGTAGTTGTATAGTTGAATGGGGCAACAGTTGAGAATGAGAGGAAGAGGGAAGAAGCGGAGAGTGGAAGAAGTGGGAAATTAATTAGATTGTTCTGATGCTTGGATGATGTTTTGTGTTTGAGCGTTGTTCAGTCAAATCCACTAGGATCAAGGAAGTTCAACCATAGGGATGATGATCAGGAGCAGGACAATCGTTCATATGCATTGGATTGGTCAACAAAGGTGAATGGGAGGAAGGGGCTATCAAGTGGCAGTTTACAAATAACTAAGCATAATGATTTTTGTAATGTTGGAGGATGTTTCTGTGTTTGAGCGTAACTCAACCAGATCCACTCGGATCAAGAAACTTGAATGATAGCGACGATGGGCTGGAGCAGAAGTATCGTTTACATGCATTGGATTGGGAAACAAAGATGATTGGGAGGAATGGGCTATCAAGTGGCAGTTTACAAATAACTTACCAGTTTGATTCTTCTGATATCGGATGATGTTTCTGTGTTTGAGCGTTTTTCAGTCAAATCTCATCGGATCAAGAAAGTTGAATGATGGGCATGCTGGGCTGGAGCAGGACAATCGTTCGTATGCATTGGATTCGACAACAATGGAGAATAGGTGGACTAAGGTTATTAGTTGGCATTTTGAACTATCCCTAAACAGTGTACGAGTATCATGCATCGCCTGTGTTGACTGACTCAAGTTACACAGACACGCCCTCTGCATCTTTTGCTCTATTATAGTCATACTACTTTACATTAAACAAAGACCACTTCTCATATAGCATCACGCTTACAAATATAAAGGTGCCTGTATCTCCAAACTTTACAATCAAACGTGGGCTCTTTAATAGATCAACGTGCTTGTCGGGGTCAAAGGAATCTTGTGTCCAAAGTATAGGTTCATCATTGGGCGATCCC